AAGATTCACTTTTGTATGATTCCACATCTATGAAAAGAAGGTATACGCAGAATCAACCTTGATGCGCGCAAATCTTAATATTTGAGACGCTATGTGACACAAGTCGTTTTTCACTGTGATGCAGTGCGTGCCATTTATCCCAACATACAATCATGCCTGTTCAACTTCTTCGAGCGCGCGCACACTGAAAAACGATGAATCAGTAAACTAGTAACACCTGGAACTATTACTCCGGGACATTCAGTCCAGGGGAGATGACGTCATGTCATTTTGGTGATTGGAAACTAGTGACGACCGCAGTGAATATAGGTGTAATTAGTTTTTATCTGAAAATACACTGGCTAAAACAACTGCACCCAATAGCTATTATATCTATGGCTGTACCTATAAAAAACGAAGCTAGAATTAAATAACTTCCGGTGGCACCTTCTTACTTCTTAAGGCGTCGCTTTCAACTGACAACTTTAAATATGAAACGAATGTAAACTAAAGTTCTAACCACTAATTTGGGGGCCGTTTGAGGCCCCTGCCTTTGTTTTCAGTATAGTGTATATCCCGTGTATTATAACATCAGTTTTTAATAAATTGAGAAGTATTCGAGCGACGCGGTCGTTCGTACGTGACATCGTGAATTCGACTCCTGGGCAATCCAATTTTGGCTGTATTATTCTTACAAACTACGAAGCTAAGCCCTGCATTACAATACTACAATCTTCTTTCGACCCAGAATTCTTCAGTCCCATCCTCTTATTTTCAGATTTTTCCTCTCTCGTAGGGTCGTCCATACCTTGAGAAAATATCCAGTCAACAGAGATACAAGAACGGCGAGAGACCGCTCTGGATATGGGGAAAAAACTGTGGAACTTAGGATGTTGGAGATACCTACGACAGTAAATAACGTTGTGTGAATGTGTCATTGTCTTTAATTTATTGTAAAGCCAGTGGTTTGTCTGAGCGCAAACTAACTTCTGGCGTTAATTATCCCTATTTCGTCTATCCATTCGTTGAGAATGGTTTTGCTACACGTCAAGTTACAGGGCAAAATATAATTCTCAATTTCAAAAAGAGCCATGCACCAATGACATTTTTCATGGCAAGTTTTATATGCTCTTGGATGCAGCAAAATATTGACAAGTTTTAAATGCCGAAGGGGCTGATTCAAAAGCTGTTCATGATAGAATTACTCGTATTTACCGGCGACCTGGAAAAACATACTGCCGTACCTACGACAGAATATTACCAGGACAAGACACTTGTATCATTGTGTATGTCAAGAAACGAACCTTTACGCTTCCAATTCTGTTTTTCGCTTTCAAATACAAGTGTTTAGTCGACAGCATTTTAAAATAAAACGTCGCTATGGTAACTGCAGTAAAGCTTCGTCATGGAGGCACCTTGAATGGCTTTAATGGTGATATGATTTTTACAATATCATGGTTACAAGATCTCGCATTTTAGGTTGATTGAATACTACTAGCATTAAATTATGCTCTGTAGGCAAACCTTGCAGGATTTGGAAAAATCATTACTTTTTCTGGGGAAGATTTTGATAAAGCCTTGTAGTATTTTGAATCAAGAAATTATTATATCGACTAGATATTTTGATGAATAAGAAATATTGCGTTACTTCCGGTAAATATTAAACAAAACTTTACAGATGATAGTCATGAGACGTGATCTACTTTGTGTTAAGTTTTTCGATTTTTGTAGTATTACTGTTTAGTATTCCCAAGCGATACTGTGTAGTCGATACCTATTGAAGTCATTCGGTTCTCTCCATTTCTTTAAACAGGGTTATTTATTATTAACTTTACTATCACATGATAAGTATTTGTTACGTGAAAAATGTAATGTTTGTTGTTCCAGGTGATCTGGAATGGCGGCTGAGGACTGGGACTGGGGCTAGTTGTCAAATGAAAATCCATTTCTCGGTTGAAACAACTTGAAATATACTTTATTACGGTTTCAAATTTATATCAGAGCTATAGCTCTTATAACTTAACATGCATTATCACAAAATTTCTTCAAGTCAGTTCATATTAATTTATAAAGAATAACATAAGATATAAACCATTTAATATTGCAGAATGGATTAGTATTTCGATAGACAACCCTTCTGAGCAATGATTGACTAAAAAATGAGTGCGAGATTGCCTGGTATATGACGATATTTGATTAAGTTTCCCGTTTTGGTCTTTCTGTTTAAGGGCCTGTTTACATGAGCCCGGTTACCCGAGATTCAACGAAGCGTAAGATGATTTTGAGGTATTGAAATGAGCAGATAACATGATCCTGGCAGTCGTATAATCACCACAACAATAGCATGTGCTTGTTTGGTGTCATAAAGACTTATTTCAGTACCTCAAAGACAAAGTCCTCTCACGCTTCGTTGAATCTCGGGTAACCGGGCTCATGTAAACAGCCCCTAAACCTGAAAATGTGAGGGACATAGAAACCTCATCTCAGCTTGAAATAAAATAATAAATCCCAAAAGTAAATTAGCTTGTAGGTACACCACGTAAGTATTTAATACTGCAAAGCTTTCTGCCCGTTAACCCGCGGGCCTTCATCAGTGCAACGTTAACGAAGAAAGCTTTGCAGTAATAAATCTTACGTTGTGTACCTACAAACTAATTTACTTATTGATGTCACCATACAAACATACAAGAATATTAAATCCCAAGAGATTTGAATTATTATATAAATAGTAATAAAGTGATCGGTATAGACCTGCCCCAAACCCGTCTTTTCTTGTTTCGAGAAGACAGTGGAAAGAAAGTGGTTTGACATCGTCTTATGGCACGATGTTTTCATCAAGTCATTCAAACAAAATCACCCAAGTTCACCTCCTGCTGTGAACTGTGATCTCAGAATGTTGCGAAAAATCGAGTCTGGTACTAAACATGTATATATTCTTGGTATTTTCACATCCTCGCAGATGAAACACAGTCTTACTCCACGGATTAAACATGTCAATGATATTTAGAGTACTGTTGTTAAAGACTAAAAGCCAAGGACATTTTTCCAGGTTGTTAGTGGAATAAGAAATTTTCGAGGGTTTCATTTTGGAAATTGCGCTTTTTCATGGTGTGTTTCATGCTAATATTGCTAATGATTCTCAACATAGCCATATATGACTATGTAAACATTTTGTGCGCATCCCAGCTTCTATCGCGTGATTCGCGTCCAAACCCATCCAGTCAAGACGACGTCATTCAACGTTGACTTGGATCTGAGTGCTCCATGTTACCATGTAGTCTTTTTTGGCCTATGTTTGGTGTCAAGCTTCTTATTTCAGTAATCAGACCTTTCGTCTGAAAAAGTATATAAATCAAATTATCGCAAATAATCCTCGTTTATAATTAAATATATTCAAGCTTTAAATAGATATGAACAAGTGGATAAGTTTCGGGTAATAATGTTACAAACCGGTTATATTCGTCCAGCTAAAGTCCTCATTACTAGTTAAACACAATTCCTGTCTTCTTCGCCGGAGTGTGCTTTCACTAACTCCAAGCAGATGCGCTATTTTTTCCAACGAAAAGTGGAGGCTCCTTACATTTCTGTTCGTCCTGTATAATTATTCTTGGCCTTCCTATCCCAATTGGAAGTTCTGTAGGGCACGTAAAAGAATTAGAAGCGTTTGAAGACGATTCACGAAGAGATTTAAATTTCACAAGTATCTGCGCAATGCATTGTTGAAGTTCCCTAAGATATATCGCATAATATCCATCCGTATTTTCTGACGCGATCAAGGCTAAAGTTTCTCTTCCCTCTTCGAGTTACCGTAATTACTCGAATAAACGCCTCCCTTGAATAAACGCCGCCCTCGAATTAACGCCGCGGGGACAAGCAAAAATATCATTAAACGCCGCCCTCAAATAAACGCCGCAACCTTTTTGTTATTGCGGCGTTTATTCGAACATTTATTCATAACCATTGTAAGAAATTCAAGTACCTATCTTTATAAAAAAAGACAACATTGAATCTAAACCAGTCGTGGAAATTTATTGTTCTCAATTTGAATGTTATTCAGTTCAAAGTGGCTATACTTCATAGCTTTGCTGCTTGCTCTCTCTCCAAAACTTCTGCGATGCGTAAATCCGTGGTAACAGCCGAGAATCCTGCCAGTAACACTAGATTGTATTGGTTAAATTGGCGTTTAAATCACACAATCAATTCAGGGTTGTTACGAGTTTGCAATAAACGCCTCCCTTGAATAAACGCCGCCCTCGAATAAACGCCGCATCTTAATTGCTAAAAATGCAATAAACGCCGCGGCGTTTATTCGAGTAATTACGGTATGCTATGATTTCCTCGTCAACAAGACCACTTTCATCTATTGTTTGCAAATTTCTAATGCCAATAAAAACAGATGCTAGGTTATCGAAGAAATTTCTTAGACCGACAGTGTTTCTCTCGTTTCTTTCAGTTCTATTCATCATGCAGATTAGATTACATCGTGTTAGTAAAATAACACGATCTTTTAGGCGAACATTCAGCGTTGCATAGTGCGGCTCAAAAAGAGGATAGATTTGTATCGAGCCGATTCGAGTTTAGACAATATATCTGAAGTTTAGAACCAATAAGTGAACTTATTAATTGTCATTAAGAAATATCGGAGTACAGGAGATATAAATAAGTTTAGAAAGCATATTTGAAGTTTAGGCAAGGATAAATAACGTTTACAATGATTAAATAAGCTTTTTGAAATTATCTTTTCTGTATTCTAAAAAATCCCAAGAAAAATCCCAAGGTCTTATTCAAAAAATAAAAATCCCAAGAAAATCCCAACAGCCTCAAAAAATCCCAAGATCTTGGGATAAAATCCCAAAGTATAAAGGCCCATTATGAGGAAGAGCCAGGAATTTGAACACTTGTGAGAAAGAATATTGGTTGATTATTGCGACACAGCACTATATCATGTCACGTGACGCATTTTGTAAACATGATATTCCAAATGGTCACGTGCTCCTTTTAAGCCTGCTTTAAGCATATGTTTAAGCCTTAGTAAAAGACGAGTAAAGTGTAAACTTAAACTTATGTTTGAGTTTATTCATCATATTAAACGCATACTAGGCTGATAACAAAAAAGACCAGCACCACAATTTACAAAATCTATGTATGATGATGATTCAACAACATCGTTTTTATCGTTTTATCGTGTAAGTTTTAATGGCATGGCATAGAGCATCTTCTGGGGAATCTCAGAGACCAGGGAAGACAAGGAAAAAACGACACACAAATGGCGTGTATTTGGCTCTGGTGACGGATTTATAGGAAGCATAGAAGGCCATAAGAATGCCAGGGCAGGTATGATTTTTTATTAAAATGTATTAAACGTAATTCTAGTCGGAAATATCGAGTGAATTATATACAGTCGTGTTTTGTGAGTATTGTATGAAATACCCGGAAAGGTTTTATACCTATCAAGGTTGTAAACGACACACGCAGCTAACTTCGATTTTATCCGCCAGTACTGTGTGAAATCAAATAGAAATTATATAGCTAAAAAACATTTATCTATTTGTATAAATTTAGGAGAAGTGTAAATATGTTAAATCTTACAAGAAAAACCTACAAATATTTATGTCAAACATCTGTTAGAGTATAAAAATGCTCCGTTTTCTACCCAGTCAGTCTTGTGATTGCATTGCGATTACCGGGATTACACTATATTTTTCTGAAGCTATATTTGATGATGGTATTCATTGGTGATCAAACAAAAAATTAATATATAGAAAATTCCTTTCCCCGAGACCCCATGGTGAGATTGGTGAGATTCACTGAGCTATATAATAATTCCTGGAGGACCGGCTCGTCATTTTTCGGTAACTTCGCCGCCATCTTTTTGTCGCCAAAAACATGGCGGACTTCGCCCTTCTGCGCAACCGCAGAAGCTCTGCTGACGCCACATGGTTCCTTTTGGCCATGGTATTTACCACTGACCGGGCTCAAATATGAGTCCGCTACAAGGGTGTTCTCCCCCCTGGATTTAGTAAACAACAGATTCTCCCCCCTGGCCTTTATAAAAAAAATTCCCGTGATCATGAAAACTTGTTTTGTTTTTCTGAAATATAAAGTCATGAAAACATCATTAATTGCATTTTTTTGAAATATAAAGCGTTTTTTTAAGATGAATACAAGTCGTAGATGCTGTTATTGCCAACGCAAGAACAATTGTATATTAAAACGTCAAAAATTGTGGACAAAATTGAAGATTTTAATTCTGACACGAACTGACAGGTGTTTTTTTTATATTTTCATTATTTATACATTCCTATAACAAATGCTTGAACTTTTTGGCACTATTGTCGGACATTTTGGGGACAACTGGATATTTATGGACATCAATTAGACTTTTTTAAACCCTGCATGAACTGCAGAATTACTGAAAGTATGCAATTAATAATGTTTTCTTGAATGTCTTCAGGACAATATATCTAGGTATAATCCAAAGAAACAGAGGCCAAAGCTCAGGGGCAAGATGCTTGGCAGCTGACTAAGTGCAAGAGTAGTTTCAACCATGAGTCATATTTGCATATATACTTTCATTAAGGTCATCAGCTTAATTGTACCTCAATGGGCTATAAAAGTTTTCAATATTATCTAATTGCACCCCTGGACCCCTGGTCTTATTAATAAATAATATTCATCCCTCCATAGACTCAATTACTCCTGATTAGCCCATTGAATTTAGCCCTCTTGAAATTTGATACCATAAACAGAAACTTATAAGTGGCTGCAGATTGAAGATACATTGCTCACACAGTGCATTTTATATTTATTTCCTTTATAAATATAACAATGGTTTTAAAAATACCAGCCAAAACAAAATCAGATAACATGGTAATCAAGGATAACAATGCAGATTCATAACAATGTGTATAATATGCTTAATACATCTCAGTTCAATGTTCCCACAAATTGCATGACAATTAATTAATAAGCCATCTCTAGCTTGCTTTATTTCATTAATTAATAAGCCATCTCTAGCTTGCTTTATTTCATAGCATCTTCATCCTGAAAAATATAAATGGAAATATGATCAAGATTTATTTACAAGGTGCAAGAAGTTAAAAAATCAATTAATATAAGCCATGATAATTGATTTGAATTTGACAAGGCAAACAAGATAATATATTAACTAGGTTTTAACAGTCACCATCATCAGAGCTTGAAATTTACACTGTTTGCAGCAATTACTTTGCATTACTTTGTATCAGCACCCACTCAGCACTTTTGTCAGTTAGATCATGTAATTAAATTGCTTGAATCTAATAGACTCACTGAGGGGAAGGTTTACCTATTTACATTATTGTTTGTTATCATGAAAACAAAATAGACCAAACTTAAAGATTGACATTGCCAGGAATTTAATTCCTTCTCCACACAAGTCAAGAAAAATGATAAAGTTTGACTGTTTCGTCTGTTTGAGTATATAACATTGCACATGTGCCAAAGGTCTAAAATAGTATATTTGCTGTTTGTACCATAAGTTTTGATGGATTTATATGGCTCAGAGCCTTTGGTAATCAGTTTATATTCGAGTCCAAAGGCAACAAACTGAAATTGTTATAAAAACCGGCTTACCTGGATGCCATAAAATACCAGCCGAATGAGAAAAATCATTCCCCCGATAAGTGAATTAAGCCATTCACAACGTCAGACGCAGAGCACGAAGCTACGTGTCCTTTCCATTTGTTGAACAGGCAAAAATATTTTATTCTTTTTATATGAAAAACAAAAAAATATATACGGAAAGCTGAAAATATTTTCATAAAAATCGGGAGGGTGATGGACACAGTTTTTCACCTTGTATCGCGGTATGTCAGTGGTAACCACCATGAGCAAAAGGAACCATGTGGCGTCAGCAAAGCTCAAAATCCGCCATGTTTTTGGCGACACGATTTGGCAGCGAGCCGGTCCTCCAGGAATTATTATATAGCTCAGTGGTGAGATTATGTTCAGAGCAGTGCTTCCACTCGCTGTAATCTTAATTTCCTTTTCTTTTCCTGTTTTCCTTCACATTTTCTTCCAATTTCTTTCATATTTTCCTCTAATTTTCCTGGCAGTTTTATTCATAAATAACTGTATTTTTCACCCTTTTATGCCTCAGGGGGTGTGGTTACAAATGTCTCGGAATGTCTTTACACTTGGACAAATGTAAATTATGTAACAATTATGTAAAACTGGTTTATTAGTAAATTTGTCACTTGTACAAGTAGAATACTAAATTGCAGCACATTAAAAACTCCAAACAGAAATTAATCAAATTATATTATAAATTGGGTGAAAAGCATGAAAACAAGTTACAGCATAGTGCCAGTAGACACAGTTTGACACAGTTTTGCATGCTTCTGTACAAAAGTTCACAACAAAATTCACAAAACTTTCTAGGCTTTAGTTACTATAATCAAAGTGAGTAATTGTACATTTTACATGTTGGCTTTGTGCTTGGTAGCACAAGCATCATCAAACATTTGAGACTGACCCTCACTCAAACTATTGATTAAAATTCTTTGTGTAACTCTTACAGGAACCTACCAATAGTCGATTTTGCATAAGAATTATTTGTATAAGACTCGTAGAGATTACCCATTGCCAAAGCTGAATTACAAAATCACAAGTTTTTTCACCCTTGTTCTGTGGGAATTTTTTATCATGAAGTTTTCATTGATATATACCATAGGTAGCCCAACACTCGTGTTCCGCGCGCGTACACGCTACTCAGTGATTAGCATATATTAATTTATCCTAAGGTTGGCAACTTTATCACCAATTATCAATAATATATCACATACATACATGTCAAACTTCGATAAAAACTGAAAAACTACCACAAAATACTCCAAAATTAATAAATATAAATGAACTTGGATATATTTTCTAAATTCTGACATACTTTTTAGCTTCAAAATGTATTGGGAAATACGGAAATTTGTTCATTTAAAATAAAGTTTTTGAAAATACATTGTCAAAATTTTCTTGTCGATAGGCGGGATCCAATTGACCCTGCATTACGTCACCTTCGGAGAAATCCAGAGTCAATCCTATTTATCCTATTGGCTGCTGAAAAGTCGGAAAATTTCTGAAGATTGCTCCATGAGAGAGCAGCTAATATTGGGATAAATTAATATATGCTAATCACTGAGTAGCCTGTACGCGCGCGGAAAACGAGTGTTGGGCTACCAATGTATATACCACCTTCTAGGGTATTTTGCGACTTACACTGATTATAATAATAATAATAGAATGTAAATGTGAGTTTTCAGAATAATAATGTGTATTTCTATAATACTATAAATTTATTTTGGCCCAAATATGTCCCTAATGAAATTAGGAGGAATCAATACATACTGGACTAGCTACCTTTGCCCATTATCACAAGGTTCAAATTAAGTCTGGAGATGTAATTCGGAGATTTATAATTGCATGAAAGTGTGGTCTAAAAATATTTAAAAGAATCAACCTTCTTTTCACTTAAAATACTTCATAAGTTTACTGGTCTCTTCCATTCATTCTCTATTCCATTTTGTTGCTTTCAATTGTTTTCAACTTTCACTCATTAGTCTATTCTTTATTCTCGAGTTCTCTTTTATTCAAGTCTTTATTCTAATATTACTTTTATATTCTATTATTATGTCACAAGTTTAGAACTAGCATTAGAGCAACATTATACAATATTTTTTTCAAAAGTCATATAAAAGTGAAGGTTCTACCTAAGAGAATAGATTTAGATATAATAACTACGTTTGCTCATATTAAAATTGTTTTTGTCATTCTTTTCTAGAAGTAATGGATGTCATTCATCATCTCCAAAGTTTCCTTCTTGTCTTTCTTGTATGTGTTGTTGAACTGTTGCCGATTGGGCATCATCTAATGTCTCTGGTATACCAGGAGCTACAGTGAGAGGTATGATTGATAATTTCATTGGTGTACTGGAGTGGGGTCTTGTCACTTATCCTTAATTATCAAAATTGCATGCCAGTTTGGAAGGAAGTGGCTATAAAAGTATGTTAGTTTACCTTGTAACAAAGTGTTTAAGTTGAGAGCATTGTCCAATGTTTCTGGGATGCCAGCAACTACACTAGGAACTACAGTGAGACATATGATTGGTGAATCATAACGAAGACCGCTATATAGTAATAGTAATCAATTATTAAACGACCGGAAGTAGAGACGTACTTCATTATTTGACAATATATTGAATATATTTTTGTTTCTAGTGACTACAAAAGTATATTAGTTTACCTTCTGACACACCGTTCAAGTTAGGAACCGTAGCCGCAGCCGATGGATCAGGCATTATGCATGCAAAACGGCTAAATGCAATTGAATAAACGCAGATTTCTCTGTGATAAATTACTTGCGCGCTGGATATTTCAGTATCCGTGGACCTTTTATAGGATCGCACAATCAATGAATTCACGTAATGTGTATTTTCCACGATGTTTAGTATACTTTTAGAGGAATATATAAACCTTCAATAGAATATACGATGTCGTCTAGAACTTTAACATGGCTGTGACGTCACAGTCGACAAACCACTCACTGGGCAAACCCAGGTAATCATAAATGAAATCACATGAAAAACCTTGCATGCATCTATGAAAGGAAGGTATTCGCAGGCTAGTGCTAGTAAGCTGTCCCCAATGGGCAAGGATATGATGACAGAAATATCTTTATGAATGATTAGAATTATCCACTACCAGAATAACCTTGATGCGCGCAAATCTTAATATTTTGAGACGCTATGTGACACAAGTCGTTTTTCACTGTGATGCAGTGCGTGCCATTTATCCCAAGATACAATCGTGCCTGTTCAACTTCTTAAAGCGCGCGCACACTGAAAAACGATGAATCAGTGAACTAATAGCACCTGGAATAATAACTCCAGGATAATCAGTCGAGGGGAAATGACGTCATGCCATTTTGGAGAGTGGAAACAAGTGACGACCGCAGTGAATAGGTGTAATTAGTTTTTATCTAAAAATACACTGGCTAAAGTAACTGCACCCAATAGCTATTATATCTATGGCTGAAGTCGCTGTACCTATAAAAAACGAAGCTTTATATAATTAAATAACTTCCGGAGACACTTTCTTACTTCTTAAGGTGTCGCTTTCAACTGACAACTTTAAATATGAAATGAATGTAAACTAAAGTTCTAACCACCAATTGGGGGCTATTTGAGGCCCCTGCCTTTGTTTTCAGTATAGTGTATATCCCGTGTATTATAACATCAGTTTTTAATAAATCGAGAAGTATTCTAGCGACGCGGTCGTTAGTACGTGACATCGTGATTTCGACTCCTGGGCAATCCAATTTTGGCTGTATTCTTACAAACTACGGAGCTAAGCCCCGCATGACAATACTACAGTCTTCTTTCGACCCAGAATTCTTCAGTCCCATCCTCTTATTTTCAGATTTTTCCTCTCTCGTAGGGTCGTCCATACCTTGAGGAAATGTCCAGTCAACAGAGATGTTGTCTTGGCTTCAACAAGAACGGCGAGAGACCGCTCTCGATAAAGCGAAGAAAATGGAGATACCTACGACAGTAAATAACGTTGTGTGAATGTGTCATTTGTTTTTAATTTATTGTAAAGCCAGTCGTTTGTCTGAGCACAAACTAACTTCTTGCATTAATTATCCCTATTTCGTCTATCCATCCGTTGAGAATGGTTTAGTGCTACACGTCAAATTACAGGGCAAAATATAATCCTCAATTTCAAAAAGAGCCATGCACCAATGCCATTTCTCATGGCAAGTTTTATATGCTCTTGGATGCAGCAAAATATTGATAAGTTAAACGCTAAAGGGGCTGATTCAAAAGCTGTTCATGATAGAATTACTCGTATTTACAGCCGACCTGGAAAAACATACTGTCGTACCTACGACAGAATATTACCAGGACAAGACAAGTGTATCATTGTGTATGTCAAGAAACGAACCTATACGCTTCCAATTCTGTTTTTCGCTTTCAAGTACAAGTGTTTAGTCGACAGCATTTTAAAATAAAACGTCACTATGATAACTGCAGTAAAGCTTCGTCATGGAGGCACCTTGAATGGCTTTAATGGTGATATGATTTTAACAATATCATGGTTACAAGATCTCGTATTTTAGGTTGATTGAATACTACTAGCATTAAATTATGCTCTGTAGGCAAACCTTGCAGGATTTGGAAAAATCATTACTTTTTCTGAGGAAGATTTTGAGAAGGCCTTGTAGGATTTTGAATCAAGAAATTATTATATCGACTAGATATTTTGATGAATAAGAAATATTGCGTTATTTCCGGTAAATATTAAACAAAACTTTACAGATGATAGTCATGAGACGTGATCTACTTTGTGTTAAGTTTTTCGATTTTTGTAGTATTACTGTTTAGTATTCCCAAGCGATACTGTGTAGTCGATACCTATTGAAGTCATTCGGTTCTCTCCATTTCCTTAAACAGGGTTATTTATTATTAACTTTACTATCACATGCATGATAAGTATTTGTTACGTGAAAAATGTAATGTTTGTTGTTCCAGGTGATCTGGAATGGCGGCTGAGGACTGGGACTGGGGCTAGTTGTCAAATGAAAATCCATTTCTCGGTTGAAACAACTTGAAATATATTTTATTACGGTTTCAAATTTATGTCAGAGCTATAGTTCTTATAACTTAACATGCATAATCACAAAATTTCTTCAAGTCAGTTCATATTAGATTTATAAAGAATAACATAAGATATAAACCATTTAATATTGCAGAATAGATTAGTATTTTGACAGACAACCCTTCCGAGCGCTGATTTACTAAAAGATGAGTGCGAGATTGCCTGCTATATGACGATATTTGATCCTGAAAATGCGAGGGACATAGCAACCTTATCTCAGTTGAAATAAAATAATAAATCCCAAAAGTAAATTAGCTTGTAGGTACACATATAGAATTAAAGTAATTCCGAAAAATGAAATCATAATACAAATTTATTCTGTATATTTCGAATCAAGATCGATTCATCTTCAGCAGAATGGTTTACAAGATTTGCGTAACTATAAAGCGTTTACAATTTAAAACATGCGTGAGCGTAGCACGCGTAAACAATTAAAACGAATTTTGACGTACAACGAATTCAAATGTTAACCGCTATTCTTCTGTTCAGCAATATTTGCCATTAGTTAAATAACTGCAGTTCTCTACTAGCCTTTAATCCATTATTTAATATTGATTTGCGTCTTTTGATGTGCAATGCTTCTTTATAAAGTAACAAGTTCCAGTTGTTTGAGTAGTCGATGATTTTAGTATTTGTCAGAACAAGTTCTGTCAGTTCATTGTTAGATTTAGAGTCCAAATCAGTTGCGATGTAACAGGAGTTTAGATGTTTGTTGACAGCGCTATTTTCGTCTTTGTATGCATGTTCTCGTACCCGTTCTAGTAGCGTTCTGTCAGTTTTACCAATGTAGGTTTTGTTACATTTTGGACAAGTAAACTCGTAGACAATGTTGGATTTGCTTTGTTTAGGAACTTTGTCTTTGGTGTTAGTAAACAAGTTCAATTTTGTTGTTGTTACTTTCGTTCTGATTTGTACGTTAACGTTAAGGCAGCGCAGAAGTTTTTTCTTTAGTCCACGTAATAGTTGTTCTCCCTTTGTACCAATATATGGCATTTCTAACCATAGTGTAGGTATAGTGGCGTTAGCGTCTGTTACGTTATCGTTGTTCTCATTGTCAGTAGATTCAGAATGGTGTTGGTCGAAGCGTTTCATTAATGAGTAGACAACATGTTTAGGATAACCGTTCCATGAAGCAATTTTCTTTAAAAATTGCAGTTCTTGTGTGAGTTTAGATGGTGAACAGATCTTGTAGATGCGGTTAAGAAGAGAACGAATCCATGCAATGCGATGTTTCCATGGTACAAAACTATCAAAGTGTGTGTATTGACCAGTGAAAGTACGTTTTCGGTATATGGAAAACTTGTTGTCCTCAAGATTGAGGTCAAGAAAGTGAGGTGGTTCGTCAGAAAATTGGTCATAAGTAAAACGGATGTTACTGTCAAATGAGTGAAATTTGTTAAGTAACATATCAATGTCACCATGGTTAACTAATAGTAGTGTATCATCTACATAGCGGCAGTAGAATTTAATGACACCGCTGCTAATCAAAGGATTAATTATGATACGTTCAAATTCTGTTAGAATAATGTTCGCCAGTACTGGACCAAGCGAACCACCCATGCTAACACCGTCTATCTGTTCGTAATACACATTATTACAACTAAAGATAGTTTTCTTACATGTGTCACGTATGAGCTTTCGTAGGGTAGATCTTTTCAGTGTTGTTGTCAACTCTTTTCCATCATAAATTCGTCGTTCAATGACTTTAAGCGTTCTTTCTAGCGGAACATTAGTGAACAGCGATTCTACATCAAACGAGACGAACTTGTATCCTTGTCGGAAGTGGACTTGGTTAATCGTTTCGATTCGAGATTTTGCGTCAAAAGTGTCCTTAATGGCATGTTCATTTATCGTTAGTGGTTGTAGTAACTGACTGAGATATTTGCCGATTCCATAGTGCGTTGTACCAGTTGTATCAATAATTGGGCGAAATTTTGGTATTCTATCAAACGACTTGTGGATCTTTGGTAATCCGTGAGCTCGTGCTGGTTTTGCCGCTTTTGGTCGTATGAGTTGGTACGTAGCTTCGTCGATTTCTCCACGTTTGTACAATGCTCGTAAATATCTCTGGACACTGCTTAATCTTGCAGAGGTTAGATCTTCTTTTATCACTCGAAAACGTTTGCGATCTGAGAAAAGGGGTTCCATCGAGGACTCATAGTCAGCACGACTAATAATAACCACGCCTTCTCCTTTATCTGGTTTCAGAATCACGTTATCTTTTAGGAGATCTTTGATCGACTGGATTTTCTTGTTGTCTGTTGTCTGTTCGAGTCCGAACATTGTCATAGTCCAGGATATTGAAGACGAATGCGCGTAGGCTGTTCTTTGCTCGTTCAACTTTAAAGAAAATCATCCTAAAAAATCATAACAAAATCATTATCAATTTGACGAACATCGACCTGACTAATGATCAATACGCTGCTCTTCAGTATGGTTTGAAATACGGCATTGCAGCACAACCGAAAGATTCTGACCTCATTGCATCTGCTGAGAGCGTATGGGAACAAATCAACACACACGGTTGGCTTAAGAACAGTTTCTTTAAAGTTGAACGAGCAAAGAACAGCCTACGCGCATTCGTCTTCAATATCCTGGACTATGACAATGTTCGGACTCGAACAGACAACAAGAAAATCCAGTCGATCAAAGATCTCCTAAAAGATAACGTGATTCTGAAACCAGATAAAGGAGAAGGCGTGGTTATTATTAGTCGTGCTGACTATGAGTCCTCGATGGAACCCCTTTTCTCAGATCGCAAACGTTTTCGAGTGATAAAAGAAGATCTAACCTCTGCAAGATTAAGCAGTGTCCAGAGATATTTACGAGCATTGTACAAACGTGGAGAAATCGACGAAGCTACGTACCAACTCATACGACCAAAAGCGGCAAAACCAGCACGAGCTCACGGATTACCAAAGATCCACAAGTCGTTTGATAGAATACCAAAATTTCGCCCAATTATTGATACAACTGGTACAACGCACTATGGAATCGGCAAATATCTCAGTCAGTTACTACAACCACTAACGATAAATGAACATGCCATTAAGGACACTTTTGACGCAAAATCTCGAATCGAAACGATTAACCAAGTCCACTTCCGACAAGGATACAAGTTCGTCTCGTTTGATGTAGAATCGCTGTTCACTAATGTTCCGCTAGAAAGAACGCTTAAAGTCATTGAACGACGAATTTATGATGGAAAAGAGTTGACAACAACACTGAAAGATCTACCCTACGAAAGCTCATACGTGACACATGTAAGAAAACTATCTTTAGTTGTAATAATGTGTATTACGAACACATAGACGGTGTTAGCATGGGTGGTTCGCTTGGTCCAGTACTGGCGAACATTATTCTAACAGAATTTGAACGTATCATAATTAATCCTTTGATTAGCAGCGGTGTCATTAAATTCTACTGCCGCTATGTAGATGATACACTACTATTAGTTAACCATGGTGACATTGATATGTTACTTAACAAATTTCACTCATTTGACAGTAACATCCGTTTTACTTATGACCAATTTTCTGACGAACCACCTCACTTTCTTGACCTCAATCTTGAGGACAACAAGTTTTCCATATACCGAAAACGTACTTTCACTGGTCAATACACACACTTTGATAGTTTTGTACCATGGAAACATCGCATTGCATGGATTCGTTCTCTTCTTAACCGCATCTACAAGATCTGTTCACCATCTAAACTCACACAAGAACTGCAATTTTTAAAGAAAATTGCTTCATGGAACGGTTATCCTAAACATGTTGTCTACTCATTAATGAAACGCTTCGACCAACACCATTCTGAATCTACTGACAATGAGAACAACGATAACGTAACAGACGCTAACGCCACTATACCTACACTATGGTTAGAAATGCCATATATTGGTACAAAGGGAGAACAACTATTACGTGGACTAAAGAAAAAACTTCTGCGCTGCCTTAACGTTAACGTACAAATCAGAACGAAAGTAACAACAACAAAATTGAACTTGTTTACTAACACCAAAGACAAAGTTCCTAAACAAAGCAAATCCAACATTGTCTACGAGTTTACTTGTCCAAAATGTAACAAAACCTACATTGGTAAAACTGACAGAACGCTACTAGAACGGGTACGAGAACATGCATACAAAGACGAAAATAGCGCTGTCAACAAACATCTAAACTCCTGTTACATCGCAACTGATTTGGACTCTAAATCTAACAATGAACTGACAGAACTTGTTCTGACAAATACTAAAATCATCGACTACTCAAACAACTGGAACTTGTTACTTTATAAAGAAGCATTGCACATCAAAAGACGCAAATCAATATTAAATAATGGATTAAAGGCTAGTAGAGAACTGCAGTTATTTAACTAATGGCAAATATTGCTGAACAGAAGAATAGCGGTTAACATTTGAATTCGTTGTACGTCAAAATTCGTTTTAATTGTTTACGCGTGCTACGCTCACGCATGTTTTAAATTGTAAACGCTTTATAGTTACGCAAATCTTGTAAACCATTCTGCTGAAGATGAATCGATCTTGATTCGAAATATACAGAATAAATTTGTATTATGATTTCATTTTTCGGAATTACTTTAATTCTATATGTGCTAAAACTATCAGCTGGTAAAGGATTTTGTAGGTACACCACGTAAGTATTTAATACTGCAAAGCTTTCTATCCGTTAACCCGGGCCTTCATCAGTGCAACGTTAACGGACCGAAAGCTTTGAGTTTTAAATACTTACGTTGTGTACCTACAAATTATTTACTTATTGATGTTTCTATGCATTGCAAACGTACAAAGATTTGAATTATTATAAATAGTAATAAAGTGATCGGTATAGACCTGCCCCAAACCCGTCTTTTCTTGTTTTGTTTTATGGCATGATGTTTTCATCAAGTCATCCAAACAAAATCACCCAAGTTCACCTCCTGCTGTGAACTGTGATCTCAGAATGTTGCGAAAAATCAAGTCCGGTACTAAACATGTATATATGCATGGTATTTTCACATCTCTGGCATCGATTTGTTGATTTACAATTGTAAACTCCTCGCATATGAAGCACAAAATTCATTCGTATGTGTTCGCGTGTGTATAACTTAGAGATTTACACACAACCTTGATCACACAAAATTTTTGATCGAGTTCACCTCCCACACAAGCGACCTTGTGACAATATATTTGGATTTTGTAAACACTATCTCCGCAGATTGCTGTTATTCGGTGTTGAACAAATTTTTGTAACAGGACTAATAAATGAAACGATTTTTATCTCAGATTGACTCAGAATGTACAAAAAATTGTCTTTAATCGACTTCAAAAGTGACTGGACTCTTGCTGTTAACTTTGAATAATAGTCGAAGTGTCGAACCAGAACAGTGATGGCGTATTATGCCTATAGTTCTCAACAAAAAAATACATAAAATAGTAACATAATTTATAATGTTTTTCTAACTTTATCGCGTGGACATTACCGTGAATTCTACGAGCTAAAATTAAAGGTAAAATCAATTTTTTTCACCGAGTACTAAGATTTCAAGGGGCAAGAATTCACAGCAGTTCCGTTTGCTCAGAGCAATTTTTATAAAAATATCGTTGGCAATGTTGCAACATAGCGGGGAACAGAACAATGAGAACATCTGGCTTGACTGTAAAAAAAGGTTCTAGATTAATATTGCCCAATTGCTCAATTTCTTTTGAAACAGGAAAATCGTATGGGAAAAATTGCGAACTGACATGATTACAAACTCTTCGGTGGGACTTGGCATGGAAGGAAAAGAAACATCTCCAATCTACATGCATGTTATTGTTAAGCCATACAACAAAGCCAAACGACAAAGTGGTTTAGTCAAAAGCTAAATGCTAAACTTTTTGCCTTCTGCTCTTTCACTTTTCTTTCATGTGATATCTGGGGCAGGTTGTATGAAAGCCGGTTGAAAAAAATCACTATCCGGTTGATAGCGCTATCACTCCCTATCACGCTTTCATACAACGCCCCCTGTTCCGCTCTCCAGAATATCACGCGCTCCAAATCAATCATGTAAATTACGTTGCAACTTGTGATTGCATCCAAACGCTACAAAATACTGCAATCATTTGTTGTCAAACTGAAATGAAATCCTTTTGTCTTTTTGAGTGGAAACACTTCCGTCTTAAAAGTTTATAAAAGCAGAACTCTGAACACTTCGGTTGCCATTTCGTTAAACAGATTTTCGAAGTGGTTTGTAAGGTTTATTGACCGTTGGAAAAGAAAAGACTTGCTTTCGTTTGACAGTTTTATTATCGACTGTACATAATTGTACGAAGGGATTGGTAATCCAACCTTTCCTGAAGGTTGAAGCTCGTATTCTTTTATATTGGATCGTGAGCCCGGTGAGGCGATGGACGAGATGGATGATATACCACCAGGTCAACCAACGATATTGATGAGAATTACAAAAATACTAGTTGACTATGTAAGAAGAAACATATAAATTATTTGTATGAATTTGTAACAGTGTAAATGACATATCGGTGAAAATGAATATATATATAACCAGTAGCATGCTGGCATGTATGAAATTTAATATCTCAATTTTTTTGCGTAAGGGCAATTCGTTATTTACTTGTCATTCAGCAAGTACAAATTTAACAGAGCAGTTGCACCCTGGCTAGCAATTCCAAATAGTGCATGTTTGCAGTTTGCTTCTATTTATGTAATAACAAATATCCCTTAGGCAAAAAGTGGAGACGACTTTGTGTATGGCATTCTGATGATCCTGTGATAGTGTTGGCCTGTGTAGCCCATTGGTGTAGCCTGACCTACAATTTAGGCTGTGTTAATTAAACATTTTTTATTAGCAAATGCCTATTCATTTGGTAGATTTGGTAATTGGTATATTCAGGGGGCCATCAGGGATAAGACATTAAAAACTCTGCTTAACGTCAAAATTTGACCTGCTCCGATAGGCAGGCATGCTCTGTTGTGCTATATTGCACTGGTTTTCATTTATTGTGAGAACTTTAAATTTTTAAACAAATATATCATTATAGCAGGTTTTAAGTTTTTTTTTAGCATTATGATTTTGCAAGACTTGTCCATTTTCAACATGCCACATGCATATCTCCTAAATAGTGTACAGCCCCTTTTGGCCCTTAGTACCCTGAATTAAACTGTCATTAGCACCTCCAAACTAACAAGCAGATCAAACTTCGCAAAACATAATTTTAAGCTAGGTGTAAAACCTCCCCGGCCGCCTCCCCTGAGCTCTTCTTTTGGCCCTTCAGTGTTGACTTTTGCTCCAACTTGTGGTTTATCCTGGATTCTATGTATAAACATACTAAATGTGACCACACCTCAGTGGACCACACATGTGAGAGAGCCCTTCAATATCAAGGAATTTTGGCATTTAAAATAATGTATTTCAATCTCGTTGTAAAAATTTATTTTTCATGGAATAAGGTAAAAAACAAGGCATGGGAGATGATGGATGAATTAGAGTGGATGGAGGACAATTTGGAGCGGGAGTCGGATGAATTGATCCTGAAGAAGTTGAAGATGGAGGTAACAAAGAAACTGGAGCAGAATTGTTGGTGTTTATTTTCATGGGTACGTAGATGGAATTTCATAATTCTGAAGGATTAGATTAGGACTATAATTGTGGATTCTGAAATTAGTACTATGGTGCTGAATGATTTCTTCATGAAAATAATGTGTTGTCATCATTGTATAAAAATTTGAGCAAACAATAAAACAAAGACTGTTGCAAAGTCTTTCTCAAAAGTTTCAAGATTATGTCTTCAAAATAAACATTGCTATTTCTCTTCATTCTTGAAACATTTTAAATGAGACAACACATTCAAATGAACATTTTTGAAAGTGGAATGATACCATTCTCCGCATTAGGAACCATTACAGAAAATTTTAGCATGCAGCTATTTCAAATGTAATATGGTGTTCCCGTAAATTATTTAGCATCAAGAAATTTTTGCATCTATGATCAAATTATATTTGATGTTGTATTCATTGTGAAGTTATCAATCTAAAATTATTTATCTTTGTTAAATCAGAGAAGAAACATGACGAGGGAGCTGGATTATAGGCCTTTCTTTTTATCGGTATGTCAAATAGTAATATCCATAATTGCTTGAAATCAGAGTTTTTCAGTATTTAGGCCTTATAGGTGATTTAATGGCTTTTCGAGTTGATATGCCATTATTACAAAAATTGTTGATACTGCTGCTATATATGATTTTCAAACTGAAGAAGACGTTTATCATTCAGGATAGGGATTATCATTACCGTAATTATTCGAATAAACGCCGCGGCATTTATTAAATTTTTAGCAAATAAGATGCGGCGTTTATTCGAGGGCGGCGTTTATTCAAGGGAGGCGTTTATTGCAAACTCGTAACAACTCTGAATTTATTGTGTAATTTAAACGCCAATTCAACCAATACAATCAGTCCCCAAAAAAACTACGTATAAAAGAAGTTATGTGTCTTTTCTATTTATATCATTATATATGAAAATTGAACCGTGGTTATAAATAAATACTTCGAATAAACGCCGCAATGACGAAAAGGTTGCGGCGTTTATTTGAGGGCGGCGTTTAATGATATTTTTGCTTGTACCTGCGGCGTTAATTCGAGGGCGGCGTTTATTCGAGGGAGGCGTTTATTCGAGTAATTACGGTAATCAAATTTACTACACAATTAGTGATTTGCTGCCCTCAGAAACATAATCAGGCAAAAGAAATCCAGTGATCTGTATCAGGTAAGAATTTCGTTTTCCTGCATGATTATGTTTTTGAGGGCAGCAAATCACTTGTGTAGTAAATTTAATTAATATATAAATTTGGGTACTCCGTCAATGTGGCAATAAAGCTCTGTAGGGATCACCAGTAAAGATGGTAAATCATAAGGATTTTATTAAAGATTGTATTTCTGGATTTTGGTCATGCAAGAACTACCATGGCACAGAATGATTGCTTCATGAGAATAATGTATTGTCTTCATCATAGGAAAATTTACATAAATATGAGCAAGCAATGGCACACTAGCAATGTAGCATGAAGAAATTCTTGCATTTATGATCTAATTATATTAATGTTATTCATTGTGAAAACGTCAATACAATCAATCTAAAATTTTTTATCATTATTGGTGAAATCAGTCAAATAAGCTGGGACTTATTGATGCAATGGATGAATTAAAAAAGATGGAGAAGATGTTGGATTTGGAGCAGGAGTCAGATAAACTGATGATGGAGAAGATTAAGATGTTGAAAATGGAGGTGATGAAGGAACTGGTGAAGTACCTGGATTATTTCTCATTTTTGGTACGTAAGTATAATTGAGTAATATCAATAGTTGCCTTAAATCAGAGTTGATTCTGAGTTAGCGGTTCTTTGAAATGTAGGGCCTATAAGTGTTACAACAATTCTAAGTGTTATAAGCGATGGCTTTTTAATCCATTCTGCACACCTGGCTGCTGAATATTACCTTGTTTGGAAGTGGAATTAGTAGCAGTCGACTTGACAAGTAGAGTGCTGTATTTTGGAAAAATAGCCTGCAATATATTTTGTGAATTTGATATAAATTATTTTTGGGTTAACAAAATTGCCTGAAATTCGAGTTGATATGTCATTAATTAACATGTTGATAGTTCTTTGATATGTATTTAAATTTAACTCAAATAGTTATTTGATCAACTGTCACTCCTTTGCATATCACAATACAGCTGAGTAAACCAACGGGTTGATGGTACTGGTATAATAATTCCATGACCAGAATCAGCGAATATTTCCTAATTTTAATCCTAAACGTGACCTTTACGCAACTACTAACAAGAAAGGGCAGGGGCGTAACTAGAACGGTAATTGGGGAGAAGGGAGGGGTTGAATATTCATATATTAAGTTCTGCCCGACGGATTTTATTTGTAAATGCAATAGCTTACAATAGAGTCGGGCAGAACTGAATATATGAATATTCACCCCCCCTCCGATAATCGTTCAACGTTCTAGTTACGCCCCTTATAAAGGGTTATCTATGTGCGCACAGTAACGTTTTCAAACGTTTTCGTTTTCATGAAAAAACAGTTTCAAGCACCTTCAGTTGACAATAGAATTTGAAGCCAATTTAACACAGTGAGCATATTCGCCCATGGACCGTATAGACAGGGCGTCAAGTCGATAAACTAGACAAAAACAATTTTGGAAGCGCTCGTGTGCATACAGGATTGTATTAGTCGATTCTAGTCATGGAATTATTTCAAATTATTTCGATGGCACTGAAGCCTTCGTTAAATTAATGTATTGTCTTTATCGACAATACATTAAGACTGTTATCGAGTTTTCAGATCATGTCTTAGTTGTGTAGCTTTAGTTGTCTGAACTCATCAACATAGTAAATGAAAGCAAACATTCAGATACATTTTATTGGTTGATTAAAACTTTTAGGAGTTGAATGATACCGGCCAGCTTCGCGCTGTGAATCATTACAGCGATTGTGGTGGAAATGCATTTATATAATTGTAAATGTTATTTATTTGGAAAACATATTAATCTAAAATTATTTATCTTTGGTGAATTAGCCAACAAACAAGGCATTTCACGCAATGGATGAATTGAAGACGATGGAGAAGATGTTGGATTTGGAGCAGGAGTCAGATAAACTGATGATGGAGGAGATTAAGATTTTGAAAATGAAGGTGATGAAGAGCCTGGTGAAGAACCTGGATTATTTCTCATTATTGGTACGTAAGTATAATTGAGTAATATCAATAGTTGCCTTAAATTAGAGTTGATTCTGAGTTAGCGGTTCTTTGAAATGTAGGGCCTATAAGTGTTACAACAATTTTCAGTTTTATAAGCGATGGCTTTTTAATCCATTCTGCACACCCGGCTGCTGAATATTACCTCGTTTGGAGGTGGAATTAGTAGCAGTCGACTTGACAAGTAGAGTGCTGTATTTTGGAAAAATAGCCTGCGATACATTTTGTGAATTTGATATAAATTATTTTTGGGTTAACAAAATTGCCTGAAATTCGAGTTGATATGTCATTAATTAACATGTTGATAGTTCTTTGATATGTATTTAAATTTAACTCAAATAGTTATTAGATCAACTGTCATTCCTTTGCATATCACAATACAGCTGAGTAAACCAACGGGTTGATGGTACTGGTATAATAATTCCATGACCAGAATCAGCGAATATTTCCTAATTTTAATCCTAAACGTGACCTTTACGCAACTACTAACAAGAAAGGGCAGGGGCGTAACTAGAACGGTAATTGGGGAGAAGGGAGGGGTTGAATATTCATATATTAAGTTCTGCCCGACGGATTTTATTTGTAAGTGCAATAGCTTACAATAGAGTCGGGCAGAACTGAATATATGAATATTCACCCCCCCTCCGATAATCGTTCAACGTTCTAGTTACGCCCCTTATAAAGGGTTATCTATGTGCGCACAGTAACGTTTTCAAACGTTTTCGTTTTCATGAAAAAACAGTTTCAAGCACCTTCAGTTGACAATAGAATTTGAAGCCAATTTAACACAGTGAGCATATTCGCCCATGGACCGTATAGACAGGGCGTCAAGTCGATAAACTAGACAAAAACAATTTTGGAAGCGCTCGTGTGCATACAGGATTGTATTAGTCGATTCTAGTCATGGAATTATTTCAAATTATTTCGATGGCACTGAAGCCTTCGTTAAATTAATGTATTGTCTTTATCGACAATACATTAAGACTGTTATCGAGTTTTCAGATCATGTCTTAGTTGTGTAGCTTTAGTTGTCTGAACTCATCAACATAGTAAATGAAAGCAAACATTCAGATACATTTTATTGGTTGATTAAAACTTTTAGGAGTTGAATGATACCGGCCAGCTTCGCGCTGTGAATCATTACAGCGATTGTGGTGAAAATGCATTTATATAATTGTAAATGTTATTTATTGGGAAAACATATTAATCTAAAATTATTTATCTTTGGTGAATTAGCCAACAAACAAGGCATTTCACGCAATGGATGAATTGAAGACGATGGAGAAGATGTTGGATTTGGAGCAGGAGTCAGATAAACTGATGATGGAGGAGATTAAGATTTTGAAAATGAAGGTGATGAAGAGCCTGGTGAAGAACCTGGATTATTTCTCATTATTGGTACGTAAGTATAATTGAGTAATATCAATAGTTGCCTTAAATTAGAGTTGATTCTGAGTTAGCGGTTCTTTGAAATGTAGGGCCTATAAGTGTTACAACAATTTTCAGTTTTATAAGCGATGGCTTTTTAATCCATTCTGCACACCCGGCTGCTGAATATTACCTCGTTTGGAGGTGGAATTAGTAGCAGTCGACTTGACAAGTAGAGTGCTGTATTTTGGAAAAATAGCCTGCGATACATTTTGTGAATTTGATATAAATTATTTTTGGGTTAACAAAATTGCCTGAAATTCGAGTTGATATGTCATTAATTAACATGTTGATAGTTCTTTGATATGTATTTAAATTTAACTCAAATAGTTATTAGATCAACTGTCATTCCTTTGCATATCACAATACAGCTGAGTAAACCAACGGGTTGATGGTACTGGTATAATAATTCCATGACCAGAATCAGCGAATATTTCCTAATTTTAATCCTAAACGTGACCTTTACGCAACTACTAACAAGAAAGGGCAGGGGCGTAACTAGAACGGTAATTGGGGAGAAGGGAGGGGTTGAATATTCATATATTAAGTTCTGCCCGACGGATTTTATTTGTAAGTGCAATAGCTTACAATAGAGTCGGGCAGAACTGAATATATGAATATTCACCCCCCCTCCGATAATCGTTCAACGTTCTAGTTACGCCCCTTATAAAGGGTTATCTATGTGCGCACAGTAACGTTTTCAAACGTTTTCGTTTTCATGAAAAAACAGTTTCAAGCACCTTCAGTTGACAATAGAATTTGAAGCCAATTTAACACAGTGAGCATATTCGCCCATGGACCGTATAGACAGGGCGTCAAGTCGATAAACTAGACAAAAACAATTTTGGAAGCGCTCGTGTGCATACAGGATTGTATTAGTCGATTCTAGTCATGGAATTATTTCAAATTATTTCGATGGCACTGAAGCCTTCGTTAAATTAATGTATTGTCTTTATCGACAATACATTAAGACTGTTATCGAGTTTTCAGATCATGTCTTAGTTGTGTAGCTTTAGTTGTCTGAACTCATCAACATAGTAAATGAAAGCAAACATTCAGATACATTTTATTGGTTGATTAAAACTTTTAGGAGTTGAATGATACCGGCCAGCTTCGCGCTGTGAATCATTACAGCGATTGTGGTGGAAATGCATTTATATAATTGTAAATGTTATTTATTGGGAAAACATATCAATCTAAAATTATTTATCTTTGGTGAATTAGCCAACAAACAAGGCATTTCACGCAATGGATGAATTGAAGACGATGGAAAAGATGTTGGATTTGGAGCAGGAGTCAGATAAACTGATGATGGAGGAGATTAAGATTTTGAAAATGAAGGTGATGAAGAGCCTGGTGAAGAACCTGGATTATTTCTCATTATTGGTACGTAAGTATAATTGAGTAATATCAATAGTTGCCTTAAATCAGAGTTGATTCTGAGTTAGCGGTTCTTTGAAATGTAGGGCCTATAAGTGTTACAACAATTCTAAGTTTTATAAGTGATGGCTTTTTAATCCATTCTGCACACCTGGCTGCTGAATATTACCTCGTTTGGAAGTGGAATTAGTAGCAGTCGACTTGACAAGTAGAGTGCTGTATTTTGGAAAAATAGCCTGCAATATATTTTGTGAATTTGATATAAATTATTTTTGGGTTAACAAAATTGCCTGAAATTCGAGTTGATGTGTCATTGATTAACATGTTGATAGTTCTTTGATATGTATTTAAATTTAACTCAAATAGTTATTTGATCAACTGTCACTCCTTTGCATATCACAATACAGCTGAGTAAAACAACGGGTTGATGGTACTGGTATAATAATTCCATGACCAGAATCAACGAATATTTCCTATTAATTTTAATCCTAAACGTGACCTTTACGCAACTACTAACAAGAAAGGGCAGGGACGTAACTAGAACGATAATTGGGGGGGGGGGGGTGAATATTCATATATCAAGTTCTGCCCGACGGATTTTATTGGTAAGTGCAATAGCTTCGGGCAGAACTGAATATATGAATATTTACCAATTCGTGTAACTTATCTTGCAACCTATATTTATTCCTTTAATCACAGGTCGCAAACGGACACTATCTGTTTTTATATAGTTGCTAGCAACAAGAGCTTATACCCTTTGTGTGGGGTTTTACCACCCCTGTATGCATGCCACTCATGAGATTGTAAAAAACCAAATAAATTCCTTTTTTGTATATTTTGGGAAATCAGAAGTTTTCGTCGTCTTGGGGGATTGAGGATTTGCTTGAATGGGATTTGATAGTAAAGCGTCAGTTGGTGGAGAACATGGTACGTAGAGGTCCGAAGTTCCATTATATAAAATTTAATATGCATGTCATAATAATATGCAGTCATTGAAATAATTTTCTGTGGGGACCACTTCGACCAAACCCACACTCTCACCAAAAATTCCAATATCACACGTCTCACATCACACAGTTTTTACATTTCTTGTTTGTCGCTGCTATTTCGCCGTTTAACAAGATGTGGTCGTGTATGGGCGCGTTGACACGTCGCAGTTTGCACAGGATTGAAAATTTGATATAACTATATAAGCACGAATTCCAAAGGCAAAGTGTAAGACAAAGTGAATGTATGATGCGGTTTATTTACATTTTTGAACAATTGAACTTCTATACTTTTTAAAGTACGATGTGCTTCTAAATTTCGCGATCGAACAACATTTAGGTTCGCAAGGTATCTAAATGAATATGAACTGTATTGTTTATGTTCAGATGCTCTATATTAAAGACTGGCACGTGCGCGCCACGCCGGAGTTAACGCCAGAACAGGCGTCTTGTTGACATAATTTCCGACATTGCATCTGCTGGTGTAGTAAGGAAGACACTGGTTCTGCGTATATTTTCGTGAAATAATTTACAAGACATCTCAAGCTTAGATTGCAATCACGTGATCACACGCGCATTCTGGAGAACAATTATTTCCATCAACTAAATCTTCTGCCGTTTATTTTTTTCTTATACATGAGCTGGAAACATTTTACGCTATTTCCGATATCCTTGTGACCGTTTTCTAAATATTTCTTGCAGATCTTAACGACAAAGCAAAAATTGAGGTGTGAAAAAAGAAAGGCTTTATTAACAAAGAACAGTGTGTATTCCAAGAAAGGTTGTAGCTACTCGGAGACATGTTTATCCAAGAAGAAGACGTATTCCAAACTGAATTGTGGCTATTCTGACGTGTTTTTATCAACAGATGACAATGCGTGCTCAGAGCGAGTTTGTAATTTTCAATACAAAGTAAAAGGTAAACGACCATCGCTCCCGCTTTTATTCAAAGAAACGGGGTCGTTATACAAGGGCAAAAAAGCGAAATTCGTGCACGGAGCAATTACAAGGATGGACAGGAATAACAGTGATATATTTAAAGGTATACAACATATACAACATAACAACTATTTTGTACAGAAATATAGCAGTTCACTTCAAAAGCTACAGTATATTAGTACAGCCGGCGATATTCTTATATTTTAAGTATACTTTTTTTATAGATATTTCTCAAGGTGAACTACCAAATTTGGATACTCTTTATGGCTACCTATTTAGTGATACTGAAAATCCTTCAGTTCAAAACAACATTGCAGCCCAAGAGAATCCACTTTTTGACGGATTGTCAACTCTCATTGAGAACGTCGAGGTTGAAACGGCAGATTTTTTAGCTGAAAACAACGACGCAGAACAAAAATTGCTAGAAGAAATTCTACACGAACTTTTTTGGCAAATTTTTAAAGACTTGCTTGGTACAATAGAAGAACCTGATCAAGTCTTCTATGAACAATTTATGAATCTGACAACAATGTCAAAAGAGTCAAATATGAACTCTTTTAACACTGAACCTAGAACTGACAATATAGCCTCGGAACCCAACAGAGGAACTCTGGAATCCATCGGCGAACTTGATAATACAACTACGGTACCTAACGTTACCCCAGATACTCCTTACAATACTGATTCAGGCGTATTTGCGGGTTGTTTAACCCGCAGCATCATTCATCCGTGTCTTAAAAGCAATACAATCTCTCTACACAGTACAGGGAAAGCTCCTCCCCTCCTCAGAAACCAACTTATCACCATTGTGAATCCTGGCAACCGAAAGAGACCCTTTGAAGAAGACATTGAACCTATCGAAGCAGTTTTCCCTGTGTCTAAGAAGAGAATGGAACAACCATGTTGCTCTAGAGATATAGAAGAAAGATTATATCCTGTGTCTTCAAGTGAAGTTTCATCTGTGGAAGAAAGAATACTTCCTGTGTTTTCAAATGGAGCTTCATCTGTGGGAGAAAGACTTCCTGTGTCTTCAAGTGGAGCTTTATCCGTGGAAGAAAGAATACATCCTGTGTCTTCAAGTGGAGCTTCATCTGTGGGAGAAAGAATACATCATGTGTCTTCAAGTGGAGCTTCATCTGTGGGAGAAAGAATACTTCCTGTGTTTTCAAATGGAGCTTCATCTGTGGGAGAAAGAATACATCCTGTGTCTTCAAGTGGAGCTTCATCTGTGGAAGAAAGAATACATCCTGTGTCTTCAAGTGGAGTTTCATCTGTGGGAGAAAGAATACATCCTGTGTCTTCAAGTGGAGTTTCATCTGTGGGAAAAGAATACATCCTGTGTCTTCAAGTGGAGTTTCATCTGTGGGAGAAAGAATACCTCCTGTGTCTTCAGTGGAGTTTCATCTGTGGAGAAAGAATACATCCTGTGTCTTCAAGTGGAGTTTCATCTGTGGGAGAAAGAATACATCCTGTGTCTTCAAGTGGAGTTTCATCTGTGGGAGAAAGAATACATCCTGTGTCTTCAAGTGGAGTTTCATCTGTGGGAAAGAATACATCCTGTGTCTTCAAGTTTATCTGTGGAAGAAAGAATACGTCCTGAAATTCATCAAATGGAGCTTCATCAAATGGAGCTTCATCTGTGGGAGAAAGACTTCCTGTGTCTTCAAATGGAGCTTCATCAAATGGAGCTTCATCTGTGGGAGAAAGAACATTTCCTGTGTCGTCAAGTGGAGCTTCATCAAATGGAGTTTCATCTGTGGAAGAAAGAATACATCCTGTGTCGTCAAGTGGAGCTTCATCAGCGGAAGAAAGACTTTCTGTGTCCTCAAATGGAGCTTCATCTTTGGCACAATCCCATGACAGAACAAATCGTGTTCGCGGTCCGTCGAGAGAAGCTCGTTTGAATCAACAAGAAAATCAGCTTGAAACGGAAAATCGAGATTTGAGGGCCCAGGTGCAGGAGTTGTTGAGACAGATCGAGTTCCTGAGGAACTATATAGGCAGTAAATTAAAAGGTCAGTGTTATTACTGTGAAAAATGATCAAAATTAGAAATTTCTCGAAGTTTCTGTGTAAAATACCCATTTGTTTCTTTCGCATGATAACGTATAAAATTAGCATAAAATAGAAAAAAATATCGTCAGCTTGATTATAGCAACACTAGCGAGTATATATAAAGCTAGAAGCTGATTTAAGCTGTTTTCAGAGTGATTTCAGAGTGATATTTGGAACTGGTCATAAAGTATCTGGTCGAGAGAAATTTGAATTAATCGAAAAGTTTGATATTTTAGTACGCCTCCAATTTTCTCGGCTGTTTCCTACTGTTTTTTTTTACATTTTTTAGTCATTTTTTGTTTCTTAACGAATCGCTTTCACATCGTCATAGTGATGCTTTGTTTCATATCGTGTTTTCTGTATGACTCTCTGCTGTGTTTTCTGTAAAACACGAGGATCTTGTGGGAAAACTTTTCTCGGATCAATATTTGTGGCTTCCAACAACTTTTGCAAACAGATGTCTTTCTTGTTTTTTTATTCTGTCTGTTATTACTTACCCACTATAACCAAACTTTTGTCGCATTCTTAACGACAAAATATATTTTAATTCACTACTTCCCAGTGCTAGCTCTATAGCCACCTTCAGGCCACGATTACCAGCCCAGTAAATAGGCATTAAGGTAACATAGTGGGATATTTATTTGTTTCAGTAAATTTTTCTTTGATTTGACCCAAAAAACCCTCATTTTTTTGTTGAAACATGCTTGTCTGGACCAGTCTGGTTGTCGTACGTCCATCATAGTTCTGTTAGCGCAGTTTCTCGGTTTTTCATTCAATGGTTTGGTGAACATTTTTCTTTGAATATCATGGATTTCTACTGTACTACTTCGTCTCTTGAAGGGTTTTTTTACAAAGACGCATTTTTACAAATTATTTTAATGGCACAATTCGTTCTGCTCTAAAACTTTGTGTTTATCGCCAGCATTCTGTGCTGTGAGCGACCATGAACTTTTTTCTTTTCATTTCCTTTTCACAATCATCGACGTTTTCAAGTTTTGGAATACGCTCTCAACGAATTTCAGCAAATTACTTTATGACTAACCCCTAGTTGTAGATCACTCGTGAAAGATACAGGGTTCGTACAGAAATTGAAAGTCCTTGAATAAATTTATGGAGAAGCATTTAAAAGTAATTGGATTTCTTTATTCAAAAGTAAAACCTAATCAAATTCAGTGTTTCCCTGAGTTTTTTCTTGTCCTGTACGAATCCTGCGAAAGTGAATAAGTTAATCAGCGCAAATGTAGCGCGCCCAATTATAGAGGGCATTAGCATATATCACGTTCAATGTAATCACTTAAGTTTGCGCAGTTATTATTAATAGTACAAATATATTATACAAGTTATTCAGTAAAAACCTGCGTTGAAATTGACATTAAAAGGCGAATGTTGAGCGCACGAATCTGCAGATCGGTTGTTTAAAGTTTGACTGGCACTATAACCCTTCATGAGTTAAATCTGAAACAGCAGTGTTTGGATTTGTTTTTCTGCATGGTCTTTTATATTAAAACGTGAGAAATTAAAATTTCTGTTGACCCTGGAATGATTTCTCGATTAGCATGATTAAGATGGTGTAAAGTTTGATGTAAAGATTTAAAGATTTAATCCAGGATTAAGTCAGCCTACTTTTAAGCAACCGATCTCGTAGTATATTGAATGAAAGCTAATGCAGTTTTTAATTAATATAAATAAGTATTTCATCTCAATGTATCAGAGATGTTTTAGGAATCTAACAAGCTTTGCGTTTATAGGTTAAACGGCAGAATTGTCAGTTTTTTTAACTGTAATGTGTCGTGATCTGATCTCCTTAGGATAAGTGCAAAACGCGTGAATAATCAAGCAAAAAAGACCAACTCTGTGAGTCTCTGTCGTTTTCCATTGCCCAAAAACGCGAAGCTTAATTTTCTGCGCAATTGATGTAATTAATCAGTAATACAAAAGAACGTAAAATTATAGAACAATCTCGTTCCCATTTCTGTGTGACTGGTTTATTTCCACGATGGTGCAATTCTAGCGTATAATAATGCACTTTTGTGAATCAAGTTGAGAAAAAAGTCAAGCATTGCTCCTTGTCCTTGTGGAAGCATTGCTCCTTGTTCTTCAAGATTGCATAATGTTCATTGATACCTGTTGGCTGTGGGCTGTGGTTTGACATCTGCCTGGTGTCAACGGACGCCGGGGTTTTATTTTAACTAATTTTGGGAATAGGAAATATTCCAAATTTCTTACAATCTTGCAGGCTTCCACACTACAAAACCACATAGTACCATCGGTGGTAACAAAACAGCGATCATCTTTGTGCTGGTTTTGACGCTAAAAATATTTTCATATATTTTCTACTGCTTGAGAAGAATACTTCATTTTCTTACTCGAGGGTTCGAAATTTTCGAATGTTCCTCCCAACGCGTGACCGCACATTGTACATTCAATGTGGTGGCTTTGAGCGATTGAAGTATGCTACATTGCAGCAGGATTGCAGTTAAGGCAGGAACCACGGCCTATTGTTAACAATTCGGCTGGACAATTCGGCTGGAGTTTGAATGCCTGCATGGGTGTATAATGCCCAAAGGTATACTTTCCTAGCTTTTTTGACAAAAATATTTACGTTTGTTTGTGCAAGATTTTATCTTTGCCCTGACAGCTGGACATTGCGAAAACGCCCCATAAGATATTACATGGTTCTGTAGATTTTGTCTTTGCACTGACAGCTGGACATTACCAAAAAGATATTACATGGTTCTGATATTTCATGTGGCTCAGTTTTGATAGCTTGAACATAAAAAAATGATCGTGAACCGCACAACAGCACCCGCATATTTTGTACCTCGATCTAGTTCAAAATTTAATACTATCACACATGCGTAAGTATCATAATAGAGTTATAAACGGATGTATAAAATGGACATTTTATTCGCTTCCGACATGTGATTGGTCGACCAACACGGCCACCAAATATTTGTATTAGCCAATCTCTTTAGACTTTGTGAACAGTGCGTTATTCAGTATAACTCTGTGGTTATAAAAAATAGGTCCGCTACGCGTACATGTATCTGCGCAGTATTTCAGTGTTCCACTCTTTTGCTGTAGTAGGTGACACTTCTAGTCATATTGTACATAATCAGCATTAAACTTGATCAAAGTGTATTTGGAATTTATTCTATTCGCAAAGTGGTCATTAAATTGCTTAAATTTTGCATAGTGCAATTAATGGCAGGAAGAGCAGCCATATACCTGTACTGAACAACCAAAAGAAAGGTCCTGTATGGCTGTTTCTACATTATACTTAATTTATTATTAGCCAGGCATTTCTAAAAATCCATGCTCAGCCTTTGTACTGGTAGCTTGAACATATAGATAAAATTGGATGTAAGAACGAATTTTTGTTATGCTGTGCCAATAATGTTTGTGTAGTGCAAACAGGGCTGAAATATAACGTTAGTATAATTGTAAAGGACAATACTATGTAGATTCTAGTGCTATTTTAATAATATCGCTGCTATTTCGCCGTTTAACAAGATGATGTGGTCGTGTATGGGCGCGTTGACACGTCGTAGTTTGCACAGGATTGAAAATTTAATATAACTATATAAGCGCGAATTCCAAAGACAAAGTGTAAGACAAAGTGAATGTATCATGAGGTTTATTTACATTTTTGAACAATTGAACTTCTATACTTTTTAAAGTACGATGTGCTTCTGAATTTCGCGATCGAACAACATTTAGGTTCGCAAGGCATCTAAATGAATATGAACTGTATTGTTTATGTTTAGAAGCTTTATGTTGAAGACTGGCACGTGCGCGCCACGCCGGAGTTAATCTTAACCTTTCTTCACTTCCATTTCCTCTCTCCTTATCTCCATCTCCATTTCTGCTTTCTGACGTAAATATGCCACTGCATCATCTCCACTTCTTCGTCTTTTCTTTTTTATAATTTCTTCTCCCTCTCCTGCTTTTCTTTTCTGGGTTTCTGATAGGGTCTCCATTGCCTGCCTCCTTACATCATCTGCTGCCATCCTATCTACTTCTGCTTTCCTCCTTTCGAACTTATCATCATTTTCCTTTTCAGCCTCTGTAAGATCTTCTCTTTCCACTATTTCTTCCAGCATCACATCAAGCTTACTCTGTTCTGGACTGATACCGCTCGCATTTAACTCTTCTCTAACTTTTCTCTTATACTTTTCAACAAGCTTCTTGTAGTGGTCCCTGACAGACCTCTGGTCGACACGAAAAGTTGCCACAAACCTTATGACACATAATTTGTCAGCAATCGGCTCCCAAACTTTGCCTCTTTCAGTGGATGATTTTCTTGTGCTGAAAAGGTTTGACACAAGCATTTCTCGGCAGAAAATTAAATCTCTATCCGATGTCCATGACATAATCGGAGGTTTCGCAACCCTATACAAATATACAAGGACAAAATGTAATGAAAATGCTATGACTATGTAGATGTATTTAAAACGCTATTTTAGCAATACACATAAAAAGAAAACATAAAGAGATAAAGGCCTTTTAATAATATCTCATTTCCCGGGCTAAGTTCCGTCTGTGCTTTAACGACAAGAAAATTTATAAATAACAAAGTAAAAAACTGCCGCAAGTTTATCGATATACGAGCAAACCAAAATATAAACAATGTTTATGTTTATTGAATACTGATCAGATACAGATCACAAACTTCCGGTTCACCTTACTAGCTCTCTACTTCCGTTTTTGAATTAAAAATTAACGAGTAGTTTTTCAGATTTGCGAGATATTTATGCCCAGTCAGCAAAAATTTGAAAATTTACTTCCGGTCCGCCGCGTCGTCAGCGCGCGTTCCGATTTTTTGACAATCCGGATATGAAAATACTATGTTTTGTGTTCTTTACTTCCTTTTACGCTTTGCCCGCGCTTGGAACAGAAGCCTGAAACTAATTTAAACTTCATTTAATTAAATTCAACCAATCAGACAAGTTTGCTCTGACCCTGTCACAGCACTGCTTCACGAAACGAACTGACCACTGACAATCTTAGTGGAAAGCATACATGAGTCAACAGAGAAATAATGTATGATGATGATTCAACAACATCGTTTTTATCGTTTTATCGTGTAAGTTTCAATGGCATAGCATAGAGCATCTTCTGGGGAATCTCAGACAACATGAATGTAGACAAGGAAAGAGTCAAAAACGACACACAAATGGCGTGTATTCGACAGATTATTGGAAGCAGAGAAGGCCATAAGAAGGCCAGGGCAGGTATGATTTTTTGTTAAAATGTATTAAACGTAATTCTAGTCAGAGATATCGAGTGAATTATATACAGTCGTGTTACTGGTCTCACACGATTTTGATTACATTATTTCAATATGGACTATTGTAGGGAATACCCTCAAGGTTTTATAACTATCAAGATTGTAAACGACACTGTCACGCAGCTTATCCGCAAGTACTGTTTGAAATCAAATAGAAATTATATGGCTAAATTATATAGCTCTATTTGTATGAATTTAGGAGAAGCGTGAATATGTTAAATCTACCACGAAAAACCTACAAATATTTATGTCAAACATCTGTTAGAGAATCAATTTTAGAGTATAGAAATGCTCCGTTTTTAAACCAGTCAGTATTGTGATTGCGTTGTGATTATTGGGATTGTACTATATTTTTCTAAAGCTATATTTGGTGGGATCCATGATCAAACAAAAATTAACTCCCCTTAACTAATGCCTGTGCTTGGTTCATGCACCTAGTACAGGAAATACCTCAGCACACAGATTCTGAGCAGTGCTTCCACTCGCTGTAATCTTAATTTCCTTTTCTTTTCCTGTTTTTCCTTCACATTTCCTTCCAATTTCTTTCATATTTCCTTCTAATTTTCCTGGTAGTTTTATTCATAAATATCTGTATTTTTAGCCCTTTTATGCCTCAGGGGGTTTGGTTACAAATGTCTCAGAATATCTTTACACTTGGACAAGTGTAAATTATGTAACAATTATGAATTATGTAGAACTGGTTTATCAGTAAATTTTTCACTTGTACAAGTAGAATACTAAATTGCGGCACATTATAAACTCCAAACAGAAATTAATCAAATTATATTGTAAATTGGGCGAAAAGCATGAAAACAAGTTACAGCATAGTGCCAGTACTTAGACACAGTTTGACACAGTTTTGCACGCTTCTGTACAAAAGTTTACAATAAAATTCACAAAACTTTCTAAGCTCTAGTTACTGTAATCAAAGTGAGTAATTGTACATTTTACATGTTGGCTTTGTGCTTGGTAGCACAAGCATCATCAAACATTTGAGACTGACTCTCACTCAAACTATTGATTACAATTCTTTGTGTAACTCCACTTACAGGAACCTACCAATAGTTGATTTTGTATAAGAATTATTTGTATAAGACTCATAGAGATTACCCATTGCAAAAGCTGAATTACAAAATCACAAGTTTTTTCACCCTGGGAATTTTTTATCATGAAGTTCTCATTGATATACCACATCCTAAGTAGAGTATTTTGCAACTTACACTGATTATAATAATAATAATGATTTGGGTAAGTGTGAGTTTTCAGGATAATAATGTGTATTTCTATACTATTATAAATTTATTTCGGTCCAAAGAAATTAGGAGTAATCGGTACATACTGGAATAGCTACCTTTGCCCATTATCACAAGGTTCAAATTAAGTCTGGAAAGGCAGTTCAGAGATTTATAATTGCATGAAAGTGTGGTCGAATAATATAAAAGTGAAGGCTTAAGAAAATAGATTTAAATATAATAGCTATGTTTGTTCATATCAAATTGTTGTCTTCAGAAGTAATGGATTGTGTTTCTTGGCTTGGTTTTCGAACTGTTGACGATCGGACACCACTCAATGCGTCTGGTATACCAGGAGCTACAGTGACAGGTATGATTAATAATTTCATCAGTGTACTGGAGTGGGGTCTTGTCACTTATCCTTCTCAAAATTTCATGCCAGTTTGGAAGGAAGTGGCTATAAAAGTGTGTTAGTTTACCTTGTAACAAACTGTGTGAGTTGAGAGCATGGTCCAATGTGTCGGGGATGCCTTCTGGGATCCCAGTAGGAACTACAGTGAGACATATGATTGGTGAATGGGTGTACTTGTCAAATATTGTTATTATGTATTGGGGTCTTGGCAATTATACCTTTAAAAAATTTAATGCTATTTTATGCAGTTTGGTAGTTTTGCTGTAGAGCAAGGGGGCAGGGGTGGAAGGGTCCAAGCCACACACATCTCCCCCACCCACTTTTGCATACTAAAAATATTGGCTAAAGTTCTTTGTGAGGCATGGAATTCGTATTAACTTGTGGCGCCCGCACTTGATAGTTCTGCAAAGGCGTATTTTTCTTGAGCCGTGCTATATAGCCAAAACCGCTATAGCGGAACTGAATAAATTACAGCAATCAATTATTAAACCACCGGAAGTGGGACGTTTTTCATTATTTACAATATATTGAATATATGTTTTTGTTTGTAGTGACTATAAAAGTATATTAGTTTACCTTCAAACACACCGTTCAAGTTAGTCGTAGATTCAGCCGGCGCCGATGAATCAGGCATTGCATACAAAGTGACAATTGAATAAAACTAGACGCAGATTCTTCCGTGATAAATTATCACTTGCGCGCGGGATGTTTTAGTATCCGTGGACCTTCTATAGGATCGCGCAACAATTAATTCACGTAATGTGTATTTCCCACGATGTTTAGTATACCTTTACACGAGTATTTTAAGATAAGGATGTCGTCTAGAAATTAAAATATGGCGTCGTGTGACGTCACAGTCAACAACATCACAAACCAGGTTTTTCATGTGATTTCATTTATGATTATCTTTGTATGCATCTATGAAAAGAAGGTATTCGCAGGCTAGTGCTAGTAAGCTGTCCCCAAGAGGCAAGGATATGATGACGGAAATATCTTTATTAATGATTAGAATTATCCACTACCAGAATCAACCTTGATGCGTGCAAATCTTGATATTTTGAGACGCTATGTGACACAAGTCGTTTTTCACTGTGATGCAGTGTGTGCCATTTATCCCAACATACAATCGTGCCTGTTCAACTTTTTAAAGCGCGCGCACACTGAAAAACGATGAATCAGTGAACTAATAGCACCTGGAATAATAACTCCAGGATATTCAGTTGAGGGGAAATGACGTCATGCCATTTTGGTGAGTGGAAACAAGTGACGACCGCACTAAATAGGTGTAATTAGTTTTTATCTAAAAATACACTGGTTAAAGCAACTGCACCCAATAGCAATTATATCTATAGCTGTACTTATAAAAAACGAAGCTAGAATTAAATAATTTCCGGAGACACTTTCTTACTTCTTAAGGCGTCGCTTTCAACTGACAACTTTAAATGTGAAATGAATGTAAACTAAAGTTGTAACCACCAATTGGGGGCCGTTTGAGGCCCCTGCCTTTGTTTCCAGTATAGTGTATATCCAGTTTATTATAAGATCAGTTTTTAATAAATTGAGAAGTATCGAGCGGCGCGGTCGTTAGTACGTGACATCGTGAATTCGACTCCTGGCCAATCCAATTTTGGCTGTATTATTCTTACAAACTACGAAGCTAAGCCCTGCATGACAATACTACAGTTTTCTTTCGACCCAGAATTCTTCAGTCCCATCCTCTTATTTTCAGATTTTTCCTCTCTCGTAGGGTCGTCCATACCTTGAGGAAATGTCCAGTCAACAGAGATGTTGTCTTGGCTTCAACAAGAACGGCGAGAGACCGCTCTCGATATAGCGAAGAAAATGGAGATACCTACGACAGTAAATAACGTTGTGTGAATGTGTCATTTGTTTTTAATTTATTGTAAAGCCAGTCGTTTGTCTGAGCGCAAACTAACTTCTTGCGTTATTTATCCCTATTTCGTCTATCCATTCGTTGAGAATGGTTTTGCTACACGTCAAATTACAGGGCAAAATATAATCCTCAATTTCAAAAAGAGCCATGCACCAATGACATTTTTCATGGCAAGTTTTATATGCTCTTGGATGCAGCAAAATATTGACAAGTTAAACGCTAAAGGGGCGGATTCAAAAGCTGTTCATGATACAATTACTCGTATTTACAGCCGACCTGGAAAAACATACTGCCGTACCTACGACAGAATATTACCAGGACAAGACACTTGTATCATTGTGTATGTCAAGAAACCAACCTATACGCTTCCAATTCTATTTTTTCGCTTTCAAATCCAAGTGTTTAGTCGACAGCATTTTAAAATAAAACGTCACTATGATAACTGCAGTAAAGCTTCGTCATGGAGGCACCTTGAATGGCTTTAATGGTGATATGATTTTTACAATATCATGGTTACAAGATCTCGCATTTTAGGTTGATTAAATACTACTACCATTAAATTATGCTCTTTAGGCAAACCTTGCAGGATTTGGAAAAATCATTACTTTTTCTGAGGAAGATTTTGATAAAGCCTTCGGTAGGATTTTTAATCAAGAAATTATTATATCGACTAGATATATGAATAAGAAATATTGCGTTATTTCCGGTAAATATTAAACAAAACTTTACAGATGAGAGTCATGAGACGTGATCTACTTTGTGTTAAGTTTTTCGTTTTTTTTAGTGTTACTGTTTAGTATTCCCAAACGATACTGTGTAGTCGATACCTATTGAAGTCATTCGGTTCTCTCCATTTCTTTAAACAGGGTTATTTATTATTAACTTTACTATCACATGCATGATAAGTATTTGTTACGTGAGAAATGTAATGTTTGTTGTTCATTCCAGGTGATCTGGAATGGTGGCTGAGGACTGGGACTGGGGCTAGTTGTCAAATGAAAATCCATTTTTCGGTTGAAACAACTTGAAATATACTTTATTACGGTTTCAAATTTATGTCAGAGCTATAGTTCTTATAAATTAACATGCATAATCACAAAATTTCTTGTAGTCAGTTCATATTAAATTTGTAAAGAATAACATAAGATATAAACCATTTAATATTGCAGAATGCAGAATGGATTAGTATTTCGACAGACAACCCTTCCGAGCGCTGATTTACTAAAAAATGATTGCGAGATTGCCTGGTGACGATTTTGATTAAGTTTCCCTTTTTTCTCTTTCTGTTTAAGGGGCTGTTTACATGAGCCCGGTTACCCGAGATTCAACGAAGCGTGAGATGATTTTGAGGTATTGAAATGAGCAGATAACATGATCCTGGCAGTCGTATAATCACCACAACAATAGCATGTTCTTGTTTGGTTTCATAAAGACTTATTTCAATACCTCAAAGCCCTCTCGCGCTTCGTTGAATCTCGGGTAATCGCCGGGCTCATGTAAACAGCCCCTAAACCTGAAAATGTGAGGGACATAGAAACCTTATCTCAGTTGAAATAAAATAATAAATCCCAAAAGTAAATTAGCTTGTAGGTACACCACACAAATTATTATTTAAATAGTGAGAAAGTGATCGGTATAGACCTACCCCGAACCCGTCTTTTCTTGTTTCGAGAAGACAGTGGAAAGAAAGTGGTTTGACATCGTCTTATGGCATGATGTTTTCATCAAGTCATCCAAACAAAATAACCCAAGTTCACCTCCTGCTGTTAACTGTGATCTCAGAATGTTGCGAAAAATCAAGTCCGGTACTAAACATGTATATATGCATAGTATTTTCACATCTCTTGCATTGATTTGTTGATTTACAATTGTAAACTCCTCGCATATGAAGCACAGTCTTACTCCACGGATTAAACATGTCAATGATATTTTGAGTACTGTTCTTAAAGACTAAAAGCCAAGGACATTTTTCCAGGTTGTTAGTGGAATAAGAAATTTTCGAGGGTTTCATTTTGGGAATTGTGCTTTTTCATGGCGTGTTTCATGCTAATATTGCTAATATTTCTCAACATAGCCATATATGACTCTGTAAACATTTTGTGCGCATCCCAGCTTCATCGCGTCGAAACCCATCCAGTCTAATGTCATAAAGACGACGTCATTCAACGTTGTTAATCACAATCCCTGGCGCAACCTCGTCCCCAAGGTCTTCTTGGTAAACACTTAGGTTCAGAGAGTAAGATTCTTCACCCTGGGAACCCTGGGTACGAGGTTGCTCCCCCACGAGTAAAGACCCTGGGTACGAGGTTGGATTTTTCAGTGCAATTTCAATATCATGCCGTGTCCCCATCATGCTTTGCAAAATTCATTTTTGTTTTAGCCCATGAAGTTTCTCCATATCCAAAATTCTTTCGTGTGTGTTCGCGTGTGTATAGCTTGGAGATATTGCATTTAGCTGTGCATATTTTGTTATGATTAAACAGCTAATGATAGCTGGTAATAGAATAATCTAGGTAATAGTATGCAGGAATTGGAAAATTTTTGATCGAGTTCACCTCACACACAAGCGATCTTGTGGCAATATATTTGGATTTTGTAAACACTATCCAGATTGCTGTTATTCGTTGTTGATCAAATTTTGGTAACAGGACTAATAAATGAAACGGAATTTATCTCAGAATCAGTACAAAAAATTGTCTTTAATCGACTTCAAAAGTGACTGGACTTTTTCTGTTAACTTTGAATAATAGTCGAAGTGTCGAACCAGAACAGTGATGGCGTATTATGCCGATGGTTCTCAACAAAAAAATACATAAAATAGTAACATATATAATGTTTTTCTAACTTTATCGCGTGGACATTTATACGGTGTATTTTATGAGCTAAAGTTAAAAGTAAAATCAATTTTTTCACCGAGTACTAAGATTTCAAGGGGCAAGAATTCAAAGCAGTTCCGTTTGCTCAGAGCAATTTTTAAAACAATATCGTTGGCAATGTTGCAACATTGCGGCAGTGATTGCGGGGAGCAGAACAATGAGAACATCTGGCTTGACTGTAATTAAAAAGGTTCTAGATTAATATTGCCCAATTGCAAAATTTTCAATTTCTTTTGAAACAGGAAAATCGTATGGAAAAAATTGTGAACTGACATGATTACAAACTCTTCGGTGGGACTTGGCATGGAAAGAAAAGAAACATCTCCAATCTACATGCATGTTATTGTATTTTTAAGTCAAACCGCAAAGTGGTTTAGTCAAAAGCTAAATGCTAATTTTAGAAACTTTTTGCCTTCTGCTCTTTCACCTTTCTTTCATGTGATATCTGGGGCAGGTTGTATGAAAGCCGGTTGAACGGTTGAAAAAATCACTATCCGGTTTATAGCGCTATCAGGCTTTCGTACAACCGCCCTCTGTTCTAGAATATCACGCGCTCAACCTCATCCCAATTTTCTTTATTTGTTTCAAAAACAAGATATGAATATTTAAACAGTTGTATCAGTTTAATACAACCCACTATGACTGACAACTTCAGCGAGACTTTGGACAGAGCGAGACAGAAAGCGTAGAACAAGCTCTCATAAGAAGCAGTTTTGAGATTCACGACAGCTAGGATTCTTCAGTGCAATATCATAGTATATCATGCCGTGTGTTTTTTCATAGTATAGTCATTCCGTGTCCCCATCATGCTTGTTTTAGCCCAAGTTTCTCCATATCCAAAATTCTTTCGTGTGTGTTCGCGTGTGTATAACTTGCAGATATTGCATTTAGCTGTGTATATTTTGTTATGATTAAGCAGCTGATGATAGCTGGTAATAGAATAATCTAGGTAATAGTATAAGGGAATTGGAAAAATTTTGATCGAGTTCACCTCACACACAAGCGACCTTGTGAAAATATATTTGGATTTTGTAAACACTATCCAGTATCCAGATTGCTGTTATTCGGTGTTGATCAAATTTTGGTAACAGGACTAATAAATGAAACGATTTTTATCTCAGAATCAGTTCAAAAAATTGTCTTTAATCGACTTCAAAAGTGACTGGACTCTTTCTGTTAACTTTGAATAGTAGTCGAACCAAAACAGTGATAGCGTATTATGCCTTATGGTTCTCAACAAAAAATACATAAAATAGTAACATATATAATGTTTTTCTAACTTTATCGCGTGGACATTACGGTGTATTTTACGGGAGTATTTTATTAGTACGGTGTATTTTACGGCTACCGAGTACTATTGTACTAAGATTTTAAGGGGCAAGAATTCACAGCAGTTCCTTTGCTCAGAGCAATTTTTAAAACAATATCGTCGACAATGTTGCTAGCCTACGTCGTAGACCCATCATCACAGAAGGGGTCTACAATGTTGCAACATAGCGGGGAACAGAACAATGAGAACATCTGGCTTGACTGTAATTAAAAAGGTTCTAGATTAATATTGCTCAATTGCAAATTTTTCAATTTCTTTTGAAACAGGAAAATCGTATGGAAAAAATTGTGAACTGACATGATTACAAACTCTTCGGCGGGACTTGGCATGGAAAGAAAAGAAACATCTTCAATCTACATGCATGTTACTGTTAAGCCAAACGACAAAGTGGTTTAGACAAAAGCTAAATGCTAATTTTAGAAACTTTTTGCCTTCTGCTCTTTCACTTTTCTTTCATGTGATATCTGGGGCAGGTTGTATGAAAGCCGGTTGAACGGTTGAAAAAATCACTATCCGGTTTATAGCGCTATCAGGCTTTCATATAACCGCCCCCTGTTCTAGAATATCACGCGCTCTAATCAATCATGCAAATTACGTTGCAACTTGTGATTGCATCCAATTGCAACAAAATACTGCAATCATTTGTTGTCAAACTGAAATGAAATCCTTTTGTCTTTTCTAGTGGAAACACTTCCGTCTTGAAAGGTTTAAAAGCAGAACTCTGAACACTTCCGTTGCCATTTCGTTAAACAGATTTTCGAAGTGGTTTGTAAGGTTTATTGACCGTTGGAAAAGAAAAGACTTGTTTTCGTTTGACAGTTTTATTATCAACTGTACGTAATTGTACCCAGGGATTGATAATCCAAGTAATCCAACCTTTTCTGAAGCTCATTTCCTTTATTGGATCGTGAGCCCAGTGAGGCGATGGACGAGATGGATGATAGACCACCAGGTCAACCGACGATATTGATGAGAATTACAAAAATACTAGTTGACCATGTAAGAAGAAACATATAAATTATTTGTATGAATTTGTAACAGTGTAACTGACATATCGGCAGTAAATTTCAGCACAAAATGAATATATATAACCAGTAGCATGCTGGCATGTATGAAATTTAATATCTCAATTTTTTTGCGTTATTAATAAAGGGCAATTTTTATTTACTTGTCATTCAGACCCCGTTTACACGAGAACGAACGTTTCCGGATTTGTAAAATTATCTGGATTCATTGTTTCACACATGTATCGGATTCATCAGGTGTTTACTCTACACTTTAGTTGTCTCTGTATGCGGATTTGTCCGTTTACACTCACATTACTTGTTCTTGGAGAATTGTTTGGTCGTCATATTGAATTTCTTCGGATCCGTGGTGCAAAGCGTTTACACAAGAAAATTTTCCAGATTCAAATGTTTCTGGATGCGAAGTTTCCACAAACTTTTACGGATTCAAAGTTTCCGGATACAGCTTAAAACCGAGTACATTTTCTATCGGATTCGTTGCTGCGTGTGTAAACAGCAACATGAATCCGGTGTCACAGGAAATTTGGCCCCCCCGAAAATTTGGCCCCCCCGGGCCAAATTTCCTAGGAAATATGGCCCCCCCGGGCCAAATATCCTAGGAAATTTGGCCCCCCCTTCGGAAATTTGGCCCCCCTCTAAAAAACATAGTTTACCTTACCATTTTAGAGCTAGAGAACCGTTAAGTGTATATCTAGCTGTACTCTTGTTTGAGTTACAACTTACAAACAGCACTGACGGATTTTATATGGTGCATGTAACCTGTTTTTGTGTTTGCCGATTGTTTTTAAACGTTTTTATGCAAATTTGTATTAATTACTCCCTAAATGTTAGCCGCATGCACATTAACACTTTCGCCAACGCATGTTGTCATCGCTTGCTAAAGTGTGGTTGTTATTCTGACGAATTCATAATAGGTTCAGAAACTTGTTGAATTTTGAGTCAAGAGTTCGCGATTTCAAAACTATATATATATATATATATATATATATATATATATATATATATATATATTATATATATATATATTATATATATATATTATATATATATATATATATATATATATTAATATATATATTATATATATATATATATATATATATATATATATTATATATATATATATTGAGAGTATAAAGTATGTTATCGAGGGGGACCAAATTTCCGAACTGTGAAATAGGTGATTTGTCCTCCCCAGAAATTCTTAATTTGGCGACCTTATAAATTATAGGCTTAGCGGTTATACATACATAGGAAAGGTTGTTTTAGGAAATTACCACTTATTTATTTATTTTTCGATTAAAGCCCCTAGTAATGTTATGATAATCATAGAAGTTAGCCACGTGCACATTAACAATTTTCGTCTTAGCTCTTCGCCGAGATGAAAAGTGTTTACACAAATAAATGAAGCAAACTAAGTATGAATACAAACAAACATTAACGATCTTGCTTTTAGAAGAAGCTTCGCGATTCTCGAACTCATGGCAATAAAGTATATGTTGTCGAGGGGGCCAAATTTCCGAAAGGGGGGCCATATTTCCTAGGAAATATGACCCCCAGGGGGGCCAAATTTCCTAGGAAATATGGCCCGGGGGGGCCAAATTTTGGGGGGGCCAAATTTCCTGGGACACCGGTACTAAAACATTCCGCTTTCGTAATGAATCCGGAAACTTTCGCTCTAGTCTCAGCAAGGTCTCAGCAAGTACAAATTTAACAGAGCAGTTGCACCCTGGACAAGGCTAGCAATTCCAAATAGTGCATGTTTGCAGTTTGCTTCTATTTATGTAATAACAAATATCCCTTAGGCAAAAAGTGGAGACGACTTTGTGTATGGCACTCTGATGATCCTGTGATAGCGTAGGTTTGTGTAGCCCATCCGTGTAGCCTGACCTACAATTTAGACTGCTTTAATTAAACATTTTATATTAGCAAATGCCTTTTCATTTGGTAGATTTGGTATATTCATTCAGGGCCCATAAAAAGACTCCGCTTAACTTCGAAATTTGACCTGCTCCGATAGCAATCCTGTACACTATTTAGGAGATATGCATGTGGCATGTTGAAAATGGACAAGTCTTGCAAATTCATTATGCTAAAAAAACTTAATATAATGATATATTTGTTTAAAAATTTAAAGTTCTCACAATAAATGAAAACCAGTGCAATATAGCACAACAAAGTATGCCTGCGTTCAGCCGTTCACACAGTACCGCCCTTTTTGGCCCTTAGTACCCTGAATTAAACTGTCATTAGCACCCCCAAACTAACAAGCAGATCAAACTTCACGTAACATAATTTTAAGCTAGGTGCAAAAGCTTCCCGGCCGCCTCCCCTGAGCTCTTCTTTTGGCCCTTCAATGTTAACTTTTGCCCCAACTTGTGGTTTATCTTGCATTCTATGTATAAACATACTAAATGTGACCACACCACAGTGCACCACACATGTGAGAGAGCCCTTCAATATCAAGGAATTTTGGCATTTAAAATAATGTATTTCAATCTCATTGTAAAAAAAATTATCTTTCATGAAATAAGGCAAAAAACAAGGCATGTGAGATGAGGGATGAATTGGATTGGATGGAGAACAATTTGGAGCAGAAGTCGGATAAATTGATCATGAAGAAGATTAAGGAGTTGAAGATGGAGGTAACAAAGAAACTGGAGCAGAATTGTTTCTTTTCACGGGTACGTAGATGGAATTTCATAATTCTGAAGGATTAGATTAGGACTATAATTGTGGATTCTGAAATTAGTACCATGGTGCTAAATGATTTCTTCATGAAAATAATGTATTGTCATCATTGTATGAAAATTTGAGCAAACAATAAAACAAAGACTGTTGCTGAGTTGCAAGATTATGTCTTCAAAATAAACATTGTTGCTATTTCTTTTCATTCTTTAAACATTTTAAATGAACACATTCAAATGAACATTTTTGAAAGTGGAATGATACCATTCTCCACGTTAGGAATCATTACAGAAAATTTTAGCATGCAGCTATTTCAAATGTAATATGGTGTTCCTCTAAATTATTTAGCGTCAAGAAATTTTTGCATCTATGATGGAATTAAATCAGAGAAGAAACATAGGTTGGGAGAGGATTGATGAATTGGAGAAGAAGATGTCGGATAACTTAGATTTGGAGCAGGAGTCGGATGAACTGATGATGGAAGAGATTAAGATGTTGAAGATGGAGGTGCTGGTGAAACTGGTGAAACTGGTGAAGAACCTGACGAGGGAGCTGGATTATGAGCATTTCTTTTTATCGGTATGTCAAATAGTAATATCCATAATTGCTTGAAATCAGAGTTTTTCAGTATTTAGGCCTTATAGGTAACAATGGCTTTTCGAGTTGATATGCCATTATTATGAAAGTTGTTGATACTGCTGCTATGATTTTCAAACTGAAGAGAAGACGTTTATCATTCAGGATAAGGATTATCATTAATTAAATTTACTACACAAATAATGATTTGCTGCCCTCAGAAACATAATCAGGCAAAAGAAATCTAGTGATCTGTATCAGGTAAGAAACTTTACAGTTTGCTAGATTTCTTCCCCTGCATGATTATGTTTTTGAGGGCAGCAAATCACTTGTGTTAGTATGTTGTGTAGTAAATTTAATTAATTAATATATAAATTTGGGTACCCTGTCAATGTGGCAATAAAGCTCTGTAGGGATCACCATTAAAGATTGTAAATCATAAGGATTTGATTAAAGATTGTATTTCTGGATTTTGGTCATGCAAGAACTACCATGGCACAGAATGATTGCTTCATGAGAATAATGTATTGTCTTCATCGTAGGGAAATTTACATAAATATGAGCAAGCAATAGAACAAAGACTGGTAGTTGTAGTGCAAAGACTCAGATTACATTTCATATATACACCTGAGTCTTATGCACTATTACTAACACTTTAAGATGCACAGATATCAAAGGGACTAGATTGAGTTCCGAAATATCAATTACTCGAACCGTCTTGACTCTTGACCTAGTAGCTCAGAACTTTGGAAGAGCTGACTAGCAACATCACAATATACATGTAAGACCAAAATTGTTGGCAAGTTTCCAGATCATGTCATGAATGAACATTATGATTGGTTGTAAATGTGCAACTTTAGTTGCCTGATGCAACTATTTCTCTTCGTATTTTCATCAACATGTTAAATGAAACCATACATTCACCAAAAATTTCTATTTCCTTTGTTGATTTAAACCTCTTGAATGATACCAGCTTCTGCGTCATGAATCGTTACGTACACACTGCTGTTTCAAATATAATATTGCATTTCTCTTAGCAATTTGGAATCAAAAAATTTTTGCCTTAGAATCAGGAAAGAAACAAGGAATTGGATGTAATGGATGAATTGGAGAAATTGGAGAATATGTTGGATTTGGAGCAGAAATCGGATAAACTGATGATGGAAGAGATTAAGAACTTGAAGATAGAGGTGATGAAGAAACTGGTGAAGAACCTGGGTTGTCATAGTTTCCTTCCATCGGTACGTAAATATAATTGAGTAATATCGATAGTAGTTGCCTTAAATCAGAGTTGATTCTTAGTTGACGGTTGACTGTTGGCGAGTTTTCAGATCATGTTTTAAATGAGGATAAATTATTGAATGTACTAAATGTGTAACTTTAGTTGCCTGATGCAACTATTCCTCTTCATTCCATCAACACGCTAAATGAAACCACACATTCACCAAAAAATTTCTTGGTCCATTAAAACCTTTGTCAGTTAAATGATACCAGCGTCCGTATTCTATGGTGTAAAATTATCAATCTAAAATTATTTATCTTTGGTTAATTAGCCAACAAACCAGGCATTTCACGTAGTGGATGAATTGAAGAAGATGGAGAATATGTTGGATTTGGAGCAGGAGTCTGATAAACTGATGATGAAGGAGATTAGGAACTTGAAGATGGAGGTGCTGAAGAAACTGGTGAAGAACCTGGTGAAGAACCTGGGTTGTCATAGTTTCGTTTCATCGGTACGTAAATGTAATTGAGTAATGTCGATAATAGTTGCCTTAAATCACAGTTGATTCTTAGTTGGCGGTTGACTGTTGGCGAGTTTCCAGATCATGTGATTCATGTCATGAACGAACATTATGATTGGTTGTAAATGTGCAACTTTAGTTGCCTGTTGCAACTATTTCTCTTCATATTTTCATCAACACGCTGAATGAAACCATACATTCACCAAAAATCCCCTTAGTTGATTTAAACCTCTTGAGTGACACACATGCACTGCTGTTTCAAATGTAATATTGCATTTCTCTTAGCAATTTAGAATCAAGAAATTTTTGCATCGGAATCTGAGAAGAAACAATGAATTGAAGGTACCTTGTATCAGGGCATTAAACATTTCATAGCCAGGGAGGTTCTTTAATAATATACAGATTCGATTGTGAAAAATTTAAGGTAAAAAAATTAGGCGCTTACTATACAACAAAATCAGTAATTCTCTGAATTTTTGCTCAAAACACGCCGTCTCAAAAGTCAATTCGTGTAACTTATCTTGCAACCTATATTTATTCGTTTATTCACATGTCGCAAACGGACATTATTTGTTAGGGCTATCTTTTTATATAATTGCTAGCAACAAGAGCTTATACCCTCTGTGTGGGGTTTTACCACCCCCTGTATGCACAGCACTCATGAGATTGTAAAAAAAACAAATGAATTCCTTTTTTGTATATTTTGGGAAAATCAGAAGTTTTCGTCGTTTTTGAGGATTGAGAATTTGCTTAAATGGGATTTGATAGTAAAGCGTCATTTGAAGCGTCTGAACATGGTACGTAGAGGTCCAAAATTCCATTATATAGAATTTAATATGCATGTCATAATACACCATTGCCATTTGACCAAGGAATACAAACACATATCTGACGCCAAGGAAACACTTTTATGCAGTCATTGAAATAATTTTCTGTGGGGAACACTTCGACCAAACCCACACTCTCACAAAAGTCCCCCAAAGTCGCAGGTAATATTACAATAAACCCCCAAATTTTTCAATTCAAAGTTGACGTGACATGTCATAATAACCTAATTTACATAATTTCCGACATTGCATCTGCTGGTGTAGTAAGGAAGACACTGGTTCTGCGTAAATTTCCGTAAAATAATTTACAAGACATCTCAAGCTTTGATTGCAATCACGTAATCACACGGTTGGAAGCGGTTACAGGTTTTAATCACGCCAAATGGGCCAAACAAACTCGCACTGACGCACAAGCTGCACATTCCCCGAAGCCATTCCATTCCCCGGCTCATTCCCCGAAGCCATTCCATTCCATTCCCTTCCATTCCCCGTTCCATTCCCCGTTCCCTGTTTTAAAGATAGCCGTTTTCAGTGGGCTATTTCTAAAACCAGGAACGGGGGATCGGGGAACGGAACGGGGAACGCGAAAACCCGGAATACTAAAAGCCGGAATCTCTAAAACCAGGAATACTAAAAGCCGGAATCTCTAAAACCAGGAATACTAAAAGCCGGAATCTCTAAAACCCGGAATACTAAAAGCCGGAATCTCTAAAACCAGGAATACTAAAAGCCGGAATCTCTAAAACCAGGAATACTAAAAGCCGGAATCTCTAAAACCCGGAATACTAAAAGCCGGAATCTCTAAAACCAGGAATACTAAAAGCCGGAATCTCTAAAACCAGGAATACTAAAAGCCGGAATCTCTAAAACCAGGAATACTAAAAGCCGGAATCTCTAAAACCAGGAATACTAAAAGCCGGAATCTCTAAAACCAGGAATACTAAAAGCCGGAATCTCTAAAACCAGGAATACTAAAACATATGGTTAAGTAAATTACCAATAACAATCATGAGTGCAACGCGGTATAAACTGTAAAACTAGTTATATTTATATTTGAGTACAATTACAGAATATTATGCGATAACTGACCAGACAGCCAAAGCTTAACGTTTCAATCATGAAAATGAGGCATAACTGAGGCCACGTACTGTCGAAAGGGTGTATTACCAACATTCAAATATGCAAGAGGATATATTGCCATTTCCCTCTTGAAAGTATTAACTCAACTTTAAGCATTGACATACATAATAAAGAAATTTAACGACTTAATTAAAGGTGATGTAAAGTCTATTTGAAAACTCAGGAACGACTGTTTCAGACTGTTTCGGCATTTTACTTCAATTATTTGACAATATTCAACCAATGGAAATACTGTAGACAAAAGTGATGTAAAAAAAGAGACCGCTATAAGCAGAACTAATGTGCAAAACCGACTTTACATCATTCTTAAACAAAAGTTTCTAAAACAAAAAACCCTATAACTGGCCAAAGACGTCCCCGAGTGTTAACGCGTCTTGGTTTTAGAGATTCCTGGTTTTAGAGATTCCGGCTTTTAGTATTCCGGGTTTTAGAGATTCCGGCTTTTAGTATTCCTGGTCTTAGAGATTCCGGCTTTTAGTATTCCCGGTTTTAGAGATTCCGGCTTTTAGTATTCCGGGTTTTAGAGATTCCGGCTTTTAGTATTCCGGGTTTTTGAGATTCAGGCTTTTAGTATTCCGGGTTTTAGAGATTCCGGCTTTTAGTATTCCGGGTTTTAGAGATTCCGGCTTTTAGTATTCCGGGTTTAGAGATTCCGGCTTTTAGTATTCCGGGTTTTAGAGATTCCGGCTTTTAGTATTCCGGGTTTTAGAGATTCCGGCTTTTAGTATTCCTGGTTTTAGAGATTCCGGCTTTTAGTATTCCTGGTTTTAGAGATTCCGGCTTTTAGTATTCCTGGTTTTAGAGATTCCGGCTTTTAGTATTCCTGGTTTTAGAGATTCCGGCTTTTAGTATTCCGGGTTTTAGAGATTCCGGCTTTTAGTATTCCTGGTTTTAGAGATTCCGGCTTTTAGTATTCCTGGTTTTAGAGATTCTGGCTTTAGTATTCCTGGTTTAGAGATTCCGGCTTTTAGTATTCCGGGTTTTTAGAGATTCCGGCTTTTAGTATTCCGGGTTTTAGAGATTCCGGCTTTTAGTATTCCGGGTTTTAGAGATTCCGGCTTTTAGTATTCCGGGTTTTAGAGATTCCGGCTTTTAGTATTCCGGGTTTTAGAGATTCCGGCTTTTAGTATTCCGGGTTTTAGAGATTCCGGCTTTTAGTATTCCGGGTTTTAGAGATTCCGGCTTTTAGTATTCCGGGTTTTAGAGATTCCGGCTTTTAGTATTCCTGGTTTAGAGATTCCGGCTTTTAGTATTCCTGGTTTTAGAGATTCCGGCTTTTAGTATTCCTGGTTTTAGAGATTCCGGCTTTTAGTATTCCGGGTTTTAGAGATTCCGGCTTTTAGTATTCCTGGTTTTAGAGATTCCGGCTTTTAGTATTCCTGGTTTTAGAGATTCCGGCTTTTAGTATTCCTGGTTTTAGAGATTCCGGCTTTTAGTATTTCCGGGTTTTAGAGATTCCGGCTTTTAGTATTCCTGGTTTTTAGAGATTCCGGCTTTTAGTATTCCTGGTTTTAGAGATTCCGGCTTTTAGTATTCCTGGTTTTAGAGATTCCGGCTTTTAGTATTCCTGGTTTTAGAGATTCCGGCTTTTAGTATTCCCGGTTTTAGAGATTCCGGCTTTTAGTATTCCTTGTTTTAGAGATTCCGGCTTTTAGTATTCCTGGTTTTAGAGATTCCGGCTTTTAGTATTCCGGGTTTTAGAGATTCCGGCTTTTAGTATTCCGGGTTTTAGAGATTCCGGCTTTTAGTATTCCGGGTTTTAGAGATTCCGGCTTTTAGTATTCCGGGTTTTAGAGATTCCGGCTTTTAGTATTCCTGGTTTTAGAGATTCCGGCTTTTAGTATTCCGGGTTTTAGAGATTCCGGCTTTTAGTATTCCGGGTTTTCGCGTTCCCCGTTCCGTTCCCCGTTCCGTTTCCCGATTCCCCGTTCCTGGTTTTAGAAATAGCCGTTTTCAGTGGCCGAAAACGCCGGATACGTGTTAGGAATTTAGATCAAAAACCATTTATTCCAATAACGACACAGATTATTTCGCTTTGTAGTGCAACAGCGCTCGATATTCAATCAATTTTGATACTTTCTGTCAGCAGGCTGACCTTTGTAACCTTGGGGAAACCGGAAATCAAAATTGACCAATCAGACAAAATCACTGTGTACAAAATACATTGATCGCTTGCTGTGGCTGTCACATATCAGAGTCAATATCAGAGTCAATAAAAGTTTCAGTTCAGTTCAGAGTGGAAACACTATTACATTTTGACGCAAATCCAGTGCGCAAATCTCAGAAAATTTAAATTATCAGAGTGGAAGCACCTGTGCATTCTTTTGTGCACTTTAATTTCACAGGAAGACGCTTATGCACTTAAGTGTCAACGGAGAGACTACAGCAGACCTTTTTCTTGCCTTTGGGTAAAAACCTTCAAGTGTGAAATGAAACGCGAAAAACCAATCTACACAAATGGCGTATATATGACTGGCGAAAGTTATAGGAGACATGCCAGGTATTGTGAGAATGTAATGTAATTCTAGTTGTTAGAAATATCGAGTGAATTATATACATATGGTCGTATATTATATCATTATATATTTGTCGTGACTATCAGTTCAAGTAACTTACCGCTAGTGACTATCAGTTCAAGTAACTTACTTACACGCTACAATATTTATTTCTTTGTGGGTTAGTTTATTTTAAAATATTTTCTTATATGTATAATATTTAACACGATTTTATAAACCCCAATCTGTACGGACGCAAACTAGTACTGAGATATTTGTTTACGATTGAGTTCATTTGAATGTAAAATATAGGTTCCCAATGTTCTTGAATGTGTGCTTTTGTTTGAAATGGTATGTTTGATTTGATTTAGTCCTCTACCTCGCGATAAAAAGACAAAAACAGTGGAAAATATCACATTTTCCCTATAGTTCACTCCTCAAAGACTAACAAATCGTCTGGTCAAATAAATCGTGCTGCAAATTGTTCGTCCAATATGAATTCTAGACAGACAAAAACACGTTTTTGTGCTTTGGAAATTACCGAAATTACCACTACAGTATTTCCATTCCCCTTGCGATTGCAATACTGCGCGCAATATCTTATTTTTTTCGTGTATAAATTTGTTCGATATGTATGAATCCAAGACGTTTTGTAATGTCTAATCCTCCCCGAAAAATCGTCGTAACAGACGGACAGAGGGTCGAACTAATTTAGACGATTTGTTCATCTGAAATTTTGTCCGACTCCAGGGCCGTAACTAGAACGATAATTGGGGGGGTGTTTATTCATATATTCAGTTCTGCCCGACGGGTTTCTTTTGTAAGTGCAATAGCTTACAATAGAAATCCGTCGGGCAAAACTGAATATATGAATAAACACCCCCCCAATTATCGTTCTAGTTACGGCCCTGTCCGACTCGTTTTCAAATCAGATGATTTGTCCGACTGAGACGACTTATTCAACCAGACGATTTGTTCGTCTTCTAATGTGAAAACGGCTAGTAAGGCGACCGTACGCTACTTACGCCTTAAATGCATGTTAGGGACCGCCTGCCATACAGGCTATATCACTGTGGTGGCTATATGTAAGTTTGCTTTCTTCATTGTACTATAGCTCAGTGCATCGGAGGCACCGCCATTCTTTTCTGTGTTTTAAATTCCATGCAAGCTTATAAGGATAGAGATAATCTAATTGTCGCGAGTTATAAGTAGTTTTATACATCGCACAGAAAACAGCTGAGTTGAGCGTCACTCGTGATTGTTTATAGCTGAGCTGTTTCCTCAAGTGTGCGGTGTCGTATATCGGTGTTATTCGAATAATTTTGTGCAGGAGTGAACATTTCGTCACAGTGTGCGCGCGTCCTGAGCTATCAGCTCAGCAGTTGGAGCGAATGATACTCGCATAAAATGAATTAAGAGTGGGTTCAAACACATTTAAACTTAAGAAACATTACATCCATTACTTTTTAGCAGTCAACAAATCATTTAAGATTTAACGGCACCGGAAAAATGAGTAAATGGCACTCAAGAATCATTGGACGGTCCGGCAATTCTAAAACTGGGAAAATTCCGAATCTGGAAAGCAAAATTTAGAGAAAATCCATCTTTTGACTTATGTACTTCTCATCGACTGCACTAAATACCATACCCTTTTCGATGGCATAAAGCATTTCTGAAATACGTACAATACCCCCACCTTTTTCCGAAAAAAAGGCGATGTTTATCGCTCAAACGCGTCGTTTTCGAACATGATGAAAAAGGGTACCCTTTTTTGTCGATCTTGTTATTAAGAAGTAAGACGATAAAAGGTACCCTTTTCGGTATAATACGTCATTACATCGTTTGATGAAAAAGGGTACCCTTTTCGATGACTTATGACCTTTGTAATAAGACGGAAAAGGTACCCTTTTAGATTGGAATTTAATCTGTTGAATTCAAATAGGATTATATAGACATGGTGTCAAATATTTATACCATTGATATCAAGGCTGAGTGTATAATTTATTGTATATTTTACAGTAAAAAAGAGCACTGATAGAGAAAAATATCGAAAATAAAAGGAGTCTAAAAAAACGGAACCTGCGCAAATATTTATGTATTTGTTACATTTCTGATGGGATTTCATATATTTTGACACGTATGAGTGAAAGCAAAACAAGATGGCCTTGTATTTGGATTTTACAGCATTGCAAGAGGACACCATTATTTCACAGTCTATAATAATTTTTTTTAAATCGATCGATATATATAAGTGTAGCCTGTCCACAGATTAATATAGCTCTTGGGAAAGGATATATATAATAACTATGATAATGGGAATACCGTACTACATATGTTATGGCTAGACTATAGCTGATAGACTATAGTGGCATGCAGATACAGGCAGCGAAGTATTTTTGGCTTTGTAGCGCATGCAATGTGACTGTTTCCATCACTGCATGGCCAGAATTATTTTTTAGTTACTCTGTGTACTATATACAGCGCACTCTATAGTGTGCGGCAGAGTATAGTGTACGGCACATGCATTCTCTAGTGTCGGCTGTGTCGCTTTAAAAATGTCTAGTTTCTGAGTGCTAGGCCTTTAACAGAATAAAAACCGGAAGCTTCTTTCGAGGAACATTGACTAACCTAAATCCAGTTACATTAATATGCGCTATTCTGCTGATAAGTATAATTATTTTGAACATTGTCTCTAGCATATATAATATATTCGATATTTTCCCTGCCATTTTTAATAAAAAACAAGAGAGACTAAATTATACACTCAGCCTTGATATCAATGGTATAAATATTTGACACCATGTCTATATAATCCTATTTGAGATCAACAGATCAAATTCCAATCTAAGAGGGTACCTTTTCCGTCTTATTACAAAGGTCATAAGTCATCGAAAAGGGTACCCTTTTTCATCAAACGATGTAATGACGTATTATACCGAAAAGGGTACCTTTTATCGTCTTACTTCTTAATAACAAGATCGACAAAAAAGGGTACCCTTTTTCATCATGTTCGAAAACGACGCGTTTGAGCGATAAACATCGCCTTTTTTTCGGAAAAAGGTGGGGGTATTGTACGTATTTCAGAAATGCTTTATGCCATCGAAAAGGGTATAGTATTTAGTGCAGTCGATGAGAAGTACATAAGTCAAAAGATGGATTTTCTCTAAATTTTGCTTTCCAGATTCGGAATTTTCCCAGTTTTAGAATTGCCGTACACCTTACCTCGTATACTGTAAATGATCGATTAAGCGCCGCGGCGCTTATTGCAAATATCGATTTTAAGATGCGGCGCTTATTTGACAGCGGCGCTTATTTGACAGCGGCGCTTATTCGACAGCGGCGCTTATTTCAAAGTGAGCAAATAGATTATTTTCTGAAGGCCGATGAATCGAACAAACGTTTGGTAGAGGTTACAGGAAAAAGAAAGCGCGAAGTTGGGCTGGTGATTCCCGCTAAGTTCACAGCATATACGGCGAATCGACGACATGCCCAAGTGTTAGACACGGAGTTAATTAGGAAGGAAAATTTTAAACTATCAGAACTGTCATATGAGCCCGTTTGTAAGAGATATTCGACAATAAAACTTTAGTTTCAATACTGGCCGTCGTTCTCAAAAGTTTAAATGTTTGGATTAACGCGTTTAAATAAAGAATTGTTTATTTCTACATTTTTTAGCGTTTATTTATATCTTCCTAAATAGGCGCCGCGGCGCTTATTCAACAGCGGCGCTTATTAAATTTTTTTTATTGAGGTGCGGCGCTTATTTGACAGCGGCGCTTATTCGAGTAGCGGCGCTTAATCGATCATTTACGGTAGACAAGGATAATCGGGCCAAAAACCGCTAATTTGTTTTCCAGTGCTGATTCAGCAACTATTGAGTTATTTTGCACCCACTTGGGTTGTGAAAATAATTCAAAATGTGAAAAGAAAACACACGCATTCGCATCAACTGCTGAGCCGATAGCTCAGGACGCGAGCACACACTGTCAGGAAATGTTCACTCATGCACAAAATTATTCCACTTTTTGAATATCCGACGCGGATACCACGCCTGTCAGAAAACGCAGAATACGACACCGCACACTTGAGGAAACAACTCAGCTAACAGTCACGAGTGACGCTCAGCTCAGCTGTTTCCTCCAACGAAAAATCGTGTTTCTACCAATGGCAATGCCTAGCCTATTTTCTTGGCTGGGCGTTCGCGATTTTTTCTGCCCGAAGGATCGTGAAACAAAACCAAGTCGAGCTTTTTGGCTTCTTGTATCACATTTCTGGCTTCTTGAGTACTCGTCTTGATAGATAAAAGCAAACGCGAAAGAACGTTGTCAAAACCGAACAAAAACTAGATGCTGCATTTTATTTTGCAAAACACGAGGCAATGCATATTAAACGTTTTAAATACAAAAAACAAAAACTGTAACCGCAAACTATATGTGGTATGTGTTTTCTTACCATTACTGAAACAGCTATCGAAATACAAATACCAGAAATAACGATAAAATAACGCTTTGAAAACCTTGAAATGTTGAAGTCATAAAACCAATTTGATAAAACTATAACAGTTCAGAGGGCAAAGTACAAATTGTCAAAAAATTACTGTACACGTGAACAAAAAAATCATGTGCACAAAAAAATGACGTAAAAAACCCACGAACCGCAAAATATACCCGCGACAAAAACACGCGACAATCTCTAGACTATCTCGGAAGGAAGTGGCTATTTAACAATTAGACAACGAAAGCTGAAGAATGAATTAGCTACTTGGCGGCCAAAAACTTGTGAAGTTTGCCCCAAACGCGATTTGAAATTTGCCGTTTGCTGTTAGCCGTGTGTCGTAAACGTCTAAGGTTTATATATTGATTTGCGACTCCACTGTTGCCACTTTCAAGTGTCTCTTCATAGGCGGCCCAGAACTGATCTCGCTGACCTCGCGCGACGCTCATGTTGTCTGAACAGTCTTATATTATGACTATAACTATTATTATATTATCATAATATAAGACTGTTCAGACGCGAGCGCGCGCGTCAGCGAGATCAGTTCTGGGCCGCCTATGGTCTCTTGTGATTTTGGTGCCACACAAATGTGAGAGGTCAAATGCTAGGTCCTAAAAACAGCTTATCATCGAAAAATACGGAATTCGAAAGTACGTAAAATTAGCACGTGAAATCAAAGCCAACGCAAAAATCACATAGCGAGACAATTGCCACACAAAAATCTTAAAACGACATATTTAAATCCAGCCGCGAGGTCAAAATTAGCGCAACTAAACAGTGTTATTTTATATAAAGTGTACATATATTTATATAAAGTGTACATATAATATAATATTATATATATATATATATATATACCGTACGTCCTGTGTCCCAAGTGCAGGAGTCACCATTGCGCTCTGGTGATAGCCGGGAGGGCACATTGTTTTACACATGTTGTATATATATATATATATATATATATATATATATATATAATTATATATATATAGCAAGCACACTCGAGTTGGTGCATACCAATAAGTCACATGACAGGTATATTGATATACTTGATTTGGACAACATTAATGACAGTGGCTGTATATATATATATATATATATATATATATATATATATATATATATATATATATATATATATGTATATATATATATTATATAATATATATATATATATATATATATATATATATATATATATACTACACATATATATATATACTTTATATAATACCATCTAAACTGAAAGTTTGCCCAATAAAGTTAGCTTTCTGTAATAGAAAGAATAAACAAAAACAAAACAAAACCTAGGCCAATTTTCAACTTATAATTAATAATACTTTAATAATTAAAGTTAGCTTTATTAAGTACCAATAATGAGGTACTAAGAAACAGGCCTATTGATGACAAACAGGGGGCCCCAGGAAAAGTATTTTATTAACAAAGACATTACCACCTAGATGCCCATCTGAGCTTGGGTATTTTGCCCTCACCCTTACTCCCCCTTATCACCAGACTTTGTTGACTGTGGTATGATACTGTCTAGACTGATACTGTTTTCATCCACTAGAATAACATTTTATTTGTGGGTCAGCTTTTTCTTAGACCTTTATTTTTTCTTTTAAGGACTCCATATTATTGATTCTTGCGTAGGCAGCCCAATAGCGAATGTTTTTTTTTTATTTGAGATAAAAATGCACACTTTGATGAAATAGACACATTATGTTGTTTATTTACATGCTTATGTTCTTGTCTATAATTTACATTGCTAATATGCGTGTCTGACAAGGTTCATTGGTATTATATGGTATAATATATCCTATATAATGTATATGAATATGTATAAGAAAATATACTTAAAAATAATAACTTTATTTGTTCATATCAAATTGTTTTCATCATTCTAGAAGTAATGGATGTCATTCATCATCCCTGAAGTTTTCAGCTTGTGTTTCTTGGGTTGGTTTTCGAACTGTTTCTGATTGGACACCATTCAATGTCTCTGGTATACTAGAAACTACATTGAGAGGGATGATTGAATATTTTAATTGGTGTACCGGAGTGAGGAATTGTCACTTATCCTTAATTGTCAAAATTTCCTGCAAGTTTGGAAGGAAGTGGCTATAATGTTATGTTAGTTTACCTTCTAACAAACTGTTTGAGTTGAGAGCATGGTCCAATGGTTCTGATATACTAGGAACTACAGTGACAGGTATGATTTATAATTTTATTTGTGTACTGGAGTGGGTCTTGTCACTTATTATTGTAAAAATTTCATGCCGGTTTGAAAGGAAGTGGCTATAAAAATGTTTACCTTCTAACAAACTGTTTGAGTTGAGAGCATAATCCAATGTTTCTGGGATGCCAGGAACTACAGTAGGAACTAGAATGAGACTAGGCGTTAGAGAGGGCTAGGCGTTCTACTGTAGAGCAAGGGTCCAAGCCACACACATCTCCCCACCCACTTTTGCCTCCTAAAAATATTGGCTAAAGTTCTTTGTGAGGCATGGAATTGGTATTAACTTGTGGCGTCCGCACTTGATAGTTCTGCAAAGCCGTATTTTCCTTGAGTCGTGCAATATAGCGAAAACCGCTATAGAGGGACTGTAATAAATTACTGTAATTAATTATTAAAATACCGGAAATGGAAACGTTTAATTAGAGACGCATTTATTGATAATATATTGATATATTTATTTCAGGTGACTATAAAAGTATATTAGTTTACCTTCAAACACACCGTTCAAGTTAGTCGTAGATTCAGCCGGCGCCGATGAATCAGGCATTGCATACAAAGTGACAATTGAATAAAACTAGACGCAGATTCCTCCGTGATAAATTATTACTTGCGCACGGGATGTTTTAGTATCCGTGGACCTTCTATAGGATCGCGCAACAATTAATTCACGTAATGTGTATTTTCCACGATGTTTAGTATATCTTTACACGATAGTCAGGGAGCTAATGTATCCCCGTGGGCTTTTAGTGAAGAAAGCAAACGACTAGCGGTTTTAGGGCCTTCAGACCTTCGGGGGGGGGGGAAATTCGCATATATTTTTCAGCACGGAAACGAGGCTGAAAAACCTAATATGGCTATATTTTCTTTTTAAATGGCCCAAATACACCGAAAATTTGTAGTGACATTAAGAATGACGATACAAAGACATAAGCTAAATTTCAAGGGTCACGTGACCTTTTCAATATGGAAACGGGGCTCTAATAAGGAAATGGTATAACATTTTTTACATGCCCCAATTTTCATGGAATATACTTTTATTTCATGGAATATACTTTAAAACGCATTAACTTTCATATATATGTATATATGTTAGGAAGTTGTTCTCTAGTGAAGATATTATATATAGAGAGAGAGACCGACCACGTTAAAGCATTTCCGCTTGTTATCCTTAAAAACCTGTATTATCATCATCATCATCATCATCATCGTCATCATCCTCTTGGATTTCACGAGCCACATTGAGGCACGTATCGAAATCTTCATCGTCATGGCATGCACACAGGTCCGTACACGGTAATCCAGCTTTACGGCATTGGCATCTGTTCGTTTCGCACCGTGTCTTGCAACCGCATCTCACTAGCTCAAGGACAGCATCTGGCGCTGGCGGAAGTCGAGTCATAACGGGAACCCAAGTCTGGTCTTGTTGGTCCCAACCATAGTTCTCAGGAGAAGGTATTTGGGGATTAGCCACCACGTCATTGTTCCATATCATTGTTTGGTAATGAGCTCGAAGAACAGCCTCGCGAAGGGTAGATTTAGTTGGGGGCAGTTTTTCTGACTCGGCTTGCTTACGTCTGAAGAGAAACCACCTAACTTCTTTCACCGTTTGAAGGGATGTAGTTGGGGCATATAGTGCGCACACAAACTTCTCCAAAGCTGTCATCGTCTCATCTTGGAGAGTGAGGGTAGTTCCAAGGTTTGCAATCGCACGGATGACGTCTTCACTTAAGTGCATGAAGGCCTTCCAGTGACTTTCACAAAGCCAGAGAAACTGCCAGTATTGTCAGCCCCACTAAAAGCATGGAACGCCGGAAGAGAAGCTACTTTCGTCGCCCCGAGTGCGAGGGCTATAGGTTGAAGCATCATTATCGATCTATGACGTGTTCCTTTACCAGTAACAAAGGCAACTTCACTACACATATCACAATAGCGTCTGAGAGCAAGGACCAGGACATCTGTATCAGGCGAGTGAATTTCGATCTTCACCGCTCCGTCCGATGTAGCATCGACAGCGTGGAGTATCATCTTGGTATCGGCCTCTTCTTGGCTACTAGCAAGATGGCTGGCATCTTTGTGTGTTGCTTTGCATTCACTACCATACGAAACAAGGCCAAACCGTTATTTTTCACGTGCTGCATGACTATAACACTTCATCACCCTCCCCCCATAATCGCAACGACACTGCAGTCACAGTGTCATGATAGTCGCAGTTGACACATAAGTCTATAAGTCGCAATTTTTGGTGTCTTTTTTACAGTTAGTATTATGTAAAGAAATGTTATGCCATTTCGTTATTAGAGCCTCGTTTCCATGTTGAAAACGTCACGTGACCCTTGAAATTTAGCTTTTGTCTTTGTATCGTCATTCTTAATGTCACTACAAATTTTCGGTGTATTTGGGCCATTTAAAAAGAAAATATAGCCATATTAGGTTCTTCAGCCTCGTTTCCATGCTGAAAAATATATGCAAATTTTACCCCCCCCCCCGTAATCAGGCTAAAACACGGTTTTCACGATTGCCGACAAACTTTTTCGAAATCTCGAAGGTCTGAAGGCCCTAAAACCGCTAGTCGCTTGCTTTCTTCACCAAAAGCCCACGGGAAATATTTTAACGACATGGCGTCGGAGTGACGTCACAGTCGAACAGCGCAAACCAGGTTTATCATGTGATTTCATTTATGATTACCTTTGTATGCATCTATGCATGAAAAGAAGGTATTCGCAGGCTAGTGCTAGTAAGCTGTCCCCAAGAGGCAAGGATATGATGACGGAAATATCTTTATGAATGATTAGAATTATCCACTACCAGAATCAACCTTGATGCGCGCAAATCTTAATTTTTTGAGACGCTATGTGACACAAGTCGTTTTTCACTCTGATGCAGTGCGTGCCATTTATCCCAAGATACAATCGTGCCTGTTCAACTTTTTAAAGCGCGCGCACACTGAAAAACGATGAATCAGTAAACTAGTAACACCTGGAACTATTACTCCGGAACATTCAGTCGAGGGGAGATGACGTCATGTCATTTTGAAGAGTGGAAACAAGTGACGACCGCAGTGAATAGGTGTAATTAGTTTTTATCTAAAAATACACTGGCTAAAGTAACTGCACCCAATAGCTATATATCTATGGCTGTACCTGTAAAAAACGAAGCTAGAATTAAATAACTTCCGGAGGCACTTTCTTACTTCTTAAGGCGTCGCTTTCAACTGACAACTTTAAATATGAAACGAATGTAAGCTAAAGTTCTAACCACCAATTGGGGGCTATTTGAGGCCCCTGCCTTTGCTTTCAGTATAGTGTATATCCAGTATTATAAGATCAGTTTTTAATAAATTGAGAAGTATTCGAGCGGCGCGTGACATCGTGATTTCGACTCCTGGGCAATCCAATTTTGGCTGTATTATTCTTACAAACTACGAAGCTAAGCCCTGCATGACAATACTACAATCTTCTTTCGACCCAGAATTCTTCAGTCCCATCCTCTTATTTTCAGATTTTTCCTCTCTCGTAGGGTCGTCCATACATAGAGAAAATGTCCAGGGTGATGATTGGCTTCAACAAGAACGGCGAGAGACCGCTCTCGATATGGCGAAGAGAACTGTGGAACTCAGGATGTTGGAAATCCCTACGACAGTAAATAACGTTGCGTGAATGTGTCGTTGTCTATAATTTATTGTAAAGCCAGTCGTTTGTCTGAGCACAAACTAACTTCTGGCGTTATTTATCCCTATTTCGTCTATCCATTCGTTGAGAATGGTTTTGCTACACGTCAAATTACAGGGCAAAATATAATCCTCGATTTCAAAAAGAGCCATGCACCAATGACATTTTTCATGGCAAGTTTTATATGTTCTTGGATGCAGCAAAATATTGACAAGTTTTAAATGCCGAATGGGCTATTCAAAAGCTGTTCATGATAGAATTACTCGTATTTACAGCCGACCTGGAAAAACATACTGTCGTACATACGACAGAATATTACCAGGACAAGACACTTGTATCATTGTGTATGTCAAGAAACCAACCTATACGCTTCCAATTCTGTTTTTTCCCTTTTAAATACAAGTGTTTAGTCGACAGCATTTTAAAATAAAACGTCACTATGATAACTGCAGTAAAGCTTCGTCATGGAGGCACCTTGAATGGCTTTAATGGTGATATGATTTTAACAATATCATGGTTACAAGATCTCGCATTTTAGGTTGATTGAATACTATTAGCATTAAATTATGCTCTGTAGGCAAACCTTGCAGGATTTGGAAAAATTATTACTTTTTCTGAGGAAGATTTTGATAAAGCCTTCGGTAGGATTTTGAATCAAGAAATTTTTATATCGACTAGATATTTTGATGAATAAGAAATATTGCGTTATTTCCGGTAAATATTAAACAAAACTTTACAGATGAGAGTCATGAGACGTGATCTACTTTGTGTTAAGTTTTTCGCTTTTTGTAGCATTACTGTTTAGTATTCCCAATCGATACTATGTAGTCGATACCTATTGAAGTCATTCGGTTCTCTCCATTTCCTTAAACAGGGCTATTTATTATTAACTTTACTATCACATGCATGATAAGTATTTGTTACGTGAGAAATGTAATGTTTGTTGTTCCAGGTCATCTGGAATGGTGGCTGAGGATTGGGACTGGGACTAGTTGTCAAATGAAATTGAAAATCCATTTCTCGGTTGAAACAACTTGAAATATATTTTATTACGGTTTCAAGTTTATGTCAGAGCTATAGTTCTTATAACTTAACATGCATAATCACAAAATTTCTTCCAGTCAGTTCATATTAAATTATAATGAATAACATAAGATATAAACCATTTAATATTGCAGAATGGATTAGTATTTCGACAGACAACCCTTCCGAGCGCTGATTTACTAAAAAATGAGTGCGAGATTGCCTGCTATATGACGATATTTGATCCTGAAAATGCGAGGGACATAGAAACCTTATCTCAGCTTGAAATAAAATAATAAATCCCAAAAGTAAATTAGCTTGTAGGTACACCACGTAAGTATTTAATACTGCAAAGCTTTCTATCCGTTAACCCGGGCCTTCATCAGTGCAACGTTAACGGACCGAAAGCTTTGAGTTTTAAATACTTACGTTGTGTACCTACAAATTATTTACTTATTGACGTCTCTCTGCATTGCTAACGTACAAAGATTTGAATTATTATAAATAGTAATAAAGTGATCGGTATAGACCTGTCCCAAACCCGTCTTTTCTTGTTTTGTCTTATGGCATGATGTTTTCATCAAGTCATCCAAACAAAATAACCCAAGTTCACCTCCTGCTGTGAACTGTGATCTCAGAATGTTGCGAAAAATCAAGTCCGGTACTAAACATGTATATATGCATGGTATTTTCACATCTCTAGCATTGATTTGTTGATTTACAAATGTAAACTCCTCGCATATGAAGCACAAAATTCATTCGTGTGTGTTCGCATGTGTATAACTTGGAGATTCACACACAACCTTGTCACACAAAATTTTTGATTGAGTTCACCTCCCACACAAGCGACCTTGTGACAATATATTTGGATTTTGTAAACACTATCTCCGCAGATTGCTGTTATTCGGTGTTGATCAAATTTTGGTAACAGGACTAATAAATGAAACGATTTTTATCTCAGATTGACTCAGAATGTACAAAAAATTGTCTTTAATCGACTTCAAAAGTGACTGGACTCTTGCTGTTAACTTTTAATAATAGTCAAAGTGTCGAACCAGAACAGTGATGGCGTATTATGCCTTATGGTTCTCAACAATAAATACATAAAATAGTAACATAATTTATAATGTTTTTCTAACTTTATCGCGTGGACATTACCGTGAATTCTACGAGCTAAAATTAAAGGTAAAATCAATTTTTTTCACCGAGTACTAAGATTTCAAGGGGCAAGATTTCACAGCAGTTCCGTTTGCTCAAAGCAATTTTTAAAAAAATATCGTTCGCAATGTTGCAACATAGCAGGGAACACAGAACAATTAGAACATCCGGCTTGACTGTAATTAAAAAGGTTCTAGATTAATATTGTCCAGTTGCTCAATTTCTTTTGAAACAGGAAAATCGTAGGGGAAAAATTGCGAACTGACATGATTACAAACTCTTCGGTGGGACTTGGCATGGAATGAAAAGAAACATCTCCAATCTACATGCATGTTATTGTTAAGCCATACAACAAAGCCAAACGACAAAGTGGTTTAGTCAAAAGCTAAATGCTAAACTTTTTGCCTTCTGCTCTTTCACTTTTCTTTCATGTGATATCTGGGGCAGGTTGTATGAAAGCCGGTTGAAAAAAATCACTATCCGGTCCGGTTGATAGCGCTATCACTCCCTATCAGGCTTTCATACAACGCCCCCTGTTCCGCTCTCCAGAATATCACGCGCTTCCAATCAATCATGTAAATTACGTTGCAACTTGTGATTGCATCCAAACGCAACAAAATACTGCAATCATTTGTTGTCAAACTGAAATGAAATCCTTTTGTCTTTTTGAGTGGAAACACTTCCGTCTTAAAAGGTTATAAAAGCAGAACTCTGAAAACTTCCGTTGCCATTTTGTTAAACAGATTTTCGAAGTGGTTTGTAAGGTTTATTGACCGTTGGAAAAGAAAAGACTTGCTTTCGTTTGACAGTTTTATCATCAACTGTACGTAATTGTACACAGGGATTGATAATCCAACCTTTCCTGAAGCTCATTTCCTTTATTGGATCGTGACGTGCACGTGAGCCGGGTGAAACGATGGACGAGATGGATGACACACCACCAAGACCAAGTCGACCGACGGTATTTATGAGAATTACAAAAGTAAGTAAGAAGAAACATATAAATTATTTGTATGAATTTGTAAGAGTGTAACTGACATATCGGCAGTAAATCCCAGCACAAAATTAATATATATAACTAGTAGCATGCTGGCATGTAAGAAATTTAATATCTCAATTTTGCGTGGAATTTCATAATTCCGAAGGATTAGAATAGGACTATCATTGTGGATTCTGAAATTAGTACATGAAAATAATGTATTGTCATCATTGTATGGAAATTTGAGTAAACAATAGAACAAAAACTGTTGCTGAGTTTCAAGATTATGTCTTCAAAATAAAATGAGACAACACATTCAAATGAACATTTTTGAAAGTGGAATAATACCATTTTCCACCTTAGGAATCATTACAGAAAATTTTAGCATGCAGCTATTTCAAATGTAATATCAAGTGTAGTATGGTGTTGAACCTCTAAATTATTTAGCATCAAGAAATTTTTGCATCTATGATTGAATTATATTTAATGTTATATTCATAGTGAAGTTATCAATCTTAAATTATTTATCTCTGTTAAATCAGAGAAGAAACATGTTGGATAACTTGCATTTGGAGCAGGAGTCGTTTAAACTGATGGAAGGTATTAAGATGTTGAAGATGGAGATGCTGGTGAACCTGGTGAAGAACCTGATGAGGGAGCTGGATTATGAGCATTTCTTTTTATCGGTATGTCAAATAGTAATATCCATAATTGCTTGAAATCAGAGTTTTTCAGTATTTAGGCCTTATAGGTGATACAATGGTTTTTCGAGTTGATATGCCATTATTACAAAAATTGTTGATACTGCTGCTATGATTTTCAAACTGAAGATCGAAGATGTTTATCATTCAGGATAAGGATTATCATTAATTAAATTTACTACACAATACTACACAAAGAAATCTAGTGATCTGTATCAGGTAAGAAACTTTACAGTTTGCTAGATTTCTTCCCCTGCACGATTATGTTTTTAAGGGCAGCAAATCACTTGTGTAGTAAATTTAATTAATATATAAATTTGGGTACTCTGTCAATGTGGCAATAAAGCTCTGTAGGGATCACCATTAAAAATGGTAAATCATAAGGATTTGATTAAAGATTGTATTTCTGGATTTTGGTCATGCAAGAACTACTATGGCACAGAATGATTGCTCCATGAGAATAATGCATTGTCTTCATAATGAGTAGGGAAATTTACATAAATATGAGCAAGCAATAAAACAAAGACTGGTAGTAGTAGCCAGTGCAAAGACTCAGATTACATTACATTACCTGAGTCTTATGCACTATTACAAACACTTTAAGATGCACAGATATCGAAGGGACTAGATTGAGTTCCGAAATATCAATTACTCGAACCGTCTTGACCTAGTAGCTCGATTGGAAGAGGAGTTGGAAGGTCGCAGGTTCGATTACCACTGTGGTCAAGCAAATTTTTCAGCTTACCCAGTTGGTGACTCAGAGTAGCAACATCACAATATACATTTAAGACCAAAATTGTTGGCAAGTTTCCAGATCATGTCATAAACGAACATTATGATTGGTTGTAAATGTGCAACTTTAGTTGCCTGATGCAACTATTTCTCGATCTTCATATTTTCATCAACATGCTAAATGAAACCACACATTCACCAAAAATTTCCTTAGTTGATTTAAACCTCTTGAATGATGGTCAACTTCTGCATCATGAATCGTTACGTACCTACACACTGCTGTTTCAAATGTAATATTGCATTTCTCTTAGCAATTTAGCATGAAGAAATTCTTGCATTTATGATCTAATTATATTAATGTTATTCATTGTGAAAACTTCATTGGTGAAATCAGTCAAATAAGCTGGGGCTTGTTGCAATGGATGAATTAAAAAAGATGGAGAAGATGTTGGATTTGGAGCAGAAGTCAGATAAACTGATGATGGAGAAGATTAAGATGTTGAAAATGGAGGTGATGAAGGAACTGGTGAAGTACCTGGATTATTTCTCATTATTGGTACGTAAGTATAATTGAGTAATATCAATAGTTGCCTTAAATCAGAGTTGATTCTGAGTTAGCGGTTCTTTGAAATGTAGGGCCTATAAGTGTTACAACAATTCTAAGTTTTATAAGTGATGGCTTTTTAATCCATTCTGCACACCTGGCTGTTGAATATTACCTCGTTTGGAAGTGGAATTAGTAGCAGTCGACTTGACAAGTAGAGTGCTGTATTTTGGAAAAATAGCCTGCAATATATTTTGTGAATTTGATATAAATTATTTTTGGGTTAACAAAATTGCCTGAAATTCGAGTTGATATGTCATTAATTAACATGTTGATAGTTCTTTGATATGTATTTAAATTTAACTCAAATAGCTATTTGATCAACTGTCACTCCTTTGCATATCACAATACAGCTGAGTAAAACAACGGGTTGAGGGTACTGGTATAATAATTCCATGACCAGAATCAACGAATATTTCCTAATTTTAATCCTAAACGTGACCTTTACGCAACTACTAACAAGAAAGGGCAGGGACGTAACTAGAACGGTAATTGGGAAGAGGGGAGGGGTTGAATATTCATATATTAAGTTCTGCCCGACGGATTTTATTTGTAAGTGCAATAGCTTACAATAGAGTCGGGCAGAACTGAATATATGAATATTAACCCCCCCCCCTCCCAATAATCGTTCAACGTTCTAGTTACGCCCCTTATAAAGGGTTATCTATGTGCGCACAGTAACGTTTTCACTTTTCAAACGTTTTCGTTTTCATGAAAAAACAGTTTCAAGCACCGTCAGTTGACAATAGAAGTTGAAGCCAATTTAACACAGTGAGCATATTCGCCCATGTACCGTATAGACAGGGCGTCAAATCGATAAACTAGACAAAAACAATTTTGGAAGCGCTCGTGTGCATACAGGATTGTATTAGTCGATTCTAGTCATGGAATTATTTCAAATTATTTCGATGGCACTGAAGCCTTCGTTAAATTAATGTATTGTCTTTATCGACAATACATTAAGACTGTTAACGAGTTTTCAGATCATGTCTTAGTTGTGTAGCTTTAGTTGCCTGAACTCATCAACATAGTAAATGAAACCAAACATTCAGATACATTTTATTGGTTGATTAAAACTTTTAGGAGTTGAATGATACCAGCTTCGCGCTGTGAATCGTTACAGCGATTGTGGTGGAAATGCGTTTATACAATTGTAAATGTTATTTATTGGGAAAACTTATCAATCTAAAATTATTTATCTTTGGTAAATTAGCCAACAAACGAGCCATTTCACGCAATGGATGAATTGAAGACGGTGGAGAAGATGTTGTATTTGCAGCAGAAGTCTGATAAACTGATGATGGAGAAGATTAAGATGTTGAAAATGGAGGTGATGAAGAGCCTGGTGAAGAACCTGGATAATTTCTCATTATTGGTACGTAAGTATAATTGAGTAATATCAATAGTTGCCTTAAATCAGAGTTGATTGATTCTGAGTTAGCGGTTCTTTGAAATGTAGGGCCAATAAGTGTTACAACAATTCTAAGTGTTATAAGCGATGGCTTCTTAATCCATTCTGCACACCTGGCTGCTGAATATTACCTCGTTTGGAAGTGGAATTAGTAGCAGTCGACTTGACAAGTAGAGTGCTGTATTTTGGAAAAATAGCCTGCAATATATTTTGTGAATTTGATATAAATTATTTTTGGGTTAACAAAATTGCCTGAAATTCGAGTTGATATGTCATTAATTAACATGTTGATAGTTCTTTGATATGTATTTAAATTTAACTCAAATAGTTATTTGATCAACTGTCACTCCTTTGCATATCACAATACAGCTGAGTAAAACAACGGGTTGATGGTACTGGTATAATAATTCCATGACCAGAATCAACGAATATTTCCTAATTTTAATCCTAAACGTGACCTTTACCCAACTACTAACAAGAAAGGGCAGGGACGTAACTAGAACGATAATTGGGGAGAGGGGAGGGGTTGAATATTCATATATTAAGTTCTGCCCGACGGATTTTATTTGTAAGTGCAATAGCTTCGGGCAGGACTGAATATATGAATATTCACCAATTCGTGTAACTTATCTTGCAACCTATATTTATTCCTTTAATCACAGGTCGCAAACGGACACTCTGTTTTTATATAGTTTCTAGCAACAAGAGCTTATATCCTTTGTGTGGGGTTTTACCACCCCTGTATGCATGCCACTCATGAGATTGTAAAAAACCAAATAAATTCCTTTTTTGTATATTTTGGGAAATCAGAAGTTTTCGTCGTCTTGGGGGATTGAGGATTTGCTCGAATGGGATTTGATAGTAAAGCGTCAGTTGGTGGAGAACATGGTACGTAGAGGTCCGAAGTTCCATTATATAAAATTTAATATGCATGTCATAATAATATGCAGTCATTGAAATAATTTTCTGTGGGGACCACTTCGACCAAACCCACACTCTCACCAAAAATTCCAATATCACACGTCTCACATCACACAGTTTTTACATTTCTTGTTTACTCCCCAAAGTCCCAAATTTTTCAATTCAAAGTCTCCCTAACTCACGTGACGACATGCCATAATAACCTAATTACTCCGGCGTCAGCGACGGAGTTGAAAATTCGCCTCGGTTTTTTTTGTTTTTTTTTATTTTTATTATTTTTCGTCGTCGCAAGTCTGAAATGGCGCGAAATATACTAGTATTTGAAATGTGTATGTGATTGGATTCATCTATGTCCCAGTCTTGTCTCCCAAGAGTTGTGGTGCACAACTTTGGCTAATTTTCCGATGCGCGATTCGATTTCGCTCGCATGATACGGCAATTCCTCCTAGAGGAACAAATCTTTTGATGCTGTGCGATTAAGTTTAGATTGAATTGGGGTAAGAATATATTTAATACATGTAGATTCTGGTCCTATTTTGATAATATCGCTGCTATTTCGCCGTTTAACAAGATGTGGTCGTGTATGGGCGCGTTGACACGTCGCAGTTTGCACAGGATTGAAAATTTGATATAACTATATAAGCACGAATTCCAAAGGCAAAGTGTAAGACAAAGTGAATGTATGATGCGGTTTATTTACATTTTTGAACAATTGAACTTCTATACTTTTTAAAGTACGATGTGCTTCTAAATTTCGCGATCGAACAACATTTAGGTTCGCAAGGTATCTAAATGAATATGAACTGTATTGTTTATGTTCAGAAGCTTTATATTGAAGACTGGCACGTGCGCGCCACGCCGGAGTTAACGCCAGAACAGGCGTCTTGTTGACATAATTTCCGACATTGCATCTGCTGGTGTAGTAAGGAAGACACTGGTTCTGCGTAAATTTTCGTGAAATAATTTACAAGACATCTCAAGCTTAGATTGCAATCACGTGATCACACGCGCATTCTGGAGAACAATTATTTCCATCAACTAAATCTTCTGCCGTTTATTTTTTTCTTATACATGAGCTGGAAACATTTTACGCTATTTCCGATATCCTTGTGACCGTTTTCTAAATATTTCTTGCAGATCTTAACGACAAAGCAAAAATTGAGGTGTGAAAAAAGAAAGGCTTTATTAACAAAGAACAGTGTGTATTCCAAGAAAGGTTGTAGCTACTCGGAGACATGTTTATCCAAGAAGAAGACGTATTCCAAACTGAATTGTGGCTATTCTGACGTGTTTTTATCAACAGATGACAATGCGTGCTCAGAGCGAGTTTGTAATTTTTCAATACAAATTAGTAAAGGTAAACGACCACTCGCTCCCGCTTCTTATTCAAGAAACGGGGTCGTTTACAAGGCAAAAAAGCGAAATTCGTGCACGGAGCAATTACAAGGATGGACAGGAATAACAGTGATATATTTAAAGGTATACAACATATACAACATAACAACTATTTTGTACAGAAATATAGCAGTTCACTTCAAAAGCTACAGTATATTAGTACAGCCGGCGATATTCTTATATTTTTAAGTATACTTTTTTTTATAGATATTTCTCAAGGTGAACTACCAAATTTGGATACTCTTTATGGCTACCTATTTAGTGATACTGAAAATCCTTCAGTTCAAAACAACATTGCAGCCCAAGAGAATCCACTTTTTGACGGATTGTCAACTCTCATTGAAAACGTCGGGGTTGAAACGGCAGATTTTTCAGCTGAAAACAACGACGCAGAACAAAAATTGCTAGAAGAAATTCTACACGAACTTTTTTGGCAAAATTTTAAAGATTTACTTGGTACAATAGAAGAACCTGATCAAGTCTTCTATGAACAATTTATGAATCTGACAACAATGTCAGCAGAGTCAAATATGAACTCTTTTAACACTGAACCTACAACTGACAATATAGCCTCGGAACCCAACAGAGGAACTCTAGAATCCATCGGCGAACTTGATAATACAACTACGGTACCTAATGTTACCCCAGATACCCCTTACAATACTGATTCAGGCGTATTTGCGGGTAAAGCTCCTCCCCTCATCGGAAGCCAACTTATCACCATTGTGAATCCTGGCAGCAGAAAGAGACCCTTTGAAGAAGACATTGAACCTATCGAAGCAGTTTTCCCTGTGTCGAAGAAGAGAATGGAACAACCCTGTTGCTCTAGAGATATAGAAGAAAGATTACATCCTGTGTCTTCATGTGCAAGTGGAGTTTCATCTATGGAAGAAAGAATACATCCTGTGTCTTCAAGTGGAGCTTCATCTGTGGAAGAAAGAATACATCCTGTGTCTTCAAGTGGAGCTTCATCTGTGGAAGAAAGAATACATCCTGTGTCTTCAAGTGGAGCTTCATCTATGAAAGAAAGAATACATCCTGTGTCTTCAAGTGGAGCTTCATCTGTGGAAGAAAGAATACATCCTGTGTCTTCAAGTGGAGCTTCAAATATGGAAGTAAGAATACATCCTGTGTCTTCAAGTGGAGCTTCATCTGTGGAAGAAAGAATACATCCTGTGTCTTCAAGTGGAGCTTCAAATATGGAAGTAAGAATACATCCTGTGTCTTCAAGTGGAGCTTCATCTGTGGAAGAAAGAATACTTCCTGTGTCTTCAAGTGGAGCTTCATCTGTGGAAGAAAGAATACATCCTGTGTCTTCAAGTGGAGCTTCAAATATGGAAGTAAGAATACATCCTGTGTCTTCAAGTGGAGCTTCATCTGTGGAAGAAAGAATACTTCCTGTGTCTTCAAGTGGAGCTTCATCTGTGGAAGAAAGAATACATCCTGTGTCTTCAAGTGGAGCCTCAAATATGGAAGTAAGAATACATCCTGTGTCTTCAAGTGGAGCTTCATCTGTGGAAGAAAGAATACTTCCTGTGTCTTCAAGTGGAGCTTCATCTGTGGAAGAAAGAATACATCCTGTGTCTTCAAGTGGAGCTTCAAATATGGAAGTAAGAATACATCCTGTGTCTTCAAGTGGAGCTTCATCTGTGGAAGAAAGAATACTTCCTGTGTCTTCAAGTGGAGCTTCATCTGTGGAAGAAAGAATACATCCTGTGTCTTCAAGTGGAGCCTCAAATATGGAAGTAAGAATACATCCTATGTCTTCAAGTGGAGCTTCATCTGTGGAAGAAAGAATACATCCTGTGTCTTCAAGTGGAGCTTCAAATATGGAAAGAATACATCCTGTGTCTTCAAGTGGAGCTTCATCTGTGGAAGAAAGAATACTTCCTGTGTCTTCAAGTGGAGCTTCATCTGTGGAAGAAAGAATACATCCTGTGTCTTCAAGTGGAGCTTCAAATATGGAAGTAAGAATACATCCTGTGTCCTCAAGTGGAGCTTCATCTTTGGCACAATCCCATGACAGAACAAATCGTGTTCGCGGTCCGTCGAGAGAAGCTCGATTGAATCAACAAGAAAATCAGCTTGAAACGGAAAATCAAGATTTGAGGGCCCAGGTGCAGGAGTTGTTGAGACAGATCGAGTTCCTGAGGAACTATATAGGCAGTAAATTAAAAGGTCAGTGTTATTACTGTGAAAAATGATCAAAATTAGAAATTTCTCGAAATTTCTGTGTAAAATACCCATTTGTTTCTTTCGCATGATAACGTATAAAATTAGAATAAAATAGAAAAAAATATCGTCAGCTTGATTATAGCCACACTAGCGAGTATATATAAAGCTAGAAGCTGATTTAAGCTGTTTTCAGAGTGATTTCAGAGTGATATTTGGAACTGGTCATAAAGTATCTGGTCGAGAGAAATTTGAATTAGCCGAAAAGTTTTATATTTTAGTACGGCTCCAATTTTCTCGGCTGTTTCCTTCGGTTTTTTAGATTTTTTAGTCATTTTTTGTTTCTTAACGAATCGCTTTCACATCGTCATAGTGATGCTTGTTTCATATCGTGTTTTCTGTATGACTCTCTGCTGTATTTTCTGCAAAACACGAGGGTCCTGTGGGAAAACTTTTCTCGGATCAATATTTGTGGCTTCCAACAACTTTTGCAAACAGATGTCTTTCTCGTTTTTTTATTCTGTCTGTTATTACTTACCCCCACTATAACCAAATTTCTGTCGCATTCTTAACGACAAAATATATTTTAATTCACTACTTTCCAGTGCTAGCTCTTTATAGCCGCTTTATCAGCCCAGTGAATAGACATTAAGGTAACATAGTGGGATATTTACTTGTTTCAGTAATTTTTTCTTTGATTTGACCCAAAAAACCCTCATTCTTGTTGTTGAAACATGCTTGTCTGGTTGTCGTACGTCCATCATATTTTCTGTTAGCGCAGTTTCTCGGTTTTTCTTTCAATGGTTTGGTGAACATTTTTCTTTGAATATCATGAATTTCTGCTTTAGTGCTTCGTCTCTTGAAGGTTTTTTTTTACAAAAACGCACTTTTACAAATTATTTTAATGGCACAATTCGTTCTGCTCTAAAACTTTGTGTTTATCGCCAGCATTCTGTGCTGTGAGCGACCATGAATGAGCTTTTTTCTTTTCATTTCCTTTTCACAATCATCGGCTTTTTCAAGTTTTGGAATACGCTCTCAACGAATTTCAGCAAATTACTTTATGACCAACCCCTAGTTGTAGATCACTCTTGAAAGATACATACAGGGTTCGTACAGGAATTGAAAATCCTTGAATAAATTTATGGAGAAGCATTTAAAAGTAATTGGATTTCTTTATTCAAAAGTAAAACCTAAACAAATTCAGTATTTCCCTGAGTTTTTTCTCGACCTGTACGAATCCTGCGAAAGTAATTAAGTTAATCAGCGCAAATGTAGCGCGCCCAAATATAGAGGGCATTAGCATATATCACGTTGAATGTAATCACTTAAGTTTGCGCAGTTATTATTAATAGTACAAATATATTATACAAGTTATTCAGTAAAAACCTGCGTTGAAATTGACATTAAAAGGCGAATGTTGAGCGCACGAATCTGCAGATCGGTTGTTTAAAGTTTGACTGGCACTATAACCCTTCATGAGTTAAATCTGAAACAGCAGTGTTTGGATTTGTTTTTCTGCATGGTCTTTTATATTAAAACGTGAGAAATTAAAATTTCTGTTGACCCTGGAATGATTTCTCGATTAGCATGATTAAGATGGTGTAAAGTTTGATGTAAAGATTTAATCCAGTAAATCCAGGATTAAGTCAGCCTAGTTTTAAGCAACCGATCTCGTAGTATATTGAATGAAAGCTAATGCAGTTTTTAATTAATATAAATTAGTATTTCATCTCAATGTATGAGAGATGTTTTAGGAAGCTTACAAGCTTTGCGTTTATAGGTTAAACGGCAGAACTGTCAGTTTTTTTAACTGTAATGTATCGTGATCTGATCTCCTTAGGATAAGTGAAAAACGTTGCGTGAATAATCAAGCAAAAAAGACCAACTCTGTCGTTTTCCGTTGCCCAAAAACGCGAAGCTTAATTTTCTGCGCAATTGATGTAATTAATCAGTAATACAAAAGAACGAAAATTATATAACAATTCGTTCCCATTTCTGTGTGACTGTTTTGTTTCCACGATGGTGCAATTCTAGTGTATAATAATGCACTTTTATGAATCAAGTTGAGAAAAAAGTCAAGCATTGCTCCTTGTCCTTGTGGAAGCATTGCTCCTTGTTCTTCAAGATTGCATAATGTTCATTGATATCCGTTGGCAGTGGGCTGTGGTATGTGGTTTGATATCTGCCTGGTCTCAGCGGATGCCGGGGTTTTTTTTAACTAATTTTGGGAATAGGAAATATTCCAAATTTATAGACAACAAATACCCATCGCAGAGTGACCGTACTTATCGAAAACCGTAACCTAAGGCAACACTTCGCTTGAAATAGTAACTTCTAGCACATATACTAATTTATGGAATAATAAATTTATGACGTCATACCAAGGCACCGACGCTGACCTTGTGTTGGAACAAATATTTTTGTACAAATTTCTGCATGAATAAACCGCTTTTACATTTTACATTATTGCGATTAGCCTGGTTCCAATTTTGGTATTGAAAGGTTGTAAAAATCCTTACTTCTAAGTGGCGAATTACTCTGGGTCATATTTAACAAATAGTGTCCATGGTGTGACGTGTTTATGCACGTTCCCATTGCATCCTGCTGTGTGATTGGCTGCTTGAACACACCCTGAAATCTGATTGGCTGTTGATGACGTCTTCTCTATTTCAGTCGAAGTATTGCACCACAGCCGGCAACAGTTCGCTACAAAAGACGAAGTTGTTTCATTTCTAACACTTCGTTTTCACAGATTTTGTACAAGGAAGGGTTTCGCGTTGGAGACCTTCAAGTTCTTAGCGTTCACCGCTTTCACAAGAGGTTTAGGCACCCGCGAGAGGCGCCTAAATTCGCCAAAACTTTACAGCAAAAAGAACCACCGTTTAAAACGGCAGTTGAACCCGTACTAGCCTTTATAAAAGAGCAAAAAAAATGTACGCACCGGTTGCAGATTTTAAACGCAGAATGGCCTTCTCAAACCAGAGTCGATTGTCCACTGGACATTCGAGAAGACAGTCTATACGAAAGTCTTCAGAACGAGGAACGTTTAATCGAAAAGCCTCAAATCGAAATTCCACAAGAGTTTATTGCAGACGAGATCGAATACAATTTACCCTCGACTACGAAACAAGAAGCGAAGCTAAAAGTTCACAAGAAAACGAAATTCGAGGGCCTAGCCTTCACAAAGATGGACAATATCTTCTTTGGGGATCTGGATGGTCCATTTGATTTAGAAGGTGAGAGGAAAAATCGGCATTTTGTTCAAATATTGACAATTCATTCATTGCTTATGTTTGATTATTATGTCACTATGGGAATGTTCTGATTGTAAAATGAATACATTTTAGAATAAATGCAACAGAAAATTGCAATTACTGCCTTAAATTTGTAACAAATCTGTTAGATTTTTAAGACATGATTCTAAAACATTCAATTGTCACATCATCACACAAGTTCTATAAATATCACGTTTGCTCTGGTATTAGAAATAAGAAAAATGAGAGGTAAACTTATTTGAGATGTTCCATTCATTTTTTCCATAGATATATTCCCGGATGACCCATGGATTGAAAATACAGATGTCCCTGTACAAAATCTTGAAATACCGGAGCACAGTGTGGTAACCGCACGAGAAGTCTTAGAAGAAACAATTCTATCACCTGATGTAAACGTGCAGAGCACAGTAGTAGAAGAAACTGATCATTTCTTCTCTGAACAATTTATAAACCTGGCTACAATGGAGTCTAATGTGAACTCTCTCGCCGCTGATCCTATGGCTGGTTTTGAGGCCACGGATAACATGATCATGCGAAATTTTGAAGAGTTGCTAGCTAATGTGAAACAGGATGTTCCTGAGTTCACATACGAAGCTTCTTCTCAGCTTCAAAATTTCCACGTTCATGTTTCTCCAGAGCCTGAAAATGACCTCACTGCAGCGGTGGTCCCAGATGTGATGATTGCTGAGAATGTACCTTCCCTTCCTGAAAGTCCTACCGACACCACCAATTCTGGTGTGTTCGCAAATGATTTCTCCCTTGACTTGAATCAACTTGATCCAGCAATTGTGAAACTGTTAGAAAACCTTGAAAGATCTGAAGATACAACTGTCAAACCTGACAGCAAAAAGAGGCCTCTCGTGGAAGTCGAGGAGCCTGTTGACACTGTTCCTGCAAGCAAGAAGACAAAGTCGCAATCATGTAGTTCTGAAGAGCGTGTTCCTGACAAAATTGCTGTGAGGAGAATGAAGAACAATGAAGCCTCTCGTGTCTGTAGAGCCTCCAGGAAGGCAAGACACAATGACTTGTTTGATCAGGAGAAAAAGCTTACAATTGAAAACAAAGAGCTGGCTGCGAAGGTGAAGGAATTATCAGCAACTGTAGAATACCTCAGAAATCATTTGGTTGTCAAATTAAGTGGACGGTGCAATTAATTTAGCCAGTAGAAATATGATCAAAATTACAATTAGAATTCTGTATAATATTTATCATTGACTGTGCATGATTCTGTGTGTTATATAGTTTCAGAAGAAGTCAATGGTAAATATTATGTGGATCAATAGTCGACAAACCACTGTAACGTACATATAATCACAAACGAACAAAAAAAACGACAAAAAAACAACAAAACGAAAAGACAAAAAAAGGACAAGACAAAACAAAACAAAACAAAAAAATATATGCACAATTAGTCTAGAATCATGCCAAAGGCATTTTAGTTGTTTTGAACTTGTGTAAAGTCATTCTTATGTTCTTATTACTACCAATTTCTGTAACAAATTTTTCAAAATATACTCTCATAACTTTATCCTTGTTTTTTTTATCATTTTGTGGGGATATTTTGACTAACAATGAACTAGCTCAGGTGTACAAAGTCCAGCAAAAAAACTCAGCTTTTGGCCCTGTGCTTATGCCAATGAATTGTACGGAACTTGGGAGGGTAAATGGGGGTTTAAGTTCCTCTTCAATAAACAACAATAACAGGTTCATTAATGACGCATAGAAAAACCAATATCCTAGTGTTTGTTTACTCCAGTACACCTAAACTGCATAGATAATGCTCGAGATAATGAATGCTTGATTTGCAATGTGTCTAAAAAGTCACAATCTCTGAACAAAATTTATTTAACAACATAACTTTATAAAATATTTTGTATAAAAAAGGCTGATTTCTTGTCCATCAGATATAAAACACCCCTCCACAAATATCTATACACTTTGCGTTCTATACAATCTGAAATAACTGAACAAAACTATGAATCTATGATCAACATAACATGTATTACTTAGGATGCTCATTGTTCAAATGTACATATAACAAACATGGCAGCCTTAAATATTAAGAGAAAATGCTACATGCAAATAAAATATAATAACAAAGGGACTGGGGTTATTTAAAATGGGAACTGTTGTAGCTTTCTCAATGATCCAAGTTCTTGGAAGCAGATTTGATCATTCTCCTCATGTTCCACTTATCGTGTTTCAACATCCAATGACCATTGTAGACAAAGAGGATGGTCATCTTGTCAGAGTAATGTAGGTCTGGTAATAACTATAGAAAATAAAAACAATTTATTCAACATACAATATTCTTCATAGAGTATGCCGTATCGTATGTACCATAATGTATTGAATTATACCATGATATACCTCAACATACCATATGATACCATGCTGTACTATATACATAACACAGTACAGCTAGCATTACCATAACATATCCAGACCCATAAAAACTATAACTCACTTACTCACCTTTGGTGACATGAGGAAGTGCTGTGGTGTATTTGGTCTTGAGGATGTCTCAACCATCAACTCAAAAACCTTTCGTTCATTGGTTGGATCCATACCCTGGTGAAGAAAATCTGGTTAAAACCTTAGCTTGGTTCGTGGTTGCAAAGAGTCAACTCGTATAACTGAAGTTTGATCATAATTCTTCCAGTAAACAGTACCTGGTTAATCTCATCCACCACTCGGAATGGACACTTTGTCAGCTCTTGTAAAGACATCAGGTACAAAATAGTTGAGACGCTTTTTTCTCCTCCACTTTGATGAAATTGAGTTAAAACATGAAGGCTGTCTTTTGCTCGAAATTTCACTTTGATTTCCACCCCGTATTTCTCATAATTCTCTTCGCCCTACGTATTAAAAGATAGGACAAGTTAAGCAGAAAATCAGGCCAGTTTTCTTTCGAAAAAATGCTGAAACTTTACAGCCACATGCTTGTGTGTGTATGCGCATTATGAGAAGTGGTATAAATGTAGGTTGTTCACCAGTTTATGGTATGACCCATTATTCCATATCTTTGAGTTTCAAACACTTCAGTACCTGGTCAGTTCCAGTGGCAAGTGAAACCTCGCCAGCGCATTGCAATTTTCGGAAAAATCCAACAAACTTCTCATTAATTCTCGCCAGGAGTTCGTTTAGCGGCGTCAACCACCTACACAAACATCGTGAAACAACCAGTTTCGGTGAATAAAACAAAAAAAACATTACGACCATCTTTAATATAAAAATCGAAACACAAAACTCAAAAGGTCAGTTTCACTTTTGAAATCATCGTGAATTATACAAAACATATTTTCTTTTACCATCCTGATTTCATCTTCCAACAGAAAGAAAATCGCTTCAATTCTCATCGCGATAAAGCGCGTACAATGCTCTTACCTTTCTTTCAACGACTCGAGTTGGTTGTCCTTGTTTTTTATTTCGTCCGAGCTGTTTGCAATCTAAAAACAAATTCATCTCCTGGTCAAAACCAATCTGGCTGTTCTCGGGTATAAGTCGTCATAACGAGAGGTATTTTACAAAGGATTGAATACTTACTATTTCAGTCAGTTCCTCAATTTCTTTTTTTCTTCGTTCGTAATCTCTAATGACCTGAGGGTTCGTCTGGTAGTTGCAATCAGCTTTAGCTTTCTCACTATGAATCATGTCTTCTATTTCTTGAACGGTATTCGGGTAGGTTTTAAAAAGCTGCAAGTTGAAGATGCACTTTTTAAAGGTTTGATGATAAAGTTATTTTTCTACCTTAGCCCAGGCCTGGATTGCAAGCGAGAACAGAAAAACGTGCGCGCGCAAACTTCAATATGTTCAAGGAATGTTCTTTGAGATTCTCAAATAGACCGCGTTTATTCTTTAGAATAAAGCAAAGTAACAATTGTGCTTTTAAGAACATTCCAAAATGTAACAAAAAGGTTCCAAAATGGAACAAAGATAATTGTTGCAAAAAAGTCTCAAAAGTGTAGCAAGCGTGGGAAATAATCAATTAGAATTTTTGCCGTGCGAAAAGAACGTTTCGCGTGAGAAAAGAACGTTTTGTGCGAAAAAAGAACGTCTTGTGTGGGAAAAGAACGTTTTGCGTAAAGGAAACACTGTGAAATAATCAAATATTGCTTACGACAACAGGATTATCTTGATGGTTTAAAAAAGGAGTGTATATTAGTTGCGGTGTTCTGACAGACCTCTTTATAGTCATCAGATAAATCTGATCCTTCAGGCGTGTCTGTTGCTCTCTGTGCGACTCTCAACTGCTGTTTCGCTCTTTTACGAACCGTTTCGTATTCCTCTTTGACAATCTCAAACTCGTTCTAAATATGATGGAAATGAGAGAGAGGATTATTTAAGGACAATTGTAAACGCCATGCAGAGGTCAATCTAATCAACCCTCAACTGAATGGCGTACCTCTAAACCCACGAGTTGTTCGTTAGCCTGGCGAATTTCTGCATCAACATTTGCCTGTTCCATCATAGCCTTCGACGTTCTCATGCCGATTAGAACCCTTTCTTTCGAGACATCGAGACATTTCTAAAGAAATGAAACACAGTTTGGCATTGAATTGTATTCTTTCTGTGCGATTTCTCGCATTGTATTGCTGTGCCTGTAGATAAGATGGATCTACATAGCGGTTTATATTAGGACGGCCTGTGAAACGCAGAAGCACCTTGGCTTGGGTTAGCACTTTCCCCGCTGTATCAACTCTTTCTTTGTTCAGTTTCTGAATTTCTGAATTGATTCGTTCCTTCTCCGTCGCGATGTCAGGCATTTCCGTCTTCTTCAACTCGATACTAAAGAAAAGAAATATTTTGCAAACTGCTTCCTTCAAGAAACAGCAGACATATACAAATGCTAGGAATGATACACAGAACATGCTGTTGTATGATTCACGTATTTTCATGATCAAACAAACCTTCTTTCCTTGCTTTCAATTTGGTTCAAAACTGTTTTGTGTCGAGTCTGTTTCTGTTGAAGATCTTTCTGAAAAAGCAAGTTCAATGCAGCACAGTAAAATTGTCAAACTTTCCAAAAACCTACACCAGGCAAGTTTACGAGAGTGTTGGAAACTGCGGTTAGGTTAAGGGGAAACTCATTTACCTTTTCATTTCGAAGTTTCTCCAATCTCGCTCGTTCATTTTTGTCAGCAGTCAAAAGAAGTTTCATGTTTTCCTCAATTTCGCTGATAGTTCTCTCGATTTCCTAGATTCAGGGATGGTATAAGAGGTGACATGTTTGGATAATGTGGATTAGAATGTCGGTACATTTCTCAAAGCTGTGCTGTACACAAATATGAATTTCATACTTGTTTTTCGAGTTCAAGTCGTCTCTTCTGTTCTAAATCGACAGAAATGCTGAAAATCATCGCATCTCTGAAAGGATGGAAAAGCAGTTTAGTTTAATACCGCTACCATTGAGTGCCTTCAAACTGTACATTAGAAATGTTCCATGAGTGATAAATCACATGCAAAGTGCTAGTGAAAAAAAAGACTTACTTTACAGTTGATGTGGCTGTTGACTTTTCACGATTGCCATAACGTGAGGTTTTCACAACGTACTGAACAAGAAAAGATTAAATTTGTTTCATTTCAGTTGAATCTTAGCAAGACACATTTAGGGAGGATTTTGGTTACCAACTGCATGTACAGCTGGAGTCGGTGCTTCTGACCATTACCGTTCAGTAAAAATATCTGGTGTCAGATATTAAGTACTTGAAAATAGTACCTTCAACGTCGGTGTGTAAAAATGCCATAAACCAGAGTTCCCTATGACCTAGAACCAAACAAAATCAATAAGTAATTGGTAGCATAGACACCGCATATCTTTTGCATCGTTTTTCGTCCACACCACTGTTTCTGATGACTAAATCAACGTATTACCTCATCAGCGTGTTTATCCGTGTACTCAGTTCCCAAAGGAATCTCGTGAATTCTACAATTCTCGCATAAATATCTCATAACAGCATCTGGCGCTGTAAACAACTCGTTTAGATAATGAAGAAATCCCCATCGTCTAAAGAAGGTAAAATTTAACGTGATGGAAGAAGTAAATACCAATCTCGTGAAGAATATATACAAGTGTTATGACTTCTGAATCACATACTTGATTTGGTCGATGGTTTTCCTGGGTTTAAAGCTGGCGAGCGGTGTATCTGGAGGAGCAACGGCATTTACTCTCAATGATTGCTTGTCTCGAACCTAAGAGAAATATAAACTGGTTTGTTTTTCGACCAATTCTGGTGGATAGCTCTATCAGTTCTAGAACTATTCTTCCTAGAGGTCCAGTAAGGATCATCATTTATCGAAATAAACCTACAGCACATTTCTTTACACGAAGTTAAGGTAAAATTACATCGAAAGTTCAGCAAGCGTACCTCCGATAAAAACAGCTGTAAATCTTTTCTTGTTTCACAGACAAACGCTCTCATATCGTTACCAGAGACAACCATCTCGAGAAATTTCGCATCTTCCAAGCGGTTCATGTTGACCTACACACAATGGATTGAAATCTTGTTTTGTATTCTACAGTTATACGTCTCTGAAGGACGTCAAACACAGTACTTAGTAGAACTGTAATCTTTCAGGGGAATGCCAGCTTGACTTACCAAAAGCATTATAGGTTCATGGACGGGGTTGTCAAACTTGTGTTGGTTTTCCCGCAGCCACAAGACTGCATTGTACGTGTCCTTATAGTGCGTTCTGAGGAACTCTAAACGCTGGTTTTTCTTGTCTTCAAGACGATCTAACCGCTCTCTGACGCCTGAAAATTATACAAATTGATGAACGCGATGAACTTATATAAGTCTATCACCACTCCAGCTCTGTAATCGGTTGATAAACCCTATCATTGATATGCCGGAGTGATTGATCTTTGAAGTGAAAACAACAGTCTATACCAATTCATTGTTTGTTTTTCACGGGAAACCCTCGTTGATGAAAGCCACTTACTTTTCAATTGAATTCCAGCGCTGCCTTTTTCATCTTTGAGATTTGCTGCGTCCGTTTGAATCTTGTTGATTTGCTGTTGAAGTGTCCGACCTTCATTGTTGATTTCCGCCAAACGAGGCTATGGTGAAAAACGATGTAAATAAAGAAAAGGCAGGAAAAGTAGGATTCGCTGGCTTCCTGAAGTGATTCTTGTAGCTTCAAACCATATTTCATCGCAAAGCACTGTAACTTAAATCACCTGAAACGTTTCGGGTCCTGGAAGAGTTTCCAATTCGTTTTTCAAACCCTGAACAAAATTTTCCAGAGCTGTGATTCTAGCAAAAAAAAACACGAAAATAATTGGTTTCGCTGAAGTAAAAAGTGACCTTAATCCTATACTAAATTTTTGTCAATTTTAAGTTCTAATTTAAACTTCGACCGCCGGCAATTGGTTACTTTTTTTGTATGTTTTTCTGTTCTTGAACCATTCCTTTTAGTTCGTTTTCCATGTCTTTGACTTTGTCAACCGATTCTTCGAGTTTCTCTTTCTTGTTTTTCAAATTCTGGTGGGCCTGTCTACCTTTTTCACCCTGGAAATAAAATCGAAGTAAGCCAGTGATCATGCTTTCCAACCACAAAGTTTTGCTCGTTGGCAATTTTCAATCAAAAATACAACGTTTAAAATTACCAGTTTACGATTCTCTTCGTTTTGTTCTTGAACTTTTTTCGTGGCCTCGTTTTTCTTCTTCTCCAAAGGAGCGTTTTGTTTTTTAGTTTGATCAATAACTTGCTTGATTTCATCACGTTTTTGTTTCTTTTCGATAAATTGTTTCCTCAATTCTTCATATTCCTAAACCAGAAAAGGAATTATTGAATTTCATTTCTTGAATTTCATCTCTACAAATCCTGGGTTAATCGGTATTTTCTTGTTGAAAACTCGCAGAACTTAATGTATGAAGAGTGAGCTTTTTACAGCCAGGACAGGAGGTCAGGTTTTTTCCTGGGTAGTCCAGCATCTTCTCACACTAGTCAATGCTGATATGGTTAGTTGACCTGACTACATCCAAGTTAACCTAAACCTCTTATATCAAAACTGTGTTCTCTCAAAAACAACACTCACAGCCCATGGTTTCTTCTTTTCCAAGACTCGAATCTTCTCCAAATGTTTTTCTCTTTCTTGATAGCGTTTAACTTCATGTTCCAGTCGGCTGTTTTGCTGTTGGAGTTTCTCTAAATATTCCTTCTTTTCTGTCAATGATGCCTTAAAGTTCAGTAAAGTCCAATTATTTGGAAATACATACATTTGGCATACATATAATACTGTAAACTTTGGGGAAAAGCATTTAAAAAATGGTATATGAACATTTAAAATTTCACACCTCCATGTCTTTTCCTTTCTTTCCAAGAACAACAAGATCTTGGTGGTTTTGCCACATGTCAGGTGGGCCAACCTAAAATGATGTAGCATATTTCTAAAGTTCACCCACAGATTGAGGAAATAAGTGTGTTTATAAGTTATGAAGCAATCTGCAATATGTTTGGTAGGCAAAAATAATGTGATGGTTGTAACTCTTTTATATTTTTCTTTTGATGTGATTCAAGTGATCTGATGTTGAGTTATAATACTTACAGCTTTTTCGGTGGCAACTAACAATTCCTGGGGTGACATCTTTGCAAACTCAACAACCTTTTCCTAGAGATATATTAGCAAATATGAAGATGGCCCACGAGACATAAATGCTTTCATTTTATAATTTTATCAAATATATACAATTAAATCAATGTCTTGTACACCAGACATAAATAACATGATAACAAATTGCTTTCAGGACAAATAAATGAGCAGAAACCATAAAAAATAATAGAGGTGCAATACAGCAACTAACCTGGGGTAGGAATTGACACAAATTGTTGATCTGAATGTTCAATTCACTCACCAAATCCTGAATCTGATAGGGTCATAGGGAGAAGGGAAATTGTAGAATCTTGGCACGTTTTGATGATACATATTGTGTATTCAATGAATAATGATAGCTAGTACATAAGGGCAATCTGATTTTTCTATTCTATACATACTGCTTTCTGAGGAACAGCTTTTCTGTTGAGTTGCCAAGTGGATTTGTTTTCCCTGGTAATTTGCCGTTCAATGATATAGTTTCCTTTGCCCTGTTGTGAATTGTATCTAGGAGTGAGGATGAAGATGATGTTTTGTGTGTAAAAATTAGTGTATCGAGAAGCTGGGTATCAATGCAAGAACTGAAATAAAGGACGTTAGAAAGCTCTGATGTAGTTTGATTCAATGATTATGACTTACAATTCGAGCTCAACTGATCCATGTGCTTCACCATGTTTTACAAATTCACCAACCTGTAATATTGTTTTTCATTGCAAAATGTTTAAAACCTTAAGCAGTTGATCTCATATGAAGTAACTAATGGTTAGTCACACAAAAGGCATTCACTCACATTGTCGGCTCGCCCAAGGAGCTTTGGGGAGCCAGCAAGGCCAAGACATATTGCACAAACAAGAGAGGATTTGCCACTACCTGATGAAAGACAACTGTAATATCAGTGACCTCCCACAGATCATTTTTGTGTGAGTAAACGTATGTGTGGTAGGTCAGTTGTATATAGCCTGTTGGTTGACAATGTACCTAGGTAGGAGCGTCACTGCTCTGTCTAATGGCAGTTTTAATTATAATACTGGCGAAACTTCAATTGGGTTAAAACTATTTTTTTATCAACTTACAAAATGAACAGAGCAACCGTAGAGTTGAATCACATTGAAAAAGTAATTTGAAAGAAATTTTTTGAAGAATAGAAATGGCATTAGTGGGGCTTGAACCCCAGGTTTTGGGGTCTACAGACACATGCCTTAACAACTGTGCTAGTGACAAATTACTAAATTCTACTGCATAGAATAAGCACTTGATATATCTAAGTATAAAAATTCTGGTATAAAATTATCTGCTTTTGTTCAGTCATATCTGCTATCATAAAATTATCTGCTTTTGTTCTTTTGCTATGCATAATTTCCTACCAGCTTCACTATAATTATTTAAGACATTAATTATCATATATCAGTGCGATAATCTCACCATTCGGTCCTAATATTACATTCAGACTTGCTCCTGGGAAATACTCGCATTCATCATACGTGCTATAAAACGACAACTGCATCAAAATAATTGCTTTTAAACACTTCCTCGCTGACACAAGAGTCAACCTGGTCTAACGGCGCAATATTCACGGCAACTTACAGAAATCTGACGAGTTTCATACGCACAATCGAGCCATGATAGTGCGTGTTTTCTGAAATAAGATTGTGAAGAAGGTGGGAATTTTTGACCTTCATCGCGCCGTTTTGCGAGCTTTTCTTTCTGCGTTTATTTACCACTTCAGCCATCTTGTCTTTATCATTCATTTATTCACCATCTGCGCGCTTTCCCGCGTTAATAAAGAACCGGAAAACACAAAAAGGAAGTGAAAAACAGCGGATGGAAAAAGCTCAGATGTCTTTCGAACTCCCCCGTATTATTCCCCTAAGTATGTCTTATCTTTATATTATTTGACAACACTCTTAGTTTCACGAAGGGGGGTGGTATTAGGTGAAGAAAATTTAATCTTTTTACCCTCCGTATAATTTGCTTTTGGTCAAAAATCGCATCAAAATTATCTAGAAAATTGAGAAGTGAATGAAGTTGTGCGGGGGGTGAGCGAACCAATGCACAACTTTTTTACTTCCGTTCAAGCGTTCTTCCAGCACTGTTTCAGCATTCTTTGCATATTTTTGTTGTATTTTATTTCCGGCAAGTCCGTTTTTTTAATGTCTGTTTTAAAGAGAAGAGTATTTAGAAGGTTCTTCGACAGCAGGACATACTCATGTTCGAGTAAATTAAGATGTATTTTTTGTAGAATTTCATCAATTTTAAAGCCACTTTTTAAGGGTTTTTTATACTTCCGGCTTACTTTACACTTCCGCTTTCATAGACTGTGAGGAAAATAATAGCAACACGACTAACTTTTAGTGGTTTTTAACTTGGATTAGTATTTCAAAATATAGGAACTTCTATTTAATGAAACAGTGTTTGGTTTCCAGATTTATAAAGGGCTGGCAAATCTAGAAAATAAAAGCTTGCAAGTAGAGGAAGTCTATGTATCATTGGAAGTTTGTTTGCTAGAAGTGGAAAATTTGTTTACTTCTGTTTGTCTGTTTACTTTCGTTTTCTCGGAATCTCACATAGCGCCACTAATTGAATATCGAACGATGGGTGTTACGAGAATGGCAAATCGAATTCGTTGTTTATGTTTATGTGATTGCTTTGCCTTTGAAGGAAACTGTGCAGGAAGAACAGACTAAATTTGAATATAAACGAACAATGGGTAAGGCAAAGTGCGTTTAAACACGACGAAATTAAATTTTTAAATTAAAGATACAGATCATATATCCATTGAAGTTTTTTGTTATTTTAAGTACGGTATTTACAAAACGTGTATTAAACGGTTTGCCTGGTATAATGTGAATAAGTTGGGTTATCTGTTTGCTCGAAGCTTTTATTGAGCATTGATCGGTGATTTGAAACATTCGTCTTAAGTCTTCACATTGCATGTCAGCGCATGTTTCATGAAACGCTTATGCAAAGATCTGTTTTGTTAAAAAATATACACTAGGCAGAAGTTTCTTTTAACTTAATGATCAGTACATTATATAACCAATTAAAGTTATTAAAATGATCTATCCTATGGTATGATCGCCTATAATAACAATCTTTCTGGGGCCTTTGGCGTACAAAAATCTTCATATCATGACCTTTGTTGTATGTGATTTAAATAATATATAAATGGCTTGCCACCTGGCAACCGTGGTTGCCCATATCATCAAAAATGTTGAGCTAAGCCTCTTGAATTTAACTTATAGAAATGAATGCAGACTTCCTGAAAGCATGTGAAACTGGTAACCTAAATGAAGTTTTAAATATCCTTTACTATCATGACAATGGACCGATCAAAATCTTACAGACGGATCCTAGAACCTTGGACCACATGCACTACTTTCATGCAGTCTGTTTGAACGGCCACTGTGATGTTGTCGAACAATTGTTTTATTTCAATGTTGATGTCAATCTGGACTCGAGATACGGCACTCCATTGGCGGTCGCTTGTCAGGGCGGGCATATAGATACTGTCAAAGCCTTGGTCAAGCATGGAGCGAAAATTTATGACCCAAATTCTAGGCCAACGCTCACACCATTTTTCCAAGCCTGCAAACATGGACACTTGGAGATTTTGACGTATTTGATCCAGGAAAGGCCTGATGTTTTGTTAAACTTGGGCCACAGCTTTTGGTTGAAGCATGTCGTGAAGGTTCTTGGAAATTGTTATTTTGCTTGTTCAAAAGAAATTGATATTAATGGCGTGGTTCATCCTAGCTCACCGCACAGGAAGAGATTTCGTTTGAATCGGTCTTAGAGACCCCACTACAAGCAGCGTGCTCGCAAAACCAAGTTGAAATTGTGGAATATTTGTTGCAAGAAAAAGCCGAGGTGAATGTCAGCATGGTGCAGAAATATTACCAAGTACTAAAAGAAGCAGTTAAAAGGTATGATTTGTGACCATAAATTACTAATTGGTTAAGTCAAAATTTGGTGTAAGTTAGGTATGTTAATAATTACTACATAGTTTGATTATTTTTTTCATGAATATAGCTAATTAATGTATGAAAATTAATTACTTTGGGAAGCATTTCCAAACAACTTCTCAACCTCAAATGTGGTATTCGGTAACTGCTTATAGTAAACAAAAAAACTTTGCAACCTTTTAAATAAAGGCCTTCATCATTTGGTTTGCTTGTGACTTGTTAGTTATATAATTTGTTAATTCATGAATTATTGTTACAATTTAGTAATCAACTCTGAGAGCTAACTAATTAGTACTTTAATTGTTTACTTTGTTGGTTAATATTTGTTATTCAATTAATTAATCTTTAAGAAAATCTTTTTTTGCTTAAATTAGAAATTTTAAAGAACACAAGGGAAAATACAAAAGAAAACAAACACAAAAGATGTTTCTCCTGGAGGGGGATTTTTCAAGTTCAAATTTCTATGATATTCACAAAAGTTGGTTCTTGGATTATGCCGATAGTCTCGTAGTTCTTGATCTGTCCCAGAACAACTTGCAAAACGTTCCTAAAGAAGTTTTAAACCTGCCATCGATCAGAGAAATCAATTTGTCAGCAAATGATTGATTGTCCTACCTGAGATTGAAGATGTCGAAGCAACCAGGTTAGATTTTATGACCATAGGCAGTTGTGAAAGACTCTCAATTTTTTCTAGTTAAATTGTAGTTATTATCTGAATACACAACTCTGATTGGTCAATTGTGTCACTATATAGTTAGTTGACCAGCTGTCAAAACTCAATACCACACCTGGGCTGGTTGTTTCAATGCTGCAGTTACCTCAACCCAGCTGGGTTGATGTAAATTACCTTTCCATCAATAGCTTCTCAGTTGCTTGTTTATAAAGTTGAATATGTTTCCCAATAAAACTTTTCTGTATTCATAGAAGTCGTGAAATGAACTGTTGTGCAAACGTGCATGAAATAAAAATTGATTAAAATATAACCTTGAGTTGAGCGCTAACCTAGTTTTTAACAACTGTCCCCGTTGCACAAGAGTTGTTGAAATTTATTGACAAGTACGTTTTGAACCGGCACAGTTTCTACTTTGTAAAAACAGGTTTAATGAAACGGTTATGTCTCGTTCATTCTAGACTTAGTCGACAACTCTTGTTCTATCTGACCAGCCATTGAGGTTTTCGAAAAACTCTCACGCTAGTTCATGCAAACTCTCTTTGCGAGCATCAAATCCCGTTTGACGGCTGAGCCTTAACTCTTAAAAGACTGCATTGCTTATTTTCCAGGTTGGTTGATATCACGGCTGCTTCAAATAAACTCACCCATGTCCCCATGTCGTTTTTTAACATAAAAGGCTTACGATATCTGAATCTAGTCAACAATCGCATCGTATCTTTGCTGAATAACAATGTCAATGACGCCGAGCAGTTCAGTGATAGCAATGATGCAACGAGCTTCGATGAAGTCGAAGATATCACTTGGCAATGTCATTCATTAAAGTCTCTGAATCTATCCGGAAATCAGCTGAAATTCATCCCGTCTGCAATTCATGCTGCGAACAGTTTAGAAAAGCTATTGTTGCGTGGAAATCAAATTAGTTCGTTCCCAACAGGATGGAAATGTCCATTAGTAAGTGATTGAGATTGTTTACCTTTGAATATGACTGAGATCTTAGCTTGAAAATGTAAAAAACTTTTTGCGTCTTTATCAGGTCGGAATGTCCAGGTGGCCTTACTAGACCAGGCTCTAGGAAGAACAGTTTAGAACTGATAGAGCTATCCAGTAGAAAAAAGTTAGTTTAGTTTAGGTTTCCTCCTGTAGTAACACTGGATCAATAAGAGATAATCCTTACTGGACCTCTAGGAAGAACAGTTTAGAACTGATAAAGCTATCCAGTATAAATAAAGTTAGTTTAGTTTAGGTTTCCTCCTGTAATAACACTGGATCAATAAGAGATGATCCTTACTGGACCTCTAGGAAGAACAGTTTAGAACTGATAGAGCTATCCAGTATAAATAAAGTTAGTTTCGTTTAGGTTTCCTCCTGTAGTAACACTGGATCAATAAGAGATGATCCTTACTGGACCTCTAGGAAGAACAGTTTAGAACTGATAGAGCTATCCACTATAAATAAAGTTAGTTTAGTTTAGGTTCCCTCCTGTAGTAACACTGGATCAATAAGAGATGATCCTTACTGGACCTCTAGGAAGAACAGTTTAGAACTGATAGAGCTATCCAGTATAAATAGAACTAAATTCCATTCTATTATAGAATGGGATTTAGTTCAGCGAAAATCTTCAACCTTTGGCTTTGCACCAAACCGACCGCTGATGTATTCCATCTTCTTTTTAATCTAGAGAATCCTAGATTTATCTAAGAATGAATTGACAGACTTCAGGCAGTCTGTTTTCAATGCATGGACTGAAACGATGGTCGATTTGAACCTCAGTTCGAACAAATTCTCATCAATATCTTGGGATATATGCCAGTTAAAGTTGCTGCAATACCTGGACTTGAGTAAAAATTGCATTGAAAATATGCCGCCGAAGCATTACTGGACCTGCACGAACTTACGAAAACTAAATCTGAGTGAAAATAAGGTGAGAAGATGTTTTTTGTGTATGTCAGTACTGATGCAGCCTATATTTCGATCAGTTTCAAGGACCGAACAATGAATAAAGTTTCATGGAATGAAGATAAGGCTTTAAATATAGTAAAGTAAAAAGGGAATTTGGAAAAAACGAGACATATTAAGGATGCTTTTCACGATTCAAAGCAAGGCACATGGCAAAACTTTCAACCAGCGTCTTTTTAAAGTTTTTTCAACAATGCAATGCATTCTCAACATTTTATAGTTGTGTGGCGTTAGCACTCGAACGACGACAACGAGTCCGACCGGCAACCTCCGAAGGCTGACGTTCATGTCACGCCCTCCGACAGTGGACCGAGATGAAATCGAGGACGAATTTCCGTATGAAGTTTTCGGGTCAACCCTTGAGACCCTGGACCTGAGTGATAATAAGCTTGCCGTGGTTCCGAAATCTGTTTGCCAGTTGACCTCGCTCGAAGATTTGAATCTTTCCAGGTTCGTTTAAGTTTTTCTTTATCCTTACATCAATCTCCCAAATAGTTGTATTTTCGAAACATATTATGTCCCAGGTGACAGATATACATACACTAAATATACACAATTGCGAACATTTTGACAGTTATGTTAAAACTGTTGGCTTATTTGTGCAATAAAGAAGAATTAACTATTGAAATGCCTGCTGTTTTTAAATACGGGCTTTGTCAGTTTAATCAGTTCTTGTGCTCATTGTTGTTATATGTTTCAGAAACCGACCTTTGAGAAGTTTGCCTCCGGACTTGGGCAACCTCACGGAATGCTATCAACTAGGAATAGAAGGTCTCAATCTGAGTGGAATTCCGAGATATGCTCGTTCAGGTGCGTTGAATAAAGTTACCAGATTTCCGTATATTCGACCATGGTCGAGTTTACCGTTTTCCTTCCATATTCGACCATGGTCGAGTTTACAATTTCCGGTATATTTGACCTCCACTAATTACATGGATAACCACGCTGGTTAGATGGTCTAATAGACTAATTCTGGTCCTATGTGAAGTTTACAGCATGTTTGGTGCTCATATAAAAACATTAAACCATATAACCATGCTTGGTTGTGATGTCAAATATTTTGACATGCATAACCACGCTGGTTAATTGGTCTAAAAGACTAATTCTGTTCCTATATGAAGTTTCCAGCATGTTTGGTGCTCATATACAAACATTAAACAATATAACCTTGCTTTGGTTATGATGTCAAATATTTTGACATGGATAACCACGCTGGTTAAATGGTCTAATAGACTAATTCTGGTCCTATGTGAAGTTTACATACGCCGTTTTCCTGCCATATTCGACCATGGTCGAGTTTACCGTTTTTCGGCCATATTCGACCATGGTCGAGTTTACCGTTTTTCGGCCATATTCGACCATGGTCGAGTTTACCGTTTTCCTGCCATATTCGACCATGGTCGAGTTTACCGTTTTTCGGCCATATTCGACCATGGTCGAGTTTACCGTTTTTCGGCCATATTCGACCATGGTCGAGTTTACCGTTTTTCGGTCATATACAATTTCCGGTATATTTGACCTCCCCTAATTACAGTAGCACAATCACAATTTTATATCACCAACGTCATACACTGACACATCATTAAGTTCGAAGGTGCATAAGGATTTTGTTCGTTTTTTCAGGTCATACGTCGAAAGATGTGCTGACGTATCTCAGGGCCAAGCAACGAAAGTCTGTCCCGTATTACCGAATGAAATTGATGGTTATTGGTTTGCAGGGACGTGGAAAAACAACCCTTCTTGCTGCGTTGCGCAATCAACCTCGTCCTCCAAACATTTCAACAGTTGGTATTGTTGTTAACCAGTGGACTGTTTCTGGCTTTCAAACTCTCCGTGAGAGAATGGTACAGATTGGTAGAAGGGATCAGGTGGGCGTTTTTTAAAACTTAGCTCTTCAGTCAACTAAGAGAGAACACAGAAGATACTTAACTCTGCTCAAATGAGTTCTGTACAACATCAGATCACTTTAAGGTAGCCCTCATTCAAGAACATGTACCACCTCTGCATGATCTAACCATGCTTAACTCAGTCAACTGAGAGAGAACACAGGAGAGACTTAACTCTACTCACATGAGTTCTGTACAACATCAAAACGCTATACATTTGCCGCATCATGTACGTTTATTAACTAACAAAGATTAAAAAAACTCCTAGGTCAATCCATCCATTACATTCAGTACTTGGGATTTGGCAGGCCAAGAGATATACTACTCTACACACCAGTGTTTTCTGTCATCTAACACACTTTACTTGGCTGTGTGGAACATCTCAACCGGTGAAGAGGGGATCGATAAATTAAAACCCTGGCTTCTCAATGTTCAGGTAAAAAATCAGCGTTTGAAATGAACTGAAATGAATTGTATATACAAATTTTGGCTGTTATTAATTGTAAATTCCTCAAGGATATATAACTGAACTGTTTTGACTGCAGTAACCCTAGTTTAACTGAATTCAAACGAGTAAAAGACGTATTTATTATCTCAACATAACTTAGAGTGCTTTTTAATCAATGAAAACAGCCAGACCGCTCCTGTTGTATTTCAGTACAGACAGATTACTGGTATTTTAGAGTGTTTCAAGGACTCTGTATTCAAGTATATCGTTATTTACATCTGCCTAGCACGGGAAATGCAGTTTTACCGTTATATTCTTAACGAAATACTCTATTTCAATTCAAAATATGACCGGTCGGACCATTTTGGCCGCTTAATGGAAAACACTCTTATAGAGCCATAAATTCTTAAACCAACAACCATTTACTTTTCTAGGCACGAGCGCCTGGTTCTCACGTGATCATTGTCGGAACACATCTGGATCTTCTGCCCGGGGCGGGAAAGTACAGGCGCGTCGACGAGCTTCGATTAAATATCGCCAAACGATACAATAAGAAAGGTTTTCCACTTATCAAGGGCTACTACATGGTCTCTTGCACGTCTGGTGAAAATCTGGACGAGTTAAGACAAGCCATTTATCAGGCAGCCTTGGAACTGAAGGAGACGGAAAGCACAGGAAAAGGAGACACTCTGATTGGTCGAAAGGTGAGGATAGTTGAGTACATGTAGTAGTAACTAGTTTCCAATCCAACCAGGTGATCTCGCGCTCATATTTTAGCCAATCAGCACTTAGAAGGGTTATCTAAATAGAAATCTTTTCTGCAGTATTTAATCGATTATATCTTTTGTTATTCTTTATGAAACGTATCGAAATTTTGTGATTATGTTTAGTCATAAGAACTATAGCTCTGATATAAATTTGAAACCAAAATGAGGAATATTTCAAGAGTATTTTAAGTTGTTTTAATCGAGAAATGGATTTATAATAACAACTATATAATGAACTGTATTGACAACTATAATCTCAGTTCTTTTCCCGCCATTTCAGATGACCCGGGAGAAAGGAAATAATGTATTTCCAAGGATTTTAACGTTAATAACTTGATTAGGCTCATCAAGTCTTCTACAGACCTCTTCTACAGAATTTTTTTATAATTTATATTTGTTTTTTTTTAAAGATTCCGATCAGTTATCTGAAACTTCAAGAGACTGTTATGAAAGAAGCTGAGAATCGTATGAAGGAAAACAAACCTCCCATTTTGAACGAATACGAAATGTTGGAGCTGGCAAAGAAGGATCCGAATAACGATATCTTGGAACGAGACGAATTAATCCTAGGTAAAGTTAAACATTGGAAACTTGTGGTGGATATATTGAAAAGATTATTGGGATTGAGAACTTTTTAAGACATTCCTATCAATTATTAAAATACGCAGCCTTCTCATGTCATGGTTCTTTCAACAGTTAGAGTGTCTTTCATGAAGCGTTTCCCTTCTTTTAGCTGCAAGATTTCTCCACGAGAATGGAGTTATTCTACACTACAACGACCGATCAAGAGGTCTCGACAAACTCTACTTCATCGAACCCGGTTGGCTCTGCAAAATTATGGCGTTCCTGGTCACCGTCAAGGAAACGAATGCGTTCGTTAAGGGCGGGATTATGGAAAAATCCAATGTGAATTTGTTGTTGAAAGATCCAAGACTTCCGCCTGAATTTATGGAACAGGTAGGATTTGGTCAGAAACTAGAATCATAAGATCATCTCTCATCCAGTGTTACTACAGGAGGAAACCTAAACTAAACTAACTTTATTTATACTGGATAGCTTTATCAGTTCTAAACTGTTCTTCCTAGAGGTCCAGTAAGGATCATCTCTTATTGATCCAGTGTTACTACAGGAGGAAACCTAAACTAAAATATTTTCATTTTCAGTATATTCAGTTGATGGAGAGATTTGAAGTCGCGTTAGCTTTGGACGATCATCGCCTGTTGGTTCCCTCAATGCTACCGCGTGATAAACCTGGACTTCAACTTGCTGACCTCAGCAAAATGATGAGTCGTGGAAAGAGCGGTCTGTCGGCCGCGTCAGAGGACAAGGAGAATGAGGAGGAATGCGAAGGTAAAAATTGGCCCAACTTCAACTTTTTCCCCTTTTGTGAGAGGGATATTATTTGGTAACAATTCCATGTTCAGTCAATCCTAAATACACGAATAGTTTAATCCTTGAGATTAAGTTAGGATTAGTTAATCTAACTCTTAGTCCATGATTCCATGAGTTAGGCGCTTGTTGGAGAGAGACGACCTGAGAGGGGCGTCTATTGGATAGCGGCGGTTATTAAAAGAGGGCGCCTATTTGAGAAAGGATATGCTAAATGGCTTTTAGCGTTTTTACGGCACTACTCTTAAAGTTCTTAAATTATTGACGTTGATGAGTAAATATGAAATCTATGTTTACACATCTATCGCACGAGATATGGAACTTAGGTTTGAGTCTAGCCATTATTGATCGTGTAGACACCTTTACCCCCATGCTAAGCGTCTTCTGTTAATCTATGGATTGTGTTTGAGAAACTATTGTTCACCAATTCTAAGCGAGTATTTTAAGACTCTCTTTGACTCCAACGTCTGTCTTCCTCTTGACGTTTGTGCAAACCTCTTCTGTCTAAACATTGCATGTCTCTTTATTCTGACTTTAAGCGTTGACTGAGCATGCTTTAAGGCGACTGTATAATTCGATGCTATGTTTCCACCGGCACGTCTGGAATTCACTCGAATAAACCTCGTCTGTCGAAAGTTTCCGTGTCGCCGTATTCGAATTCTAAGAAGCCCTGTTTCTCCAAGTTTATTTCCAATTGCAATATTCGTCGTTATCGTTTCGTTTTCAAGCTTTCCTTCAAACTTACATTGTTGTCTTACACTTCTTAGTTCGATGATTGTGATTGTTATCACAAGACACAATACTAGCATCAGAGATATTTCTATCGTTGACGAATATTCTCTCTTCAATCTTTTTATCCGATTCCACATTTTGAAATCGATGCACGTCGCTATTGCTTGAGTTTTATTGCGAGCAAAACAAAGAAATGTTGGTTTTTAAACATTCATCTGTGACACTAAACTGTTATTCAAAATAGTTATGCTTCTGTCACAACAGGGGGCTATACTTAGATGCCGGAAGAGGTCTGGAGTGGCCGGGGAAGTTTTACAAAAGATCACTTTCGTTTTACATAAGTAACCGCTCGAAGAGGCAACTTGTAGCTACAGCTTTGCAGTACTATATGTAGAAAACGTATTTTTAATCTTATAAACAGCAGGTATTTCAACTTAGATCGCGATTATTAAAAGCAAAATCTGGCGCGTATCGATGAAAATCAATATTAAGTGGTCACTTATGTAAAATTTTATTCATTTCGTATTCGACAGTCTGATTGATCGTGCCATTAATAAATTATCGTGAACACTAAGCTCACAGTTTGTTTGTTCTTCTCAAAGTCCGAACAATTCATCTCGATGACCTCAATCATTAAATCTTGAAATGCATTTAGAAAACACACGAAAGCGATTAGACATGATGTTTTTGTTCACAAAGGAACAAGGATTATAGTATTAAAAACATCACTTGTTAGGCGCCGCTAAATGCAAAGATTTCCGCTTTTATATTGGACTGTTTTGTAATTTTTCATTCCATAAAAGGCGTTAAGTGAGTTCTCAGGAAAGACAAAAACGTTTTGCCCAAGAGCTATCATCAACTCTCTGAATGTTATATATATATATAAGAGAAAACATGCTCCGAAAATAAACATCTTGTAAACCCAAGATATGAGTTGTTAAAAACAAGACACAATATTCAAGGTGATATTTCGACTCTATTTCAAAGTCATTGTGAAATAGAGTCGAAATATCACCTTGAATATTGTGTCTTGTTTTTAACAACTTATATCTTGGGTTTACAAGATGTTTATTTTCGGAATATGTTTTCTCTTATATTTCGCAAAACTGTCTACTGGAAAAGGTTGTTGTTATAATATATTTTGAAAGGTTTTTCTACAATCGTTAACAAAGCAAATTGTCATCTATATTTCTGCCTGCGTGCTAAAATAAGTATTTAGCCCGGCAAACTCTTCATTCTGGTCCGCAAAATACATCGTTAATGCATGACAAAGTTAGCATAATTCCTTTTTAGACCAAACTTCAGAAGATCAGTTCCAGTATCTGTGCCGCCTGTACAAGATGAATTATGTGCCCAGCGGATTCTGGAGTCGCCTCATTGCCCGACTCATGATTGCCGTGCAGAGGTGGGGACCGACGAAGGGCTTGGAGACGAGCTGATTTGTAACGAGGGGGGTAAAGATGTTCGACCCACCTCGAGCTTTCGTCCAGTACCTCACGGTTATTCGATGATCTACTGGCGTGAAGGAATGGGCGTGGTTTATGATGGAGGGCATCTGTTGGTGGAGTCTTACTCTAAGACCGTAAGAACATACTAGACTAAACTAACTTAATTTATACTGGATAGCTCTATCAGTTCTAAACTGTTCTTCCTAGAGGTCCAGTAAGGATCATCTCTTATTGATCCAGTGTTACTACAGCAGGAAACCTGAACTAAACTAACTTTATGTATACTGGATAGCTCTATCAGTTCTAAACTGTTCTTCCTAGAGGTCCAGTAAGGATAATCTCTTATTGATCCAGTGTTACTACAGGAGGAAACCTGAACTAAACTAACTTCTACTGCATATAGCTCTGTTGGCCGGGTTATCTGAACAGGATTAATATATGTTTAAATGGCTGAAATTTTCTAATTAGGAGCGAAATCCTCACAGTCGGATGTTGGAGGATATTGAGGGAGTAAAAGTGACCGTCTGGTCAGAAGAAAAAGATTTTTCAGTTCTTGGTTTCGTCACAGACCAAGTGAATTCGCTCATCACCGAATGGTACCCAGGTATGTGGATTGTTTGTCTTGCTAAAAGAGACTGAGTTTAACATTATATAATGAAAGGTGTTGATCCGGCTAACTGAAACGATCACGTGCCTTCCACAGGTTTGGAAGAAAGCGACAAGCATGGCATACCACTCGTGCGTCACGTGATACCCTGTCCGATATGCACGTCGCACAACGAACCAACGTTCAGAATGAGGCGTTCCGTGTCCATGAAGAATGTTCAAGAAATGGAAGAGAGAAGACTCCCTGAGTTTTCTCTAATGGAGTGCGCAGCCGCTGCTGTCGATTACACGGAGATTGCATGCCCTGAGCACGTGGACAGGCCCGTGAAACTTAGCAGTCTGATACCTGATCTGGTTCTCTCCGATCTTCCACCTGAACTTCTCATAGATAGAAATGTAAGCTTAAGATTTCTCAGATACGCTGTTCCTTTTGGAGGTCCGAAGAGGATCGTCTCTTCTTGATCCAGTGTTCTTACATGCAGGAGGAAACCTAAACTAAACCTTTCTCGCCCAAATATCTAGGTATTTTTGTACAACCCAACTGACGAAAATCGTCTCGGAAGTGGAGGAGCTGGCGAGGTGTTTCTTGGAATTTACAAAAAGCAGAAAGTTGCTGTGAAAAGATTTTACTCTTCAAATAACACTAGGTGAGGAATCATTTCAAATAGTGGCTTGATCACGTGTTATATCACATCTTACATCACATGTTACATCACGTGTTACATCACATGTTACAATTTTCGAAAGTGTTGACATTTATCTTTTTGTTTGGCATATTTTCCCTTTGTTTTGTAGCACTGATAGTGGACTAGGCCCGAGTCTCGGTTGCTATGGCAAACGTAGTGGAAGCCGTCATACTGACGGGGGGTCGTTCACTGATCGCAGTCGCGTGTTTACTGTTAGTCCGACAACCATTGAGGAAGATTTGAGAAGGACAAAAGTATTGTCATCTTTCGTGGAGCTACGCCAGGAAGTACGTGATATAAAAGCATAAACCTAACGCAGTTAGTTTAGTTTAGGTTTCCTCCTGTAGTAACACTGGATCAATAAGAGATGATCCTTACTGGACCTCTAGGAAGAACAGTTTAGAACTGATAGAGCTATCCAGTATCAATAAAGTTAGTGTACTTTAGGTTTCCTCCTGTAGTAACACTGGATCAATAAGAGATGATCCTTACTGGACCTCTAGGAAGAACAGTTTAGAACTGATAGAGCTATCCGGTATCAATAAAGTTAGTGTACTTTAGGTTTCCTCCTGTAGTAACACTGGATCAATAAGAGATGATCCTTACTGGACCACTAGGAAGAACAGTTTAGAACTGATAGAGCTATCCAGTATCAATAAAGTTAGTTTAGTTTAGGTTTCCTCCTGTAGTAACACTAGATCAATAAGAGATGATCCTTACTGGATCTCTAGGAAGAACAGTTTAGAACTGATAGAACTATCCTGTATCAATAAAGTTATTAAAGTTAAAAGTTTAGTTTAGGTTTCTTCCTGTAGTAACACTAGATCAATAAGAGGTGATTCTAATAGTCGTATGTGTTATCCAGGTGTCAGTATTGGGTCGCCTCAATCATCCGTGTGTTGTGGCGTTGATTGGTGTATGCATACAACCGATGTGCATAGTGCTCGAGCTCTCCCCTCTCGGCAGCTTATTTTCCATACTCGAGAAAGAGATGAGTAAAATGAAAGCTGAAAGGTTTCAACGAGGCTGCCAAACAGCACACGATGTGAGAAAGCCGATATTTGATCGTTATCTCACCTACAAGATCGTTTATCAGGTAAGCTCAAACTATGTTTGGCAATTCTAGCGGATTAACCTGGGTCACTCAGCTGACCTGTTATGAACTTCCTGAGAACTAGACCAGAAAACAAAAAATACCCAGTATAAATAAAGTTAGTTTAGCTTAGGTTTCTTCCTGTAGTAACACTGAATCAATAAGAGATGATCCTTACTGGACCTCTAGGAAGAACAGTTTAGAACTGATAGAGCTATCCAGTATAAATAAAGTTAGTTTAGTTTAGGTTTCCTCCTGTAGTAACACTGGATCAATAAGAGATGATCCTTACCGCATATATTTTAGACGATAAGAGATGATCCTTACTCCAGTATAAATAGAGTTATTTGAGGTCCGTGTTTCTATCTCTTTCAAGGTTGCTCATGCGTTGCATTATCTTCATGAACTGGGTATCATTTACCGGGACCTAAAATCCGATAATCTTCTCGTATGGTCGCTGGAGAGAGAGGCTGTTGTCCACGTGAAACTCTCGGACTACGGCATCTCCCGATTTGCAACCCCACAAGGAATGCTGGGAGAGGAAGGGACTCCTGGTTTCCAGGCTCCAGAAGTACGCACAGGTTCAACTTACAACGAAAAGGTTTGTAACGTACTTTCCTGTCAATGTCGCTATGTCGGAATTACCAGTACATGCATTGAGTGACATTTCTGAATGTTATTCGAACATAATTCCACGCTGATTATGTCTAGCCAAAGCTTAAAATTTTGACGAAATATATGGATAATCATATTTGGAATTTTTACTTCGATTTTTTGTGACAGACATTTGAATTCATTTATTAAGCGATTGTGTATTAATTATACTTCATAAACCTCGCTCAAAAATCGAAATACATGATAGATTGAGGTCAGGCAAGACATACCATGTGTTTTCTCATATATTTCTTGCTCCATGTGCACGTATAATCATAATAATTACATTAACATACCCTATAGGGTCTTTGTGTAATGTGAATTAAATCTTGAATGATTGTTGTATTCAAAAATATTGATTTGAAATTAAAAATATTGAATTGAATGTATTCAAAAACTGGCAGTTAAAACAAGGAAGTTCAACTCAGTGATGAGATATTTACAATTCATCTACCTTAGGTTGATATCTTCTCATTCGCGATGTTAATTTACGAGATTCTCTCAGGCCTACGACCGTTCCACGAGTGCCGTTGTTCGGCTCAGATTAAGAAAGCATTGCGTCGAGGAGAGAGACCATCACTCCAGCAAAACTATCTGGATTCTGAGATCCCAGAACTCGAAACACTCATGACAAAATGTTGGAAAGAGTCAGCCGTTGCAAGACCATCAGCTGAGGCTGTGCTGGACCTCATGGAAGATTCGTCGTTTCTTTGTCTTAATCGTATCATGCCTTACGCTGATCAACAGCCGTGGAATAGTATCACAGCTTTTATACCTTTATCAGAAGAAGATGAAGGTATGCATACTATTGCCCCAAAGGCTGGCTCGTTTGCTTTATTTCTACTATTCTTGGCACTTGTTTCCAAATGAACAAAGCTGTTTGTTTTGAAGAAAGGAAAAGAATTAAATGAAGATTTCAATAGTGTTTTTAGATTTTTCATTTTCCCTGCGAAACATTAACTGTATACTGTATATATTTCATCATTTTGTACTGTCTTGAGACTTCTGTGAACTTTTACAGTTAATACCGCACGATATAATCATCGATAAATCTTTTTGGATTTCCAAACAAACAAGCGTAGTGCAAACTATCGTTTATCAACGCTTGTTGTTATAGTCGTTAATATCGCATTTGTTTTTCTCAGTACTAAGTGAAGCTCAGAAGGCGATTGGCAGCCACTCTGTGTTACTCTGGGGCGGCGAGGTTGATGAACGATATTATTCTGTTGTTGATTGTAAAACTGGGATAGACCAAGTCCCTCAAACTCTGTGTGTAGGACCTCGTGTTGGGTGTTTGGCCAGAGTAGGGGATAGATTTTGGCTGGGAACTGAGGTAAGGCTTACTATACCTTAAAATCTCTATAATAATATCTCTAATAGCTGTTCTTCCTAGAGGTCCTGTAAGGATCATCTCTTATTGATCCAGTGTTACTACAGGAGGAAACCTAAACTAAACCAACTTTATTTATATTGGATAGCTCTATCAGTTCTAAACTTTTCATCCTAGAGGTCCAGTAAGGATCATCTCTTATTGATCCAGTGTTACTACAGGAGGAAATCTAAACTAAACTAAGCTAAACTATACTACTATTGTTTGTTAAGGGTTCTGTTATTGAGGTGTTCGGTCGTCCCAATCCTGCTTCTGATTTGAAGATTTTATGGTCCATTAAGTTAAATTCACAAGTTTTGGGGTTAGAAGTGGAGCATTTCGTCGACCGAAGATCTGTGAATGTAAGTGTAACTTTCAATCTTGTTCGTGAGTCAGCAAGTCTAGACCAATCAGCGAATATGCGCACATTTTTTAGTAACCCAATCAGAAAGTATAAATTTTTACTACTTCCAGTAAAAAGTACATTGTTTACCATTTTACATGAGGTAATAAAAATGTACGCATACCGATTGACTTAGCCTAAAGAATGTAAATAAGTTTGATGATTCAAAGCGAAATTCCTCTTTGTTTTCTTCATCCAGTCATCAATCGATCGTGTTCGCCGGATTTTTGCCTGTCTTGCCAACGGTAGTGTGGCTGTCATCTCCCGGCCGGACTTTCGCCCACCTTTCTCTTCGATCTGTTCGTTTCAGTTCAAAGCAGATTCGAACGAAAAACAACGCCGGGAAGCGACCGAATTTTCCATCATTACAAATATAGAGATCAGTGACCCGGCCACGTCAGCATGTTGCCTTCTCTTCGTGAAGGATGGCAGAGAATTGTGGGTAGGCTGTGGAAATATGGTGGCGATTGTCGACACAGACACCCTTAAGGTGGTGCACAAATTCCGGGCGTACGCTTCCCCCAGGTCGAATGTCCGGTCGATGGTAAGTGACGGTCCTACGGTATTCACCATCAATCGAAAGACCCCGGATGTCTTTCAGTGGAGCGTCGAAACGAGGCAACGCATTTGCAAATTTAACATCGGGCAGGAAGACCCGCGCGGAATGAAACTCGCAGAACTCGTGATGCCAACGAAAGACAATGACGTCAACGCGAGTGAGTTCACTGATGACGTCATGGGAGAAGACGGTGACGAAACCGTCGTGAAATCACCTGACGAATCTGATAGTCATGATAAGGCTGAGGGGGATGAAGAGGGAGTGTGATGGATACTGAAGAGAAACCCCAGATGTACATCGATGTCAACAAACATCCCATGTCTCGTCCGACCAGGCAACCATCCTTGATGTATGCTTTGAAACGCGACAGTTCCAGAAACTCGTCGCGGCGTAAACATCGGGATTTGCCTAAAAATCCCGCCGAGGATTCCACGAGCCCGCACTCCGACAGCATACGAAACCGCATGCGTTCTCGTACTCAGGTAGATATTTTCATTCTCTGTTTGGTAATATTTTGACACGTGAACTTTCATAACAAGTTTCTCTCTATATCCATTTTATTTTTATTGTTTTAAAAATATCGCTGTTCTCCATGTCATTCAGTCATCATCCAGAGATCAGAATATTCCATTGTCTTTTCATTTGAAATTCTAACTATTCTCCATGTCATCCAGTTATGATCCAGAGATCAGAATATACCATTGTCTCATCATTGTTTTGAAAATCTCGCTGTTCTCCATGTCATCCAGTTGTGATCCAGAGATCAGAATATACCATTGTCTTATCATTGTTTTGAAAATCTCGTTGTTATTACAGGTGATGTGTAACACCAAGCATCGTATAACTTGTGCTTTAATTGTCGACGAGAACCTGTGGGTGGGTAGGGAGAGTGGAGACATCGTGGTGATTGATATTTCTGGTGAGATAGATGGTAAAGACTACGGTTTTGTTCATGGCGTTTTGACTTTAGAAGTTGAACGCGGCTTCGCAAATAAAGGTATCCACCATATGATTCGTGTCGGAGGAGATAAAGTCATGAGTTGTTCCCGATTCTTCCGCGAGCGTGATACGAAGGAAGGACGGACGCAAACGGTTCCGGCGGCGAACCGACAGCTGTCCCGCACTTTGTCGCCAGTGCGCCTCCTTCGCCCGCACCCCTTCACCAGGACCACGCCGGCGGTGGCCGAGAAGCCTGTTGAAGAGAGATGTGAGAACTATCAGGTTTGCGTCTGGGAACGATGGAGAAGCGACGATTTCCGAGAATTTTATGAATATCACGAGAGCTTAGAAAAGGCTTTGTGAGGAACGATAACAGGACGCCTTTCTTGGTGAATACAACTTGAAAATGGTCTGTTTTAAGAACGGTTTTATTTGAGCCAAAATTTCAACCCTTTCGCATAAGATTTGATTTCGCTGGAGCATATCGTAGGATGTTTCATTTAAAATCTCTAGAATGGTTTAATCCAGTTCAATGGCTTAACCAATCCTCTTTTTAACATTTCCTCATCTCGAAATCATCTTCAAACGACTTCTGCATGATTTTAGTACAAGCTACGAGGAAATTAAGGCCATTTGTGTATCATTTATTTCCCCAAAACCAAAATTATGAAATTTAGCCCAGAATTATCAGTGTTCGTAACAGTAACAGCTCTGACTAAATTGAATTTAACTCGACTTCAACTTATGATTTCGACATTGTGAACCCAACGTATGCAACTTTTTACAATGCACAAAACGAAAATCTGTTTTTAAAATTTTACCAATAAATTTTTTTGTATAGAATTTTGCAGATTAGATATTATATTAGATTTTCTTTAATGACAATTTAACGATATTCTCGATTGATGCAATAGATATGATCGATAGACAATGGATATGATCGATAGACAATAGATAACTTATTTCAGTACATAAAATGTTAAAATTGACGTTTCGCTAAGCGTTGTTAGACCATTTGAAAAATTAGACAATTTTCAAAGTTAGCTTTTAAAAAGAATGGTTCTATATATTCATGTTTGTGGGACAACTATTCTTTCCTAATTTTTTAATTGTGTATAGACTATAAATATAAGTTTGTTTGGAATAAATTAAATATATAGCTCATTTCCAAAACTGCGCGCAGTTTGAAGTGTTGTTTGGGGAAGCAAAGAATACGACAGGTTTTAAAAACACATGCATGATATTAGAAATACCTACAGTGAATATTGTCAACACAGCATGCATAAATATAATGGCTTCAGATTTTGAAGTTTTACGGGGCAGTGGACCCGCAGTTGTTTCTCTATTTGGGATTGGTGCGGCCATCTGTCGCAAGGTGTTAGGCTTTGGCAAGAAATAAGAAATGGCAAAGACGGTATAATGACAATAGAAGTAAATCACAAACTTATAGCAACACACAAAGTTGTATATTTTCAGATATTTTTTTCCTAATCCTACTAGCTCGTGCTACCATTACAGAAATTCAAGACGCATGCAGTGTATCGTATATTTTTACAGCTATTTGGTACCATTATCGATACTCGTAAGTCGTAAGTAGAGTGTTATTTTTTAACAAATGTCAGGTAATCTTTGACATCCTCTGTTGATCCAATAGCAATCGGTGCGCGTTCGTGGATCTCCTTCGGAACTATGTCCAAAATATCGATCTTGCCATTTGTGGCCATTCCTCCGGCTTGACTGACTATGAACGCCATTGGATTACATTCGTACATTAGACGAAGCTGGGGAAAAACGAGAGGGGATAATATTGTGAGGATAATGCGTGAAGGTTAAGGATATTGCGGACATGTTTGGGTAGTTTTGTGCTGCTTTTTTGGGTGAGATAGTTACCTTTCCCTCGGGACTCTTGCTGTTAGCTGGGTACATAAATATTCCACCGTAAACCAAAGTTCTGTGCATGTCGGATACCATAGAGCCGACGTAGCGGGCTCCATAAGGCGCTTTACCATCCTATAGGTCAAGAAATAATCAGACTCTTCCTAGAGGTCCAGTAAGGATCATCTCTTATTGATCCAGTGTTACTACAAGAGGAAACCTAAACTAAACTAACTTTATTTATACTGGATATCTCTATCAGTTCTAAGCTGTTCTTGATCCTAGAGGCCAAACTGTAAGGATAATCTCTTATTGATCCAGTGTTACTACAGGAGGAAACCTAAAATAACTTTAAACGAACTGTTCTTCCTACAGGTCCAGTAGAATTTTTCATATCCAAACCTTGGGATTTTTCACGGACTCGATATAATCCTTTGTTTCTTTATCAAAATACTTGTAATATCCTTCATTGATGCTGTAAATCTTTCCTCGCGGTTTGATTCTGATATCTTGATCAGTCAACACAAACTCACCGATGGACTAAACGAAACAACACACGCTCGGAATCCTTGTCAAAATGCACGCTGTTTTGTTAATATTGAGGTGAGCAAATTCGGACAATAAAATACGTTTGGCTTTTGATGATAAAGCTGTGTTTTCCGTGGGCAATTTGTTTGCAAGTGTCTGACATAAGCTCTGAGTGTTAAATTTTTAGTTTTCATGTTGTCTATTGACTAATAGTTAATTATTTTATGTTAGGTTTACCGGATCCAAAGTGAATCCATTGACACCATTACCAGTACTAAGAACAACCATGGTAGCACTACCATATAAGGCATAACCAGCAGCGACAAAGTCACGACCTGGTATCAATGCATCAGCTTGCTTCATTGGACCTTCGGATGGCTTGGAAAATGGTAAAAAAAGTGTGGTGAGTTTTTTTGTAAATCTCTTAAAACTTGTTTGATATTTGAGTGTGGTTTTGTAAACAGTAATGTGTGATGATGCATCACATGTCAGATACCTTTTTTGCAATGCCGAAAATTGAACCAATTGAGACCAAGCACTCAATGTTTGAAGAGCCATCAAGTGGATCAAAATAGACAATGTACTTTCCCTGTTGGTCAAGCTCAACCTCGATGACCGTGTCATTCTCCTCAGAAACTAGCAAACATGTCTGAAATGATGACTTCAACATGTTTATAAACAGTTCATTTGCAATGACGTCCAATTTCTGCTGTGTTTCACCTTGGACATTTGTGACCCCAGATATGCCATACCTAGGTTGAGAAGTCATTGAAGATGATTTCATGCTTTTACAAAAACAATTTTGAGAGCAATGATGATCAAAGTGTGATGTGTCTGGGCATAGAAGAAGATATGGGCATATATTGACCATTTGTGATGGGCCAGTTTGAGCACAGCCAGCACAAGTTCTTGCTAAAATCCTATCTTTGAGGTCATGCATCAGGTGGTGGACTTCTCTGTGGTTGAACTTCTTCAACTTCAGTTTGCCGTCCTTGTCAATTACTGACTGTTTTTGTGGTCAGAAGTAATTTATACACTGCATAATGTTGAGATTAACTTACAATTTTGCTATACCAGCTTTCCTGACAGCTGTAGACACAGCCTTAATCGCTGTCATAAGAGCATTAAGAAGTCGTGTAAGGTCCCCGCTAGCATCTGGATGTTGCCGTTGTTCGTTGAGGACAAATCTCGTTAGGGTCATGCAGTTTGAGTCGACCATGATTGTTTAGAAATACTGGGAAATTAAATTTTAAAAAATGCTTTAATATGTACACATGACGTACCTATTTTTAACACAATTTCGATATCTGCAAATTTACGAAAAAGTGTTATGGGAAGGGTTAGATAGTTATAGCAAATAACCATAAAGACTTGATGCTCCTATCTTTGGTATTGGATCACTGATAATGGTGGCTTACCCAGTTGGCTGGTCTATCATAACCTATTTGGAAGGTGAACAGTTGTTTCACCAAACTATTAGTATATAACATGTTCAGTTCAATGAGGTATTTTACCCTGTACTGTCGCAAAAAAACAGCAAACAGCACCACAGAGCTATCCACAGCTGTCTCTGGTTGACTGGTTGTACCATATTAACTGGACCATTAAGATTTCAAGCAATTTCGACCATAAGTGCACTTGATTCAATACTTTACTAAGATGATTTTACCGATTGGTTAGAGATTTTAACAGTTACCTATTATGTTTTTATATCTAATATTATCACGGAAACTACCAACAATATTTTACGACTTGGTGGTGCTCACTAAAGAGTTACATAACTTGTAAACAATTATTATATAATTCACCAATAGTATAATATTTAGACATCTTAACATAAAAATTCCTACTAGCTCGATCGATGTACGAAACATTTCCTTTAGGAAGAGTATAAAATCCAATCGTACCTTTACAATGTTATATCTTTTTTGTGAAAAAAACACAAACAACTTTGTTTTGACACGTCGAACCTTGCACCGTGAACTCTCCTGCAGCTCAACTGTGACTCTGGACGATTTGCAATATCTTTATATTCATGAAGTACCTGGGTTGTGCTCTTCATGGGCACATGGGTTTTGCTTCAGGAGGGTACGGGAGATAGGACTAAAATTGTGCCTAAAATTCTTCATATATTCAAAGTCTATTCGCATTTAAGTTCAATGGATACATTAAAACTGTGATTCAAAGTCTAAAAAATCGAGAAATGCTTCAAAAATTATATAAAAACAACCAAAAGTTATTTCAAATTCCTAATATTCCACCCACCCCCGGTCAGTATTCAGGCACGTACATACTTGCGCCCTTTAAACGCCCCCAAATCTCGCACCACGCGTGTAATTAGGACATAAAAGGTTCTTTTCACGAGCTGCAAAACAACATGGCAATGCTAAGAGCTTTTTCTAGCAAATGTTTCGCTTTTCCCAAGTCAAATCTTGGTGTTTTAAGCAAGTGTGCGTATTCTAACGGTGCTGACTTGTTGATAAATGAACCAGAGTTTGCTTGGTTGAAAGAATTGGGCCTGAAAGCCGAGAATGACGGAGTGTATAATGGTACTTGGAAAGGCAGTGGAGAGGTTTGTATGAGGGGGTACCTGGGGCGAGAGGAGAGGATGGTATCGTTTGTCTAATCTATTGCACCTTAGAAATAACCATCAATTGTCATAGTAAATGCAAAAATATTAATACAATAGGATGCTTGATTCTGACACTCATTTGTTCCATAGTGCTGAGTGATTACATGCATATGGTGGTAGGTAGTGTTACATGGTGTTACATAGACGTCGCATGGGTTAAACAGTGTTACAATAAAATTGGTGTTACATGCTGTCGCACAATGTTAGGTAGCGTTATGTAACATTTATGTGACATAATTTTAGGTTGTTACATGTTTTTTGTGGTGTTAAACCATGCTTTGAACGATTTCGGATTTTTTTAAACGATTTGGAATGATATTCCAACTATTTTTAAAATATCTGTCCTTTTTCAGGTGGTGACATCCTATTCCCCTATCAATGGCAGACCCATTGCTCGCGTCACACAGGTTTGGAACAATATACCACAACTCCAGGATATTTCTTAATGATGGTCCATTTTCCTGCCATCCTATGAAACAGATGAAGAGATTATCACCTTACCTAAATTTCATCTGTGCATGATGTATAAATTTGTGTACAATTTTAGGGAAGTATTTCTGACTACAAGGAAAGTGTATCATTGGCGAAAGAAGCTTGGAAAACCTGGGCTGCAGTAAGATTTTCTTAGACTGCATGATGTATCGTTTCACAGAAGTCTAACAATTGAGGATGAAATTGATTGTACTATTCTTCAACCAGGTCCCAGGTCCTCACCGTGGAGAAATTGTCCGTCAGATTGGTGAGGAGCTTCGAGCCCACAAGGAGAACCTTGGAAAACTGGTTAGATGCTGTTGAAAACTATGATTATTGTTTGTTGAATGATAATATATGCTGATGGTTATATGTTTCTGCTGCTAGCTTTCTTTAGAAAATGGGAAAATCTATGTGGAAGGTTTGGGAGAAGTCCAGGAGTACATAGATGTTTGCGACTATGCAGTTGGCTTGTCCAGAATGTTTGGTGGACGTGTCTTTCCGTCTGAACGTGAGTACTTTCACACTTCAAATAAGGGGTAATTTTAAACCCACAAGAACTCCTATAACCTTGTGCATTTTAAAAGCTAAAAGTGATGATTAGAACAAACATTTGTTATATTTTTCATGGTTTTTAGTTGTGAAGTTTTTAATTCTCTTAGGTCCTGGTCATGTTTTGATGGAGCAATGGAATCCTGTAGGATTGGTTGGGGTCATAACAGCCTTCAATTTCCCAGTTGCTGTCAGTGGCTGGAACCACGCTATTAGTTTGGTCTGTGGAAATGTCAATCTATGGTGAGTTTGATATTATGTGTGCTTTGTATATTTGGTACCAAAGTAACTATCCTTTTTGTCCCATATGTTCATAATTGCCTGAATCTTTACACAAAATGAAATTGTGTCTGTTGCGTTTGTTTTCCAGGAAAGGAGCCCCTACAACGCCTCTTGTTAGCGTCGCCATGACGAAGTAAGAACAACCTTTTGAACTAAACTCGCTGTATTTTAACTAAAATTCTTCTGCAGACATTTCTCTACCAGCAGAACTTTGCTCTAAACAATTTTCCCGGTTTTTGTAGCATCGTCAGCAAGGTCATCACCCAAAACGATCTACCAGGTTCCATCTGCTCTCTGGTACAGGGTGGTGCGGATATCGGGTATGGTGTTTTTTTATCTTTATGATCATGATACTCTACGTTCTCCCAGTCAAATCATCGTCATTTCAAAGATCGGAATTTGTTGACTGTTCTACCTTTTTCCATTTTGTTTCAAGCCAAGCGATGGCAGCTGACAAAAATCTTGATCTTCTGTCATTTACTGGAAGCACTCCGGTAGGTTTTCGACCCTCCGACTTGGTTTAACGTATTTACGTTTTGCGGTAAAATTTTCCCATCCAGAACTACTGCATGAGGTCAGAACTTTATGTCCAAGGCAAGAATCCCAACGTTCGCATTTCATTGCTTTCGAATACCGATACCGGTAGTCGAACTATTCCGTGATTGGTTAAGCTTATAGAGTTATCGCATTTGATTGGTTCATTTTCCTTGAAAGCACTTGTGATTGGTTAATCAGATAGAGTTATCGCATTTGATTGGTTCATTTTCCTTGAAAGCACTCGTGATTGGTTAATCCGATAGAGTTATCGCATTTGATTGGATCATTTTCCCTGAAAGCACTCATGATTGGTTAATCAGATAGAGTTATCGCATTTGATTGGTTCATTGATTCACATCTAAACCTCGCTGCTGTCATTTCTAGGTTGGACTGCAAGTTGGTCTTGAAGTCAAAAAGAGATTTGGTGGGTACAAATATGTGCGATATTTCCCTGGATAAAACCATTCCCTGAGCTAATGCATGCTTGACAATTTAAGACAACTCTTTCAGTGGCTTAATACGAAATCTGTATTAATAGGGAGAGATCTTCTGGAGCTGGGTGGAAACAACGGAATCATAGGTAAACAACGTGTAGATTTTTCCACGTTAAATGTCGACGTTTTATCATAACAACAACAAGGCTTGTATATACTTGCTTTGTACGTGTTTAAAGTCAAAATATTGATTTTCAAGATGGCATTATTTTCAAGTGATATTTCTTACTGTAGTAATGGACGACGCTGATCTGGAGTTGGTTGTGCCCGCTGTTGTTTTCGCTTGTATTGGAACAGCTGGTCAGAGGTGTACCACAACGAGACGGCTGGTAAGTACTAGCTATATAAGAAGGACAAACGTCCTCTAAATCTGCATTTATATCACATGTTTATTTTAATTGTTAAATAACCGCCACATTTCTTAGATACTTCATGAAAAGATTTACGACGAGGTTCTAGAGAGAATATCCAAAGCTTACAAACAAGTTAAAATCGGAGATCCTCTTGACCGTAAGTTGTTTTAAGAAAAGGATAATGCTAACGTTAGTAACATTTCTTTGTCAATTTTTCCATAATTTCCTAGACAATATTATTCCTGACCAATGTTTTCTCGTGTTTTCCAGAAAGCGTTTTATGTGGTCCCGTCCATACGGAAAATACAGTTGATATGTTTAAAGCAACGTTGGAAGACGTGAAAGGAAGTGGGGGGAAGATAAAAGTCGGTGGAAATGTAAGATTCTTTTTCTCGTTTTTTTAGCAATACCAATAATGTATAGCTAATAATAATGTATAGCTGACAATAATGGCTGACAAGCAGTTGTTCAGAGAAAGAAAGAGTGACGAACATTGAGAATAAGACAGAGTTGTGTCATGTCTAATTCATGCTGTGTGTTTTCGTTTCAGGTGTTGGACAGGCCTGGTTACTATGTCGAGCCCACGATTGTTACCGACTTAGCTCACGATTCCGACATAGTCCTGCGAGAAACTTTCGCGCCAATCCTCTACGTCCTCAAATGCAAGGTAGGTTCAAAACGTCTTCCCTTGGGCATGTAAACTGAACCAGATCTTTGATGTTTTCTGGAGACACGGTATATGGGCTCTGTAGAAGAAATTCCTGATGCTTTTCTTCCATTTAGAACCTGGAAGAAGCTGTCCAGTGGAATAACGAGGTAGATCAGGGGCTCACAAGCAGCGTGTTTACTAAAGATATTGGCAAGATCTTCCATTGGCTAGGGTGAGCTATTGTGGTATCAATTTCCCGCTTCTTTTTCAACGTTCCGGTGGGAAGAAACCGGAGCTATTAGTGCAAAAAAAAATCGACCTACAGAAGACCGAAGAATAGTCTATTTTTCGGTCATGCATGCTACGCGAGTTCAAGAATGTTGCTATTGTTGCATGATTTCATCACTTGCTGACGTGCTTTCCGTTGTTAGGCCGTTTGGTTCCGATTGTGGCATCGTTAACGTAAACATCCCGACGAATGGCGCCGAAATTGGTGGAGCTTTTGGTAAGAAGTTGAACATGAAAAGTTCATGAGGGTTTGCAACGGGGAACTTATATAAAAGGCTTTTTTATATTTTTGTCAAGACTGGCAAAGAAACTGACCTTTCCAAAATTCGCATAACTCTACTTTTCCTTTTATCTGGTCTTACATGAATGGAGACCAATCAGACCAATTGTCCTTTCAGTTCACAGGCTCAGATTGTCACTATTTTCTGGTAATTTTTTTCAGGTGGCGAAAAACACACTGGCGGAGGAAGGGAGTCTGGGAGCGATGCTTGGAAACATTACATGAGGAGATCAACTTGGTAAGTTAAACGGCCTTCATAAATAAGTCCCTAGTTCCACACTACGGAAAATTGCAAATATCTCTCGTGTTTTATTAGTACCATCAACTACAGCGATGATCTGCCATTGGCCCAGGGGATTGAGTTCTAATCTTCATCTGATTACGTCATAAGCCGGAACAGTGAGTAACTGTTGTGTGTGCCTGTGTTTGACCAGCGTCACGATATACAAATGTGAATTAATCTTGCTACTTCTTAAGATAAATTCACACACAATAATAGAATATATGTAGAATGCAGCGTAGCGGCAATAATATTTATTAAAGCCTTGGTATAACATCCCTTCCGTGTGATTTCTTTGCTTGAAAGTGCGTCTTTCAAGAACTTTGGCTAATATTTCCGGAAGTTGCCAAAAAATAACAAAACAAAAAAAATTCGGAAAAAGGACGTCTTTGGGAACCATTATAAAGAACAATTATAAAAATTATTCCCTCTAATTAGACTTAATTGATTTTTATCTTGGTTCTTTGGTTCTGGCCTTTATCGAGGGGCTTTTGAGGCAATTTGTGACTGGTCTATTTGTCAATGACCTTTTAGGGCAATTTGGGCTTTGCCAAGTTTTGCGTTACCTGGCAACAAGCAGCGCAAACATATTCCCCAACGTTCGTCACTTGCGCAAAGCCTTTTGCACGTATCTTTCGGTCGCGCGTTGCATAAATTACGTCTAACGTTTTGTGACGTCATTTCCGGTCTCGTCATCAAATGGCGTGGGAGGTTGGTTCCGAATCTTGTGTCAGCAGTTAAAAATTGCGATTCTTCAAGTGTGTGTAAATTTTTCCATTTAAACATGAATTAACCGGCGAAAACTTCATCTAAAACGACCGGAATTTCGTCAAGGCTTGCCAGATGAATGGTTTATCATTCTCGGAGATCTGCTGCCTGTTTTGTTGCCCGCCATGTCCATCGAAGATCGCTGCAAAGCTTGCATTCCTACCTCCCGAGCCGACCTATTCTGTCACGACTCACGAAGACGGTAATTTTTCACTTCATCTCACAGAACGCGCAGAATGGCAATTTAGCCAGTCGGAACTAGACAACATCGAAGTATTTAAAACGAAATCAAAGAACGGGAATAGCATTTGTTGTATGTATGTGAATACGTCGCCAAATGCGCGATTTACGTTGCTTTTTAGCCACGGCAATGCCGTCGATTTGGGTCAAATGTCGAGCTTTTACATCGGGCTTGGCCAGAGAATAAACTGCAATATTTTATCGTACGATTACTCAGGGTACGGCGAAAGCAGTGGCAATGCCTCCGAGAGTAATTTGTATTCGGATATAGAGGCAGCCTGGGGTGCGGCTAGATCAAAATACGGTCTCAGCCCTGAAAATATTGTCCTTTATGGCCAGAGCATTGGTACAGTCCCTACTATAGATTTAGCCTCGAAGTTCGAGTGTGCGGCCGTGATCTTACACTCTCCTTTAACATCTGGTATGCGGGTTGCATTTCCTGATACTAAACGGACGTGGTGTTGCGATGCTTTTCCAAGGTAAATATAGTTTGATAATATACATGTTTATGTTACATTCAAGGGGAATATCACTTCATATACCCCACCTGAATAGCGGGTAATATCTGATATTCCTTTCTATATCATCTGTTACAACCCACCTTTGTATGCATCACAATATACAGGGTCTGATTTAATTGCCTTGTGTCAAATTTTCTAAGGCAATATTGTCCCATATTTCCCTTGCAATATAATGTCACAGGTATATATCACTGTATTTAGACATATTATCTCAAACTGTGTTTAATAAGTTGCAAAATACTTGGGTCAACAAAATGTTGTGTCAGTCTATCATAATGTATATCATATTTCCTTAAATAAATGCCAACCTCAAACACGGCAGGTTATATAGAAATTTATTAAACTTTCATCTCAAAAAACACCAAAGCACTTATTCAAGGAAATATGACAACATTTTGCTGATAAATATTTTAAATCCTAATGAGAAAATACAACTAAAAGCAAAACTGATTTTGTAAATTTAAAATCAGCCCAAAACAAAGGCAGCGTATTGTGTTAGATAATAACTACAAAGTCAGGATTATGTTGTTTACTTTTTTGCAACACTTTAAAGTCATGTTGTGTGTGATTTTTTGTGCACTTTTCTTCTTTTGATTGATGTGAACGAGTGATTTAGTTACTGATGTTCAAATAAGAGTTCTTGAACATCACAGCATTTGTAGCTAATTACTTGTTCACATCTATCAAAAGAGGAAAATCACAGCAAAAATTGCAAGTGTTAGATTGGTAACAGATTAGAATTTAGAAGTTACTGATGTTCAAATAAGAGTTCTTGTACATCAGAGCATTTGTAACTAATTACTTGTTCACATCTATCAAAAGAGGAAAATCACAGCAAAAATTGCAAGTGTAAGATTGGTAACAGATTACAAGTTACTGATGTTCAAATAAGAGTTCTTGTACATCACAGCATTTGTAACTAATTACTTGTTCACATCTATCAAAAGAGGAAAATTGCAGCAAAAATTGCAAGTGTAAGATTGGTAAAGGATTAGAAGTATAGCATTGATAAATCACCGTTCTGATTGTATTTCTATAGCATTGAGAAAGTCTCGAAGATTGTGTCGCCAGTTTTAGTTATTCATGGCACAGAGGATGAAGTTATTGACTTTTCTCATGGTCTGGCCATATATGAAAGATGCCCCCGTAAAGTCGACCCTCTCTGGGTGGAGGGTGCTGGTCACAATGATGTCGAGCTGTATGGACAATATTTAGAACGCCTTAAAAAATTTTTGCAACATGAGATAGTCAATTAGCACGTATTGTTGGAGTATAATCACTGTGTAGTACAACCTTACCTTGTTTTTATCTTGAGATGGCTAGGCATAGTAGTTTAGATAAGTTAAAGCGACCACATGCTGGAGAAAGTCTGTAGATTTGACCAGGGAGGATTCTCCAATTGAAATTAAGATGAAACAGCTTATAGAAATTTTCAAAATAATCGAAGAGTGGTGGGGCAATCCCCAAAATCTTCCCATCAAATGTTGTGTAAGAATTGCCAAGGAAAACAAGGAAATTCTGTTATATTTGACCCTAAGGCTTTTATTACTTGAATTGTCAAGATGTTTTTATGTATTTCAGGCAGTTGTTATGCCTCATTTGATGAGAAGTGATTTGATATTTTCAGTTAGAAGAGACATTTGCATATTATTTGATTGGTTGCTAAGATTTGATTTAAATGTCCGTCTTGGGTTAAGATATTACTGACGATATGTTCTCCTAACTGGAGATCATTCTAAATTCTTCCAAGGATCCTTTTACATATTATTATATTCCCTTGTTAATGCAATTCTGACAAGTAGTTAAATATTTATTGCTCATTATAACCACAAATAGATAACAGAACTCGTAGAACGTCAACATGTACACTTGTGTGGTACTCTCGTTAAATTTATACAGTTTTCGTGAACCTAATCATTCCATTGCCGTTTTTCTAGGGTTTCCACAATGCAAGGAAATTTCCTTGCAATTGGCCACCACTAGGGTGCGAGGGATCTGTTTTAATACAGTATTTTATGCATTCTTTTCAAAAGTTCTTCATTTCTCTCTTGTGTGTCATTACCATTCCCCTATGAGGACAGTCGTATGCAAATAAGTTGTGGAAACCCTGGTTTTTCAGCCAATACCTAAATATAGTCTACACACATGGGGATATAAAATGCATTAATCTTTGTTAAAACGTTGTTCATAGTATGCTCATTTTCTATATACATAGGAAGAAATAATCTTGTATATGTAAATAGTTACACAAGTTGAGTGTATTAATAATTATAGTAATAATGATTACAATATGACAAGATTTAAAATCTCCTTTTTATCAGTTTTGTATATGGTCTATTGAAGCCAAACACAAACCAATTCTAACTGGTTGGCATACTCAGAAAGTTTAATGATGCAAGGTTAAGTATAGTACAATCACAATAATACAATATACCCTAGATATATATGAACTTGCTTCACTCTAGTGTAAATGCTTGTGGTGTTGGATAGAATTGGCAGTAATTGTGAGATCTTCTAGATTGTTTTAAAAAGCATGGTTCTGTTGTCAGGTTGTGGTTTGTTAAGCTGTTTGAGCCAAGGATTTAATCACAAGATTCAATCCTTTATCTGGTTAGCCTGGTGGTAAAGCACCAACTTCTTCACACTTGAGCAGCAGTTATAAGTTTGTTCAAATCAAACTGTGTTGCTTCTCTCATGCACTTTGCAGCGTGTTGCAACTGAATCGTGCCTTCTGTATTATACGATTCAATTTCTCTTTCCAGCATGTCCGCTATGCCATCCAACAACTCAAAGTAACTGTAGCACAGGGCAGCTCTACGAATCCTGTTTAGCTCCTGAGAAAAAACAGCAGTTGATATAAAACCATGTGCAGCAAACATTTTGGGATAAGGGGAATATGATGGATCATTTCTCATGGTTCTATTTTGAAGATCAATCACTTACAAACCTTGTAAAACTGATTAATTTTGTCAGGTAATTTTCTTGCATATCTCATCAACTTTTGGATATCTGCCTTTAAGATCAATGAAATATAATTCACTTTGTATCCAAACAGTACTGTCTATGTACTTTGGTATCTCCTACTGTTCACACCTGGACAATTTGTGGAGCACTAATGATGTATTCTAAATCTGTGTTCAACTTTTGCAATCATACCTGTAAGCCACTTCCTTTTACCCAAACCACACTGGCCTGCGAGTGGTAACTTCTACGTCTGCTTGTTTCGACAGGAAAGGGAGATTCTTCCATTCCGTCCTCCACTTTGTACGGATGCTCTTGCATTTCCGCTGAGGGCATAAGCCGCTTCAGGTTACCAAGCCATGGAATTTCCAGGCTGGGCGAGAAGACAGACAAAACTAAGTTTGACTTCTTTTTACTATCTGCCCAGGAATACAGAATACCAAACCAGTTAGGGCTGTGAAATGGAAGAAAAACAGTTGAAATAGTTGCTTGTGAATCAAGGCTTTGAAAAGTTCTTTTTTAAAAGGCCTTGTTCACTTCTAACTGAACCTAGCTTACCCTAACTGTGCAAAGGCAACCATCCTTTCAACTTTCAAACTGCCATGTAGTAAGACGCAGAAGGATGGTTCCTTGCCATCACTACCTGTTCCATCATAACCTGAAGCCACCCCGGTCGGTATGACAAGATGCCGGGTCATGCATGGAGGGTTACCAAGATCGATTGCATCCAAAAAGCCACAAATCTTAATCTCTTTTGGAAACGGTTGATCAGAATCTTTCACCATCATATTCCTGGTTTGATTTTTGGGTGGTGCTTTTGGGGGTGGGTAGAGGGTTATCGCAGAGTTAAGGTGGCCACATGTTAGAGTACCATTAAAGGAGGTATAGTGCTCGTTAGCAAGACGTTTGAATGCTTCTTGTGCCGAATGGATCCCTGCGGGTGATTCGAGCATATACACCCCTCCTCCATGACCGCAGGTCTCAACCAAATCCTGTAACAGTTTCAAACTTGCAGGCAGCATACTGTCAAAAGTTGACATGCACATAATATGCATTATACATGGAAATGGCAACGGCATTGTGCACATGTTCTCGGCCATATCTCCGAGTCGGTTCGTTAGGACCTCGTTAACAGTTGTCGCACCACCAAGGTTACCATCGGTAACGAGCACTAATTGCACTGGTACCGAACACCCCCATTCCTCGATGACCAAATTTGATACACCATTCAGTGCATTGCCAAGAAAGGTTTTATCATAAGTACCCACATTCATGCAGCCTTCTTTCAAAGCCTCGTAATCTCGGGTGAAACGCACAACTATCTCCCACAGGGATGAAAAAGCTATCAAAGCAGTGAACTCAAGCTTGCAGTTCTCGCTTAAATAGTCAAAAAAGGAGTACAGCCCGCGAATGGTCAATAGCCTCTTGTTCACATCACTGTCTGTTTGATGTTCGCCATCTTGAAGAGTTTTAAGCATCGATAGGGAAACATCTAATAAAACTACGGTGGGCATATCGTTGAAAGTGTTGTTATAGCCGATAGATCGAGTAAAATGCCATAAATTTTGTTTTCTTTTATTGAAATTTGAGTTTATGTTTCAAATGCTTCATGCATTTGGTTGGGGTGAATTTGGGATGTTTCGGCGCATGAGAGAACCGTAGGATTGTCGTGGGATATACGAGGATTTTTATCAAAAACTGGAGGGACCGTAGGGGTTGCTGCATCTGGTTAGGGTGAATTTAGGATTTTAGGTGGCATCCGAGAACCATATGATGATCATGGGATATATGATGATTATGGGATCACGGCGTGTTATGGACGAGTGAGGAGGGATCCGGAGGGACAATAGAAGTTGTAATTAGGAAACTCAGGAAACGGAGTTTAGTAAACAAACCCATTAACAACTTGTTAATTAATTTACTGTCAGAGAGAGACGAGAGATTGACAAAGTATAATGAATTTCAGGATTTTGAATTACATAACTCACCAAAACTCCAAAATTATGTAATCGTGACCACCGGAAATTAAGAACCTCAAGGTTCGGCAAAAACTAAGGGTAAACCCTATGATGTCATAGTGATCTCATAGATGTGCGGGGAACATCCACAGGACAGCTGTGTGTGGTGTTTTGACGTACGTTAAAACAAATACAGACAAAACAGTCCTTTCCATTTTCGGCAACACAGGGTTATTTACAGTCGATAAAATGTGTAGATTTTTCTTTGAATCCCCGTCGAAAATCATGTCATTTATTTGAATGACGATTGTTTAAAATATTCAGCACTCAATAGCGTTATTTCCGTACGACATTCCTTTTTTTACATTGCCGTCAGTCAGTGTAAGGGAAGTTTCCCAGTAAGTTATTTGTGAACCCTGAATTGAGTGCTGCAATAGATGAACTTGGTTGGCCAGGGTTGGGCCATTTTTACCGATACGAAATAGTCAGAATACGTATTTGTCATCGTTTTCAACATTCAGATCACTCTTGGTTGACTGCAGAGAGGTTGCATGGTATCAGTCTATTATATTAGATCGACCAGACAGCCTCTTTTGCATGTTCACAGCATGTACGATCTAGTTGTTGTTGGGAAACTTGATTTAAACCATTTGGAAACGCGGTGCTATTGCAAATTGAAATGAGTGTACATAAAAAAAGAAAGAGACTTTCATTCAATGATTTTGCCCTTTTATTCCTCTTAATAAAACTTATTTCCGTTTGAAAGTGTGGCATTCAACTGAATTAATGTATATCTACATATTGTTCGTGATTTGTAATGTGTTTTCAATACAATAATAATACTAGTTCATATTAGTGATTATGTATTACTTTAGTAATCTATTTAATCCGTCCTTATAATCCAGTATAACATTACCCTAGTGTTCCGTTTGGTCTGTGGATTACGACATTATCAATATTTATGTATCGTCTGTAATCTTTAATCTGACTGTGTTTGGATACATTGTCTCGAGTTATTCGGTGATTAATCGTTTCTCTTTGTATCACTCTTACAAAGAGCTAGTTCTTCCAAATTGCCCTGCGAGATTAGACTAGCTGAGAGGCATTTTTTTAGGCGCCAGTCTATCAACACCAGTTAAAAAACTTACACAAATATCTCGTCTTCGTCGGCAATTTTTTTTCAGCTTCTTGGCGTAATTACTAGTCTATCCATGCATGGGTCTCGCAAGCCTCCTTCATTCACCATTCACTACGATGGTAAAGTTATCACCTGCAATCTGTTCGAACTATCCATTCTAAAATACGGTGAACGTGCAATGCTATTTGATCTACCAGACACACCGTGCTGAATGCCACATCTTCGCCTGCGAGGAAGCTGACCGTCCGTGTTGTTCGATTGAGACTCCAGCTCTCTGTATTCCATGAAACTTTGCGATAGATCCATTAAATTAACTGAAGTGTTGAGACCATTTGTCGGTTCGGGCCTTGAAGGATCATTGCCGTTGGACGCGCCATTAATACTGCGAAGTTTCCAACCCATTGGACGACAAGCCCGCAACTTAATCCTTGGAATTGTAGCTAAAACAATGAACTGTTTGAAGTTATCGTTTTTTACCTGGGGACGAGTTTCTGAACGAAGTAACGATTGCTTTCAAGTCCTAAATGTGCTTCCAGTCACAAGAGAGAACTTTTAAGCACATTTATTGCTGAGACATTACGTATTCACTGCAACTTGTGAAAGAAACTTTTAGGGTTTTGCCCTGACCAGTCGTCATGGTGATTGTGTTGTATTGACGTCAGCAGTACCGAAAGTATGCGTTGTTAGTTTTGTTTAAGGGTCGTCTGACTCAGTTTGACGTTAGATTTGAGCATTCTAACCGGCAGGATATTAAAATTTTTGTCAATTTAAGGGCAAAATACGTAGCGTGATTTGGTCTGATTTGCCCGCTTTCGACATGTGCCAACAAGCTTCAAGGCTCCAGTGGTGCACGTGTACACGTCGTGTATAACCTGTCGGGGGTTTTAATGACGAATATTTAAAGCACTTGAATGATGATTGATATATTGATATGAAACCGCAATATCAAATATACAAGAAAAGAGATTTTTATGCTAAATTCCTATAATGATTTATGACACTTGTGTCTTGTAGTATTAGCTCTTGTGCAAGAAAGCTTTTACAGTGAGATAATTACACCAGGAATTACTTTTCTTCAAAGAAAGTTTTCCTTAAACACTGGCATTCGCCGTGCGCGATCGTCTTTCCTCCTTCGCCTTGCGAGATCTTCTTTCCTCTTTCGCTTTGCGAGATCTTCTTTCCTCTTTCAAGTTTATTATTAAAGTAATTTATTATTAAGAGATTAAGCGGGTCCTGAAGGGGTAAAATGGGAACTATGGGATTGCCCTATATTTTTACGTTGGGAAAATGTACGTTAGAAGTGCAGCACATTCAATCTTTTATATACGCTTGCGTATATACATTAAAGAAACTTCATCGCATTACAAGCTGTTGAAATGAAGCGTACAAAAAACTCGTTTCCCGAATCATGCTATATAGTTGTTATTAAAGAGATTCTAATCCAGGAACATGTGATATGAATTTTTATCCCATCAGCACTCAGTAGATCATTAAAATGTAATTTGTAGTTTGATTATAGTGCATGACTGCGCGCACCTGCTCTGTCGTCATCATTTGATTTGCATGGGTCTTGGGGCTTGTGAATTGGTTTTGATAGCGAAATTTCGCCGCCTTATCATTGACGCTAGGAATCGAATATATATAATTTATCATTGTATAATAATAATCCATCTGGGTCTTTCTATCAGAAATCTAGCCTTGATCGTTATCAAGCTAATTTTTGAGCTCGCCCGTGTTGGCGAAATCTGTACAAATTTTTAAGTTTCTATATCAAAATTGAATGAAGTGTTTTGTTGCTAACAAAACGGTTTGAAGTGAAGAAAACGCGTAGTTACTTGTGAAAGGATGCTGATGGGAAAGGATCCATCAAGAAAGTTAAAAAGAATGAAATGCTGGGTATTCTCCTTTAGTCAACAAGTTATCTTCTCGTTTAAACTCGTATCTAACAGTGAATTATCCATGCAAACGGAATTTTATTTTGATTTTACATCTATATGTTTCCACTGAAGTTGAACCCTGTCTACAAAGACCGAACCTGAGTTCAGTAATGAATGCATTTGTGTGCATTGTCAACTATAATAAAGTGTTTATGAAGAACATGCAATATTCAATTTAATAAGTTGTCCAAATTGTCCCGTTTCTTGTTGTACCCAGGTTCCTCTGCAGCACATTTTTCCAACCCGTTTCCATGTTTCCGCGGGCCAGACTATTTTGAGCCTCTTGAGCCTTGATACTTGTTTTAATAATTTTCTCGGCCTGTTTTTTTCCTGTATAGTATGCCCCGTGTAAGAAACCATAATAAAACTCGCTTGTGCCTTCTCCAGCGAAATACAACCTGTTAAGATATTCCTTGACAGGATTTCTCATATCATTGAAATGAGCAGTTGTGGTACCAACTTTAGGATTAGAGTAAGCGCCGAGGAAAAGTTCGTCATCTCCCCAATTCTTAAAATGTGTTGCTACGTGCAATTCTTCCGGCACCGTATCAAGGTTAGCAAGATTACTCTTGAAGACTTTTTGAAAGATCCCAAATAGTGATTTTTCGATGTCAGCTTTTACCACCCCTGGTTCCTTTTCAGTTGCTGTTAACGCCCATGCCTCTGGTCCAGTTACTGTGACAAGTATCACGTTTTCATTATCTGGTATTTGTGCGTTGTCCCATTCATTATCATGTTTATCTTTCTTTCCGGGTAGGTTCTGCCACACGGGGAACTTGCGTCGTTGGGTGTCGTCTTCTGGTGCGTAGAACATATAGTCCTTTTTATGCCAAAATTTTTGTTTGAATTTCATGAAAATCTTCAGATAGTTTGCCATTTCCATCTGATTGAGGGCTTCTCCAACTGGTAGATTAGATAACCGAGGGGAAAACATCGTATCCATACTTTTTTGAAGGACACCAATACTGAATGTTACCAAAACATGTTCGCCTGTAAATTCCTGACCGCCTTCCACTATCACCGTTATTTTGGTATCACCTTCTTTTTTAATGATTTTCTTCACCTTGTGATGTCGGATCTTTTCCAAAAATGGTTTAGCCATGTCTTCAATAATCGTCGCATATCCTCTTTTATCGTTAACTAAAGCTTGATAATCACCCTCGGAGTCAATTTTTTCTTCTGATTCATCCGATTTTAACTTTATTCCACAGGAAATGTATTCTGGGGCGACTGCTGCATCAAAATCGTAAACGTAATATTCGATAGCTTTCTGGGCCTGCGTGACAGGATTCCAGCCACATTCTGTAAGCATTTTTCGTTTGGACATATCCGTCGTTTCTTCTTTTTTTTTTTCTTCTTCAAGTTTATCACATTTCTCTACCATGTCGGTAAATGATTTTTGATCAGGCTCTGAAGTTTTAACATCTCCGTTTTCATCAAGAACAATGTATTTCTTATCATCGAGTGCATTCATGGTGTTGTAAGAATTCAATTCGGAGCAAGCGACCATATGCCAAATCGGATTTTTTGGCTTGCCATCAACGTGGGTGCCATGAACCCAATTCGCTCCTAGTTCAACCACGCTTCCAGTTTCAAGGCCCTCACGATCTATCATTGTGCCTTTGAGTACTCGCCCACCAACACGGCCACTGGCTTCCAGCACAAGAAAATCGCGTATTCCAGCGTCCCAAAGCGTTTTTGCAGCACTGACCCCGGCCATACCTGCTCCAAGAATTAAAACCTTGGGATTGCGTACCATTTTCTCCTCTCCTTTCTCAACAGGCACTGAACTGAAGGTAACTGATGAGAAACATAGAGAAAGAAGTACAAAAAAATGCTTCAACTTTCCTTTCAACTTCATCGCTAGACGGTGTGAAATAGTTAAGGTGGACTTCACGAATTAAATGAATCGTTTCATACGAAGAATAAGTATTTACGTTAGAGAATACATCACCAGAGAAATGACATTTAATGCAAGAATAAATATCACGGACGAGCAAGCATTTGCCACTCAGCAGGTGTCTTTGTGTTAACTTTCACGCTTAGGGCCACCATAATGTTCCTGTGAATGCATGGAAAACTAAACGTGTTAACACTAAAACCTGAATTCCGAAAGCCCAAACTCAAACTCATAGAGTTAGAGATCTTAATCGTCTCATAACCCTTCCATGTTGGTATTTCTAGTCGAATAAGAGCTTGATTTTTAGTGTTTTGCCTTAAATATTTCCATTGATTCAGAAAAAACTGTCTCATTAACCAGTATTAAAAAAACTGAATTATATGTCACACTCAATGACTATGAGTGTACGTTTTTTATATACAGGCGTACGTTACGTTTTTCACCAAAATAATCTATCCAGATTCTTGTGTATTTAAAGAACGTTGCCATATGAAAAGGTAATTTTGAATCTAATCCGCTTATTTAAAAGACCTGGTTACAATATAGTGAAAACAGGTGATTTTTAAACAACTTATCATCAAATGAATTTTAGCCGAAAAGTTGAAGAATCTTTTTGCTTCATTATATATTATTCACTGATTATGTTTGCCTCATTGAGGACAACTATAAAATCACTTCCATATCTTTTCGTATCTTTTCAAGTTGTCTAATTATTTTGACATGTTGAAATATGACGAAAACGGAAATACGCCATCTCAGTGTTAACTAGCTTGTTAATTTCATTGGTAAAATATTGTTACTTGTAAAGTTTTGTATATATATTTTATTTCGGGTCGTAGCACTACAGGGCCAACCAAGACTACAATTCAGATACTTAGGATAAGTCATCCAAAACAAGTCATCCAAAATCACTCTTGGTCGCCAGTGACAACAGAGCAATTCAATGTAAATCTCGACAAAGTATTTCTATGTATACGCGCGGTACGAAACGAAACGGTACTGAGGATGCGACTTTTTTGGCCCGATGATGATGCACCAGTGACGTATATGGACCTCGTATGGACCATGAAGCATACGACCTCGTGTCTATCGACCCGACGTAAATATGACGTCACAAGTTGGGGAACCTGACAAGTGCTAATCAATATAATTTTATTAATAGGCTGCAACGGGGGGGGGGGGTTAAAAAAGTTTTTCTCTGACCGGCTGCGATGACACGCGTATGAACGTATTCTGAGTTTGCTCACTGTCTTCTGGTAAACTTTGCGTTATCAATATTAGACCCACCATCATCGGCATTACTTTTCAGGTTGGGGCTATAACCTTGCATAAAATAATTTTTAATTCTATGATATTTTAAACGTTGCTTTTAAATTTATTTAGGTTTTTATCGGATAGTAATAGACTACCCAGTTTCCATAACATAAGCGTAACAGATAACGCATAACGATAGTCCTTGCATGTACACATGAAGCACTCTGCCACAGTCATCGACCTTTAGAATTTCTGAATTTGTCCTAGAGAATACTTCTGAATGTGAAACGCTATGTTTGATTAAGATTTTGAAACAGCACGTTCAAGGACGTCTGGGTCAAAGTAGACGCCGAAAGACGTCATGTAACTGAAAGGGAAGAACATTTTAAGAGAAAGATTAGGGTGAAATGAGAAACGTTATCGTTAAGATAGTAAACAGCACGTTCAAGGACGTCTGGGTCAAAGTAGACGCCGAAAGACGTCATGTAACTGAAAGGGAAGAACATTTTAAGAGAAAGATTAGGGTGAAATGAGAAACGTTATCGTTAAGATAGTAAACAGCACGTTCAAGGACGTCTGGGTCAAAGTAGACGCCGAAAGACGTCATGTAACTGAAAGGGAAGAACATTTTAAGAGAAAGATTAGGGTGAAATGAGAAACGTTATCGTTAAGATAGTAAACAGCACGTTCAAGGACGTCTGGGTCAAAGTAGACACCGAAAGACGTCATGTAACTGAAAGGGAAGAACATTTTAAGAGAAAGATTAGGGTGAAATGAGAAACGTTATCGTTAAGATAGTAAACAGCACGTTCAAGGACGTCTGGGTCAAAGTAGACGCCGAAAGACGTCATATAACTGAAAGGGAAGAACATTTTAAGAGAAAGATTAGGGTGAAATGAGAAACGTTAGCGTTAAGGTGGTAAACAAAACATTCAAGGACGGTATAGACGCCGAAAGACTCTCTCTACATGCAGTTGAACAGAAAACAAATTTAAAAGCAAAGATTGGAGTGAAAGGTTTTCAAGTTGGAGTCGAACAGATGTGAAGGAAAAGTTCTCAAATATAGCAAAAGAAGTTGGTTACAACCGCGTTTCCTGCGCGAGCGGTCCGTATGAGGCCGTACGGATTGCGCGAGATTTAAAAGCACAGAGCCAACGCTAAAGTATGAATTCGGGCCACAAGAAAAAATAAATCTTTATTTACCAGTTCAGTCGGTCCGTATAGGAAAATATTTCCCTCGGTCTCAAAAACGTCCCTCGGCCTTCGGCCTCGGGCTGTTTTTGAGACCTTGGTAAATAACATATATGTATTATAGCGGTCTCAATCTACACTACGGGGTGTACCAAAGAAAAGTACCCCATATTGAAAATGATAGCATTTGAATGCTGTACTATTATGCTACATATGCACCAACGCTGCGTAAAGTTGAAAGCGACGCGCTCAATTTGAATGCCTTAACCTAATTCTAACCACATTCTAACCTAATTCACACTATGTGTTTAATCATGCATTCAAATTATTTCAATAGGAATTTCCTTTTATCACAATGTGCTTTTATGATACACTCTGTCAAGCGTTAGTTCCAAGAACAGCAGGCGAGCATGTTTCAACCGTGCCCGTGGTTTCAGCGAGTCATGCGGAACCACAACTTGTCAGATTCCACACGCCAAACTGATTCATTAACCTCGTTTCATGCAAGGTTTTCCAGCTAAAATTTTGTATTAAACTTGGCTTGGTAGGTCAGTTAGACCCACTGAAAATAACTGAACTGTCGCTAAAATCGGTAGCCTGTACCCGGATGAAACACCGCGCCCCAATCACATGACACCCCACGCAGAGATTCCGACTTAAATAGATACAAAAAAGATAAACCAGTGAAGTACTTAACACACGAAGCACTCTGCTACAGTTATCGACGTCTAGAATTTGTCTTACCGAATACTTTTAAATGGGTAACAACGCCAGCGTTAAGATAGTAAACAGCACGTTCAAGGACGTCTGGGTCAAAGTGGACGCCGAAAGAAGTTATGTAATTGAGAGGGAACAAAATTTAAAAGCAAAGATTCCAGTGAAAGGTGTCGAAGTTGGAGTCGAAGGTGGTATGAAGGAGAAGTTCGAAAATATAGCAAGAGAAGTTGGTTACAGCCGCGTCCCTTCCGGAGAATACATAAGATTTGATGTTCCACAGGGAAAGTATGAATGCTACGTGTCGGCGATTGATTCCGACCTTGTTTGGTTTGGCGAGGCGAAGTGTTTCAGAGCAACTAATTATTCGTATTTCAATGTGGTGCTTTGTAGTGATCATGCCATGCGCAAAGGATTTAAGAACAGGACATTCCGATGTGCTGAGGGACTTCAGGAATACTGGGGCCCATACTGCTGCCCAGGTTGTGGTACGCAAAAATGTAGGAATCCCAGAAGAAGTGGGCCGTCAGATGGTTATTGCGCCAATGTTGGCGAAGGCAAACCTCATCCTTTTACTCGTCTCGATGAGTAGTTATAACATTTATGCCAACTTTCTTCTACTGCACTTACCGAAGCATAAACTGAATATAGAACTAGATTGAGCAGAATATGAACTAATATGAACATATTTGTTGGCTTTTTATTGATTTTATTCCTTGCGTAACTCCAGAATATTGCTTATAGTAATACTGTTATAGAAACATGTATGATGTTAGCCCAATAACTAGGACTGATTTTATCGAATAAATTGACGTGTACTTTTATGTGTTTTGTACGTATTTTTCCAAATCCTGAACTGCCATGTGAAAGTGCTCAACCAGACTACACGTCAACCTGTTTATTTTATATTTCTATCATATCAACCACGCGGTCTACGTCCGCTAGGGAATATTTGCATTTTTTTTTGAATTGGGAACAGTCAAGTCGAACTAATTTATTTACGCTCTCAAAATTCAGAAGAAAATGTGCAAATATTTCGAACGATTTCGCCGTAAATGGAAATCCGCCTTTAAGATGCTGATAATCAGTCTAACAACAGAGCAACTCCATTTGGTAAGCAAAGCCAGAGCCGTATGAAAAGCCGTATGTAAAACTGGGTCCCTAACACTAGTCGTTGCTTCCAGTCAAGTTCGGCTTGTCGTAGATTTGGCGTATCTTAAGGTCTTTATTGTGACCAAAAGAAAGACGTCTCTTTTGCCTTAACCGGAAAATCCGTTCAATACGAAATACGGCCCTTCTTTGTGCAATAGACTTTTCTTATAATGAGTTGGAGCCGCGTTTGACGTCATTATGAAAAAGGTCTATAGAGCAATTCGAAAAACAACTGTCCTGTTTTAACTTATGCATGTGAAAACGAAACTAATCAAATTTCTCTTGCTTGCCAAACTGATCAACCTCGTTCCCAGGGTATTCGCTTTGCCCGGCCACAATATGAAGAGAGCCTCATTTTCGTACAGCTCATAACAAGTCAATTTACATTTGAAGATGAGCTCATAGTCAGTTTGTAATTTTGGCGGGAGAAAATCAGGATAGCCTCGTTTTTTGGGGTAACTCGCACTCGCAGTAAATGAAGAAACAATCCCTATTTAAACGTAAGCCGAAAGTGAGTTTGATCCTCTAATATAGTCCTTATATTGTCAACGTTGACATTAAAATGTCTGATGCTTGCAATCAGGGAAAGGTTGGAAAGATCATCTTTATTTTGAAGTTCTATGCAGATCAAACGAGGGGCATGCAACAAACGACTGCGATGTATAAATAACATAGCACGCGTATGGCAGACGAAGTGTGGCCGAAAAATCGCGTGGCATTTTAGTCGAAACCGTATTTTAAAAGTCTACGTCAGTAATTCGATGTAAATTCAAAGACACAAGTCACGCAACTGTTGCAATATTTTGTTATTTTATTCCGAACCGATTTGCATAGATACGGTCTATTTTACACAAATAGTTGAACATTGATATAGTTATGTTCCATCATCATTTGTTAATACGTATATATATTAGTTATTCATATGCTGTCGTTCACTTTCATTTCAATTTCTTTATTTTTTTATCATTTTCGCCCGGGTTGTCAGCTGTGGCAGTTCCAAATGGACCGGGTATTTTGAATTTCCTCTAGAGATTACACGTAGAACTTCATAGACTTGAGTTCGATTTAATTATACTTTATCTTTACAGCGACACCAAGGGGATATGTGAATATGTAATGTTTGGTAATTTGATATGTCAGGATATATTAGTATGACGATCTAGTGATACCATCGACAGTGAAAGCTCACCATCTAGAGAATGATTTTTACATTGCAGGCGAGTTCAAACCGGCCCGTAATGAGTAATTTCGTAGTTATCTTTTCTAACATTGTCAAATTTATCGCCTACGATTCTTAAAATTGTTCCAACGATGGTGCATTTCACCGCAGATTCTTGTGTTCGTTCCAATTCGTTTCCTTGAACCGTAGTGGTCAATTCCGTACTACGAAACTCTCTTTGTAGAATAATCCGCTCGACTTCCCTTCCAGTAATGGAGACTGAATTTGGTCGCTGTCTCCGGCTGGTAGTTCTTGCGTTATTAATATTAGACTGTTCTGGTTTCTCTGACAACTTCTGCCAACCCATGTTTGCCGAATCTCTTATAAAACCACTCGCTGTTCTGTAATTTTTCTTTAAAACGTCGCTCAATAAGTTCTGCTTCTATTATGGACGTATCGAAAATGCGTTAGTATCAACTCTTTGTGCGTGTATAGCGATAATATCCTCGTAGGAATTTCACTGTGGTTATTTCCATAACAATTAAGACGGGTAAATATAACACCCACAATTAGCTGCGTCATCGTTTCAGAAGGCGATGTATTGTATTTCTAGATATTAATAGTACTTCTCTCATATAATGATTTAAACGCTTTAAACAGTTTGTGGACCGAAGACACGATGGTTTCCATCAATATTGCGAGTATAAAATAAAGGGAAGAACGGCAGAAATTAGCAGCGAAAATCGTAAAGTATTAGAAACGGAATTTGCTGTATTTCTTGTCGTATTTTATCGACTTCCTAGTATGCGGGGGTAGCACTTGTTTAATAATCACATGCAGAGCCACAAATTTGATCTCCTTGAAAGAACTACCGTGTTCCTGGTAAACCATATTAAAAAACAAAGAGCTTAAGCGTAAAATCTCAAGAGGTCTTTTCCGTTTGATAAAGGATGTCTTTCAGTCTATATGCGCGGGTAAAGTCCGTAAAGAAACTAAAGATATTACGTCGTTTTAGCCTTTCAATAATCCCCTTCATCGGGGGATATACCAACATACATGGCTGAATTTTACTGTGTTAAAAATCCCCTAATACATGAGCTACGAGATTACCCTTTTATAAGCACACAGAAAAATAATATCTGAATGGTTTTCTGAAGGTTTTATGGGTACATATATACATATTCTGATGTGAAATATAGTGTGTACTTGTGTTTAGACTTCCTCTTCTTGTGGTTGCTAAGGGGTGCTGAAGGATGAGAGTTCGCTTTTCTAAAACTCGGTGCCTTAATAAAACGGCTTCCATTCTTTGACTAGCCTTATTGATGGTTGATAAAAGAAGGCCTGCATTCAACCTCGTACCCAGAGCCTGCATTCTGCCTCACAAATCACAATTCCTCCAGCGATTTTTAGTACGAATGATAGTTTTGTCCTTCAACAGCTGCAAAAAACGCATAATTGTGAATGTTCTGATGCAATACATTCTTACATAAACAATAACATCAAAGAGCTTAACCACTTCTTAATGTCTTCTTTATATCTACCAAAAAGAAAACAGTACATAAAAAATCACAGGACTACAATTGCAAGTTTTAGCGAGTCCAACAAAAGTTCGGACATTGTATAGTATAAGAATTTTCATTCTTATCAACTCACAGCGTTATCGGAAAGATTCAAAATTAATGACGTCAAATCATCGTCCGGTTTCTTAAAGTCTCTTCGTGGAAAAAGCCTGTTATATCGGTTTTCAATTTGTGTATGAAGAGTGTCACGGAATCCATTCTGGTGCCACAAGATTCACAATGCACTGTTTTGGGTGAAATTTGAATCTTGATATTCATAAATATACCACGAAAAGGGGGGATTCCAGAATCTGAAATTATCTGAAAAATCTGAAATCTAAATAGAGGATTTTTATCAGAATAATTTTCTTTAGCAACCGATGTGTGATCACAAGTAGTTAAATAACTTAAATTATACCTCTGGCATAGCCTAAATAATACAAAAATACAGCATTATTGAGCGATTATAAAATCGGTTAATACTGCTGTATTTTTTGTATTATTTTTGAATCATTGATGAGTACTGCGTGGATCGTATAACTTTCTTATTTTTACCTCTCGGGCGGTTCAGTTTTTCAAAGCTGGTTATCTTAACATAATCCGGGGTTAAAGCAAATACAGTCTATGGTTCAAATGTTTCAACAGCCTGAGATATCGATTGAGAATACGATTTTCAAAAATCTGTATTATAAATAGAAATAGAAATAGAAATTAGAAATACCTGAGGGCTTGCGCAATGCATTGTCATGAGATCATGAGATCTTCGAACTCTTGGACCTGTAACCATCCCGATAAAACCTGTACTGGCCAGTGACCAGCTAACGAATTATTTTTGACTTCGTAAATTTTAACCCCGTAAAAACGTTGATGATTTCCTAAGACCTAGGCTACAAATTGCTTCACTTGCTATCCACATAAAAATATATATCCTCAAACCGCAGAACATGATTTTGCCTCATCAGTAAATGAACCTCAATCAAGAGAATTCCGGAATGAATCTTTTTGATATCCGAGTCTTTATCACAACTCCTGGTGTACCTATTACCTTTCGCTTTCTAGAGAAATTGATTCTTCTGGTCGCTGACCAACGTCCTGTGCAGTTGAAATAGTTTTTGCAAGCTTTGAAAATACTGAGAGTTCCCGTGAGAAATTATCCCGGCTTTCCAACAATGCAATTTTTAGTTTTGTTCATCTCTAATCAGTGATGAGCCTCCCGCCGTTACAGAGTTTAACTGCAGCAATCATCGGTGAAATTCACACGGTAACCAGTATGTATATGTATGAGCGCAGCCATTGGTTACAGAGTGGTTATAGTATACTGGAAATGATGTGGGTCACGTTTTGGTAACCGGATGAATATGGACTTCATAAATCCCTTCTGGCGAGGACTACTGAAGTTATTCCGTTCTGATGAAATCACGAAAACTGAAAATAATTGTAATTTCAATTTTTCTTTAGTATCATGCTCAGTTTTTAGAAATATCTTATTCTTAGAAACTTCCAAATAACCCGAAAACTTCCTGTGGGCCTTGTCCCGGAAAAGCGAAAATACAAGCGCAAACCTGAATGAAATCATATTCCTGAAATTACAACTGTGTCTGTAGTCCGTACTCCGTACTAACTTCCCGGGTTTCAATACTGTATTTAAAGTTGAACGAAACCTTCCGAAACTTTCCGTAAATACATTGGGGAAGTGAAATTAGAGTTTATGGATAACTGTAAGAAACTGTAAGAGAACTGTGTAAACATTGTAGGGATTTCCCAACACAGTACTGTAACCCAATACTGGAATGTTTAATACTCTTGCGTAATTACCATAGCAACTGTAGACGTCATTAGATAAAAATAACCCCTATAAACAGGTTTAACCAGTCATTCTTAAGCCATACACTTCGGGCTTCCGGTTAGAGTCGAAGCATCCCGAAGCACGAGAGCGAAGTAAACCAGCGACAAAGGCTTAAATATTTGTGCCAAATTTTCGGCTTTCCCGACAAATTTTAACCTGTTGTCACTTGTTCCTATGATTTTGCTTCAATTCATTCATTTGTGATAATAAATTCTCAAAAAGATGCCACCAAATCATGATTCTCGTTCACCAATAAATTCGACCGGAGACACAAAAGGAGTAATTTCAGAGCCGACGCAACACGCAGAAGAAACAACGACGACAACTACCCATTTCATCTCGAATCATCATCCACCGCCAGGCCAGCAAAGAGCTCACGAAAGAACCTTCGCCATTGTGCAGTACGTTTTGTTTTCTCTCCTTGGCAGAAAAGTGGATCAAATCCCATCGGCAGAAGCGAAGAAAGTTAGCGAGTTGACAAAAGAGATCCTCGAGAAACACGATGTTTACAACGAATTGTGTTCAAATTTGGGTTTCTCTCCCGAAAACCTGCAAGAGCATTTTGAAGGAGTCGCAGTGAATATTTTCGAAGATGGTACTATCAACTGGGGAAGAATTGTCGCTTTGCTTGGCTTCAGTGTAAAAGTGGCCGAGCATTTTCGCTCACAAGGTTTTGGAAACGAATATGACCGCTTCATTGTTGAATTGACAACGAATTTTATTGTGATTAAAACTAACTCGTGGATTCAATTCAAAGGTGGCTGGGTGAGTATTTTCATGATAAAATACTGTAGCTATATTGACTGACTACCTGAAAAGTAAAACAAAAACTTTTCCTTTTATCACGAGAAAAGTTTTGTAAAAGTTACTTTCATTGGGTAATAGAGACGTTTTTGAGGGCCTTGATAGTTTATGGCACTGGTTAAGAATTGCGACCATACTTCATCAATTTGTGTCTAACACGCCAATACAAGTAGAATTGATTTTATCTTGCAAACTGCAAGTTAAACCTGAAAGTACTGTAGAAAACTAACAAAATTGAAAGGTGTACTAAATCAATAATGGTAAAGAACTATATGGTGCTCATTGTAAAAGTTTCCTTTCAGATTGCTGAAAGTTGTTTGAATGTCTATATATATATATGATAGTCAAACAAAGATATTTGATGCAATGAGCTATTGGGCTTGGTCATACTAAAAAAACTAGTATTGAGGTTGTATATCTGCAAAATATATACCAGAAAACCTTATCAATGTTGGAATGTTTGGCAAAAGGTTTATACTTAAGCCAGAGTCAAACACTACCTATGTTATGTGCCGACACATATAAGCATCTTAATTGATTGCCTATTGTATGTGGTGGAAAAGCGTAGTGTTTTTGAAAAATTTGTTCCAGAATTAGACCAAAGACATGTCTAGGCTGGTTTCTCTTGTTTGAAATTACAAAAATATGCCTAAGAATATCAGGTGATTCTTTATAAGTGGAGCATTGTCATGCAAGGTCATGAATCATGATATGGTAAAATACAAAGTCCAATCAAACTATGAACTTCGTAGACACAATATGTGCTTCTACAGGGCAAATTTCATGGAATTTATAGATACGAGGGTTGAATGGGGTGTTTTGACCTGGTGGTTATTGCATTTTCTGATCATGTCTGTATTTACAGTTCGATTTATGGAATGTGAAAATGCTTGATGCTGCATGAATAAATTTTATCTGCGAAAAGTACTTCCTTAATCCAACCTGTTTTTCCTGAAATAAAATCTTGACATTTACATTAAAAAAACACAGTTTCAGTTCTTGGAAGCCTTTTTAGCATAGAATCATGGCATACATGGGATATGACTGCCAAAGTTTTCCATCATGCAAAAATGTTTTTCATTTTGATTAAGCAGCATGACTAAAACCTATTGAAAATTTGCTTGAACATATCATAAATACTCTGTGGGTACTATGGTATGACATGGTTAATTCTATGAGGTCTTTGACAATAATTGCAACATGATTATACTCAAGTATGCAATATATTTATGCCTGCTGGGATCCTGTATACCCTGGGATGATTTGTGCTGACTGTTTCATTCCTTATTACCCACTCATCAGACTGCTGTCTACCTCTAAAGCAGCTGAACTTTGCTTATATCATAAAATCACTTCTTAACTGTTCTTTTGAGGATTCAATGAAGAAATACAGTAAAATTATGTTTTTATCTAATAAGTGTAGGTGATTTCTAAGATGATTTCTCATCAATCTGAAAACATCCTTTTGATGATGTTGCTCAAAAGATATGTTTAATAAAATCGACCCTGGCAGTATTGCTGGTGGCAATCAGACACCTGCCATTCACTGTCATCAAAATTGTCCAACCTGCAGATTGTTTATATCCTGCAAATATATTTATCATAAGACAGTGAGAATATGCTTGCAATGCCTGTATCATCTCCAGTTTATTGTCTATCTGTTTCTAAAATAATCCTTAAGAATGTTCATAAGTTATCATTTATAAATCATAGTATTTTAAAACCATGACAGATCTTCAGTTATGAGCACAAATTAATCATAAAATGTTTTTGCAAAATTTCATTAAATCCTTCAGAAACAATTACAATTTTTAAATAAATATGTTTGTGCAAGATTTTATATGATCTTTTTGAGAGATTTTTTCACATTTTTTGTTGTTGAAAATCTTAACTTTCAAAACCATTTTGGGCATCTTACTTACATCGCCTGCGAATTTACTATTTAGTTGAATTCAGGAAAGTTTTTTTAAACATATGTACAGAACTTGAATATTAGGCAAGGATTATTCCTGTAATTTTCTGAATAGTCAAAGCTTGCATCATCAGGATTCACCATGTTTTTACACATACTTGACACTTCGTTCATGTCATCACTTTTTCTCGGATGTCAACGTGAAGCCCAGCGTGCATAATAGATACATTGTAGTTTGGTATTTTCTTTAGCGACTTTGCCCTTCTGTTTTCCAGGAAGTCAAAAGACCGGTTGTCACAAAACCCACGCAAATATTTGCGGAAAAACTACCCTTCTTGCCACCAAATTTGGTGCTATTTTTCCCGCATCATTTCCATTGAATTCGCTTCCGAAGAAGCTCCAAAAAAAATAATGACATCTTACAAAAGCATGCTTAAGTTAACACATAGCGCTTTATTATTTTAGATGCAGTTATATAATGCCGTAAAATTATCAATTGTAGAAGCATCGCGAATATTTTCTTCGATACATTTCAGTCATAGTTTAAATATAATGGTGGCGGACGCCCAAACCGAGTGCTTTGCCAAGATTTTATGCCAAGATTTTATGCCAAAAATAATACTGTATATAAAGTCTGGCAGGAACAATCCGTCCCAATCCATTAAGATTGAGGAATGTTAATGACATGAATTTTGTGGAAACATGTCGTGGCCTGTTCCTGTGTAACTTAGCATATAGGTATTGATTGTCTAACTTGGTATCAAGTATCATCATACCAAGCCAACCATATATGGGCCCTTGTCAGAATATCAAAAATTTGTATGGGGTCCTAATGTATATGGCTCGTATTTTAAAATCTTAGAATTCCATGTATTTGTACGAGGTCTCTTTGATGTACGTTTTCTTTATGCTTTGTCTTGGGATTTTCGCTTCTTGAAAGAAAAAGAGTTAATTGAATCCAACGTTTCTCAATGAAGCTTTCTATAAGAGCGATTAATAATATCAAAGGATAAATTGATGATTGATAATATAATCTGCATGGTTCCTGGTAATGCTATTCATTGATTCATCACCTTGAATGGTCTATTAAAATCATATGACTTCTTGAAATAGATATGTATTGTTCATTTTTAATGGTTTATTCCTGTAGTAACACTTAATAAACAAGGGATTGTCCCTCCGCTACTCGTTAAGAAAAACGATAGTTTAAGAGGTGATCCTTACTGAGCCTCTAGAACAGATAGAGCTATCCAGTATAAATAAAGTTAGTTTAGTTTAGAGCTATCCAGTAGGAATAAAGGAACAACTGTCTACATCTTATAACAAGTTTTTGCTATAACTTCAGACAGACTTTCTGCTGAGCAAAAATCTAATCGAATTTTTAAATTCATCGTTTAGGGAAACGTCATAACACACTTCGATACATCAAGAAAGGTCGTTCCATACTCTCCCCACCATGCGACATGGTTCAGAGGTGTCTTAATGACTGCTACGGCGACCATTGGACTCGGGGCTTTACTGGCCGTTTGCAAGTAACCCAGGCCCGCGCTGGCACTGATCTCACAAATTTGACTGGATTGCCTTTACTAAAAGATATAGCTGGATTAGCCAAGGTAGACAAATGGACCTTCTCAGACGAAAAAATAATGTTATATGACTTATATCCGATCATAAATAATAAAACTGGATGTAATCTAATATCTCATTTATTTTATCTCCCACTGAAAATCTTTCAAGATGGAAAAGTCCTCTCAATCATTTCCTATATCCAAATCTATCTCGAAACAAAATTCCTCTTGTCTCGGGGCGCTTATACCTCACATATCAGCGCTCCGAGTAACTTGAAACCTTTAACGCAATCCAGTCCAATTTGCGAGGTCAGTGTAGTAAGATATATTTGACTGAAGTTCTGTTTTCTCGAGTCCTAGTTCCTATTTTTCAGAAAAACAGGAAGTGGGCATAGTTTTGGGGAACAAGAGTTTTTGTCAAATATGTCTACGATTGCTTGCTCTGTTTTCTTGAGTCATGTTAAGATATTGAGTTTGTAATATGAACTTCCTTTCAAAGTCCTTTCAAAGACTTGCCAGTGCTGTCAAACATAACTAAAATTAAAAACCTTTTCATTCAAATTACCATTTAAACCATTAAGTATAGTTCACGAGTATAGTTCACGAGGTCATGCATATCATAATATTTTATACTTTTTAAAGGGTTTAAAATTCGCATTTCATTAAAAATCCCATTACCGGACTTTCTTTCAAAGATCTTTCTCCAAGTTTGCAGGAGCATGTGAGCAATTATATCTTCTCAAAGAGCAATTCATTTCTGGAAATTACATTCTGAACTGTTCTCAGTCTTTTTCAATACCGTAAATCATAACTCATGTTTATTAACCGTCGAGAAAGCATCAATTTAGTCTCATATGTATTAAATAGACGAGCAATCTCGTGTAAAAATATTTTAGCACTTTCTCACATCACATTCATGATATTATATAAAAAATAAATACTTGTTTATTTAGTATTGTGATTAGCATTTAATCATATTGCGACGAGAACAATCATTTGTGGTGATCAATCACACGGCATTACAGCAAATGACTTTCAGGTTTCAGCGGTGAATGAAACGATAGCTGTATCGCCCCCCTGAACTCCATAAAGACAGAAATGTCGCTAGAGATTAGACAGTGAGAAGGACGGGGGGTTCTTCCTATGGGGCGTGTTCACCGGGGTCGGGAGAGACTTGAAAAGTCTGCTGAACTCTATGCAAAATTGGATCCAAAAATTTGAATGCAGAATTTACAACTCCAGTTCTCGTATTGAGGTCGTATGCACAATGTCGTTGAGGAAACGTCATGTAAGGAAACTAAAACTTCAAGTGTAAAAATGGCGTCACTTTCAGAAGAGAACATAAAAAGCCTTTATCGTTGCCGAAATAAAATTGAACGGCGCAAAGTTCTGGCAACTATTTTGAACTGTACATCGTGCGATGATGACGAAGATGATATGAAGACATCAATTTTGCTGGACTATTATACAGAGAGTGTTAATTTCGCATCTGAAGGCGGTTACTCATGGCAACAAGGTCTCGCTGTTTTTGAACTTATGAAAGAACTACTCGATAGTACCCTAGGTAAGTGTACTGGTTGTTGAATTTAACAATTTTAATTATGCTTTGGGTTCCTATATGAACGTGCTCTAATAAAAGGGAAGTACTTCGTGTTTACATGATATACAATTTTAATGATAGTATCTCTTTACATATGATAAAAATTATCTGGTATGCATGGTGATTTTCAGAATGGTTATTGGTAATCAGTATACATGGTGAATTTGTGTATGCACATTTTGAGTATGCATGATAGTATGGTGTGATCTAAAACTTATCTTCATGTAATAATCTTCAAATTTAGATCAACCACTGTTGCAAGCGACTCTGCAATTCAAAACAATTCTCCAGAACTACACGACAGTGTTTACTGCTCAGAGACTAACGGGTGTTGTCGACTTTGTATTCTCTTATTTCTTCAATCACTTTCACTTGTACAAGTTTGTCTTCACGAATGAACGAGATATTGACAAGAGTACTGCTCACCTCCATGTTGAAACACCACCACAAGACTTACCGCCGCTTAAAACTGGGATGGAAAAGTCAGAATGGGAACGTCAACAAGTTTTAAAACAATTGGAGGACCAACATATAAAAAATATAATGGTTTGTGCCTTTGTTTGCAATGTTTCCTAATTACCAGTTTAAACTCGTTTTGAACTCACACATGCGCATAACTTACAAAAACGCCCAACCGACGTCCATGATATAATTGTGGACAACTTCAATTTGGCATTTGCATTCCCAGCTCTGGATTAAAATCTCCGGCAGAATTAGAACCCTCGCCTGGTGCTTTAGGCTGGCTCAGAGAAAAATCTCCAAGAAAACAACAAACAGGAACAGTAAAAAATCTTGTGTGGAGGCACCTCTACCCCACTGTGGTCCACCCTCTTCATTTGTCTCGAAAGCCCCCTTCCCCACATGTTTTACGTTGTATGCACTCTAAAATTTTCAAACCTCCCTAATGCCATTGTCTCGCTACAATTAAAGGAAAAACAGTTGCAGCTTGACTCTGAAGTTGAGAGACTTCAGTTGCTGGTTCATGAGAAACTGTTGCTTCTCAACACGGAGAAACCAATCACGACAGAGGACTTGAATGACATTGTCAAAGAGACGGTCAAAATGTACGTAGCTTCTGCTGGATCCACCATCCAGCATTTGATCCAGGAAAGCGAAGAAAATATTGCTTACGAGTTTGAAAAGACAGCAATGGAGCAGAAAACGCAAGGTGCTAGCACACCGTCTAAGAAAACAAGGTCTCCTCAGTCTGGTAAAAAGAAAGGAAAAGCAGCAAAGTCTGTTAAAGGGTGATCATTTACATTTTAATAACAATTTTGAAGGTGTTCTTATGCTGATGTTAATATATTTCTTTGTAAATAATTTAGATAATTTATATTTATTGTATAAAAAAACGTATTATCACATATTATGGATGTCAGTCTGTCATAAAATTTCCAGAAAAGAGCTTTTTTGAGTTTATCCAGGGACCAGGATAGCACTACAGTTCAGTCATTATTATAGATCAGTGGGTTTAGTTGATATTTACATGATGGGTTACATGTAGTTCTCATGGTTTTACAACCGCTCGTGGGTAGTTGGGTAGTTGCACGGGCGCAACACAAACATTGAAAAGAAAGATTCTAAGAAAAACGAAAATTTCGCTTTTTACTGCCTATGGATTCAACGGTAGAAAACGCCGAGAAAAGTGCCGATTCCTTAAATGAACAGTCGAGAAAAAGTGCTGAAGTTCTTGCAGAGGAACACGGTGAAATAATATCCGAAGGTGGAGATGAACACGCTTCAGATGCGCCCAAAAATTTGGATGGAATGTCCAGTTCCGAAGTGAAGGTAGACTCTGACACTCAAACGTCCGGGAGAAATGAAGAAAATACGGAGGAAGAAGCCGTTGAAGTTGTGGAAATCGAGGAAAAGGTTATAATAGAGACGGTAGACGAAGGAAAACACGTAGAAGAAAGTCCCACGAATGCTGAAGAGGAGAGGTTAAATATAACAGAGACAATAGAAACGATAGATTTGCCGTCAGAAGATGAGACTGTGACTCCTGCGAGTGAGCCTTCGTCCTTAGAAAGACAAGGGGAACCTGCCGAGCTGCCACAGGAAGCAAAAAAGCAAGATGAGTGGACAGATTTATTGGGAAATGGTCTATTGAGAAAGAAGGTAAGTATAGGAGTTGCATGATGCAATAAGCTTGTTATATTGTGCTTTGTATGTACCATCTTGTACAAGCATATTATTAATCTATTATTATTAGCTAGGATTAGGGTTTAGGATTAGGATTAACCTAAGCCTAAGACTGGTCTAAAACCTGGTCTGAAAGACCAAACTCATGTATTTAGGATTAGGATTAACCTAATCTTAACCCTAAACCTGGTTTCAAGAATTAAATTCATGTATTTAGGATTTATATTATTGTATTACTATGAATTTGAACATAAACAAGTTCTGATCATGGTAATTTTGCCAGGTCATCCAAGCTGGTAAGGATGGCGGCTCTCGACCTGCGGCTGGTCAAGAAGTTTGCATCAAGACTGAAGGAATGTTGCCTAACGGCGATAGGTTTGATTTAAATGAAGAGTTAAAGTTTATCATTGGAGATGGAGATGTTGTTACAGGTGGGTTAATAATTGTTAAATTTTGAAATTTGATGCGTGAAAATACCAATAATTTCATTCCATTAGTGACGTTGATGTGCATTTAAAATTTGTGATGAAAGTATGCTATGAAAATATGTGATGGAAATATTCTTTGCATTATGATTAAGCACCATTGATATACTGTACTTAGATACCATTACTTTTTGGAGGAAAGAAGCCTTTATTCCTGTCCTAAACAGAATACGCAGCTATGCAGGCTAATTAATGGTCAGTAAATATAATTTTTAGCATTGGATTTGTGTGTCCCGTCTATGGTGGAAAATGAGATTTGCGAGTTGGTGGCTGCAGCAAGATTTGCTTATGGTGAACTTGGAAGGTATGCTGTAGTATTTTTGTTTTTAGTTTATGAACTGTGCTTGTTAACTAGCTAGTATACCAATGCTTAATTACAAAACAAACACCATATACCCATACTTTCCACAAAAATGTTCAACCAACACTCTTATATATTTGGCCAAGTGTGTAGGAGGTTAACAGATTGCTTTAATAATCATTGATTAGATACTAGTTGGCATGTTCCAGTTTATTTTTTGGCTCGTTATTTTTCTCAAAAAATAGAGAGGACGATGATGAAGGTGATGTTCCACCAGACGCTGAAGTGACTTTCAAATTGGAACTCTTGAGTATAATGCCAGGCCCTGACATTGCGAATCTGACAGATGAACAAAGAATTAACCTTGGGTATGTGTGTTATTTAAATTGTTGCAAATTTCAATAATATTTTCTCTTTGGGTCTTCCAATACAACTATATGCAAACCTTGAACTTAACTTGGTGTTTATTTTTGTTGTTAGTGATGAAAAACGAGAGCGTGGAAATTATTTATTCAGAAGAGATGAATATTCCCTTGCAGTCCATTCTTATACAAGGTGAGAATGTTTAGCACTCCAGGAACTACAATAAAGCTGGTCATTTATCATTCTCTAGCCTTACTACCTGTTAGCCAAATCAACCCACCTCTTCATCCTATTAAAGATCTGTTTTTTTTCTCACTAGAGCTTTGAAGTACTTGGGAGCATCAACTTCTGAAGTAATTTGTTCATGGCATTGTATTTTGCTGTTGTTTTGACTGGAATAAATCTCACAGCTTTGCTATTTGAATTGCATTTACAGCCGATTGTTGAACTCAAAATAAAGTGTTGGAACAACATATCAGCTTCTCATTTGAAGGTAAGAAGGCTAGAGTATGGTAGGTTCATTTTGGTGGTAAACTGTCTAGTGACTTCTGGTGTATTGTTGCTTAGCTAGTGGGGTGATGATTGTAACCAATTTGCTTGCATGTTTCATTGAAGTTCTCCCAGGAATCGTTGTATATTTGTTTACATACACAGGTCAAGGAATATGCAGATGCGAAAAAAGCCTGTGATTCTGTCTTAGAAGTGGATCCTGATAATGTGAAAGCTTTATTTCGAAAAGGAAAGGTTTGTATGAATAAAATTATTTCAGCAACTGTCTCTTTTATAATCTATGTAGACTGATTTGTATTGAACAGAATAATGGAGAACATGTTGCACTGTTTTACAGGTTTTATATGCACAAGGTGAATACGAAGAGTCTGTGGAGCTTTTGAGAAAAGCAAATACCTTAGATCCAGATAATAGGGTTGGTAAAATATTACTTACATGAAATACTATGGTTAACACGGAGAAGTGCAAGCAGCTAGCCTTTAAAACAATGAATATTGGAGAACAGGGAGATTTTCAAAACGTTTTCATTTCTTTCAGTTAATAAGAAAAGAACTGTACATAGTCAGACAAAAATTTGATGACTCTAGGGAGAAAGAGCGAAGCATGTATCAAAGAATGGTCAGCGGTTTCTCTGGTAATGCAGAGGCAGACGCTAGCAGCACGGTAAGTAATTTTGTGAATGTTTGTAGACAAGCTCTATTTTTGGGTTCATCAAATTGTTGTTTGATTGAGTCAAAACAATGGATGAGAGTTGGGAGTGATCAAGTTTAGAAACAATATGATCTCACTAAAGAACCATTATTGTTTGGAAATCATTCTTATACCATAAACATAACAGTTTTTTCTTGTTAAATCCACTACTTGTGGCAATATCCATGTTCAATGACTTCCATCCTCTTGGATAAGATTTAGCACAACACCTATTCTTCTGTTTTGTAGTTTTTCACCTGGCCTGTTATCCTGGGTGCCACCGGTATCGTCATAGGTGGTGTGGTTGCCGCCCTGTGGCTATCAAGACATTGATCTGCTTCCTTGCCACAATGCTGTCTGACTCTGCCTAAGGCACAGCCGAGGCAATGACTTTGACATCTGAGATTTCCCTTTGTGGTCCAGAAGATATTACAGTCTGTGTTTATGATGTTTTGGGCTTTGTTTAATGGACACTAAATGAAACTGAATTTCAGTATTTTAGGGACACTCATTAGGGCCATTTATACGAGTGAAAATAAGCCGCGGCCTAAATAAGCCGCGGCTTAAATAAGTCGCGAAGAACTCGTATAAACGGTTTATTTACAATTAGCCGCGGCTTATTTAAGCCTAGGCTTCAACCCTGGGCTTATTTTAGCCGCGGCTTGCGAACAAAATGACCGTTTATACGAGCCCTTCACGACTTATTTAAGCCGCGGCTTATTTAGGCCGCGGCTTATTTTCACTCGTATAAATAGCCCTATTGTTGGCTATTCCTAATTAAAATGAAAGAAATAGATTTCTAGTGCCAATTCCTATCTATTGTTTTTGCCTAATAATAAAATCCGCCCACAGTTGCTATAACTGATTTCTTCAAAATATTTATTTGGGTTGCTGTGCCATGGTAACCTTTTGGTAACCTTTCTCTAAAAGGGGCTCTTACCTATATATACGCCTACAGCCGAGTATGAATCGACAATGTCCGAATATGAGTCGACAAAATCCGCTGACATTGGCGAGGAGGGTGACATCATTGAACTTTAATAAATACAGTGCATCAAATCTTGATCAAAAAGGACTTTATTTATACGTAAATATCTCAAACGTTTTTAGTCGTTTTGTCAATCTGAAGCGAAAATGGGATAAAATAAGACCTATTTTCAATCCACACGAGCAATCATGCAACGATCAACTAGCAGTGAGTTTTTATAAACCTTTTCATACAAGTATAAAGTGACATTTTTTGTCAACATAGCTAATCATAACAGCTGTACGTAACTAATCGGGCAAACCCTAGATAGTTGTTTTGTACATTCCTTTATTTATTACTTCTGTTTCTCTATTTTATATTAGCCATCGATTTTGTGAGTTTTCGTTTCTGATGTTTTCTTTTTTGTGCCATGTTTATGTGAGACCGTGAGTGAACTTTTCCAGGGAGTGCGTTCTGATTTTTAAAAATAAACCATAGCAATTTTTGTAACCTTTGTAGTTTATGGAAGCTCTTCAGCTTTGCGTGGTGTACAGTTGAAAATTGGAGAAAAATACAAACCTCCAGCGAAGGTGAGGATATATTTGGAGAAAGTCAGAATGTGAGAAAATACTCTTCATGGAACTTCTTTTCCTGTGAACATCCTTGTTTTCACTAGTGTTCACTCATTACCTATTCCTATGAGATTTAACTAGTTTAGCTCACGAAGAACGTCTGATCTTGTAAAATGAAAGTTGTGAAATATTATACTTTATGGGGACTTGTACTTTAACAGTGTGTTTACATACATAGTTTTGTAAACAGGTAAGGTTATGGAACTTCATCAGCTATCAACCGTTGACCTTCAAATTTTCCCTTTCCTTGAGGGTGGGTTTAGCCCCAGTGTCCTGTGTTATATGATAACCCTGCAACGTAACCTGGGATCCTATTTAAATGGGAGAGGAGTTTTAGAATCCAACTGTTCCTAATAGCACATTTATTTTTTATTCCATTAGGTTACCTTGCCAGTTGGTTGGAAAATGAGAGATCCGTCAAGATTGTTGAGTCTTACAGTAAGTTTCTATTTTATCTGTAAGTTAGCAGTTATGTTAACAAACAGAAAGCATAGTTTATGTAAAGTTTGCACATAAGAGGAATTGAAAGAGAATTGCACTAGCATGAAATATTTCAATTCTGAATTAATCAACTCCCCTTAACCATGTTACTCCTGTAACTAAGGCTTGCAACAGAGGGTCAAGTAGGGTGGGGAGGGCAAATACCTAGCACCTAGAGTACTTGGGAGGTGGGCTGAAATCTATTGCAGGTAAATAGATGCCTTTGTTAGTTGTAAGGCAGGGGAGGGGTGTGCCCATCAATTTATTCTGGGGCCTGTGTGTTCTCACCTGCCTTGACTGAAACCTGTGTTTGCTGTGAAATAAAGTTTATCCAAATCTTTTCAGTACGACTTTTCACTGGAGGAAGGAGTCCTCTCAAGAATAAGAGCTGAAAGAGAGGCCAAGGAAAGAATTGAACAGGCTCAGAAAATCAAAGAGCTTCAACAACCAACAGCAAATCCTGTTGTTGCCCACATGGGTGCGGACATCTTGCAACCGACGACCGCAACGACGACAACAACAACAACAAACAGTTTGGATTCAAATAACGATAACAAGCAATTTAATTACAAGGATTTTGAAAACAATACAGACACACCGTTTGAAGATGTTGAATTGCAATCCATAAACAATATGGAAGCTTTGAAAAGCGTTCTACAGCCAGATGTTGCAGCCAATTCTGTGTCTAGTAGCCAGCAACAAGTTCCGCAAGGCATACCCATAAGAGGAAATCCATTTAATCAAACAACATCTTCGAATAGTTTAGAGACAACTTTTCCAATAAGTGGCTCACCAGGACAGACTACTGGTGCTAGTTCATATCCACCTGCATACCCCAATAACCCTGTCAGTACCCAGTCGGGGTTACCCAATTCTAATCCATTTGCAGCTCCGAACTTATTAGGAGACCCAGCCCCACAAGGGGTGATTAGTAATGGAATAGGAGCAGTTTCTACACATGAACAAAAGGTGTCCCACCCGGGAGCAATTAGAGTGCTGCCTACAACACCTGCTCGGCCCCCACCAAGGCGTCCTGCCAGCGTACCCAATGAGAATGTCACCTCTGAAATGATGTCAGCTTTTCCAAGTCACAATGCACTCCCCTCAGCAACTCCAGCTCAAAGGAGGCCCGTCCCCAAACCTCGTACCAAACTTCCCCCGTTGAAAAATGGACCAGAAGTTAGGAAATCAGAGAACTTGCACAGTCCCCCTACATCCCCAGAGGTCGAACCTCATTATGATGTACTTCATTATGATGTCCCGCCTCCTATACCACCTAAAAAGGCCGCACAAAAAAGTCGAGAAATTGAACGCGGGCAAAATTTCTCCGCGGTAAGTGTCACTAGAATATATTGCATTTGATATCTTGTGCTTTAATGAAACTAAAATTTTTTTCAATGAATTTCATTTTCAGGAGGACGCACACTTGGGACGTTTCCCCACGCCTCTTCCGCCTATTTCACCCCCAGAACCCACCTCATCTCCAATCGACCCCCGTGCCACTATGTCTCATGATGAAGTTCAGTTGGTTAATCAAATATCTGACATGGGTTTCCCCCTCGAAAGAGTTGCACGAGCCGTAAGGAACTTGAACGGCAAGGAACGCGAGGTTTGTAATCAAATATTACATGAAGTATTTAACAATTCAGGCGTTCTGATTGGTTTAGCCTCAAAAACTTGATTTTCCTGTTTTTGTTTTTGTTTTCATTCAAGGTGGTTGATTTCCTAATATCAGTGAACGAACTTTGTAACCAAGGATATGATGAAAACGATGTTGAAATGGTTTTAAAGGATAACATTGGCCAAACTAAGGTAAATACTAAAGTGTACAATAGGAAATGCGTTAGATCTTCAAATTCAAAATCACGAACTCCGAACCACGGTTCCCAACCGATCCTCATTGAAACTTAATTCAATTCATTGCTACGAAACATGATCTTTTAAAGGCCTGTCTACACTTGCAATTTTTGTTGCGACTTTATGTGCAATTTTCTTCCTTTGATAGATGGGAATGAATGAATTAGTTACTGATGTTCAAATAAGAGCGCTTATTAATCAGAACATTCCTAACTAATTACTCATTCACATCTATCAAAAGAAGAAAATCGCAGCAAAAATCGCAAGTATAAACGGGCCTTTTATGTGCGGTTTTCTTCTTTTGATAGATGTGAACGAGTAATAAGTTATGAATGCTCCGATGTGTACGAGCTCCTATTTGAACATCCGTAACTAATTCACTCGTTCACATCTATCAAAAGAAGAAAATCGTACTTTTTAAAACTCGCAGCAAAAATCGCAGGTGTAAACGGGTCTTAAGATAGCGATAAAAACATAAAATTCTTGCAGTTTTCATGAAACGTTGACATAGTCGCTTGTCTTGTCTTACAGGCTGTGGAAATTCTGAAGCTTCAACAGCAATTTAGAGTACTTGGTTTTGAAGGAGACAAAGTATTTGAAGCGATAAAAAAATCTGAATGTAATAGAGACAAGGCGTTAGATATTCTCATAAGCGCTGGGTAGGTCACCGAAGAAAAGAATCCCGTAAATGACAAAAATCGCATGATGCTATAGTTGTATATAATAATAATTGAATTAGAGACCAAAGCTATGGAAATTAACAGTGTTTATAACTTAGGCTATGTGCACACGTGTGCCGTTTTGGCAGTGTTTTCAAAGACATTTTAATCTCTTTTATCGCGTTTCGTCGCCTCGTTTTCCCAATTCGAAAGGCCGTTTTCCACTTCAACCGTACCGTAGCGAAACGTAGCGTATCTTATTGTTTTAAAGTCATTAGTCCTGGTCGAATACTTCGGAAAAAAAGAAATACGTTACGTTACGATACGGTTGATGTGGAAAACAGGCCGAAGGGTGTAGCATTCCTGGATTTTAATACACTGAATTAGCCTCCATGCCTCATCGTTAGCCTCATCGTCTGTCGTAAAAAGATCCATTTTAGATGCGTGAAAACGCAAGTGGTAAAAACGTCACCGTGTGCAGTTAGCTTAAGATTCTCAAGTTTTTCAATGAAAATTATTCGCCAGCACAGCTAAAAATATGCCAGTTTGGAAATGGGGGAATAAGAGGATAATGGGAAGTGACAGTTATTATTGTTATAATGTAGTCTTGTGTATACAGTTGTACACGGCAAATGTAAAATTGGCCGTAAGGTCACACTGTCTGACTGGTCAAGATATAGCTGGAATCAGTATTCAATACTAATGAATGACTCTAATGGTCAGAATTTAAACAGAGAAAATAATATAGTATGTCATTGTATAGTGTATATTGTAAGCGAATAGTGCCCTTGAAAACAACTCGCTAGCACTAGCCTCGTAAGAGTGGGGGTGCTTCTTGGGGTGTACGTCGCGGCCTCCTTTCATCCCTATTCCCAAGCACCCCTGCGAGCTTCTTGGCCACTGATCTCTATATATTATCCATCGCAACTCTGGTTTAATTTATAATCAAAGTAATCACCACACAAAGATTACATTCACGATTTTTAACACGAGTTGAATGCAACCTTTGTCAAGCTCTGGTTTCCAGATTAAACCTTTGTTTTTCTAAAAATTGTCTGGAACGAGGCTGCGCAGATTGCCACATTTTTAGACCAATCAGAGCGCTAGATTACATTTAGTCACAACATGGCGGCGGACTCGGGAGATACAATTTTTGGGAAGATCATTCGCAAAGAGATACCATCGGAATTTCTTCACGAAGATGATCAGGTTGGGCAGAGAAGATGAACTTTGATTGTAGAATGTGCATACATGCTTTTCAATTGTTCGATTGCATTCGTTTAATTGTATTATTCTGCTTTTTGTACATCCCCACACCCATCGTGTCCCGTTTATAAAACAAATCACTATCTAAGACTATGGTTAACTGTTTGTTAGAATGTTTTTTTGCTTTTCAATAAAACAAGCAAAGATATGTTTATTTAAAAGTTCTGAAAGGAGGGTGGGAAATTTCCCCAGAAGTTATGTCATGTTTCCTTTCAGTTTCAGTTTGTAACATAGACATATAGTAGTGGGCCAGTGGCTGACCTAAGCTCAGATATAGTCTCCACTCTGAGGACCACGCTGGGAAAATCATAATGGGTTCATTCCTTTGGATTCCTTCAGACATGTTAACCATGTTATGTTATTGACACAAAGTTAAATGAATGAATGACACAAAAATATTATATTTTCAGTGTATTGTGATCAAAGATATCAGCCCCCAGGCACCTGTACATTTATTAATTATTCCAAAGAAGGCAATTATTGGTCTGTCAAAGGCAGAAGAATCTGACGAACAGGTGATGGAAATATTCTGCACTTTTTGCACATATTTTGCAGTGTCTAAGTTCACTTAAAGGCTCAATACAAAGCTCAATTGATCAGGATTTTGACCAAAGATGAAAGAAAAATACTTGCAGAAAAAACACAAAAAATAGCAGCAGGACTTTGAAACTTATTTCATTTACACTTCTTGAAATCTGTGAGTTTCCCGACTTTAAAGTATTGTCAAATCGAAAAACATGAGTGCTCCTCCTTTCAAAATCTAGTTATTTTCAGCTTGTTGAATGATTGAATGGACCTAATGCACTTCGTCAACATTTATGCTTTTCTCAATCCAGCCTCCTTGTGAAATTCATAAGAATCCCAATAAATACTGTTTGAAATAATATAGTCCAGTTGCGCTGTGAGTTCAGTGACTTCAGTGATTGCAAATGCAGAGTTTTTCTGATTCCTAATTCTGAATGCAGAGAGCAGTGTGTATAGCTAGGGCCTGGGGTTGAGGATAAATTCACACCATAGTAAGCATAGGTCAGGTGATTGAACTGTTTATTATTTATAACTTCAGCTTCTAGGTCACCTCTTGTTGGTAGCGAAGAAGGTTGCAGCTGAACAGGGTTTGGACAAAGGTTTTCGTGTTGTGATCAATGATGGTTTTGAGGGTGGGCAGTCTGTTTACCATCTTCATGTTCACGTTCTTGGAAAGCGGCTGCTTGCCTGGCCCCCAGGATAGGGGAGCATATACTTTCTGAACAATTCATGCTGTTTTATCATAGAGTAAATCTGTCAGGTGTAACCTATAAATGTCATTAAAATTTCAGCCTAAATATCGTACAGTGTCTTGTAGTAAACTGCTCAATATTAATATCCTTCATAGTTCAAAATACTCCCAGTCCATGTAACCATAGAATGTAAACAAATTTTGAAACAAAACGAGTGTTACCAACCACTGATTTCCGTAACTTACTCACCAATGACCACCGTAATTGTCATAAGATTTCAATTGTCCGTTCTGGTCCTGAGGACAATTTTCCTAAGACTAATTAAGTGAAAACCAGCCTTCAAAATCTAAAATTTTCTACTTTATTGACCCCATAGTTAAAACTTTTCGTATTTTTATCAATGAAACCCGCACTTTGAGACCTAGATTGTTATGAGCAGTCTTTCATCACTACATTTTTGTAGAAATGCAATCTTTAGTTCTTTACCGACAAACTTTACTTTCCCAACCGGTTGAAACAAGCAGTTTTTTTGAGAAGGAGTTCAAATTAAACGTTAGATGATTTGCAGGTTTTTGGAAAGATGAATAGTGAACCTGCTGAGTTCATTCATACATGAACGATAAATCTTAAACAAAAATACACGTTTTTGAGCAAAACAAAATGGCGGCTGGTCTATCAACATTTATAAAAACACTGATATTTTCAGCGCTTTTCTATCAGTTTGTCCGCTCGCATCCGGTTGTTTACCAGGACGAAGAGATCGAATCAGACCCAAATATTTTGATAAGGGACAAAACTCCGCCCGAAAATAAAGATGAAAATGTCTGCCTTACGGAAGAGTGTGCGTCTATTTCGTCCTCCATCAAAGATGCGATAGACGAGACGGTGAAACCTTGCGATGATTTTTACGACTATGCTTGCGGAGAATGGCTGAAAAAGAACCCAATTCCTAACGGGAAGCTTCAGATATCTGCCTTCACCGAGCTTAGGGACAAAAACAACAAGATCATGCAAGAGTCTTTGGTCCAAGATGACGCTTTAAACGACATTCTTCCTATTAAGAAAGTCCGAACCTTCTTCCAATCTTGTCTAAACGTTAAAGCAATCGATGAACTTGGTAGCGAGCCAATCAAAAAGTATATTAAAGATTTGGATTCGTGGGCCGTTGATAAGAAGGCCGGCTGGGATTCTAAAAATTGGGATGTTTTTGAGACCTTGAAGAAAATTCAAAAGCGATATACCTCGACAAATTTATTTTTCACTGTTGAAAGTGTTCCAGATCCGTTGAGAAATGAAACGAAAGGTCGCCATATATTTATGGTAATAACTCTGTTTGACGTAGTTTCATCAACCAACCGTTCCAGTTATGTATGTATGCTATTCATAAATTATAAACAAAATTCATTTGTAATTTTTCAGATCGACAAAGCTCCGTTAGATCTTCACCCAATGTTTTTCCTTGTCAGCCCAAAGGTAAGCTTTAACTGACGTCGGTAAATAAGCTCTTGCATGGTCGATGTTGCATCTTATAGCTTGACACCGCAGGAATTGTGTTTATGAAAATTCAACCCGAAAATCTAATAACGGGTTCATAATTGTGCATTTCTGTATCGCTATCAAAGAGAATATACTATTGAATAACTTTAAAAAGTTCATCATAAACCTCTGATAGCTGTGAAATATACATGAAATATACATGTATCACTGAGGAATTTTTGTATTTGCATCTTCAGATAGTTCGTCTGTTGTTTAATTATATGACAAACGTGACTCATCTGACAGGAGTGGACCATGACTTTGCCAAAGAATCTATGAAAGATGTTATCAAATTCGAGGCTGCTTTAGCAATGGTAAAATTGAGTTAGTTTACGTTTCCTCTTGTAGTAACACCTATTGATCCTTACTGCATCTCCTGGAAAAACAGTTTAGAACTGATAGAGCTATCCAGTATAAATAAAGTTAGTTTAGTTTAGATTTCTTCCTGTAGTAACACTAGATCAATAAGAGATATGATCCTTACTGGATCAGTCTAGGAAGAACAGTTTAGAACTGATAGAGCTATCCAGTATAAATAAAGTTAGTTTAGTTTAGATTTCTTCCTGTAGTTACATTAGATCAATAAGAGATGATCTTTACTGGACCTCTAGGAAGAACAGTTTAGATAAAGCTGGTTTAGTTCAGATTTCTTCTGTAGTAAAACTGGATCAATAAGAGACGATCCTTATACCGCCTCTCTATAGGAAGAACATTCTAGAACCTATGGGGCTATCCAGTCTAACGTTTGTCTAAATCTTTTTTATTTGTACATTTCTAGCTTTCGTTTAATAAGGGTAAGGTGGGAAAACATTACGCGCGTGTTCCAATCAGGAAATTAGAAAAATCAATTCCTCAGGTATAGGGAATACTTTTTTACTTAATTATTATAAAATGATTACTGAAAATCTCATTGAATGTCGTTTTGTGATTTGTTTTATGTATTATACAACATTTATCGTGTATAGTTCCCGTGGTTCGACCATCTCAAGAGTCTTGTTCATCCGAACAAAATCACGCGTGATGATCCAATTTTGATCCTGGCGACCCCATATCTGCCGACAATTTTCAAGCTTCTTAAGAAAACAGACAAACGGTTCGTATATCTTTTGCTGACTCATTTTTCATGACGTTTCAAAGGAGTTTGAATAAGATTGGCCGTGTTACAACACCAGAGTGAAGATAATAAATACCTGCCCATGACTATAGTGTTAGACGGCAAAACTCAAATGAAGGAGTGGTGATAATATACGATGTTTTGTATTTCCAGAGTTCTATCAAACTTTATGGTTTGGCGAATGATCAAAAGTTATGTCCCAATGCTGGGGAATGATTTCCGGAGGATGTACAGTCAGTTAAAGGGAGTGAGGGAATCCCGCGCGGAAACTTGTTATTCCTACACCAGCAAAATTCTCAGTAATTTACTTGGATCGCTGTTTATCAGGAAACGATTCTCGCCCAAAGTGAAATCAGATGTAAGTGAGGAGATGTTCCGTTTCATTCGGTTCTGTTTTGTTCTTCAACTTCTTCTTCGATCCGTTCCGTTCCGTTCTGTTCTAATCTGTTCAGTTTCGTAACTTTCGTTTCATTCGGTTCTGTTTCGTTCTTCTCCGTTCCGTTCTAATCTGTTCAGTTTCGTTTTATTCTGTTTCTTTCTTCTTCGTTCTGATCTGTTCTGTTTCGTTCTTCTCCGTTCCGTTCTGTTCTGTTTTATTCCGTTTTATTTCGTTCCGTTTCTTTGTGGTTCGTTCCGTTGCGTTTGGTTTCGTTCTGTTCCGTTTTGTTCTGCTCTGTCCAGTTTAATTCCGCTCCGTGTATAGTAAACATTACTTAATGCAACCGGACTAACTGGTATTTTGACATTTATACAACCCATTTGACATTTTCAAGCATTCAAAATTCTTTAAATATATTTAGTTGTAATATCTGATATGTAGTTGTCCGACTTCTGTACTTAAGGTGCAAGAGATGATGAACGATATTGTCCAAGCTTTCAAAGACAACGCACAATATGAAACTTGGTTAAGTGGAAAAAGTAGAAAAGCTGTTGAGATGAAGGTAAGTGCATGAAGTTTTCGAGAGACGAGCTAAGAGCGTAGATACTGTTTGCAAACATCAGGCTAAACTTTTCGCTCTTTTTAGCTTAAAAATGTTTTGTCAAAAGTGGGCTATCCTGATTACCTCTGGAACGAACAAGATCTAAATCTTAAATATGAAAATGTAAGAAATAAATTTTGTCATTTTTACGTTTATGATTTTAACAGGAAATCAGTTAGGTGCAATTTTCTTCTTTCGATGCATGAAAAAGAGTGGCTCAGGTATAAAGGTTTAGATAGGGTACTGATGAACCCGCGGGCTTCTCATAACTCACTCATTCCCATCTATCAGAAGAAGGAATTCATATCTCAAAATGAAAGCGAAGACGACTTCGTCCACGCATGAATTTGGATAACCGGGTTGTTTTGTCTCTGTTTCTCTATAGCTTGATATCCAAACTGATCAATGGTTCCAAAATGTAGTGAATTCCCAGAAATATTTGAATTTCATGGAACTTCATAATGTCGGAACAATAGTTGACAAAAAGCAGTAAGTCTAATCATGTCTAATCCATTGCTTCTCAAACGTGTTAACTGGTGTTAACTGCATGCACTCGCCATTTTGCGAAAAGTAGTCCTCCTGTAGTAACACTGGATCATTAAGAGATGATCGGTTTAAAAATAGGTACGTTAATGGTTAAACCTAATAAGACGATCTCTTTAATAGCTGGATTGCTCCTCCACAAATGGTCAATGCTTTCTACGTTCTTACAAGGAATGAGATCGGTTGGTAGCATAATTGTATTAAATCCACACAAAATATTTTCTACAAATAGTGAAATCTAATGTGAAGTTTCCACGCGTTTGTTTAGTGATTCCCGCTGGTATATTGCAGGAGCCATTCTTTTACTCTGGATCAATTCCCAAGTAAGAGGAATACCTTCTCATATGAATGAATGTTAAAGTAAATAGGGAATAAAGGTCCACCATATATTTTCAGGGCTTTGAGTTACGGCGCTGTGGGCCACGTTTTGGGTCATGAATTGACCCATGGTTTTGATGACTCTGGTAATGTTCATCATATTTCTTGATTGAATCCATGAATCGTGTGATCCTTACTGGACCTCTAGGAAGAACAGTTTAGAACTATTTTTCTTTGAAATTTCGTCGTTGCAGGAAGATCATTTAATAAGTTTGGAAAGAAAGTCTTTTTTAACGAAACTGGTTGGAGTAAAATTTCTGACAAAAACTTCAAGAAAGAAGCAAAGTGTCTGGTGAAACAGTTCAGCCAATATAAAGTGTTAGGAAAACATCACGTAAGTATTGGCTGTCTGGATGACGAGGAAATCATTCAGGATTCATTTCAGTGGAATGAATCGGTGGATTTTGATTATATGAATGAGGATTGATTAAGGTTCACACTTTACTGGATTGCCATCGAAACAGGTCAAATTTTGAAGTTAATAAAAGACAATGAAGATTTTTAATGTCCGCGAGACACGAACAAATATACCAAATCTATCAAAATGATAAGCATTTGCTGATTTGCTAAACATGCTAGATTCATAACGACGAACGAAGATGTCGGGACGAGCGAATCCGGTAGCGTGTGAACTACTTTGCTGTGAAACATTCTTCAATCGTTTCCTTCGAAATTTTCAGGTTAATGGTAAGATGACTCTAGGTGAAAACATAGCTGATGCCGGCGGTCTAAAGTTGGCTTATAATGTAAGTAAATATGGCAGTTCCTATAGAGTTACAGTGATCCTTTATTCACAGTACAATCAAACGACATGGTCGTATATAATTATATTGCTTGTTCAGGCTTATCATCGCTGGATCAACGATCACGGTAAAGAAAAGGTTTTACCGGATTTGGATATGAACAGCGACGAGTTATTTTTCATCGGTTTTGCACAGGTATATTATGACACTTTGCGTATGGAATTTACTGAATCTACGCTCTAGAATGAGGCTGTTAATGTGTGTAGTACGACAACCTGACCACTAGCGTTGATGTGTGAATTAAATCACATGCTCCAAGAGTAGTTTATCGCATCTATCTGATTGTATGATCCCTCTTCTGTTCGCTTTAATAGAAAAGCTGCGCAAATACTTCAAAGGTTGGCCAGTTTATGGCTGTACACGATGATGATCACGCTCCAGCAAAATTCAGGTCAGTGACCCGACTGTTCTTCATAGAGGTCCAGTAAGGATCATCTCTTATTGATCCAGTGTTACTACAGGAGGAAATCTAAACTAAACTAACTTTATTTATACTGGATAACTCTATCAGTTCTAAACTGTTCTTCCTAGAGGTCCAGTAAGGATCGTCTCTTATTGATCCAGTGTTACTACAGGAGGAAACCTAAACTAAACTAACTTTATTTATACTGGATATCTCTATCAGTTCTAAACTGTTCTTCCTAGAGGTCCAGTAAGGATCATCTCTTATTGATCCAGTGTTACTACAGGAGGAAACCTAAACTAAACTAACTTTATTTATACTGGATAGCTCTATCAGTTCCAAACTGTTCTTCCTAGAGGTCCAGTAAGGATCATCATCTCTTATTGATTCAGTGTTACTACAGGAGGAAACCTAAACTAAACTAACTTTATTTATACTGGATAACTCTATCAGTTCTAAACTGTTCTTCCTAGAGGTCCAGTAAGGTCCTGTGTTACTGCAGGAGGAAACCTAAACTAAACTAACTTTATTCCGACAATTAGGATTGAAACGTCAATCTCCTTTTTCTATCTAATTCGATTTAATTTCCCGTTAGAAGCGAGTAAACAGATCGATGTTTGAGTTTTCGTGCGTTGTTCAAACACTGCATTTATCATTCATTCTCATGTCTTCATACAGGGTAAATGGAGCTCTTTCGAATATGCCTGAATTTTCCAAAACATTCAATTGTCCAGCAAACAGCAAAATGAATCCAAAGACAAAATGCGACGTCTGGTAATTACATATAGGAAATATGCAGGTGATGATCTATAATTCGTTTCCATCTATTTCTTATATTTCTAGTGCTACTATTTACTAATGGAGGAAACCTAAACTAAACTAACTTTATTTATACTGGATAGCTCTATCAGTTCTAAACTGTTCTTCCTAGAGGTCCAGTAAGGATCATCTCTTATTGATCCAGTGTTACTACAGGAGGAAACCTGAACTAAACTAACTTTATTTATACTGGATAAAGCACTATCAGTTTCAAACTGTTCCTCTTTGAGTCTATAGAAAGGATGATCTCAATTAATCTATAGTATCACTAAAAGAGGAAACCTAAACTAAATGAACGGTGTCCATAGGTTAGCGTAAATAATCTACACCAATTTCAGTATTGCATGCATGCATCCATCGCTTTAGTTCATGAATAGAAATTTTGTCTATCGTATACTGCTCAAGCTAACAAATATCGCATTTCGTTACGTTCAACTAAATAAACTTCCATGTACAATTAATGTAATTAACTTTTGATCACATTGTTATTACTGAAGAAGATATTGTCAACAGAATATATTTATGCAAATAACTTGCTAAATATTCATATGTTATGTTAAAGTCGAATTAGACGCGAATAATTTCATTTGGAAAAGCTGCATAGCTTTTAGTTGAGGCAGAAATACATGAAACAGACTATTTGTGGTTTAGTTTAGTTTTTTGGAAAGTTTTACTTGTTTAAACTGTTCTTTCTACACGTTTACGTATCAACTGCTTACTATGATCCAAGTGTCCTAAATAGCTCTGGGATTCTTTGTCACAGCGCATACTAAATGCACGTTAAACCTTCCACTATAACAATATAATATCATTTGGTTTAATCGTCTTTTTGGATATCAACTCGCATTGCTGGAGCCAGTAAAATTACTGTTAGATAATGAAATCAATCTTTGGAATTGATCTCTAAAAGCATTCGGATATCAATAAACTACACGGGGCTTTACTTTCAGATCACGCGACGTATGTTTATATTGCCCTCTCTTCCCTTCTGACAAACGAAAAAGCTGTGCAAATTAGGTTGATAGGCCGAAAGACTAAAGTCCAATCACTACTATTAAGTAGTAATTGATCGAGATTCGTATTTATAGTGCTTCGCAGACTCTTCGGTGTCAATATTGCAAAATTTACATGACAATCGTACATTCATTGAGAAACAGCTGCTGGTTAGAGTATGCATATCTATATATATTCAGGAAGCGACTCGGCTTCAACACACTCCATTTCTGACCAGGGCCCGTCGGTGAATCAAGTTGAACGGCAGGAGCAAGTTATAGTATATAAAAAAAGCGAAAGGCCAAAAGCAAACGCTTGTTAATTCGTGTGGTGTCTTGTGCGACACCTTCAACCGAATACACCTCGATTGTTTTTGAAGTGTTCTTTCTCAATACACTGGTGAGTCAGGCAAGCTTGTGTTATTAATTAGATGTTAGTTCACAACATAACGTGTGAATTTGTTAGGCATATACAAATGTACGTTAAAATATGCAAGCGCGTAATAATTCTGGTATCCGCTGTAGTGTAGCACTGGATTGTGCGTTTTCTATGTGACACATTTTCTCCCTCGAATAATTTTCTGACAGTTTTTGTTTTTACATAGCAGTAAAAATATAGCTTTTATAGAATATCTAGACTTCTGGGAAACCAAATTGAGCTGCCTAAGATTTCATGTTTTCCAGCCAAACGGCACTTCTCTTTGTCTAAATCTGATTTTGAAAACCGTATACTTCGTGGCATTTCTTTCCTAGCCTTATACGAAGTAAAATTCTTTATTAAAATCATCATCACATCGTTCAAAGACTTCAAAACGCCATTTGTGAGTTTGTTACCCATGTAAGTAAAACACAATAATCGACGTTTTGACCATGTTATCAGCAAGATTTAAATTGCGAAAGATTAAGATGTTGAAAAAAATATATTGCAAGCAAAAAATTGAAAATTAAGTCATCAAACTATATACAATCTGAAAAGATTGCTAAATCGTAGATCCTTTCCTCAGCAGGACGCCGGTATCCAAGGCTGCAAATATCTCAGAACTGATAGAACTATCGAGTATAAATAAATTTAGTTTAGTTTAGGTTTCCTCCTGTAGTAACACTGGATCAATAAGAGATGATCCTTACTGGACCTCTAGGAAGAACAGTTTAGAACTGATAAAGCTATCCAGTATAAATAAAGTTAGTTTAGTTTAGGTTTCTTCCTGTAGTAACACTGGATCAATAAGAAATGATCCTTACTGGACCTCTAGGAAGAACAGTTTAGAACTGATAGAGCTATCCAGTGTAAATAAAGTTAGTTTAGTTTAGGTTTCCTCCTGTAGTAACACTGGAACAATAAGAGATGATCCTTACTGGACCTCTAGGAAGAACAGTTTAGAACTGATAGAACTGATAGAGCTATCCAGTATAAATAAAGTTAGTTTAGTTTAGGTTTCCTCCTGTAGTAAAACTGGATCAATAAGAGATGATCCTTACTGGACCTCTAGGAAGAACAGTTTAGAACTGATAGAGCTATCCAGTGTAAATAAAATGAGTTAAGTTTAGGTTTCTTCCTGTAGTAATATTAGATCAGCGCTATATTCGTGAAAAAAAAAATAGCTGAGCCCGAAGATCAGTCCCTATTCAAAAATTTTTTCTTTGACTTTGTTATTCTTCGATATTGACCATTGACGTATTTTATCTCCTGTTTTCTCCAGCACTTGTGTAGCCCATATCTTCCATTTATCTAAATTGCTCTCTTGACGAGTGTCCCAAAGGAAATGTGATAGTTGGTTTGAGTAAAAAAAACACTCCACGTAAACAAGCCCATATTAGGCGACTTCAAAACGGGTTTTCTCGCCTATTTTATGCGCAATATTATTTTCCTGTCTTTTTTGACGAGATACGTGATCTATGTTAAAATATAAACATTTGGCGTGGGAAAAAGACAGATGATTAATGCGACTTCAGCTATCATCAGTTGTTTATGAAGATATTTTGATATTGCTATTTTTTTTATGCCAACAAATAGCTTAGTTTAGAGTGGCATGTTTATCCTCTCTAGCCGAAGTTCAAGTCTTCGAGCGTTGATTTGAATTTGGATAATTATAGACTCCACCGATACACCAGTCTTTCCGCTGACTGTTCTTCCTAGAGGTCCAGTAAGGATCATCTCTTACTGACCCAGTGTTACTACAGGAGGAAACCTAAACTAAACTAGCTTTATTTATACTGGATAGCTCTATCAGTTCTAAACTGTTCTTCCTAGAGGTCCAGTAAGGATCATCTCTTATTGATCCAGTGTTACTACAGGAGGAAACCTAAACTAAACTAACTTTATTTATACTGGATAGCTCTATCAGTTCTAAACTGTTCTTCCTAGAGGTCCATCAGTTAGCTCTAACAGTTCTAAAATGACACGTACACTAACCACTGTAACAAGAAACACAACTATGGAAAACAATAGAACAAGAGCACCTGCAACGTATATTAAAATCAAATTAACGCTATATGTGCCCGGAAATTTGATAACATGAATTATCACGATTAATATAATTAGCAGAGAAGTCCGCCTATCGCTTCTCTCAGCTAGCATGAACACCTGACCAATGAAAAAGAATCCTAACTGGACCTCTGGGAAAAACAATTTACAACTAGATAAAATGAAGATAGGTTTCTTCCTGAATCAATAAGAGATGATCCTTACTCAGCCTCTAGGAATCCTTATTGCACCTCCGGAAGAACAGTTTTCCTTCAGGAAAAAGACTGAAAGAGTATTCAGTATAAATATTTTGTCTAGCTTAGGTTGGCTGCAAGAATTTAGCAGTGTTGCAAATGATGTGTTAACACCGCCAGAATTAATGTGGTATTTCTCAAATTTTGTTTCAGTTGTTACAGAAGTATTTTTTATCACAATCTCTGCTGAAAGCACACTAAAATTTGGTCGCCATAAAAAGCTATGAGCAATAAAGAAAGGGTCAACATATCAGATTTGAATGGAACGACACTGCCTGAACATGGTTTCGACCCGGAGTTCCACCCAGCGCTGATGGTGATCGCGGTGCTGGTCATAACCTCCAATTTACTAGTCATGGTGCTGTTCTCCACCAATGAAAAGCTTCGCAAGGGCGGGAAACTTTTGCTTCTCAGCTTGGCCGTCTCTGATCTCACAGCTGGACTTGTTACCATTCCTCTGCAGATAGGATGCGAGATCACTTTTTCGCTGACTTTGTGCATGTCAGCCGGAAGCCTGAACCGTTTTCTTGCTATTTCCACCGTATACCACATCCTGTCGATAACTTTCGAAACCTACTACGCCATCTTGAGGCCGATGGAGCATAGAGTAAATATTGAGAAAAGAAAAATCTTGGCTCTGGTTGTTTCAATTTGGCTTGGCGCGCTCGCGATCGCCCTCACTCCAGTTTGTTTGGCTATTGGTGTCCTGAAAAACGTGAGCGATTTGCCCGACAGAAAATTCCTGAAAAAAATGTCGATCTATGAGATCTTTGTCATCTCGTTCGGATTCCTTCTGCCTCTGACGCTCATGATCTTTGCGCATGCGCGAATGTTCTCGAAGATCATCAACGCGCTGAACTTGATCCGAAATCGAGGCTCCCACAAGCCGAGCAATACGAGTAAAAACAAGTACAAAACGGCGATCCTTTTTGCTGTACTGCTGCTGGTGTTCACGGCATGTTGGCTCTTCTGGTTTGCGATTGCTCTGCTCAAAGTCACCTTAGATGTGAAGCATCCTTTTCCAAAATGGGCGCTTGACACCTTGACGCTCGTGAGATATTCGACATCTTTCATCAACCCGCTGCTCTACACGTTCTTCCGTCCTGATTTCTACACGGCTTTCATGAGTTTGTTCCAACGTCGCAATGGACGAACCCCGAGTATAACTCTGACCTACCTTCAGAGCAGTTCCCATCGTAACAAGCGGGACTCACAAACCACAACGACACTCGTACGGGAGTCTAGCACGGCGCCAGCAGGGAGTGGCAACAACGCTCAACAATCCATTTCGTCCAAGTTGTTAGGAAAAGATACGAAAATTTGAACCGCGGTCCGCGAAATGCCTTGAATTGTTGTTCTTCAAAGAAACATGGCCAGAATTTAGAACATTTCGTAGTTGTTGTAAATATCAAATTTAGAACTGTTTTGCTTTGTTTATAGAAAGCTGCAATTTTGAACTTGTTCAGGAGACCATCTAATCAATTGTGTTTTAGACTATTTCGAATCAATGATTGTATTTTCATCAAATTTTAGTGAAATAAAAGAAATAATGTACTTTGTGATTTTGCTTTGAAATCGCCCAGTGAAAACAGCGATATATCCGTCACTGGAAACCTAACTGCAGGGACCGCGGAGCAGGGTGGCTCACTGGGCTTTAGCCCCACCAATAATTTTTCCGTAATTAGTCTTTAATTTCGAATATTTTTTAGTTCGCTCAAATTTACAAGCAATACAAGCGCCAAAATGCTGGAAACTTTACATAGGGCAAGCATTTGACCATTAAAACAGCGTGGTTACCCATTTCAAAATATTTAATATCATAACTAAAGCATGGTTATATTGTTTAATGTTTGTATATGAGCGCCAAACATGCTGGAAACTTTACATAGGCCAAGCATTTGACCATTAAAACAGCGTGGTTATCCATTTCAAAATATTTGACATCATAACCAAAGCATGGTTATATTGTTTAATGTTTGTATATGAGCGCCAAACATGTTGGAAACTTTACATTGGACAAGCATTTAACCATTAAAACAGCGTGGTTATCCATTTCAAAATATTTGACATCATAACCAAAGCATGGTTATATTGTTTAATGTTTGTATATGAGCGCCAAACATGCTGGAAACTTTACATAGGACAAGCATTTGACCATTAAAACAGCGTGGTTATCCATGTCAAAATATTTGACATCATAACCAAAGCATGGTTATATTGTTTAATGTTTGTATATGAGCGCCAAACATGCTGGAAACTTTACATACTATCTATTATTTTCCATTGAATCCTTAAATTGAGAGGCATTTGCGGCGATTTCAAAGACCTATAATTCAAACTGACTCTCCTAGCAGGCGCGCGGTTCCGAGCCCCAGTAATACGAAAAACGCTCCGCGGTCCCTGAACTGGAATGTTGGGGTTTTATTGCTTCACTGTACTACTTCACATACAAATATAGCTCAGTGTTCAAATATCACTCGAGCTATACCATAATGCAAAGCCGTTCAAGATGGCGTCGTCAATTGAAAAATCATCCATTATTGCACTACAGACAGCACTCCAGTTGTCACTCTATATGTTGAGATCATACAATTGACCGCGCAGTTAACTGGACTGTCTGGATCCAAGTTCTTTTTCCACGCGTTCAAAAATCTCAAGATGGCGGAAACAGACGTTTTAGAAGTCGAAGTTGATGATCGCGCTGATTTCACAGAAGATGCTGGGGAAGGTGGGTTTAACGATGCGTAGATGAATGAATTTTAGTTCATACAATTTGAAAAGCATCCAAAATTCTAAAGATTGTTCCGGATACATCACTTTAAGTGCATGCAAAGTTTCTGAATGTTATCGTTCCCAGTTTACGGACAGTTGTAGAGTGTTGTGTTTTACGGACAGTTGTGGAGTGTTGTGTTTACTAGTGAGTGTTGTGTTTAAGTGATCCTAGTGGCAGCAGCCTGGAAAGCTGGAGATTTTGCTCATAAAATATTGTGCAAAATTGAATTTGGCAATGATGGCTAAAGATGGTTGTCATGGAAAATGCTTTCAGTGGTAGATAATAGACTAGATTTGGTACATGAAAGGTCAAAGATATGAACAGGAGATTCACAAGATAAATTGGTGAATTTCGTATTTTTAGAGGGTCTAAAGAACCTTAAGAAAGGTGTCACAAAGAGGAAGGGAAGAGGCTTCAAAGGTTGGTAATCTGAGAGTTTTGTAGGAAAAATTACGTTGTTTATCGTGCAAATATGTGAAGATGGTTTTTTGAATTGTTTTTTAGATGATCAAAATCCTTCGTTGAATGAACCATATGAATCGGTTGATGCTGATGATAGCAATAATACTGGACCTCAGAGATGTACGTAGAAACCAGAATATTGATATGAATGCTTGCACTTCACAGTTTAGAAAGCATTTCAGTTTCTGCACAAAATGCGATGATAGAATTATCTTGATAATTCTTTTCTACCCTAAGGTTTTGCATTCACTTAGCTATTTATTTGGGTTTATTGGACTCAAATTTCAACCATTAGTCTTTTCTTACTTTGCCTTTCACATGCCCTGGGAGAGGGTTCGAGAACACTTGATGATCTAACATTTATAGTACGCACGCAGATGGTCAAAAAGCGTGTTTCTGTAACTGTATAGAAACACAGAAAATGTTTTCTATTTCTTAAATGTTGTGATGTTTTGCAGCGGTTGAAGGGTGGATCTTGTTCATAACCAATGTCCACGAAGAAGCACAAGAAGACGACATATATGACCTGTTTGCAGAGCATGGAGAAATTAAGAACCTCCACGCCAACCTTGACCGACGAACTGGATTCATGAAGGTAACAAACTGATTGGTGTTGTTGCGCTGTCAGCTTTGTTAGGTTATTGATTTGCCCAGGTGTCTTTAAAGGTTTTTTTTCTTGTTTTTCATGCAAAATTTTGCCATATCTGACAGGGTTATGCCTTGGTTGAATACGAAACTTTCAAAGAGGCTCAGGCCGCCAGGGATGCCCTAAACGGAGCTGACCTTCTTGAGCAAAAGATATCAGTTGACTGGTCATTTGTTCGAGGTGCCTCAAAAAAGTCCAGGTACGTGGTAAAGTGCTAAAGGTGATTATTCCTTTCTAAGAGCACATCAATGAATAGTTTTCTATTTTTTTCATAACAGAACAGGCCGTCGGAGATAGATTCCGTGCCATCCCTCACATGTCAATAACCATTAAACCCTAACTCTTAACAGTTGAGTAGTCAACTTGAACACATCAATGGCTGATTGATGGTTTGTAAATCAACTTTTAAACACATGCAGTGACCTATTTTACATGGAACACAAGGCAGATTAATTTGTAAATGTTCATATGCATGGCATTAAAGAAAACCTGTAAAGTTCATGACTGTAATTACTTATCCTATTAAGTTTCATTTCATTTTTTAATTTTCTTGCCTTGAAAACTTTGCACTCTGTCAGTACAGAAAATCCCCAAAATATGGGGTAAGATATAGCTTTGGAATATAGCACCTCGATAAGCTAGTTCCAGATTGTTGCCAAACACAACATTATGTATGGGCAAAATTTTATAGGCTGCATACAAACACTCAAACAAGAAAAACTAAGCTAAAGTAGGTACCTACTTGGGTAGAAATAATCCAAAATAGACAAACACTGTTGACCATAAATTCACTATTGCTTTTAATTTTGTTGTATTACATGATTCTTTACTTACTTTAATTCTACAGTAGCCATGACTAAAAAGGTATATATGTTATAATAATGCATTTGTGTTTCACACATTGATTCCAGACTTTCCTGTTTCACAGTGAGCTAGTAGGCATATCATAGTTTTACTTGACATATTTAACCCCAGGCAAAATACATAGCATTTCAAACAACAAGTTTGCAGCAATAAGTGCTGTCGTTCCAAACGGATCATACGGAGGTGACACCTGTGTAAAAATTGAAACCGAAAACAATATGTTAGAGACGTACAGTCTTGCTTGATGGTGGCGGTGCTTTGGATGAATGAAATGGTTGCCAGTGCAAATGCAATTACAGCTCACCTCAACAAAGTCTGCTCCGATAATGTTCAGTCCTTTACATCCTCGGACAATTTCCAAAGCCTGGATGCTTGTTAGACCTCCTATTTCAGGTGTACCTATGAATGATGAAATGTCCATGTGAGGTTTGTGTTCTTGTTTTCAAAACATGTATTGGACGGGTGTCTGTATTAGAGTGATGTTGGGACTTTCATCAGATATGTTGCCTTATTCATTTCCAACTTTCCTAACCTGTTCCTGGTGCAAATGCTGGGTCGATAGCATCAACACAGAAAGTCAGATATACTGGTCCATCTCCCATTTGCTCTCTCACTTCTTCCATCAGCGGTGTTAGAGATTTATGCCAGCATTCTTCAACCCGGACAATACGGAAACCCTGTATTTGGAGGTAAGCAAGGGTAGACAACATAGACAACATTTATTCTGCATTAGAAAGCTATAATTGCTCTTCTATAGCAGTGTTTATACTGTACCTGTTTTTCTGCCACATTGAAATCATCATGGCTGTACAAAGAACCTCGCAGCCCTATCTGAACAACCCTTTCTCCCTCAAGCAAATCTTCCTCTACTGCCCGACTAAACGGAGTTCCGTGTGCAAGCCTCTCTTCCAGCTGATGTTCAATTGTATCTGCATGTGAGTCAATATGAATGACTCCAACCTTACCATACTTCTCCTGGAAACAAACCACAGTGTTTTAAAAGACCACAAATATACACCTTTGGGTGCATTGCTGGATAATGGGTTACCATGAGACATTGGAAAATGCCTTGTTACTTGCAGATTTATGTACCTTACCTCAAACAAGTAAAATTATTAACATACACTAGAATAAAAATACCAGTTGAGATCGATCTACGCCTAGGTAATTGCAAGTACCTTCATAGCCTGTAAAATTGGATAAGATACAAGATGGTCACCGCCCATAGATAATGGCCGACATCCATTTTCAATTATCTTTGCTATCTCATCCTTGATTATTCCACAAGATCTCTCGACATTGAAAGGCACAACAGACATATCACCAATGTCTGCAACCATCATTGACTCGAAAGGTGATGCACCAGTGACTGCATTCACATGCCTCAACATTGCGGATTCCACACGGATTTGCCTCGGACCAAATCTAAAATAATTTCACAATACAGTGAAATTACCATCTGTCTCAATTCTTTGCAATAGAGAATTACTATTCTGTGAGTTGATATCTCATGAAAAATGTGTCAAAATACTTGCAAATCTACTAAAATATACAGTGAACTTCGCAACCGCGCTTTGAAAAGTTATGTGCAATCGAATCGACAGTAATGCCATTATTTCTGGTCGAATACTTCGGAAACGGTTGAAGTGCCGTATTATCAATAATACCCTGGTTCGTTAAAATCTTTGCAGTAAATTTCTAGCTTACCTGGTACCCGGCCTATAGCTCGTGCCGCTGTCAAAAGGGATGCCAACAAAACACGCATCCAAACCTTCTGCATTCTCGTGAACTGGCAAACGAAGCATGCTACAAATCCCAGCCCATCTTCCAAGCTTTTGAGCATGAGTGGGATAGTTCATCTCTCTGCAAGCGTCTTGCGTCGTGCCAAAAAAGCGATGCAACTTGACGCGTTTCGCAGTTCGCAACACGAAATTGCAGCGAGAAAGAAACGCCATAATTTTGCGAGCTTAATTTGAGAATTAAGACTGTAAAAAAACTGAAGGACGACACGGTCGAAGGCTAGCACAAATGCACAATACACAACGTGTTTCCGATAATTTAACAACCCTCTTGAATAATTTTAGCATAATTAGCAAAAGTAATGTGTCATGGATTCAAGAAGGTAAAAAACTTATTGGTGTTGTTGGGCTGCTAAATTTTGCTGTATATGACATGGCTATGCTTTGGTTGAATATGAAACTTTCAAAGAGGCACAGGCAGCCAGGGATGCCTTAAACGGAGCTGACCTTCTTGAGCAAAAGATATCAGTTGACTGGTCGTTTGTTCGAGGTGCCTCAAAGAAATCCAGGTATGTGGTTAAGTGCTAAAGGTGATTATTCCTTTCTAAGAGCACATCAATGGACAGTTTTCTATTTTTTTCATAACAGAACAGGCCGTCGGAGATAGATTCCGTGCCATCCCTCACATGTCAATAACCATTAAACCCTAACTATGAACAGTTGTGTAGTCAACTTTAACACATCAATGGCTGATTGATAGTTTGTAAATCAACTTTTAAACACATGCAGTGACCTATTTTACATGGAACACAATGGGCAGACTAATTTGTGAATGTTCATATGCATGGCATTAAAGAAAACCTGTAAAGTTCATGACTGTAATTACTTATCCTATCAAGTTCCATTTCACTTTTTAATTTTCTTGTCTTGAAAACTTCGCACTCTGTCACTACAGAAAATCCCCAAAATATTCCTCAGTGTGTCAAGATGGTTACAATATAATATCTTGATAAGCTAGTTACAGACTCTTGCTAAGTATGGACAAAATTTTATAGGCTGCATATGAACACTCGAACAGGAAACTAAGCTAAAGTACCAACCAGGGTAGAAATAATCCAAAATAGACAGAAACACAGTCGACCATAAATTTACTATTGCTTTTAATTTTGTTGTATAACATGATTCTTTACTTACTTTAATTCTACAGTAGCCATGACTAAAAAGGTATATATGTTATAATAATGCATTTGTGTTTCATAAAATGATTCCAGACTTTCCTGTTTCACAGTAAGCTAGTAGGCATATCATAGTTTTACTTGACATATTTAACCCCAGGCAAAATACAAAGCATTTCAAACAACAAGTTTGCAGCAATATGTGCTGTCATTCCAAACGGATCATACGGAGGTGACACCTGTATAAAAATTGAAACCGAAAACAATATGTTAGAGTTACATACAGTCTTGCTTGATGGTTGCGGTGCTTCGGGGGAATGAAATGGTTGCCAATGCAAATGCAAACACAGCTTACCTCAACAAAGTCTGCTCCGATAATGTTCAGTCCTTTACATCCTCGGACAATTTCCAAAGCCTGGATGCTTGTTAGACCTCCTATTTCAAGTGTACCTATGAATGATGAAACGTCCATGTGAGGTTTGTGTTCTTGTTTTCAAAACATGTATTGGATGGGTGTCTGTATTAGAGGGATGTTGGGACTTTCATCAGATATTTTGCCTTATTCATTTCCAACTTTCCTAACCTGTTCCTGGTGCAAATGCTGGGTCGATAGCATCAACACAGAAAGTCAAATATACTGGTCCATCTCCCATTTGCTCTCTCACTTCTTCCATCAGCGGTGTTAGAGATTTATGCCAGCATTCTTCAACCCGGACAATACGGAAACCCTGTATTTGGGAGGTAAGCAAGGGTAGACAACATTTATTCTGCATTAGAAAGCTATAATTGCTCTTCTATAGCGGTGTTTATACTGCACCTGTTTTTCTGCCACATTAAAATCATCATGGCTGTACAAAGAACCTCGCAGCCCTATCTGAACAACCCTTTCTCCATCAAGCAAATCTTCCTCTACTGCCCGACTAAATGGAGTTCCGTGTGTAAGCCTCTCTTCCAGCTGATGTTCGTTTGTATCTGCATGTGAGTCAATATGAATGACTCCAACCTTACCATACTTTTCCTGGAAACAAACCACAGTATTTTAAAAGACCACGAATATACACCTTTGGGTGCATTGCTGGATAATGGGTTACCATGAGACATTGGAGAATGCCTTGTTACTTGTAGGATTATGTACCTTACCTCAAACAAGTAAAATTATTAACATATGCTGGAATAAAAATACCAGTTGAGATCGATCTAGGCCTGCTGGTAGGTAATTGCAAGTACCTTCATAGCCTGTAAAATTGGATAGGTTACAAGATGGTCACCACCCATAGATAATGGCCGACATCCATTTACAATTATCTTTGCTATCTCGTCCTTGATTATTCTACAAGACCTCTCAACATTGAAAGGCACAACAGACATATCACCAATGTCTGCAACCATCATTGACTCGAAAGGTGATGCACCAGTGACTCCATTTACATGCCTCAACATTGCGGATTCCACACGGATTTGTCTCGGACCTAATCTAAAATAAATTCACAATACAGTGAAATTACTATCTGTTGTCAGAATGTAACAATTCTTTGCAATAGAGAATTACTATTCTGTGAGTTGATATCTCATAAAAAATGTGTCAAAATACTTATAATTTACTAAGATATACAGTGAATTTATCATAACTCCCAAAACTGACATAATGTTACAATGATTAGGTGGTTTTTTAACACCTACTTGTGAAACTCTAGGAAATTTCCAACAAGGCTAATCTTAATGTAGCAAATAAATATTTATAAACACTTATCTGGACTTTTGCATAACCGTAAATCCGTAATTATAGGAAGCCCAATGGCGAATGGTTTTATTTTTTATTTGAAATAAAAATGCACACTTTGATGAAATAGACACATATGTAAATTACAGAGAAGTACATATGCATGTAAATAAATTACATAATGTGTCTATTTCATCAAAGTGTGCATTTTTATTTCAAAAAAAAAAATAAAACCATTGGGCCGCCCTATGGTTCAAAACGAACTTTGAAGGTCAAGCTCGTAAATTTAAGTCACGTTATTGCAAACAATAAAGACCATTTGAAATAAAAACAAAACTGTTTTTGAATAGGTTCTGTTTGACCGAATAAAGGCCGTTTTCCACTTCAACTGTATCGTAGCGAAACGTAGCGTATCTCATTGTTTTAAAGTCATTAGTTCTGATCGAATACTTCGGAAACAAAGAAATACGCTACGCTACGATTGAAGTGGAAAACAGGCCTAATGAACTGCGAACATTCGAAACGTATTGCGAACGCTACGAACTTGGCAACTGCGCTTTGAAAAGTTATGTGAAATCGACAATAATGCCATTATTTCTGGTCGGAAACGGTTGAAGTGCCGCTATTTGCAATCAAACGCGCCGCGCGCCGAATTTTCATCGTTGTTTGCTAGCAGCCAACGTGACGTTCACGGTTCATCCCTACTCAACGTTACGTTCTGCCCTAATCAACTTTATGTTCTGATTGAATATGCAGCGATGATTTGAGCGACAGTTTTAAAAATATTTCAACCGTCAACTCATTAGAACTTGCTAATCAAAACATACGCATTTTATTGTTATAAGCATTTTACAGCATCTTACGTTGATAATCACTCGTGAATCGTTGCGTTGACAATAGCCCAACGTAACGTTGACTGTGGGTGAACGTAACGTTGAGTAGGGATGAACGTCACGTTGACTGCTAGCAAACAACGATAAAAATTCGGCGCGCGGCGCGTTTGATTGCAAATAGCAGTAATACTCTGGTTCGTTTAAATCTTTACAGTAAATTTCTAGCTTACCTGGTACCTGACCTGTAGCTCGTGCCGCTATCAAAAGGGATGCCAACGAAACACGCGTCCAAACCTTCTGCATTCTCGTGAACTGGCAAACGAAGCATGCTACAAATCCCAGCCCATCTTCCAAGCTTTTGAGCATGAGTGGGATAGTTCATCTCTCTGCAAGCGTCTTGCGTCGTGCCAAAAAAACGATGCAGCTTGACGCGTTTCGCATTTCGCAACACGAAATTGCAGCGAGAAAGAAACGCCATAACTTTGCGAGCTTAATTTAAGAATTAAGACTGTAAAAAAACTTTGGACGGCGACACGGTCGAAGACTAGCACAAATGCACAATACACAACGTTGTTTGCGATAATTTACAACCCTCTGAATATTTTAGCATAATTAGCAAAAGTAATGCGTCATGGAAATATGATTGCAAAAAAATTTGCAATTAATTATTTTAATCTTTAATAATTTCAATGAGACTGTGTGAGATGTTTGCTTACTTTGCAGGCCCTAGTGTACAACAGTGGTTGTACTATTTGTACAGTATTGTACCATGGTAGTGTGTATTCAAAATGAATGCTACTAAAATGGCAGTGTTCTTCCATGGGACTGTACAAGACCTATGTTTACTTTTTCCTAGTGTAAAGCACAGTGGTTGTACAGTATTGTACTATGGTAGTATAAACTCTGGTTTACCAAATGATTGCAACAAAAAGTTGTAATATATACTTTCATAGTAATGTGGTAGATTTCAACCCTGTTTATAATGCTTAAGGCTCAAAGCGCACAAGTACAAAAGCAAGATTTTTATTTTCTAATAACCAATACACTATGATTGCAACCTATAATCGTCCTTAATTACAATAATTTGCATTACAACTATAACTGCTCCTAAAGATTTTTTCTAATTGCTACAAAATTGTTGCCACACTTTCATTATATTAACTTTGAGAATCACTTTAGTTTTTGTCCAATCATTTCAAAGCCTCAATTAAGTTGGCCTGCGAAAAAATTCTAACTTCATATTCTTGACTTTATTATTCAACTAGCTGTACAGCATTTTCTAACTAAACATAATTCATAATCATCTCATGGTTTCTGCTTCAATGTTGGTTCCCAAACAGTAGATGCACCAGCTAATGATGAAATAAGCCCCAATATGCCTACAATGCCATTATTAATCTCAATCACACCAATAATGTTAAGGGGGATCAGAAAATCGGCGCAATTTTTAACTGTATCAACCAAAATCTCCGGCCGTGTTTTAAACTTCTGGTACCAGCCAACTGCTTGAGAGCCGGGATCTTCGTCTTTCTTCTCGGTAGCCGTTAGCAGGTTGTAAATGTCGTACATATTTCTAGTCACACAGAAAATTAATGCGACAGTCCAGATTTTGGCCTGGAATTTCGACCATTCTTTGGAGTTGGCTTTGTATAGCCCCAGCCTGGTTGCCCACACAATTTGATCAACCAAGAAGTAGAGGACTCGCGTCAAACGTGCTGAAATAACAAGTGCTCTCAGAACTCTGTCTTTAACAGAAAGGTTTCGAAATGCTCCCTGGAGCATATCTAGGTATTTTCCAATACGAAACACTAGAAAAAATTAAGAAGAAATGGTAGCAATATTTTCCGCAATACATCCAGATACAGCTACTTTAGTATGACAAATTTTTGCCAACCAAAATATTTGATAAATGATTAATAAGAGTAAGAAATTGAAATTACATTTTCTTGAAGTGCTAATGTGAACTTCCAGAGTTCTGATCAACTTCACTGTTTCAGTTGTTGCACCATGTTTTTGAAGGAGATAACCGAGCAGTTTGGTGGTGTATTGGACAGTCCTTGGAATGTAGTAAGGTTAGTTGAATGACTGCTTTGTAAATTTTCATCATTGAGGCAAGAAATTTTGTGTTTGAACATAAATGTGGTAAGTCACTTGGCTATGTTTGAAATAACTTTTTTGATCATTTATAATCTGTGGGGTGATTCTGAACAGGCAATAGTTTGGCCTTAAGTGCAATTTCAGACGAACAATTAATGAATTAATGAACATTTTTAAGAAGGCATTCAAGGTTATATAATCTTTTGATACTGAGAGAAAATTTTAAAATCAATCACTACAGGATTGGTTAACCCATATAATGTTATTTAAAAACATTGAAATAGGGATATCGTTTTACTTGAGAAAAGCTTGTTTACAAAGGACTGTTACACGTGTCACAAGCTTTGTTTACAAAATTCACAAATATGTAAAGATATTCTGATAAATTTTTACTACAAATCCAAACTTCGTGCAATTCTTAACAATTTACCTGCATAACTTATCCCGACCTATGGTTTGGGAATTGTACTTCACTATCAGTGCGATTATATCCATAATGCGGAGAGAAAATAGAGAAAAATACGAAAAAAACCCAGTACAAAAACAATTACAACAAAATTCTATTATACTCTTTTACTATGACCTTTGACCTTTGAACGATGGCAAATATGTAGCCTTATATCCCCCAGTTATTCCTCATGTACCCACCGTTGTGTTCATTAATACTACATGTTACCCTACCACACGATTTATATACCACTGAGCTATATATACCAGGCGAAAGAAATTAATTTTGTTTCACTTTTTGTGCAATAACTCTTCGCATAAAGAGCCTTTTTACCATATCGACTTAAAATACTTTTGTACTTGTGCAACTTGTAGCGAATTTTGCTTGAATATTCCTTTCAGAAGTCTATTTTTTCCAAAAAATGTCAGCGAACTCCTTGAAAACTGATGAAATCACCCCCCGTTCGTTGCCAAGAAACGCAAACGCCATCTTCAAAAAGAAACATGGCGGAATTTTGAAGAGTTTTCAACACTTTCAATCATAGCCAGCGTTTAATGATGTTTCTATGTAGATTTTCTTAATCATGGCTAGAAAAACGGACGCAGAATTCAAGAAATACCCGACCCTTGATGAACACGAATTAGATGAGTCCTCATACGATGCTAGCTTTGTGCTTGATCCCTCCAAAATTTTCGACGAGCTCCCGCAACCATTTCGTCTTGTTGACAAAACGGTGAACTATATTTTTGACAGAGCTTGGGAGGCAATTCAAGAGCTCGAATTGAGAGCGAGCGAACTTGGTTTAGGTGGAAAACTTCCAGTTTTTAACTGTGCAAATGAATTGCCAGAGCTTTCGCAGTCAACGCTAATGTGTTGTAGTTTGGATGGAAAATTTGCGTTTGCTGTTGCAAAAATCGGGATTATTTATGTGCTGGATACGGAAACCTCTTGCGTGGTCGCTGTTAACGATGAACTGCAAGGATTGAAAGTGGAAAAAATTTCAACAGGGCGTCTAAACGAGGATAAACATTTTGTTTGTTTGTTATTGGAAAATGGTTAGTTTATAAATACGGCGAGGTTCTGGGAGGGAGCTGTAACCTGCATGCAATGATAAGTTTAGTGCAATTGTGCAAGAGACCTTTCTTATAATGACGTCAAGCACGGAAAGTCTGATGTTGTACAAAATTTGATTGGCTCCACAAAACTATTGAGCCAATCAAACTTTGTGTATATATAACATCAGACTTTCCGCATTTGACATCATTATGAAAATATTCTAACCTGCAATCAGGTGTTCAAGATGAGACCGTTGCCTGCATATTGTTATCCGTAATTTATCGCATATATTGGTACAATATTTAGGTATACTCCAGTTGGTTGCAAAATGTAATTAGCCATCAAGAAATTTCAAGATTTCAAATTTGTACATATACATATAATTGTTCATACTTATCTTGTAACAGGTACAGCAGCTATTTTTGCTCTGTCTGGAGGCAACCTCCATCTTCTAAGAGTTTTTAATGAGGATTTTGGAGCAAAAGGTTCTGAGACGACCTTCATTAGGATCTCCTATGATGGTGCATACCTTGCTGTTGGTTGGAAAAGTAAGTCAGCTAGAATTAACCAACACCAGACCAGTTGGTCTTTTTAAAACAAGCACTTCTTAACTGTTCTCAATTAATTTGTGCCCATTCTAATAGCAAAGCTCATGTCAGTTTTTAAGCTGTCCTTCCTAATTAGGTCCACCACCTTAAGATCATCTCTTGGAAATTAGATCGAGTGTTAATACAATTTTCAGTTCTAATTGTGAAGCTCATTTTTTTAACTCTAAATTTAAAGTTCCACAGAAGTCCAGTTGGTTAGAGATCTATAAAGTCCCAAAAGAATACTGGATGAACGAACTCAAAATTATTGACGAGAAAATTACCAAGAAATTGGACGAGGAAGAAAACGTCAAAGGAGACGAAGAAACACAGAAAGATGGAAACGATTCAGTGGAAAAAGACTTGTCTGATTCAGAGGTAATTGTATAACTTTATGGATATGATTCCCAAGCTATTTAATTGCTCCACAGAGATATTCAAGACTCTGACTGACTTAGGTTTATATAAGCGAGCTATGATGATAATCAATGAGCATTATTTGCCAATATCTTTTGTTCAACCATTGACTTAAGATGCACCTTAATCTTAGCGTAAAAGTCTCGATGTTTTTCCCATTACTTGAAAGACAAAATTTTTTCTTCATCTGTGAATGGACTGCTCTACCAGCCAATGCATGGATTGAGCCTCAAGCTGAACTATTATATATTACAATTTTTCATTAGGATGAATCAGGAGTCTCTCGCCCCACCTCCCTGGGGCAGAGTGGCACCCAGACAGGGTACCTGAATGAAACATTGTTCACTAAACCAACTCTGATACTCAGAATCAAAGGTCCCACTGACCCCACACCTAATCCTGCGGGCAGTGTGACCTCGGCGTTGAAGAACTTTGAACTAGACAATGATGTCATTGGTACGGGAACCAATCATGTTCTACTGCAGCCATATTTTGATGAAAGTAATCGAGTGTTTGAAGAGAGACATGAACAGTATCTTCAGTATCTTGGGAAGAAAGATGAAGACAACTCGACATTAAGGTAAGAATGAACCATTAGAACCTTCAGAATGGTATTTTATTATGCATTTTTTTTACTGTTAAACTAAGAATTGAAACATACATTATGATCTCTGGATCAGTGTTTGTGACCTTGGACTTGGGATGACAGCAAGATTTTCAGAATAACGAAAGAGCTAGACAATGAAACATTCTGATCTCTTGATCATGACTGGATGGCATGGAGAACAGCAAGATTTGAAGTTACTATATATAGTTAATATAATGTTTGATGTTCTAGGTTACCAAATGTACATTTTCTAACACCAGGAAGATTTGTCCCAGTTGGAATGCAAACTACTCCAGGTGATATATTTAGTCCTTTTTAAGCCAAGTAATTCACAAAGTTTTTAGAAAGGGAGGTCAGATATACCTGTGACATGTTCTAGCTCCTCTTCGCATAGACCCAACTAATGTAACTCATAGCAAAAACTTTGCTGGACCAAACAATGGTGATCTGACTGAACAATACCAAACTTCGTTTTCTCGCCTGTTATCATGCATGGTAACCCCAGTACTATTCAATTCCTAAGGAACCATTCTATATCCAAATAGAACTTTCATCATAGTCTTATCAGCCCACTGTTATCACAATTATTATTGACATGGATTTTATCGCCGTTTTTTGCAAAGATCAAGTGAATAGCGTCATCGTGTACTGGTCTGAAACACAACATGGTTTAATATACTCACTTGTGAAATCTTCAAAAGGTACGTTCATTTTTACATTACAGTCTTTAAGAGACCGAGAGTATGCTGAAAGAAAGATGACTTTTCTTGTCCAACTTCATTGTTATGGGTGGTTTAATGGCCTCATGCGAATAAACGTCTTTCATTGCCTTAGATGTCGAGCGAAAACCAGACGTGGTTTTGACGATGTTTTCAAAAATCCTTGTCAGCGACGTGAGCGTTTGCAAGTCCTTCATCTCGTTTGCAACGGAAAATAACAATATTGTGACTTGGGACAAACTAACAGGTAGTTGTCTATAACTTAAAGCGCTCTTCGCATGGTTGTATCACTGTTTTGCGATGGAAAAGTAGTGTATGAGCGTCCATCCATTTCTCACACTCAAAGCTCTATTTCCCGCTTCAGGTTTACCTCTGACTGTTGTGAATCTACCAATGCATAATAACACTATAACATCCTTACATTTCATACCAACCATCATTGGCAATGGTTGCACGTCATTGTACCCAAAGTTATTGGTATGTTCTGGCAATGGTGGTTTGTGTATGGTTGAGTATGGTGATGATGGTCAAACCACGATAGTCGATTTACCTCCGAGGTGTGTATCGGGAGAATATACTGACTGTGCCTGAACTAAACTAACTTTATTTATACTGGATAGCTCTATCAGTTCTAAACTGTTCTTCCTAGAGGTCCAGTAAGGATCATCTCTTATTGATCCAGTATTACTACAGGAGGAAACCTAAACTAAACTAACTTTATTTATACTGGATAGTTCTATCAGTTCTAAACTGTTCTTCCTAGAGGTCCAGTAAGGATCATCTCTTATTGATCCAGTGTTACTACAGGAGGAAACCTAAACTAAACTAACTTTATTTATACTGGATAGCTCTATCAGTTCTAAACTGTTCTTCCTAGAGGTGCAGTAAGGATCATCTCTTTTTGATAATTCTAGTTCTCTCAAGATAAAAGATCCAGTTGTGCAAGTGACCAGTCTTCAGAATCTTCCACAACTAGTAAGTATATTATCTCTTGATTGGGTTTTCATGCATAAAATGATTTCTAACCACAATAGCGGTCGTGCATATATTTCACCTCTACTAGAATAACTTCTCTTACCCAGATGCTTGTTCAAAGAAGTTCCGGCAAAATAATGTTACTGGATGTTGCATCAAGAACACTCAAATGTCAGATTGGTCTTGCAAAACCTCTCACGATGTTAGATGGTTTTTGTTTCACTCACGGGACATCAACGCTTTACATGATAGGTAAGACAATTTTCACAAATTTCGTAAAAGAAATAACTAAAGCCAGCCTTGCACCATCGCTTTGAACATGAACTAATTTTATCCTTGCAAATTTTATATTTGGGTTGGGATATTTTCTCCAACTCAATGTAAAGGTATATTGGCTAAGATTGATGATCGTTTGTTCTGATTTTATGTGCTTGAAAATTCGTGTATTTTAATGGGTAAAGATGAAAAGCTCGATTTGTTCTATGGCAAATCTGTTTTGATCAATTTTTGAATTTTCCTTTCTTTAGGTGGTCGTAAAGATGAGTATAACGAATATATATTACCTGAGGTATGTGTCAGAAAAAGCAATGTTGACACTTCTTGAGGCAAGCTAGCGTACAATTTACTCCAATTCTTCTTTTAAAATTGAAGAATTACGTACGTTTCCGTCTTCATTTTCGTAGAGTGTATCTGTGTATAAAATGAATTTGGACACATTCCCTGTGGTGAAGACGTACATGGAAAATCCAACTGTGAAAGTCAAAACAGGCAGAGTTCTGGAAAGTCTTAATGAACGTATTGCATTTATAGAAGAACAAAGGTGCGATATTTGTCAATTGTTAAATTGGATAGCTTTGAAGGCTAAACAGTCACTCCACTTCAGGAGGGAATCTAAACTAAGCTAACTTTTTGTTTACCATATTTAGGAATTCATCTTATGAGAAACGGCAGAGGAAACACAAGACAAGATGGCGTCAGTTGGAGGGTGAACTAAACAGAATGAAACGGCCTGTTAATTTAGGAGAGTCTCTCTGGTTTACTGAAACACTAACTGCGTAAAACTGCGAATTAGGCGGACGGAAAGTATTCTTGAAGAGCCAGAAGAGGTGATGTGTTCCAGTTCCATCCATAGGTCAGTGCCAAGGGAAAATAAAGGAAAATAGCCATTTAAACTTTAAAGGAAGCTCAAGAAATATTGCTTTCACAATATTAAATGAAGCCAAATTATCAGCTTTTAACGTTGTTTTCTATCAGTATCTGCTAGCTTGTAATATAAACAGTGATCAAGTAAAACTTTATTATCACTTTTTGAGTCTATTTAATATATTTTTTACTTTTTTTTCAACCTAAAAATTAAACGTGGAAGCTCAGCCTCTGCTCGGGAGTCGGAAAAGAAAGCCTGGGTACAAAACTCCACGTTGTTTTAAAAAGTTAAAAAACAAAACAAAGATTTATATAAAGTGATGTTTTGGCCTTAAAACATCCGTTTTTCCAGCAAATTTCAAGTCAATGGCAACCATTAATGCTGGCTCAAATGAAAAGGCGAACCAGGATGAAATAGCGCGCGAAATGGCCAGTGCGATCGCTGATGACACGTCAACAAAGACAGCTTCTGATCAAAGACAAGGAGATCTTGCTCAAAGCAGTAATCTTGTCTCCAGCGAGTCGGGAAGTTTTGTACGGATTTCCACTGCAGAAGGCGGTAAGGTGAATGCTCAGGGAGATGGCAAAATGGGCGCTGTTGCTTTGAATTTTGGAGAGCACACAGGTCCTGAGATTCGCGATGATAGCAGCGAGGTTTCGAGTCAAGGAGTTTGGGGCTGGATCAGCAGTGCTGTTGGTAATGATATTGTTCAGACCACTCAGAGATTAGGAAGAAATCTTGTGCAGAAGACCAAGGTAAATCACGTAAACAAGTATAATTTGTCCTGTACAAGAGTAGTGTCATTTATACTGTAAGTGAACAATAACCAGACCTTAGGGTTATATTATGTAAGAGGATTTATAGTCGTAGTGTCACTGATACTGTGTGAAGACCCTGTTACACTGTGCTATTTTCCCTGCAACTTGCATGCAATTCTTCTTTTAAGAGATGTAATTTTGGCCGCTACCAAACTTTTATGTTTATTACACTCCATGTATGTTTCTTACACTTACATTTTGATTTTTGAATACTCTTCACTAATTTACATATCTTCAAGTAAGATTGCATTGCAAGTTGCAAGAAAAATTGCACCATGTAACATGGCCTTAAGGCTCACAGATCATACCCCGCCATCATTGGGCCATTATTTCAGTTATCTTGAAATTGATGTGTTGTGTTTTTATTTCAAAGGATTCTGTAGACAGTGTCATCACAACTTTGGATCCAGGAATGGAGAACTACTTACGTAAGTTTTGTTACACCAATTTATTTATGCTGTTAAAATTCTAAAGTAAATATGCAACCATTTTGCTAACAATTAAGTGGAAATCCAGCCTAACCAGGTGAATTCCAAACATTATAATCCATCTTTATTTGACAAAATTCTTTGTAAAACAAAGTGAAACATTTGAATATTTTTTGAAAAAAATTTTTAATTACAAGTGACATTGACACAGTGTGAGATTACATTGTCTGTCTATTGTCATTAGAAAATTGCAAAGTTGATTAATTTATGTGTGTCGATAATATATATGGTTAGATATTAACTTGCCTGTCTCATTACCAATATTAGCAAGGTCATTCTAAGAGATAAAATTAAATATCAAAGCCTACCAAATAACATGAAAAGTAGACATAAAACAGGATAGCAGCGACCTAATTTACAATGAAATGCAACTAGCAGTAACTGGGTCACAACGAATAGTTATTAAAAAATCGATATATAAGATTATAGTCAAAATATCAATTAGGTATAGGATTATTCCTTCCATTAATATATGCCATTAGACTATCTTACGCAAATTATAAGTTGAAGACATGTTAAGTCTGGGACTAGCCTAGAGATTTGAGATTCTGATGTGAATAACATCATGAGTTTCTGGTCAGGACATGTCCAGCAAACATTTGATTTTATAGTCAAAGTAAATGGTTCATACGGACAATTACCAGGTCACAGCAGTAGCGCAGTATCTTGCCTCGTGCATTTCAGGAAGATCTCCCCAGCTGTATCTGTCAAATCTAAAACTTTCCACAGATTTCAAGGCTTTTCCTCTTTCATCCTCGCCTCCCATCACGATCACGGTGTCTCTGGCAACTGCAGCCACACATCCTTTCCTCTTGTACTTCATGTCTGGTAGCATGTGACTCGTCTGGGTCTTGATGTTGTACATTAAAACTTTGCTTAATACTTTGCCTTCACTGTCGACACCACCCATTATGATGACGTTGTCTTCACCCCACTCGACTGTGGCCATTTCACTCACGGGGTAGGGGAGGGGGGCCAACTTTTGACATTGATTCTTAGTGATGTCATACATAAAAACACTTTGCAGAGCTGGGGTATGAAATGGATTTTTTTTTCCACCGACAATAATGATCTGTTCACCAAACATAGCAACGCCATGATAGTATCTTTTTTGTGGCATGGTGGTCAACTCTTCTGGGTCATAAGGTGGAACAAGGGGAATCTCACTAATTTTATTCGAATGTGCATGTACGTTTGCATCATAACCTCCAATCATTATCAACCGTCCGTTAACAACTTCAGTGCAGTGTTCTGCTAACTGGTGAGGTAACTGAGCAGGAAAATTTTCCCAAGGTATGGACTTATAATCTTGTACAATATCATTCAATGATAATTTTTCCATGGACTGGGAAAAACCAAGATTAGAACAACCGCCAGTGACAAGGAATTGATTGTTGTAAATAACTGACGATGGTGATCGACGACATTCTTTCATTGGTTGTAGTAATGACCAGGTTGCTGTTGCTGGATTGAACATTTCCACTGAATTTAGAGGTCTACCATTCCAACCTCCAGCGACGACAACCACCCTGCTGAGTTGCGACATTTGTTCAAGTTGCTTCGTGATTTTTTTCAAACATTTCTTCATTTCAACATTGTCCACTTCCAGCCGACGATTTCTTTTTTCCAGCTGACGATTTTTTTCTTCCTGCTGACGATTTCTTTCTTCCTGCTGACGATTTCTTTCTTCCTGCTGACGATTTCTTTCTTCCTGCTGACGATTGCTTTCTTCCAGCTGACGATATCTTTCTTCCTGCTGACGATTTCTTTCTTCCTGCTGACGATTTCTTTCTTCCTGCTGACGATTTCTTTCTTCCAGCTGACGATATCTTTCTTCCTGCTGACGATTGCTTTCTTCCAGCTGACGATTGCTTTCTTCCTGCTTCTTAAATTCGCCTTGAACCAGTTCAACTTTTGCTTCGACTCTTTCAACCGGATTTTCCACGACTGCTTTCATGTTCTCCAACTTTGCATCATTTTCATCGACCTTTTCCCTACTTTCTGCCATGTTGTCTTTAACGACATCCATCTCTCGTTTTGTGGATTTCAAGTCAATAGTTCTGTCACTTCTGTGAAGTGCTTTACAAGGTGGTCTGTTTAAAATCATGATATGTGTCTCAAATTGTTAATCATACGATATTTAGTATTTCAAATACATTTACTCACCACCAAACACAAGGCAAATTCACATGCACAGAACAGCAATCGATAAATCAGTCTGATGTCGTTTCTTTTCGGCCGAGTTGAATGACTATTGCACACTGTCAGTATTTCTCATTTACAATATATGTAAAATAAATTAACTATCTTACCTTAACGTCAGTCAGGAACTAACGATTGTCTTGTATAGTGTTCTCAAATCGCTAAAGGTAAAAAAGTGTTTGTATTGATCGATAAATAAGAACAGTTCAAAGAAACAGACAGCCTTTGAGGTAAATCGTCGGTCGGAATTTTTTAACTTTTGGTTTCGGTTAAATACGCCTGAAAATTCTTGAATATTTAATCAAGTGTTGTAATTCATAAGAAAGTTATCCCGTTTTACAAATTTTCTGCGGTAGAGAACTCTAAGGCCTAACCCTAACCGAGAACTGAGAAAAAAACATCTTGAAAACTCAGAAATGGATTAGGAAGATGACTTGAAAATTTGAAATGATGGTTAATTGATATTACGTCATCAAGTGTTGCATTTATTCGACCATATCTTGTGTTTTAATATGCCTTTAATTCGTGAACTGTTTTATCTTTATTTTCAAAAATTTCTGGCAGTGATTCCGGTTTTTAAACAAACTTACATTGTTCAAGGTAGGTGTAGTTTGATTAAGAAGAAAAACATTAATTAGAGATGGTTTATCTGCTTCCGTTGTGAAAGAGCCAGCATATTTAGAAGCGAGTGTGTAAAGTCAAAGTTGAGGGGGTATCGTAATAGATAATGCGGAATAACGGACACTATATATCAAGCGGGAATAACCAACCCGCAAGCAACTAGTTATAACAAACCACAGAATACTCTGCGAACTGCGGTGAAGAGTGACTTCATCTAACACGGAAGTATTTAAACACTCTTCGTATCAAATCTATTCATTATAACGTTGTATCAACAATCTCACCTCTTTCTTGTAAACGTGATTGACCCTTTAGTTCCTATGTATATATATCCCTGAAAGAAGTTCTTAGTTCTCCTTTTTACGAAGGCAAAACGAACACTGTTCTCAACAACATTCAACACACAAACATCTCAATTATATAACTTTCATTTTGTCAGCAAGAATTTCATCAATGTAAATTGCCATTTGCAATTGTGTTAACGCAGTTTGGTTCTTTTTTTATCAATTATTAAATTGGTTAGTTAAATTCCTTGTTTTAACAGTCGCAACCGTGTTCTGATTTTTTCTTTCAATCGTCTCTGATAATAATTGTAAACAGTGTTAGTTTAGTTCAGGTTCCCTGTATTGCAAAGTACCGCCGAGAAAGACAGTCAGTGATGTAACTATGATAGAAATGTTATGATAAATACTTGGACCATGACCAATCATTTTCATTCGTCATCCAAATTCCAAAAAGACTTTATAGTGCTACTATACATATCCTGATGTGTAACTGCGTGTCCTAATTTGTAGCATGGTGTCCTAATGTTCAAACTACGGGCATGGCGGTACTGTGGTCATCATGTTACGCGCACGAAATATTTTCTCTTTGAACCGCAAGTCACGAAATCCGTAATATAATTAACAGTTATTCTGCGAACTCGAGTCGTATATGACCTGATAGCCGACGAGGCGCGTAGCGCCCAGTTGGCTATCGGCCATATACGACGAGAGTAAGCAGAATAACTGTTTTATTATATACACAAACTTTGTCGCCCTTTCGGTGCATTTTGGTGTGCTATTATCGACTAAAGCTTGGATTTCTATTTCACTCAACTCCTTAAATCTTTCGGCCATTTTGTTTGCTTTCTCTACTAGACAGATATGAGCTAATATCTGTCTAGTAGCCAACCAATGAAATTGCAGCATACCTCATATCTGGCGCTTGTGTATATAATAACGACGGATATAACCTGCATGGCATAATATGCATTTGCTTTTCAAGTTCTGATTTTGACATCTGCAAACATTTAGTCTGGTGAAAGAATACAATAAAATAAAATTCTGGAGTATATAGTTTGTATTTGAGTTTTCTAACATTGTTAATTATTCGTGAATATTTTTATTTCAATAGTATTAGTTGAGAATTAACTGATCTCACAAAGAGTAAGTCACCTTACATTCTTCTCGCGGTAAATTTATACAAGGCATCATTACCAGGCCACTGCAGTAGCGCAGTATCTTGCCTCGTGCATTTCTGGAAGTTCTTCCCAGCTGTATCTGTCAAATCTAAAACCTTCCACAGACCTCAAAGCATTTCCTTTTTCATCCTGGCCTCCCATCACGATCACGGTGTCTCTGACAACTGCAGCCACACATCCTTTCCTCTTGTACTTCATGTTAGGAAGCATGTGACTCTTCTGGGTCTTGATGTTGTACATTAAAACTTTGCTTAATGCTTTGCCTTCACTGTCAGCACCACCCATTATTATAACACTGTCACTGCCCCACTTGACTGTGGCCATGCTACACACAGGGTAGGGGAGTGGAGCCAACTCCTGACATTCATTCTTGGTGATGTCATACATAACAACACTTTGCAGAGCTCTGGTAAAAATTAGATTTTCTTTCCCGCCGACAATAATGATTTGTTCACCAAATTTGGCAACGCCATGATAATGTCTTTTTTTTGTCATGGTGGTCAACGGTTTTGGGTTATAAGGTGGAACAAGGGGAATCTCACTAATTTCATCACAACCTCCAATCACTATCAACCGTCTGTTATGAACCACGGTGCAGTGTCCTGCTAACGACGCCGGTAACTCAGCAGGAAAATATTTCGAAGGTATTCCGTGATCAACTTGAATATCATTCAATGATAATTTTTCCATGGACTGCGACCAATCATAACCAGTAAAACCGCCAGTGACAAGGAATTGATTGTTGTAAATAACTGAAGATGGTGATTGACGGCATTCTTTCATTGGTTGTAGTAATGACCAGGTTGCTGTTGTTGGATTGAACATTTCCACTGAATTTAGAAATCTACCATTCCTGCCTCCAGCGACGACAACCACCCTCTCTGTGTCCATTCCAACACCTTCTGCTCTTCCTTTCTTCATGCGTTCTTCCGGAACCTCACGCGATATTTGTTGTGTCATTTGTTCAAGTTGCTTGGTGATTTCATTCAAACATTTCTTCATTTCAACATTGTCAGCTTCCAGCCGACGATTGCTTTCTTCCAGCCGACGATTGCTTTCTTCCAACCGTCGATTGCTTTCTTCAAACCGTCGATTGCTTTCTTCCTGCTTGTTATGAATCAGTGAAACTTTTACGCCCACATTCTCCACGACTGCTTTCATGTTCTCCAGCTTTGCATCATTTTCATCCACCTTTTCCTTAATTGCCGCCATGTTGTCTTTAACGACATCCATCTCTCGTTTTATGTCATTACAAGTTACAACTATGACATTGAACTACGTGTTGTTCACACACAGCTGTTTCATGATGAAGTAAATCTTGCTTGTTGACTTCCCGTCCACAACCTTCATTCGAGCAGAATGCTGGAGCAAACCCACACTCTGCAACATGCTTTTCAAGATCTCCCAGTTCAACAAACTTCCCGCAACCACGGTTGAAGAACTCACAACGGATCTTAAGTTCAGAAAGCAAGTTCGCAATGGTCCGAGGCACTTTCAGAGTATCGACAGTGAGTGATTCCATACATGTCGGGCATGTCTGAGAGTTCATGAGATGTCTGGTGATACAACCACGACAATATATGTGTTCATTATGGCGACACATGACCGGGTCTTTGATGACATTGGTGCAAATACAGCAATGAAGACTAGGGCCAACAGGGTGTTGAAATAGTTCATCGTCATAACCAGTGATGTATAACGCCATTACCTGTTTGGATAAAATATATTTAGACTCAATATTTCTTTTGTATAATAATTATAATTTTTCTATTATAATTATTATTTGAACAGTTCTGTTGGTAATAACGTCTTATTTGAACCTGGATGAATGTTGAATATCGCTAATTTGTATAGGCTGCCTTTTCATACAAGTCGGACTTCAACCATATTTCTGAATTCTGAAAGGGACAGAATTCTCACTTTGGAAATATCTATCTCTTTTCTGGTTGCTGAAGGGCTTCCATGTGAATACTGTATGTATGTTTGATGGGTTTCAGCCAAGTGTTTCAATATCAATCGAATCCTCTTACCTTGGCGTCTTCAGGAACTAACGATTCTCTTGTTGTGTATTCACATCGCTAAAGTTTTCAAAAGAACTATTGAGATAAAACGTTGCTCAGTTATTGTCTTTTTACTTTCACTTTGAGTTAAATAGGCTTCAAAATTTCTAGGTATCAATTTACGGAAGTGCGAATGAGATTACGACATTTTGCAAGTCTTGTGACTCAAGTTCATGACCTTAAAGAACTATTGATGCATGATATTATAAGTCGTTAGTCCTCGCTCATGGCTGCTTTTGAGTTTCCACTTGTAGTAAATATCTTAAAATGCCTTTATAAAGTTTATTTCTTGCTTCACGTCTCATTTTTTAACCTGATCATGTTTTAGTTCGACTTCTATAACGGCCTTCTAAATCTTTCTAAAGGATTATGTTAGTTGGTCTCTGACAAGTTTTAATATCTCGTTATTTAGATAAAACTGATTCGAATACAATCAATATCTTGATTAGTGACATTGGCACAGTCAGTGTAAGACTACAATCTACTACATTGTCTGTCTATGGTCAGGAGAAAATTGAAGAGTTGCCTCATTTATATTTGCATCAGTAATTTACATGATTTCAACAGTTAGGTATTGAGTATTTGAGTTGCTGTCTTCATATGAAATATAAGGGCTGAGAATAGATCAGAAGCAGCAGTCATTTAAGTTATAACCATTAGTAGCAAGGTCATACTAAGAGATAAAATTAAATTAAATTACTGATCAAATTATACTTTGAGACATGTTAATAAAGTCTGGGACTAGTCTAAAAATTTCAGATTCAGGTGTGAATAATCAGTTGTCTCTGCTCTAATATGTAATTACCAGGCCACTGCAGTAGCGCAACCTCTTGCATGGTGCATATCAGGAAGATCTCCCCAGCTGTATCTGTCAAATCTAAAACTTTCCACATACTTCAAGGCATTTCCTCTTTCATCCTGGCCTCCCATTACGAACACGGTGTCTTTGACAACTGCAGCCACACATCCTTCCCTCTTGTACTTCATGTTAGGAAGCATGCGACTCTTCTGGGTCTTGATGTTGTACATTAAAACTTTGCTTAATGCTTTGCCTTCACTGTTAGCGCCACCCATTATGATGACACTGTCACTGCCCCACTTGACTGTGGCCATGTCACTCACGGGGTAGGGGAGGGGAGCCAACTCCTGACATTCATTCTTAGTGATGTCATACATAACAACACTTTGCAGAACTGCGGTATGAGATGAATTTTTTCTTCCACCGACAATAATGATCTGTTCACCAAACATGGCAACACCAGGATAGTATCTACTTTGTGGCATGACGGTCAACAGTTTTGGGTTATAAGGTGGAACAAGGGGAATCTCACTAATTTTATTCAAATGTGCAGCATATACCTTTGCATCAAGACCTCCGATCACTATCAACCGTCTGTTATGAACCACGGTGCAGTGTCCTTCTAACGACATTGGTAACTCAGCAGGAAAATATTTCCAAGGTATTATGTGATCATCTTGAATATCATTCATTGATAATTTTTCCATGGACCGCGACCAACCATGACCAGTAAAACCACCAGTGACAAGAAGTTGATTGTTGTAAATAACTGAAGATGGTGATTGACGACATTCGTTCATTGGTTGTAGTAATGACCAGGTTGCTGTGGCTGGATTGAACATTTCCACTGAATTTAGAGCTCTATTATTTCGACCTCCAGCGACAACAACCATTCTTTCTGTGTCCTTTCCAACAGCTTCTGCTGTTCCTTTCTTTATGTGCTCATCCTGAACCTCACGCAATATTTGTTGTGACATTCTCTCAAGTTGCTTCGTGATTTCATCCAAACGTTTCTTCATTTCAACATTGTCAGCTTCCAGCCGACGATTGCTTTCTTCCTGCTTGTTTAGTTTTCCTTGAACCAGTTCAACTTTTGCAACAACTTCTTTTCCATTTACATAATTTTCGTCGACCTTTTTCTTAATTGCCGCCATGTTGACTTTAACGACATCCATCTCTCGTCTTATGTCAGTACAACTATGACATTTAACTATGCGTTGTTCACACACAGCTGTTTCATGATGAAGTAAATCTTGCTTGTTGACTTCCATTCCACAACCTTCATTCGAGCAGAATGCTGGAGCAAACCCACACTCTGCAACATGCTTTTCAAGATCTCCCATTTCAACAAACTTCGCGCAACCACGGTTGAAGAACTCACAACTGATCTTAAGTTCAAAAAGCAAGTTCGCAATGGTCCGAGGCACTTTCAGAGTATCGACAGTGAGTGGTTCCATACATGTCGGGCATGTCTGAGAGTTCATGAGATGTCTGGTGATACAACCACGACAAAATACATGTTCATTATGGCGACACATGACCGGATCTTTGATGACATTAGTACAAATGATACAGTGCAAGGTCTGGCTGACAATCTGTTCAAAGCGTTCATCATCGTAACCAATGCTGTAAGACGCCATTTCTGTTTGAATAAAAAATATGACGACTTAACTTTAAGGTAGATTTGTTTTAGATTACTTCAGACTTTCTACTACCCAGTTTGTTTATTTGAAGTATCCATTTCTTTACTGCCGTGTAAGAGCTTCAATGACTGTGCTGGGAGATGAGGTTGTCGTTATGTTAGAAGCGAGTTTCATGATAATTCTAAAAAAGTTTCTTCTAACTCAATGTTTGTGGAAAGGGTAAATGGTGTTTAGTATTTTTATTACATTCTGTTCCTAACTAAACACAAGTTATTGTCATATGGACAACAATTTAATGTAGTAAATTGTCGCCTTTCTTATGCATTTTCTTTGACAGCTGACATTGTATACAATACACCTGCAATTCATCTGTTCCGATAGCGAAACTAATTCACCTTTGTAATTCTATCTTACCTTGACGTCCTTCAGGAGCGAACGGCTGTCTAGTTGTAGTGTATTCACAGCGCCAAAGTTTTTGACAAAGTGCTTAAATTATTAGAAAAAGAGGACAACAGCTTCAAAAAACAACAATTAAGGACGAACGAAGTCCTTCGAGATATATATGTATAAGCGTTGCTGAGGATACCAAATTCCTGTTTGAAACGAAACGCACAAAAGCAGGCGAAATATTTTAATTTTGTAGTTGTAGGATATTCACAATGTCGGTATATGCATGAAGTCTCTGAAAGAGTGCTTTTATTTATTGGAATTACGGAAAGAACCACCGTTTGAAAGAACCCAAATACAAAATCCTTGAGATAAGCGTCGCTGCATGAGTACCCGCTCTAAAATAATAACAAATATGTTGGCAGCTGTAATTTCACTCCTCGTTTCCATAGCAATCCAAGCAACTGAGGGCGCTTCCTTTATACGGAAAAAACGGTCAGAGCGGTCCTGTTGTATTTCGGTACAGACAGATTACTGGTATTTTAGAGTGTTTCAAGAACTCTGCATTCAAGTATATCGTTATTTACATCTGCCTAGCGCGGGAAATGCAGTTTCGCCGCTATCTTCTTAACGAAATACTCGATTTCAATTTAAAATATGACCAGTCTGACCATTTTGGCCGCTTAATGGAAAGCGCTCTGAGTTTCTTTAATTTAGTCAGGAATATTGCCATGATTGGTATCAAGGTTTGTTATCACGGTCCATTCTTCAGTAGTTCGTTGAAATAACTAAACTCTTCCCTGTGATTTTTTTACTTTGTTTTTCACTCAAAGCTAAAATAGTGTTGATGTTCAACCTCATGCGATGTTGGTTGTTTTTTTTGACGTTTTTTTTCTCAAGTCGCTTCGTGATTTCGAGATGATAGCTCTCGTGTGCGACGGGCTTTACGTAAAATTTTTAGTTCACCCTATATTCCCCTCACGGTTAACTGCATATAGCTAATATATGATCTTGTCACCGAACAAGCTAAAACATCTCTTCAGTCAAAACTCACGATTTCGTTTGGATATTCTACAAAGACACCTAGCATACTCTGGAAAAGTACAAAGATAAAATGTGTGTACTTGCAGAATATTAATACTTTAAAATATTTCTTGACAACCTTATTCAAAGACGGCAAGGAGAAATTGTTAATAGAGGACTCGCGTTATCGGAAAAGTCTAACCAAGTTTCATTTTTATTATAATCGTCTCGCCTAATTAAAGCGAAGGAGATGGATGTGAAAATCATTGACCATAATTTCTTTCAATACATCAAAAGTAGAGCGACTGGAAATTAATCCCGGTATACGGGACATTTATATGTTTTTAGAGAAATTTTGTTGACTTTCGGGATTAAAACCAGAATACTTGAAATATTCTCAGAAAACTTCGAATAGAATCAAAATGGGATTATTTTTTATTCATACATGTCATTAGATTTGTTGATAAGTTAAAGACATGATAAGTCTGGAACTAGTCTGGGGATTTGAGATTCAGATGTGAATAGCATTGTCAGTTGTGTGGTCAGGACATGTCCACCAAACACCTGATTTTACATTGTTAATATATACCATGGATATTTACCAGGCCACTGCGGTAGCCCAACCTCTTGCCTCGTGCATTTCTGGAAGTTCTTCCCAGGTGTATCTGTCAAATCTAAAACTTTCCACAGACTTCAAGGCATTTCCTATTTCATCTCGGCCTCCCATCACGATCACGGTGTCTCTGACAACTGCAGCCACACATCCTTTCCTCTTGTACTTCATGTTAGGAAGCATGAGACTCTTCTGGGTCTTTATGTTGTAAATTAAAACTGTGCTTAATGCTTTGCCTTCACTGTTAGCACCACCCATTATGATGACGTTGTCTTCACCCCATTTTACTGTGGCCATTTGACTCACGGGGTAGGGGAGGGGAGCCAACTCCTGACATTCATTCTTAGTGATGTCATACATAACAACACTTCTTAGTTTAAAGTAATTCACTTTTCTGCTTCCACCGACAATAAAGATCTTGTCACCAAAGATGGCAACACCATGATAACATCTGCTCTCTGTCATGGTAGTCAACAGTTTCTTGGTGTAAGGTGGAACAAGAGAAACTTCAGTAATTCTATCAGAACATTCACATCTAGCACCATAACCTCCAATCACTAACAACCGTCTTTGATAAACTACAGTGCAATGTTCTGCCGACGGTCCAGGTAACACAGCAGGAAAGTATTCCCAGGGTATAGACGAAGCCACGCCAATATAATTCAGTGATAATTTTTCTATGGTCGTGGACCAAATACCATCATCAAAACCGCCAGTGACAAGAAGTTGATTGTTGTAAATAACTGAAGATGGTGATTCACGGCGTTCTTTCATTGGTTGTAATATTGACCAGGTTTCTGTTGCTGGACTGAACATTTCCACTAAATTTAAATCTGAGCCTCCAGCGACAACAACCATTCTCTCTGTGTCCTTTCCAACAGCTTCTGCTGTTCCTTTCTTCATGTGCTCACTCTGAACTTCACGCGATGTTTGTTGTGTCATTCTTTCAAGTTGCTTCGTTATTTCATCCAAACATTCCTTCATTTCAACATTGTCCGCTTCCAGTCGACGATTGCTTTCTTCCTGCTTGTTATGAACCCGTTCAACTTTTGCCTCGACTCTCTCAACCAGATTTTCCACGACTGCTTTCATGTTCTCCAATTTTGCATAATTTTCATCGACCTTTTTCCTAATTGCCGCCATGTTGTCTTTAACGACACCCATCTCTCGTTTTATGTCATTACAACTATGACACTTAACTCTGCGTTGTTCACACACAGCTGTTTCATGATGAAGTAAATCTTGTTTGTTGACTTTTCGTCCACAACCTTCATTCGAACAGAATGCTGGAGCAAACCCACACTCCGCAACATGCTTTTCAAGATCTCCCAGTTCAACAAACTTCCCGCAACCACGATTGAAGAACTCACAACGGATCTTAAGTTCAGAAAGCAAGTTCGCAATGGTCCGAGGCACTTTCAGAGTATCGACAGTGAGTGGTTCCATACATGTCGGGCATGTCTGAGAGTTCATGAGATGTCTGGTGATACAACCACGACAATATATATGTTCATTATGGCGACACATGACCGGGTCTTTGATGACATTCGTGCAAATACAGCAATGAAGACTAGGACCAACGGGGTGTTGAAATAGTTCATCGTCATAACCAGTGGTGTAAGACGCCATTACCTGTTTGGATAAAATATATTTAGACTCAATATTTCTTTTGTCCTTGAGTATGTCTATTATTTGAACAGTTCTGTTGGTAATAACGTCTTGTTTGAACCTGAATGTTGAATATCGCTAATTTGTATAGGCTATTTCATACAAGTCTGACTTCAACTATATTTCTAAAAGGGACAGAATTTTCACTGTTGAAATATCTATCTATTTTCTGGTTGCTGAAGGGCTTCCGTGTGAATACTGTATGTATGCTTGGTGGGTTTCAGCCAAGTGTTTCAATATGAATTAAATCCTCTTACCTTGGCGTCTTCAGGAACTAACGATTCCCTTGTTGTGTATTCACATCGCTAAAGTTTTCAAGAGAACCATTGAGATAAAATATCGCTTAGTTATTGTCTTTATACTTTGACTTTGAATTAAATCGATTTACGGAAGTGCGGATGAGATTACGATTTACGACATTTTGCAAGTCTTGTGACTTGAGTTCATGACCCTAAGAGAGCTATTGACGCGTGGTATTATAATTGTTTAGTTCTCGCTCATGGCTGCTTTTGAGTTTCCACTTGTAGTAAATATCTTAAAATGCCTTTATAAAGTTTATTTCTTGCTTCACGTCTCATTTTTTAACCTGATCATGTTTTAGTTCGACTTCTATAACGGCCTTCTAAATCTTTCTAAAGGATTATGTTAGTTGGTCTCTGACAAGTTTCAAGTTTCAATATCTCGTTATTTAAATAAAACTGATTCGAATACAATCAATATCTTGATTAGTGACATTGGCACAGTCAGTGTAAGACTACAATCTACTACATTGTCTGTCTATGGTCAGGAGAAAATTGAAGAGTTGCCTCATTTATATTTGCATCAGTAATTTACATGATTTCAACAGTTAGGTATTGAGTATTTGAGTTGCTGTCTTCATATGAAATATAAGGGCTGAGAATAGATCAGAAGCAGTCATTTAAGTTATAACCATTATTAGCAAGGTCATACTAAGAGATAAAATTAAATTAAATTACTGATCAAATTATACTTTGAAGACATGTTAATAAAGTCTGGGACTAGTCTAGAGATTTCAGATTCAGGTGTGAATAATCAGTTGTCTCTGCTGTAATATGTAATTACCAGGCCACTGCAGTAGCGCAGTATCTTGCATGGTGCATTTCTGGAAGTTCTTCCCAGCTGTATCTGTCAAATCTAAAACTTTCCACAGACCTCAAGAAATTTCCTCTTTCATCCTGGCCTCCCATCACGATCACGGTGTCTCTGACAACTGCAGCCACACATCCTTTCCTCTTGTACTTCATGTTAGGAAGCATGTGACTCTTCTGGGTCTTGATGTTGTACATTAAAACTTTGCTTAATGCTTTGTCGTTGCTGTCACCACCACCCATTATGATGACACTGTCACTGTTCCACTTGACTGTGGCCATTTCACTCACGGGGTAGGGGAGGGGAGCCAACTCCTGACATTCATTCTTAGTGATGTCATACATAACAACACTTTGCGGAGTTAAGGTATCAGATAAATTTTCTTTCCCGCCGACAATAATGATCTGTTCACCAAACATGGCAACGCCATGATAGCATCTTCCTTGTGGCATGGTGGTCAACTGATTTGGGTTATAAGGTGGAACAAGGGGAATCTCACTAATTTTATTCAAATGTGGAGCATATACCTTTGCATCAAGACCTCCGATCACTATCAACCGTCTGTTATGAACCACGGTGCAGTGTCCTTGTAACGCCACTGGTAACTCAGCAGGAAAATATTTCCAACGTATTCCGTGATCAACTTGAATATCATTCATTGATAATTTTTCCATGGACTGCGACCAACCATGACTAGTAAAACCGCCAGTGACAAGGAGTTGGTTGTTGTAAATAACTGACGATGGTGATTTACGGAATTCTTTCATTTGATGTAGTAATGACCAGGTTGCTGTTGCTGGATTGAACATTTCCACTGAATTTAGAAATATACCATTCCAACCTCCAGCGACGACAACCATCGTCTCTCTTTCCTTTTCAACAGCTTCTGCTCTTCCTTTCTTCATGTGTTCTTCCGGAACCTCACGCGATATTTGTTGTGTCATTTGTTCAAGTTGCTTCGTGATTTCATGCAAACATTTCTTCATTTCAACATTGTCCGCTTTCAGGCGTCGATTGCTTTCTTCCTGCTTGTTTAGTTTTCCTTGAACCAATTCAACTTTTGCAGCAACTTCTTTTCCATTCACATAATTTTCATCCACCTTTTCCTTAATTGCCGCCATGTTGTCTTTAACGACATCCATCTCTCGTTTTATGTCATTACAACTATGACATTGAACTACGTGTTGTTCACACACAGCTGTTTCATGATGAAGTAAATCTTGCTTGTTGACTTCCCGTCCACAACCTTCATTCGAGCAGAATGCTGGAGCAAACCCACACTCTGCAACATGCTTTTCAAGATCTCCCAGTTCAACAAACTTCCCGCAACCACGGTTGAAGAACTCACAACGGATCTTAAGTTCAGAAAGCAATTTCGCAAAGGTCCGAGGCACTTTCAGAGTATCGACAGTGAGTGGTTCCATACATGTCGGGCATGTCTGAGAGTTCATGAGATGTCTGGTGATACAACCACGACAAAATATGTGTTCATTATGGCGACACATGACCGGGTCTTTGATGACATTGGTGCAAATACAGCAATGAAGACTAGGACCAACGGGGTGTTGAAATAGTTCATCGTCATAACCAGTGATGTAAGACGCCATTACCTGTTAGGTGAAAAATATTGGCAATGCATTTTGTCTATGTTTCTCAAAACCAAATCAGAGTCAAAATGCTTTATTTCAAAGACGAGTCATACAGTTTTACCATAATTATTCTATCGCCCGTATTCAAAAAACGTACTCACATTCATGAGTTTGACATAGATATTGTGTTATTACCGGTCAATGTGAAAGTAATTTCTCAATCAATGGAAATATTTAGGGAAAACGTTCAAAACATTAGCTCTTATTCAAGTGAAGTGCCACAATGACGTCACAAAATGCAAAGACGCGTAAAAGTGGCCTGGAGACTAGTCCGGTATTGTCGGGAAAATGCATATAATTTCACTTGCTCTGTCTCAATATTTTGAATCGATCCTAATTGCCTAAACGTAGCTGAGAATATGTGAAAGTACCCTAGAATAAAATACTGAAGTTATATACAGTTTTGAACTGAACGCTAGGTTATTCATATAAACAGCCTGCTTAAATATTTTCGTTTAATCAACTTTGGACAAGATCTTTTTTGACCTTGGTTTTTGAACTAGAAGTTTGCTTTCTTGCAAACATCCATATCAAAATCAAGCTCTTATTTAAGTGAAGTGCCGCAAAGGTGTGATTTAGAACTCCCACTCAATGATGTCACAAAAAGCATTCAACTCCATGTTTGTCGACAGCAAATAATACATAATGTTTCATTACATTCTGTTCACATTTTACAACCAAGCACAAGATATTGATGGTGATGTAGTTAACGATTTGACAGAGGTCTTATAGCTATACAGTGGTCTGTTACAAAGTGGTCTGTTTATAATCATGGTCAGTATTTCTCATTCACAATATATGTAAAACCAATCAACCATCTTACCTTGGCGTCTTTCAGGAACTAACGATTGTCTTGTAGTGTATTCACATCGCTAAAGTTAAAAAAGTGTTTGTATTTATCAATAAAATAGCAAAATAATTTTTTTTACTTTTGGTTTGAGTTTAAAACGGCTTAAAATTCCTGAATATTGAATCAGGTATTGAAACTCTCGTTTCGAAAATTTTCCGCGGTGGAGAATCGCTCTCGATTAGAAACAAGGACTAAAACACAAGACATGAAAACTCAGAAATAGATTAAAATGAAGACTGAAAATTGAAATGTTGGTTAATTGATATTACGTCATGCAGTGTTGCATTATTCACCCATATCTTGGGTTCTAAGATGCCCTTAACTCTTGGACTATGTTTTATTTGTATTTTTAAAAATTACTGGCTGAATCCCGGCTTTTAGACAAACTCGTATTGTTCTAGGGCATAGTTTGTTTTTAATAAGAGGAACATTAATTAGACATGATTTGTTTTCAGTTGTAAAAGAGCCAGCATATTTAGAACCGAGTGGGTAGGGTGAAACTGAATGAGTTATCGTATATAGATGATGCGGAATAACTGACAATATATCAAACGGGAATAACATCCCTCAAGCAACTAGTTATAACAAAACAAACCGCAAAACCTCTGCGATGAAGAGTGGTTTCAACTGCGGTGAAGAGTGACTTTATCTAACACGGAAGTATTTAAACGTTATTCGTATCAAATCTATTTATTACAACATTGTGTCATCAATCTCACCTTCATGTGTTTCTGGTAGACTTGATTGATTCTTCAGTTTCTATTTATCCGTGGTAGAAGTTATTTTTTTCGAAGGCTAAAAACGAACACTGTTCTCAACAAGATGAAAACGACAACCTTTAACACGCAAACATCTCCATTATTAACTTTCATTTTATGAGCAAATCTACATTTCTTTTGCGTTCCATGCTGTGGTTATTAACATGTACAATTGTGTTCACGCAGTTGGTGATTTTAAATGATTTACAGTTAAATTTCTTGAGCTTAATTTCTTAATCATTAAACAGTCAAAATCGTGTTCTTTTTCTTCAATCGTCTCAGTTGGTCATTTTCAACAGAGCAACCTTCCTGTATTGCAAAGTACCTCAGAGAATTAGTGGCAGTCAGTGATGTAACGCTACAATAAAATACTTGGACCATAACCATTCGTCATTTGCATTTGTCATCAAAAAGCTAGTAAGTGCACTAAGAACGGCTCATCACCCCCCCCTGCATGTAAACTTATAAAATGATCTTTATAACCTGCTTTTAACTGGACTAACAAGAGATAAGCGCAGTGGAAACAGTGTTAAGGCTGCCTTCCACCGTTGCATTTTTTACGCATGGAAAAGTCTGAGGGACTGTTTATATCATGTCGTTTTCATGCAGGTATAAAATGATGGGCTACCTTTAAATATAATCCAGAACATATTACGGAAGAGATGTGTGAGATTAGACTAAGGTGTTGTTCATCAGATTCGTGGAGGCTAATACTAAACGATTGTCGCTCTTGGTTGTAGATGCATATCTTGTAAAATAGCACAATTTCGCAAAACCGTTAACTGTAACTACTTTCAATACATCAGGAGTAGCGCGGCGCGAAATTAATTACGGTATATGGAACAATTTTACGTTTTTGAAAAAATTTTGTTCAGTCAGATTTCGGACTGAGTTAAAACCAGAATATTCTAAGAAAACTTCGACATGGAATCAAAATAGGAATATTATTTCTTTCATTGATTATCTTTATTACTTTGATTATAAATTGAAGACATGATCAGTCTTGCGATTCAGATATGAATATCATCTCTGGTCACATGAGTGTCCAGCAAAGACCTGATTTTATGCAGTCAAAGTAAATTCTTAATATATACTTAAAGGATAATTACCAGGCCACTGCAGTAGCCTCACATCTTGCCTCGTGCATATCAGGAAGTTCTTCCCAGCTGTATCTGTCAAATCTAAAACTTTCCACAGACTTCAAGGCATTTCCTCTTTCATCTTGGCCTCCCATCACGATCACAGTGTCTCTGACAACTGCAGCCACACATCGTTTCCGCGTGTACTTCATGTTAGGTAGCATGTGACTCTTCTGGGTCTTGATGTTGTACATTAAAACTTTGCTTAATACTTTGCCGTCACTGTCGACACCACCCATTATGATGACGTTGTCTTCACCCCACTTGACTGTGGCCATGCTATTCACGGGGTAGGGGAGGGGAGCCAGCTCCTGACATTCATTCTTAGTGATGTCATACGTAACAACACTTTGCAGAACTGCGGTATTAGATGAATTTTTTCTTCCACCGACAATAATGATCTGTTCACCAAACATGGCAACGCCATGATAGTATCTTTTTTGTGGCATGGTGGTCAACTGTTTTGGGTTATAAGGTGGAACAAGGGGAATCTCACTAATTTTATTGAAATGTGCATGTACGTTTACATCAAAACCTCCGATCACTATCAACCGTCCATTATGAACCACGGTGCAGTGTCCTTGTAACGACACTGGTAACTCAGCAGGAAAATATTCCCAAGGTATTCCGTGATCAACTTGAATATCATTCAATGATAATTTTTCCATGGAGTGCGACCAGCCAACACCAGTTAAACCGCCAGTGACAAGGAGTTGGTTGTTGTAAATAACTGACGATGGTGATTGACGGCATTCTTTCATTGGTTGTAGTAATGTCCAGGTTGCTGTTGCTGGATTGAACATTTCCACTGAATTTAGAGGTCTACCATTCCAGCCTCCAGCGACGACAACCATCCTCTTGTCCATTCCAACAGCTTCTGCTCTTCCTTTCTTCATGTGTTCTTCCGGAACCTCGCGCGATATTTGTTGTGTCATTTGTTCAAGTTGCTTCGTGATTTCATTCAAACATTTCTTCATTTCAACATTGTCAGCTTCCAGCCGACGATTGCTTTCTTCCAGTCGACGATTGCTTTCTTCCAGTCGACGATTGCTTTCTTCCTGCTTGTTATGAATCAGTGAAACTTTTACGCCCACATTCTCCACGACTGCTTTCATGTTCTCCAACTTTGCATCATTTTCATCGACCTTTTTCCTTAATTGCCGCCATGTTGACTTTAACGACATCCATCTCTCGTTTTATGTCATTACAACTATGACATTTAACTACGCGTTGTTCACACACAGCTGTTTCATGATGAAGTAAATCTTGCTTGTTGACTTCCTCTCCACAACCTTCATTCGAGCAGAATGCTGGAGCAAACCCACACTCTGCAACATGCTTTTCAAGATCTCCCAGTTCAACAAACTTCCCGCAACCACGATTGAAGAACTCACAACGGATCTTAAGTTCAGAAAGCAAGTTCGCAATGGTCCGAGGCACTTTCAGAGTATCGACAGTGAGTGGTTCCATACATGTCGGGCATGTCTGAGAGTTCATGAGATGTCTGGTGATACAACCACGACAATATATGTGTTCATTATGGCGACACATGACCGGGTCTTTGATGACATTGGTGCAAATACAGCAATGAAGACTAGGACCAACGGGGTGTTGAAATAGTTCATCGTCATAACCAGTGGTGTAAGACGCCATTACCTGTTTGGATAAAATATATATAGACTCAATATTTCTTTTGTCCTTGAGTGTGTCTATTATTTGAACAGTTCTGTTGGTAATAACGTCTTGTTTGAACCTGAATGAATGTTGAATATCGCTAATTTGTATAGGCTGCCTTTTCATACTAGTCTGACTTCAACCATATTTCTGAATTCTGAAAGGGACAGAATTCTCACTGTTGAAATGTCTATCTATTTTCTGGTTTCTGAAGGGCTTCCGTGTTCCAATACTGTATGTATGCAGTTTGCTCGGTGGGTTTCAGCCATGCAAGTGTTTCAATAACAATTGAATCCTCTTACCTTGGCGTCTTCAGGAACTAACGATTCTCTTGTTGTGTATTCACATCGCTAAAGGTTTTAAGAGAACCATTGAGATAAAACGTTGCTCAGTTATTGTCTTTTTACTTTCAATTTGAGTGAAATAGGCCTTAAAATTCCTAAGTATCAATTTACGGAAGTGCAGATGAGATGACGACATTTTGCAAGTCTTGTGACTCGAGTTCATGACCTTAAAGAACTATTGATGCATGATATTATAAGTCGTTAGTTCTCGCTCATGGCTGCTTTTGAGTTTCCACTTGTAGTAAATATCTTAAAATGCCTTTATAAAGTTTATTTCTTGCTTCACGTCTCATTTTTTAACCCAATCATGTTTTAGTTCGACTTCTATAACGGCCTTCCAAATATTTCTAAAGGAATTTATTAGTTGGTCTTAGACGAGTTTCAAGTTTCAATATCTCGTTATTTAGATAAAACTGATTCGAATACAATTAATATCTTGATTAGTGACATTGGCACAGTGTAAGGCTACAATCTACTACATTGTCTGTCTATGATCAGGAGAAAATTGAAGAGTTGCCTCATTTATATTTGCATCAATAATTTATATGATTTCAACAGTTAGGTATTGAGTATTTGAGTTGCTTGTCTTCATATGAAATATAAGGGCTGAGAATAGATCAGAAGCAGTCAGTCATTTAAGTTATAACCATTATTAGTAAGGTCATACTAAGAGATAAAATTAAATTAAATTACTGATCAAATTATACTTTGAAGACATGTTAATAAAGTCTGGGACTAGTCTAAAAATTTCAGATTCAGGTGTGAATAATCAGTTGTCTCTGCTCTAATATGTAATTACCAGGCCACTGCAGTAGCCTCGTATCTTGCCTCGTGCATTTCTGGAAGTTCTTCCCAGCTGTTTCTGTCAAATCTAAAACTTTCCACAGACCTCAAGAAATTTCCTCTTTCATCCTGGCCTCCCATCACGATCACGGTGTCTCTGACAACTGCAGCCACACATCCTTGCCTCTTGTACTTCATGTTAGGAAGCATGTGACTCTTCTGGGTCTTGATGTTGTACATTAAAACTTTGCTTAATGCTTTGCCTTCACTGTCGAAACCACCCATTATGATGACACTGTCACTGCCCCACTTGACTGTGGCCATGCTACACACAGGGTAGGGGAGGGGAGCCAACACCTGACATTCATTCTTAGTGATGTCATACATAACAACACTTTGCACAGCTGAGGTATTAGATAAATTTTCTGTCCCACCGACAATAATGATCTGTTCACCAAACATGGCAACACCATGATAGTATCTTCTTTGTGGCATGGTGGTCAACGGTTTTGGGTTATAAGGTGGAACAAGGGGAATCTCACTAATTTTATTCGAATGTGGATCATGTACGTTTAAATCAAAACCTCCGATCACTATCAACCGTCTGTTATGAACCACGGTGCAATGTCCTTCTAACGACACTGGTAACTCAGCAGGAAAATATTTCCAAGGTATTCCGTGATCAACTTGAATATCATTCATTGATAATTTTTCCATGGACTGCGACCAAGCACGACCAGCATAACCACCAGTGACAAGGAATTGGTTGTTGTAAATAACTGACGATGGTGATCGACGACATTCTTTCATTGGTTGTAGTAATGACCAGGTTGATGTTGCTGGATTGAACATTTCCACTGAATTTAGAGATCCACCATTCCAGCCTCCAGCGACCACAACTATCCTCTTGTCCATTCCAACAGCTTCTGCTCTTCCTTTCTTCATGTGTTCTTCCGGAACCTCACGCGATATTTGTTGTGTCATTTGTTCAAGTTGCTTCGTGATTTCATTCAAACATTTCTTCATTTCAACATTGTCCGCTTCCAGCTGACGATTGCTTTCTTCCAGCCGACGATTGCTTTCTTCCTGCTTGTTATGAATCAGTGAAACTTTTACGCCCACATTTTCCACGACTGCTTTCATGTTCTCCAGCTTTGCATCATTTTCATCGACCTTTTTCCTAATTTCTGCCATGTTGACTTTCACGACATCCATCTCTCGTTTTATGTCATTACAACTGTGACATTTAATTACGCGTTGTTCACACACAGCTGTTTCATGATGAAGTAAATCTTGCTTGTTGACTTCCCGTCCACAACCTTCATTCGAGCAGAATGCTGGAGCAAACCCACACTCTGCAACGTGCTTTTCAAGATCTCCCAGTTCAACAAACTTCTCGCAACCGCGGTTGAAGAACTCACAACGTATCTTAAGTTCAGAAAGCAAGTTCGCAATGGTTCGAGGCACTTTCAGAGTATCGACAGTGAGTGGTTCCATACATGTCGGGCATGTCTGAGAGTTCATGAGATGTCTGGTGATACAACCACGACAATATATGTGTTCATTATGGCGACACATGACCGGGTCTTTGATGACATTGGTGCAAATACAGCAATGAAGACTTGGACCAACGGGGTGTTGAAATAGTTCATCGTCATAACCAGCGATGTAAGACGCCATTACCTGTTTGGATAAAATATATTTAGACTCAATATTTCTTTTGTCCTTGAGTGTGTCTATTATTTGAACAATTCTGTTGGTAATAACGTCTTATTTGAACCTGAATGTTGAATATCGCTAATTTGTACAGGCTGCCTTTTTATACTAGTCTGACTTCAACCATATTTCTGAATTCTGAAACGGACAGAATTCTCACTGTGGAAATACCTATCAGGGCTTCCGTGTTAATACTGTATGTATACTTGGTGGGTTTCAGCCAAGTGTTTCAATACCAATTAAATCCTCTTACCTTGGCGTCTTCAGGAACTAACGATTCTCTTGTTGTGTATTCACATCGCTAAAGTTTTTAAGAGAACCATTGAGATAAAACGTTGCTCAGTTATTGTCTTTTTACTTTCAATTTGAGTTAAATAGGCCTTAAAATTATCAGTATCAATTTACGGAAGTGCAGATGAGATGACGACATTTTGCAAGTCTTGTGACTCGAGTTCATGACCCTAAGAAAACTATTGATGAATGATGTTTTAAGTGGTTAGTTCTAGCTCGCTCATGGCTGCTTTTAAGTTTCCACTTGTAGTAAATATCTTAAAATGCCTTTAGAAGAGTAAAGTTTATTTCTTGCTTTGTATTTCATTTTTTAACCTAATCATGTTTTAGTTCGACTTCTATAACGGCCTTCCAAATATTTCTAAAGGATTATGTTAGTTGGTCTCTCTGACATCAAGTTTCAATCTCTCGTTATTTAGATAAAACTGATTCGGATACAATCAATATCTTGATTACATCAACGGATGAGGAGTTATCGAAGGATAAAAGATGGTTTTAAGCAAGTATTCTCGCACGTTTTGGTCCAAAATCAAGCGTCACGTTCGAGCCTAGCTCCACTCCCCAACAGCTTCTCATCTGCTTTAAAAAGCGCAAAGCAGCGAATATCAAATCATCGCTCGTCCACGCCAGCTGAGGTCGAAGTTGTTGTGGTTGCTGTGGAAGAGTTTATCGCAGAAGTGATGCCTGAAATGTGTGTAAATGATGTACTTTTGAGTTGAGTTGTAAAGCAGAATTTTCACCTGCTTTATTTAAAATGATAAAACTAATCTTAATTCACACCTTTTAGTCAGTAGATATGACACAGAGACAACGGAATAGAATTGAGAGACGAAGTTTAATCTTTTCCTCTATATTTGTGCTAGTTTTTGTGGCTTTTTCTATCATTTGCCTTGAAGTCTAACTAATTTAAACAATACCATGTAGACTGTAGTCGATCCAGGTTCATTGGATGCTCTATCCAGTTGTAATTTTCAGATCAGTGCATATACTCGTGTTTCCATGTCAGTTTTGAAAAGTTTCCATGTCTTTCCAGGTGGTTTGGTATGCTGTGTCTGTGCCTGGATGACGCCTCACAGAAGCTTGAAATGGAAACATTCTCGCAAACTTTCGTCCTTCCGAATGACGTGGTGAAGAAACTCGAAGAGCTAACACCACGTACATACAGTCTCCGCTGGTCAGGGCTCAGCGTCAGTCTGGCTGAAGTTCTGCAAAGTAACTGGACCAACTTCTTAGCGGGTAAGCAAGTTACTGTTCAGTCTTTTAAGATTAAACCGAGAATGTTTCCAAGGACTTCTGCCACTGAGCTAGAAAGAGTGTCTACTGACTACTGGCCAGTAGCCCAACAAAGATTGTGTTAAGCTAGGGGCGCTTTCCATTAAGTGGCCAAAATGGTGAGACAGGTCATATTTTGAATATAAATAGAGTATTTCTTTGAAAAGCGGTCTACTTTTTCATTCAGTTGTTCAGTTAACCATCGTGAACACGTCAGTTTCCCCAATGAAAAATTATTCCTTACGTAAATATGTTTTTATTTCTACTGGGAATCGTTTCCTAGTCAGATGACGAAACATTCTCAGAAAGTTGTGATGTGTTTTTTCCAGGTGTTCCCAAGAGACAAGTGGTTACTTTGGCCGCAAAGACATTAGCTGGACAATATCGAGAGACATTTCAAAGAAACTCATCTAAGATAGAGAAAGCAATAACATTATGAATCTTAACATTACCTATAGACGTAATATTAACACGAGTATTATATGTAAGTAGGTATTATAGTTATATGCAGAAAATATATTTGGAATCTATCAAGTGTTGACTGAATGTTTCGTTGCAATCTTGCAACTACGAATGCTTCTCAAAGTTTAGGTTTCCTCCTGTAGTAACACTGGATCAATAAGAGATGATCCTTACTGGACCTCTAGGAAGAACAGTTTAGAACTGATAGAGCTATTCAGAATAAATAAAGTTAGTTAAGTTAAGGTTTCCTCCTGTAGTAACACTGGATCAATACGAGATGATCCTTACTGGACCTCTAGGAAGAACAGTTTAGAACTGATAGAGCTATCCAGTATAAATAAAGTTAGTTTAGTTTAGGTTTCCTCCTGTAGTAACACTGGATCAATAAGAGATAATCCTTAGTGGACCTCTAGTAAGAACAGTTTAGAACTGATAGAGCTATCCAGTATAAATAAAGTTAGTTTAGTTTAGGTTTCCTCTTGTAATAACACTGGATCAATAAGAGATGATCCTAACTGGACCTCTAGGAAGAACAGTTTAGAACTGATAGAGCTATCCAGTATAAATAAAGTTAGATTAGTTTAGGTTTCCTCCTGTAGTAACACTAGATCAATAAGAGACGATCCTCGCCAAACCTTATATGAAATATATGCAGTCGTGTTGGAGACAATTTTGGAGACAATGGTACATTGGTTCTGTCAGACTTTCCCTATTGGTCCCGGGTTCAAAGGGCTGTACATAGAATATAGATGGAGCCATTTAGGTACAGTTCTAAAACAATATTTAACAAAACGCAAAAAACCTTTGATAATTTCAAAAACAAAATTGTTTGAAATGAAAAAAAGAAGACTTTTACGCTGATGTTTTAGAAACATCCAGGTTATGAAAGATCACATCACAAGATCAGTTTGTTCCAAGATGGCGGTCGCGGAAGGCGATAGTGTGCACACGGTGAAGACGAAAAGATTAAAAAGTGAAATAAATATCCAGGAAATAAAGCGCGTCAAGTGTTCACCTGATAACTCGTATCTTCTCCTTGCCAGGGAAGATTCAACGCTGCACGTTCTGCACGTAAATACTGGAGAAATCAATTTTGTTTGTGGAGAAGTGAAAGAGTGAGTCTGTGCTTGGTGTGTTATGACCTATGAATGTTGTATTCCTTGTTTCTTGTTTGTGGTGCTTGCTTTCGTTTTGCTTTTGCTGTATGCCCTTAAATCCTGTGCAAGTTTTATCTAAGGTGCTCACAAATGTCTGAAAATAAGGAGGCGTTTTAATATACCATAGTTTTACCATAGATAATTATTAAATTTGTTACTTCCATGTATGCGCAGATATGCATTTTTATCATTGACATCATATCTACCATTTGCAAACAATTTCCAGGTTTATGTGGAGCAAGCCAAAAGACCCTTCAACCCTAAACAGAAGTCCAACGTTTGCTGTTCTGCATCACGATGGATCAGTCGAGGTTTTTGATGTGACGAAGAAAAGCGTGATTAGGAAACCAACAGAGGAGGAATCTTTGACACATGTTGGATTGTTAACCATTGCAAACATGAAGGATTTATTGAAAGGAGAAGGTGATTGAGATATTAGGGAGCTTTAACAGTGACTATGAGTGCAACTACAAGTACAAGATTTGTGATTCCTGTGCATTGCTTGCTTATGCAATCAACCAAAACTCATAGTTGTTGAGCTTTTGCATACAAAATTTACCAAGAAACTTGCATACTCGAAAGCTTGATCACTACCAGTTTTTGGCTGATGATACTCATAGTCGTACTCATAGTCACTACTAAACCTTACAGCTTACAACATAAGCATCTTGTTCAGTTAAAAAAAAAATACTAGTATTGAGCACACCTGCATACTTTCAATGTTTGCTTGTCTGGTAAAAACATCTAGTGTATTGTATGATATGTTTCATGAGTGGGGCATGTTTTACCAGAGTGTACTAGTAGCTCTTCTAAAGAAACAAAGCACTACCTTTTTCTTTTAGATCTTAGCCTGAAATTGTTTAGACTGATAGAATCTCGGCAAGTGTCTCTTGAGGATGATGAGCATGCGGACCGTGTGACGTTGTTATTTGGAGGTTATATTGTACTGGTGTTGTCATTTGGTTTGGTTGCTTCAGCTGATGTTGTGAATTGGTGTGAAATCATTAAGAATGTATCCGGTGTTCCTTTTCTGTTGCCGCAACAGGCAATTGCTGATGTAAGCGTTGCCAGGGACATGTTGTTTATCCTGTACCAACATGGCTTGGTAAGTGATGGGTGATGAAAAACGCTTGCATGCTGTTAGGTCTACCATGTTTTTGTATTTTGAATGTTATAATATACGCTCTAGATCATTGTTTATGACATGACAAACTGGATATTTCTTGGCTGGATTGATGTGTTTCAATCAGGTGAACAGAATTTTAAAGGTATATCCACATTTATGAGATGCTTTTGCAAAACATTGGGACCAACAGGCCTATGCGACCATACTTTTTACCTCTCTTTTCGAAGTCCTTTTCATCTTTCCCTCACTTACAGTTGATTTTCAAACCACTTCTGTAGATGATATCGGGCAGTCTTCTCCTAAACGACCAACTGCAAAAATATTGGACGTTAATGTGAATGGATCAACCATCATTGTCTGTGACGGTCGAAACTTTGTGACCAAGATTGATGTAGTGAAATATTTTGAGTGTTTTCCAACAAATCTGGAGGCGAAGGATAGTTTGACCAAGGCTAAGGGTTTTGGAAGGAATATGGAAAGAGAGAAATCTAGGAATATGGAGTCAGAATACAGTCTGTGTGGTGATTCAGTTTGGAAAAGTGAGGTTCTGGCAATTACCAGTAAACTTGATGCAGATTCGGGTATGTGATATCAATTGATTAATAATATTGGTTATGATGATTATTATATTGATGATGATATTGGTGATGGTATTGATGATGATGATATTGCACCTGGTGATGATGATATTTAAGCAATAATGATAATATTGATGATAATATTGGTGGTGATGATGATATTAGCAATAATGATAATATTGATGATGATATTGGTGGTGACTATGATTATGGTTTTGATGATGTTTATATTGATGATGATATTAGTGCTGCTGATGATGATATTAGTGCTGATTATAAGTGTACATGTATTAGTGATAATACTGATATTCTTGAAGATATGTGTGTTCATATCTAATCATATTGATTACGGTGATCAGATCACATTATATTGAGGATAGTATTGATGATGAAAGTGATTATGAATTTTTTTAATGATTATGATTTTGGTAGAAAAAAACACTGACAAAAGAAGCCCCCGACATTTACAAGACGGTGATGATCTTGTTGTGAACACAGCTTGGTCAGTCACTATCTCCTCACCTCCCTGGATGAAAGAATTCAAAGTGCTTGATTTGTATTCATCATTTGACTCCTTCCTGCTTTGCCTTGAGTCAAACAACACAACAGAGTCTTGTGACAATCATGGTGTTTTGTGTTGCTGGGCTGCCTGGAAGAAAGAATATCTGCTCAATGTGTAAGTCTTTTGTTAGTCAATTTCCTTCGGGCATTTCTGTCCTAAAACGTTTACAGAACGTGTTACATTTGCACTAGTTTTGTGTGTTCCTGTTTTGTGATGGAAATAAAGATTTTTGATGAAATTTACGTATTTCTGTTTTCGGTTTTGTTGTACAGATTTTTAGAAAGGACACTGGTCGCATCTGGTGGACAAACTACAAAACCGTTATACCTGTTGACAAACAAAGCAATCGGGGTACCTGTGTTTGATACCACGCAAAACCAACTGGTCAACAAGGTTGGTATTGAAAAAGTTACCACCAGTGTTACTCTGTCAAGATTGATACGTAACTAAGAGCTTTTGATAACAATCATAGTGTCATATTTTGCCTAACTCTGTTAAATCGTGAAGGTGTCTAGGCCCCTTCTGACAGACGATTGTGGTATTTTCGAAATGTGACATCTCGCTATCTTGCAAGGCAATCCTTCAAACTGAACGACCATTTTGCACCCCTTCCCTTTTCTAAAAGCAAGGGGAACGGTTGCTCCCACCCCTCCCCGATTTCGGCGTTTCTGTTACTGTTAAACCTACCATCAACCACCATCTCGTACAATCACCACTCTCTCTTACCATCCAGCTTATCACCTACGAGAATGTCGCGATGGCAGAGAAGTTGTGCTATCTCAATGACTGGGACCACTTCGCCGTTCCTATCAGCGCCCTTGAAGCCGCTCTTAAACACGGCCAACTAGACACGGTCGCTTTCTACCTCAGAACCAAAGGCAAAGGTGTAGTAGCTATATATTATTGAAATTGAAACATAATGAATAGATTAGCTGATCAAAAACTAGCTCAGAATCAAGACGCGGACAGTTTTCGTTGTGTAAACAGCGGTGAACAGTTAATTTTTTTTAGGTTTTTCATTTCAAATTTCTTGTTATTTCTAGCGTTTACAACAACAGCAAACGATATGGAAAACGCAAATCCAGTCAGAGCTCTATCACCTCTCTCCTCCAGTGGATCCTTCATCTCGAAACAACTTCACATGAAACAAAGTCATTCTGAAGAACTCGCAGAGCAAATCAAGGCTGTGGTCAATTTATTAATTGTCACCATCACCGCAAGTTCTAAACGTAAGCTTCGTGATTTATCCGGTTTCTGATACAGGGACAGAGTTGCAAAAAGACTTCAACCTTCCTCCGGTAGGATTTCAAGTTTTGAAAACCTTCCTCAAAATGGCGTTACTTCACTGAGTCAAGTGGCAACCAGCATAAAGAAATATTTGGTTTTTTGGTACATGCATGTGATCAGTTACAGTGTTTAACTTTGAACCTTCCTCACAAACCTCATTCAAAGCAAACCTTCCTCCGGGTGGTACCCGCAGCTTTTTTGCAACTCTGTACAGGGAACATGTGTGAAAATGTTCACCTTTCGTATTTCTCCGTAGGTAAACACAGTGTTCAGTTCACGAGTCAGCTTTTACAGATGAGTTTCGATTATGTCAACGGTTTAATACAGGATGCTGTCTGTTATATTGATCGTGAGATGGGCAGTAAATCTGACAGAGAACAAATACAAGATATTCTCATCTACCTTACGGCGAAAACCATGGACCTGAGGTCGTTACAATACGGAATACCAGCATTTCAGAGCGATGGCAAAGAGCGATGTGAAAAAGACGGAGAAAAATCGAGCTCAGAAATGCGGGACATTGTTTTCGAAAATTGGTCGGGTATGGACGATAAGGTCAGAGCCCTGAGATTAAACTAGTTTTTATGAATTTTGGAATTGATATTTTTCATATCTCAAAAGTTGTGCAAATGTAGCGGTCATAATATTGAATAACATCCTCAAACAGTCTACTTATCTCAAATTAATACGATACGTTACCGATAATTTATGACAAATTTACCTATGACGTGTTTCATGTTGTTCACAGGATGTAATCCGCGATGCCATTCTCAGCTGTCGTGTACCGCTGGCTCAAGTATATTTCTTGAACGAATCCCAGTTCAACACGGCTCACGACGGATCTCTACGATATATTATGGAAACTGGACTAAGAATCGTGTTGGAGGTCTTAGCAAAGAAGGACATGGCGACCGCATCGGAAATGATACGGAACATGGTAGGGTTTTTTTGTTAGATTGCAACTTGAACCTTTTATGACTTGCAAGAACAGTTCAGCGCATTAGAACTGATAGAGTATATGAGATGCATTCATAGGTTTTGAAATATCGTTTGTCACTACAGTAAGTAGTATTGTTTTGTTAAAATTGTTTCAGGGAGATGATGTTGTTCAACTGGTCAGAAAGATTTGTCTGAAAACATTTGATCGTCCTTTAAGAAACTACTTGGTGAGTTTGGCATAATATACAACCGTTTTTAAACGAGATTCCTAACGGAAGACAGTTTAAAAGATCACTGATAGAGCTATCCAGTATAAATATAGTTAGTTTAGGTTTCCCCTGTAGTAACACTGGATCAATAAGAGATGATCCTTACTGGACCTCTAGGAAGAACAGTTTAGAACTGATACAGCTATCCAGTATAAATAAAGTTAGTTTAGTTTAGGTTTTCTCCTGTAGTAACACTGGATCAATAAGAGATGATCCTTACTGGACCTCTAGGAAGAACAGTTTAGAACTGATACAACTATCCAGTATAAATATAGTTAGTTTAGTTTAGGTTTCCTCCTGTAGTAACACTGGATCAATAAGAGATGATTTTTTCTTAGATCGAGCAGCTAAAAAGTTGGGGAGAATTGAGTGAGGAAGAGATTGGTTCAGTGGAGTTCATCAAATCACTTGAAAGCGTTTACGACAGTCAATCCTTTGAAAGTTGTCAAATACGAAGATCTCAAGAGAAGCAATCCAAATCGTAAGTAAGCTTCAGCCCAATTCAATTCAGCTTGGAGCTCAGTAGTCCATATCCCATCAACTGACATCGAATTTTGTTTAGTTTTGACAATCTCGGTCTTCATCTACGATCCTTGGAGCCAGGCTCATCGCACAAGAAAAATCCTCTCGTCAAAACAGGCAGCATTGCACCGCAATATCAAGCAGCTATGGTTCGTATAAATTTCGCGGCTTGTGTCCCATCGGGGTCTCCTCAACACCCCCCCTGATTTGCGTGATAACCGTTTCAGATTTCCCGAGTGTCGGGGGGATACGCTGAAGTTTTACTCGACTGGGTTATCGCTTGGGACACCGTTACCAGAGAACGAATCCTTCTGGAAATGCTTTGTCACGATGAAAAAGGTTTGTAGATCATGGAAGCTAAACAGAACGTATGTGTACAATACAACTGTGACTGGAAATAATGTAGGCATTTTAATATTTGATGCTTTATGATGCGTTCATTATTCGGAGTTATGGGTTGTATTGATTTTGTGAAATGTTGTGAAAATGCTCAGTGGTCTCGTTCATGTGCAACAATTATAGTTAAGATTAGGCTCCACGCTATTCTAGTTATCCTGTGTAAGATTAGTAATATTGGCATATCTCCCATCAGCTGGCTAACACCTTTATCAGGGGCCGGTTGTATCAAGCCCGTTTAGCTTAAACGGCAGATAAGTTCAAAAAAGAAATCACGTCTATCGCTTTATTCAACAAGCAAACAAAATGTCTTAACACAAATATACTGTTTACAACTACATATTCAGTGCATAATATTAAAGTTGACTCGTTCAAGAGAGATGTAAGAGTGTTATTTAATTTTGACCTATCCGCCGTTTAAGCTAAACGGGCTTGATACAACCGACCCCAGTACTAAACTATTCTCCTTACTCCTTATTTCAGAAATTCCGAGATTTCACGAATGTTTTACCACAATTTCTTCCTTTTAGCTTTTCACGACATGCGTTCTCTGGTGTCAGAGAGGTCGCTGTGGCAGTATTTGAAAGCTCACTGCGAAACAACTCGAATCGCTGAATGGATTGCAGTGACAGCCCAGGGGAATGGCTCGTCGGATCTTCCTCCGCTGACCACGGAAACCAGCAATGATCTTACGGAGTGTACGACTTTCGTTAAGGAACTGATCTTAGATGAACTCACAAGGTGAGGAGCGGATTTTGAGGATATTATGTCAAGTTTGAGGGAGTTGGAAGCACGAATTTCGTTTCATTTTGATGATTTGTTTCTCGCTAAACTTACCTCAGAAGTCGCGAGGGCAAAATATTCTCAAGAATGTATTCAATGTTTTCCTTTGCGAAGCTTGCGAAGATTGTAAATGTGACAGAGAAAAACAACTTACTTCTGTTATATTAGACAAACATTATCTCCTTTCTTCTTTTCCAAAATCTGCCGTTGGCTGTTAGCTCAAAGAAAACAACTTGTACATCAACTTTTCTTTTAGAAATGGATTATTTTCAAGCACTTTGCTTCAAGATTTCCCGCTGTTATTGCGTCATCTGTGTCGCGCAGACACGCTGTTCAGCAAGGTTCACCCGTTGCATGACGTCACGAGGACGTGTGGTCCGAGCCAAGGTCAGGAACCTGGGTCCGAGGCGGTGTGCTCGCCCCAGGCATTCCACAAGAAGATGGTCAAATATTGTTCCGACAATGACTTCACGAACTTGCTGTATTGCTATTTAGACTTCTACAGGTAAGAATGGACCGTTCCCCTATTAAACTAAATCCTGAACTAGGACAATTCGTCTGTTCTGAGGTATACAGCTGAAAAGAGCTTCCCAAAATTAGTAAATTGGGAGAGTTTGGTTGCAAAATGTTGAAAAATATGAAAAATATCTTCGTGCAAAGTCGACAAACAATTTTATATCATTTCATACAGCGATATTTTTCACACTTTGGGATGCTCTTTCCAGCTTTACTAATGAATATTACTAGTTTTAAACTTTTTTGAAGGAAGAATGTCTTTCCATTCATCCTATCTGGATCTTCTTATCCCACTTTATGTATCTGTGTGTGTTTTAGACTATGTCAGACCTCAGAGGAATGCGATGAGCTCACTTCCGAGGATATCCATCAAGACGTTGATATGTTGTTAAAGTTTCGTCTAGTTGGCATTTTTCCTTCGGGTGGGTTCCACAGAAGAGACAAACTTTTTCACAAATCATATTTCTATTTCTGATAAAATATACACCCTAGACAATGACAATGACTCTGCAATAGTTTCGAAATAATTGTCTTGCTTTTAAAACTCAAATCTTGGCCTACACTTTAAATAATATTTCTATCACTTGTTTTTTGTTCCAAAACCTTATATTTTCAGGTTCCTAAAAGGAAACTCATTTGCCATATCTTTTCTTGTATTTCATTCCAGACTCCTCCGTGATCAGTTCAATGTGTTTCTCGAACAGCAAAGCAATCTTTCGTTCGGATTCATCGTCTTTAATGGAGATGCTGAAGAACAAACGTCCGATCATGGCCATCGCGACTTGTCTGTACGCCCCAGTTGATCTCTCCAAGGTAAACAAAATTTCTGTGCTTATAGGAAAGGCTGAATTCTTTTCGCTTGAGTGTATTTTGTAGGTATATGTGTTCATATGCATGTTTGCAAAATTAGTCAATTACCATAGAAAAGTTGCGATATAGGTAAAAAAACTGTTTAGATGCAGTTGTTTATCAAACTGTTTAGCTGCAGTAATGGACAAGGACTAACTTTGGATTCCTTGTAAAGAAAGTATATATAATTTCACTTTTCGCCCGTAGATTTTGAATCCCAGCGCTCGGCATGAACTTGATGATATTTGGCAGTTGGATGAGAAAATTCTGAAGTCTTCTCTCAGTGGTTATCCAAGGTTGTCATCTGCCCTGTTTCCACGAGCTGCAAGTCATAATCTCAGAGATAACCCTGATATTACACTTTACGAACTGCTCCAGGTAATGAAGAAATACCTAAAAATAACAGTTTAGAATTGGCAGAGCTACCCAGTGTAAAGTTTCCATTTCTTTGTTTCAGGGAAATTGTTCATTTGAGGTTTCTGGATTGTTCACATGGCAGACGACAAACAATTTAGCGGCTAAAGGAGGTATACGGGTCGTTAAACGTCCTTCTTTCTGTCAGAACTGTTTCAATCATTGAATTTATTGACGATGTTAATAATATCATGGTGTGTTTTCATCGCTGCAGGTGCTGCGACAGATATGCCTCATTTCTCGCACAAACCACTTGTAGAAAAGTTTGGACACAAAGAAGTACTTACGTATGTCTACTTTCTCAAACATGGTCGTCCATCATTCGCGTATGCCAGCTTCATGTCAAAATATCAATACAGAAAATACATTCCACGAACAAGGTATGCTAAACTGCACTATCCTTTTTACTAGATAGCTCTATCAGTTCTAAACTGTTCTTCCTAGAGGTCCAGTAAAGATCATCTCTTATTGATCCAGTGTTACTACAGGAGGAAACCTAAACTAAACTAACTTTATTTATACTGGATAGCTCTATCAGTTCTAAACTGTTCTTCCTAGAGGTCCAGTAAGGATCATCTCTTATTGATCCAGTGTTACTACAGAAGGAAACCTAAACTAAACTAACTTTATTTATACTGGATAACTCTATCAGTTCTAAACTGTTCTTCTCAGAGGTCAAGTAAGGATCATCTCTTATTGATCCAGTGTTACTACAGGAGGAAACCTTAACTATAAGCAAACTTTATTTATGCTCAGTTAAAGTTGAATTGGCAGGAATTTGCATATTTCATTACTTTCTCCATATTTCATTACTTACTTTCATTACTTTAGTGTGTTGAGAGCAACTAAAAAAGCCTATCAACTGGCCATATCACATTTTGACAACAATCGCATCGTATACAGCTGTGTCGCGTTCCTAGAACTCCTCTCTGTCGATACGACGTTTCTCAGAATTGACGTGGCGGCCGCAAAACGCTGCTTACATCCGGGAAACAAAGAGGAGCTCCAGTGCACGACAATCGAGGAATTGAAGAATGCTATAGTCACAAAGTTATTGAAATCTGCTGTTGACATGCAGGAGAAACCTAAAGTGCTTGTTAGGATATTAGAATCATCCACCAAGAGTATTATTAGTAAAGAAGGTCTTGACCGGTTAGTTCTGCTTGAATTAGTCTCGTTTGAATTTTGTTGACTAGTCTAAACTGTTATTCCTATAGAGGTCCAGTAAGGATCATCGCTTATTGATCCAATAAACCTTCTTTGTTTCAGAACATCAAGAGAGGCAAGTGAATACTGGTCGTTACCAATCCTGTTCTGTCGTTCACACAACATGACTCTAACTCCTGTCTTTCTTATCGACTGTGCAAAAGCTGATAAATGGTTGACATTCCTGTGCCATGCCCAGGCGGTACAGTTTCCTAAGAATCAGGTATGATGATGATACATGTAACTCTTTCAGAGGATTTTGAAACCTTTGGCACGATTTCACATCAGACGAGTTTCTGAGTGAGAGCTTCGGTATATAGTCTTTGTTTATTTTCACCCCGTAGGTTCTGAGCATTGTACAACATCATTTTGAAAGTAACACTGTGAAGGAACATCTTCATCAAGCCTTGGTAAACATTGTCACGGTTAATATAAAGGACGGTGGAGCACCAAAGCGGAAAGCCAAGGTATCGTTTTAACCCTATTGTTGGTGAAGTATTTACAATACACACGAAAATTTGAAAGTCGCATTTCACCTTCAGACAGACATATGTCATCAATTGATAATCATGTAATCAATTGGTGGCTATGTGATCAATCGACGATTATGCGATCGATCGATGACTATGTGATCGATCGATTAGTATGTGATCGATCGATAACCGTGTGATCAATCGATTATATTGTCATCAATTTATGACTATGTGATCAATTTATGACTATGTAATCGATCGATGACTATTTGATCAAGCAATGATGATCACTGTTCTAAGAGGTAATCGTTTTTTATCTTATTGGTGAAGACTCCAACAACCAGAAGGAACGTTCGTTCCCAGTATTTGTCGCGTGTTATGGGCGCCTCGCCCGTCGGAAAGTCTGAGATATCTGCGAAGTCTCCGGAGAAATTCGAAACACCAACGACCGTTGCCGAAGCCGAAGAGGCAACGACGGAACTTGATTTTGGAATGGAGAACGATTTAAAATTGGATGAAGAAGATGTCTCGGAGGATGAACATGACTTGGAGATGAAAAATGAAGTGAAAGAAGTGAAAGGTAAGTGGAAACAGACAGTTTGAAGTGAAGGGAAATCTACTCACATGAGTTCTGTACAACATCAGATCACTTTAAGGTAGCTCTCATTCAAGAACATGTACCACCTTCGCATGATCTAACCATGCTTAACTCAGTCAACTGAGAGAGAACACAGGAGAGACTTAACTCTACTCACATGAGTTCTGTACAACATCAGATCACTTTAAGGTAGCTCTCGTTCAAGATGCATTCTGTGTTTAGTTACAGATCTGAATCCAGAAACGTCACCAGATAATCTATTCGATGTTTTGTCTTTGTGTAATGACGTCAATGAACCATGGCGAGCCATTCTTGCTCATTCCATCATTTTGAGAAGACCACTCTTTGCTGTCCTTTCCGCGTGTGATATAAATAAAGTAAGCATTACTGTAGAAAAATAAACTAAAGCACTATCTGCTCTAAACTGCTTTTCCTAGAGGTCCAGTTAGGATCATCTCTTATTGATCCAATGTTACTGCAGGAGGAAACCTAAACTAAACTAACTTTATTTATACTGGATAACTCTATCAGTTCTAAACTGTTCTTCCTATAGATCCAGCAAGGATCATCTCTTTTTGATCCAGTGTTACTACAGAAGGAAACCTAAACCAAATTATCTTGTGAATTATGAGCTTTATGAATTCCTTTCCAATATTCCCCAGGAGGTAAAGTTGGTAGACTGTATGTGCGCATGGCTTTGTTCCGTTCACAATAAAGAAACTCTCCATCCAGTATTGGACGACATAACAGGTGCTTAACATCCTCTACTTAGATTTGATTCGTTCAACTCGCTCTCTTAACCTCGTTACTAGGCGAGAAGAACACCTCTTCAGTGCTACTAAATTCCACTCTGTGGAAACCCCAATTCTGCAAAGTTACCCTAAGTCTTAGCTTACCTCAATTTTTTGTCGCTTGTTTAGATATTCAATGGCACAAATGGACCTTGGACAATCTTCTCGCTCTGATCTTAACCATTTCAAAATACGGCTTGGAATACGTTCACAGTTTGACAAGAGTCTTTTATCTGTTTGACCCCGTGAGTACTAAATATTTTGACATCAAAGTCATTTCTTTCACGTGTACTGATTTCGTTGTCAATTTGTTTCCCCCCAGGACAATATGTTGCTTCCGTTCATGCGATTCTGCGAGGCTTTTTTAATTCACATGGACTTTGTTGCCGCTGGTACTCAGCTGTCTGACTTTGTTGTACAACATAAATCAGTATGTATTTTTCATCCTTTATTGATCCAGTGTTACTACAGGAGGAAACCTAAACTAAAATAAGATCATTATATTTTGTAGGTCTCTGTGAATGACAGTCTTCAACGTCAGATGGTTATTGGTGATTTATCGTGGTGCGAACGAGTGTCGAATGGTGTTGTGCAGAACATGCTGAGATCTTGTGAAACTATGTTTATGCAAGTACAACTATTGAGATTGTTGTGTCATAGTAAATTTGGAATTGGATTTACTATCATGGGCAAGTGTCTTGTTTTCCCTTATAAGATCCAGAGATCAGAATGTTTTGTTGTCTTTTCAATGTTTTCAAATCTCTTTGTAAACACTGAACTTATCACCCAAATTTTCTATAATGTAGTTCCAGACTTCAAGAAACTCTACATGATCAGTCAAATACTGGACGAAGGCTTGGTCTTTGCTCAGTGTTTAGATCTGACATCAGACGAGGCGGAGAGGTCGAGGGTTATGGAGGAGTTGATTCAACGGAAACAATTTTCTTCGGCGCGGCAGTATGGAACCCTCCTGGGAATATCTTGTGACAAAGTCAGCGTAATGCAGGTATGTCGATGATGAATCTCTGATGACTAAAGCTGTTCAGTGTGAGTAAAGTTATTTTAGTTTAGGTTTCCTCCTGTAGTAACACTGGATCAATACGAGATGATCCTTACTGGACCTCTAGGAAGAACAGTTTAGAAGTGATAGAGCTATCCAGTATAAATAAAGTTAGTTTAGTTTAGGTTTCCTCCTGTAGTAACACTGGATCAATAAGAGGTGATCCTTACTAGACCTCTAGGAAGAACAGTTTAGAACTGATAGAGCTATCCAGTATAAATAAAGTTAGTTTAGTTTAGGTTTCCTTCTGTAGTAACACTGGATCAATAAGAGATGATCCTTACTGGACCTCTTGGAAGAGAGCAGAAACTGATGAGCTATCCAGTATAAATAAAGTTAGTTTAGTTTAGGTTTCCTTCTGTAGTAACACTGGATCAATAAGAGATGATCCTTACTGGACCTCTTGGAAGAAGAGTTCAGAACTGATAGAACTATCCAGTATAAATAAAGTTAGTTTTGGTAGTTAGGTTTCCCCTGTAGTAACATGGATCAATAAGAGATGATCCTTACTGGACCTCTAGGAAGAACAGTTAAGATCTGGTTAGATCTATCCAGTATAAATAAAGTTAGTTTAGTTTAGGTTTCCTCCAGTAGTAACACTGGATCAGCCAGTAATTCTCTCAAAGTCTTTGTTATCTTTTATTTTTCAAGATTATTAATAAAAAGGAAAATATCCAAGATTCTCGACTCTGGGCAAATGAAGGCGATCGCATTGAATTCTGGCAGAGTTGTGATCGATACTTTGAGGAGCAAGGGTGTACTACTGCTGGCCAATTCTTTGAGGTGACTGCATACTCACCCAGTGCATGTGGTGTGACTTCGTTCATTACTAATCCTTACAATGAGACACGACGCTTGTGTGCACAAAATCCAATTTAACTATATACATCTTATGTTTTCAGGACGAGGCTGGCGCGAAGACTGTGTCCAACCGTGAGAAAGCCACGCTGCTCTGTCTGGCGTTGAGATGGTTTTCTGGGAAACGCTTGCAAGGCAAAGCTGCGACCAAGTCCCCAGATGATCTGGCAAATTTGGAGAGCGAGATGTGGCTGTGTGTTATCAACGATAGAATATATTCCACCGATGAGGCGAAGCTGAAGTCCTCCATTAAAAAGTTCACTTGTTGTGAAAGTAATTCTGACTTGGTTCAGCAACGTATTGTGGCGGTAGATCAAGGTTTTGCTCCTCTTATCAAAGATGAAAAGGTGATTACACCAATGATTTGCCATTGTTTTTTCATCGTTGAAATCTCGCTGTTCTCCATGTCATCCAGTTGTTATCCAGAGATCAGAATATTCCATTGTCTTTTCATTGTTACAATCTCGCTCTTCTCCATGTCATCCAGTTTTGATCCAGAGATCAGAATCTTCCATTGTCTTTTGTCATCCAGTTATGATCCAGAGATCAGAATGTTCCATTGTCTTTTCATTGTTAAAATATCACTGTCATCTAGAGATCAGAATATTCCATTGACTTTTCATTGTTTTAAAATTCTGCTGTAGTAATTGGCCTTACCCCATCTTACCTTGATCAACTTCTGTTAAGATGCGTATGGTGTTGAAAGATATTCTTGGCGAACTACTGGACGATGGTCAGATCACACAAGCACGCAGAATAGCTCAACTTTTTGGTGTTTCGACTACAGATCTAGATATCGTACTGGTAAGCAAAATATTTCGCAATTTATATATTGCAAAAGCAGTTTCACCTGACAAAATGCTGTGTTTGCAATCCATCTAGACCTGCATATTTCTCGCACAAGAAATCCTCAATCCTGATTCATTGGACGCAGAGATGAAAGCTTTGTTTGTCCACCAGGACAAGCCAACTCTCTCAAATAGCTTGAGGTCAAGCGGGGATGATTTTCTGGGCAGTTTCAGCCAGAGTATACAGTCGAGTCAATCAGATTCGAGTGCGTCTCAAGAGGGAATCGCCTCCTGGACTGTCATCAGTGATAATCTTGCTGCCATGAAGAGTCTAGCCAGGTCTTGCAAGTTTGGAAAGATTTGTTGCGCGAGAGTTATTGTTGCTTATAAAATTTGCCAAGTAAGAGAAGCGTTTTGGGCTTGTTTTTCTAAACTAATTATCGAAGAGAATTGCCCTATCAATTTTAAACTGTTCTTCCTAGAGATCCAGTAAGGATCATCTCTTATTGATCCAGTGTTACTGCAGGAGGAAACCTAAACTAAACTAACTTTATTTACACTGGATAGCTCTATCAGTTCTAAACTGTTCTTCCTATAGGTCTCGTTAATCTTTCTTCTAATTTTTAGACATTGGTGCTTGCTTTTGATAAAGTGGTTTGCTCCGATCCTGTTGAAATACTATGTAAATTGCTCGAATCTGCTGTGGACCATCGCTTTCAGCTTGCCTCTCAATATATAAAAAAATTCAACTTGGATTCTACGATGGTAATGCCAGTATCCCTAGGACACAATGGTGATTTCTTATAATGATAATAATAATGATGGATTTTTCACATTGTATTTGTTTCAGATCGCAAGGTTTGTCGCCAAATCGATTACAATGTCACTGAATGTATATACAGGTTCAGGTAAGGGCAGACGTATGCTTCACCAAGTTTTAATCTATTGTCCCCGGAGATTTGGAAGGGATTTGCCCTATCAGTTTAGTCCCTGAAGCACCTCATAAGATATTGTGGTGATATATGGCATAGAGTCAAACTGGAAGCACCACCTTCACCACAACCTGACCTGAGGTGAAATCATCATCAAATTCTCAAGTTATGTTTTTCACAACACCTTTTCGATTGTCAGTGATAAAATAAACTGGAATGTATTTCGTTTCAGATACTAAAGGAGAGAAGGTTTTCATTTTCAATCCTACTTCAAAAGATGACATGAACGGTGTTACTGGTCTAGCTGAAGACAAACTCGTTCTTGGTGGATTTTTGTTTGACGAAGCTGTGCTTTTTGCTAAGAACCGTAAACATCACAAAGCGACCTCATCTGGTTAGTATAAAGCTGAAAATAATACGTCAAATAGAATATTGCAAAGCAGTAGGTGCTAGACTAGTGTCTATAGGTTCAAGAACTGTCAGCATGGCTGGAAAGAGGTTACAAAAGCCAGCTTCTTTTATCATTTTCATTCTATCGTGTATTTCAGCTCTAGCAATGGAGGTGGAACTGTTGATAAACGCACACAATTGTCAAACCATGGCTTGCAACACTGAGGGAATATCGTCCATCCTAAAGTTGGCTCAGTTATGTACACATGCTCTTGCTGAAGGCCACGAATACCAACTAATGGTAAAATAACCTTAATTTCAAATGGAGATATGCATATCATCGTGGTGTTCTGATAAAGCCAACGTTTTAAGAGCTACTTTATACGTGACAGATCTTTGAACTCTTCATTTGTAAATACTTGTGAATAACAAAATTCAGTCCACTGATTTTAATATCAAATCAGCTGTAATCCACTTCGAAAAGCATCACTATATTTTCCTAAGTATTTCGGATTCCTTCTGCTGTAAGACTGGACTAATAGGACAAGACCCTAACTGGAGTTTTTTAAAATCTTTTCAGGTTCGTCTTCTCACAGGAATTGGGAGATTCTCTGAGATGACGTATATTTTCCAGACGTTAATGGATCATCATCATTTTGAATTGTTGATCAAGAAAGGTGTTGATAATGTGGGTAGCCTTGTGGTGATTTGGACCTTAGAAATACCTTCGACTGCTGAACACTAACCCTTGCAGTAAACCCTGCTGTAATTTATTTTTTTCCATGACTTTTTAGGAGAGCAAACTAAAGATTGCCTTGCTCAAGTACTTGGATAAACATTACTTTGACGACACAGAAAAACATCGCTTAGTTGCGATTCGTTTCAACATGTATCGTGAAGTGGCAGTCAGCTTGAAATCCTCAGCTGATTCTCAAGTAAACAAGCTTGTTAGAAAAGGTTTAGGTAGGTTCAGTCAAGGAACATTTAAAACTGACATGGAGCAAGTTTAGTTTAGGTTTCCTCCTGTAGTATCACTGGATCAACAAGAGATGATCCTTACTGGATCTCTAGGAAGAACAGTTTAGAACTGATAGAGCTATCCAGTATAAATAAAGTTAATTTAGTTTAAGCTTCCTGTTATTCTTTTTATGAAGGGCCAAATAACGAAGTTCGTACTCAACTTGTTGCCATCGCTCAGACGTACACTTATGCTATGGAAAATTTCAAAGAGGTAAATGTAATAATACTAGCCTGACTAGTCTAAATAATTACTGCTTTGCAATGTTTTATTCAGTGTTTCTCTTTCAACCTTCCTCAATGTCAGTTGTTCATTGCAGTACTGCTAGTCTGACTGAGTGTTGCCTGTCGTTACTAATACTAGCCTGACTAGTCTAGTACTTACTGCTTTGCAATGTTTCATTCAGTGTTTCTCTTTCAACCTTCCTCAATGTCGTTGATCAGAGTAGTACTGCTTGCTAGTGACTGAGGGCTGAATGTTTCTATTAATACAAGCCATTCTTTTCAGGAAGGATGTTTACTTCAAGCTCTGGAATGCGCTAAGAAACACCGTCTAGTTGAGCTGCAGAAACATCTTCTTCCAACGGGAATGGTCATTTTGGACTTGAATGATAAGTCTCTCGCAGAGTTTCTGGCAAAATACAACAACTTTTTCGAGGCGTACATCGTTGCTGATGCATACAACAAACGCTCGGGGGATGTTTGGGTCGAGCCACTTTTCAATCATGTTATTCTACGAGGTGATTTTAGGTATCTCGATGAAATCTGTAGCGTTTTCCAAATTTCGAACGCTATTTTGTCTGAGTTGGTTCAAAGGTAAGGATTTTGTTGGCATTTGTCAATGTGACACGTTAAATAGATCTAAACTTTCTTTATTTATAGACTGGATAACTCTATCAGTTCTAAACTGTTCTTCCTAGAGGTCCAGTAAGGATCATCTTTTATTGATCCAGTGTTACTACAGGAGGAAACCTAAACTAAACTAACTTTATTTATACTGGATAGCTCTATCAGTTCTAAACTGTTCTTCCTAGAGGTCCAGTAAGGATCATCTCTTATTGATCCAGTGTTACTACAGGAGGAAACCTAAACTAAACTAACTTTATTTATACTGGATAGCTCTATCAGTTCTAAACTGTCCTTCCTAGAGGTCCAGTAAGGATCATCTCTTATTGATCCAGTGTTACTACAGGAGGAAACCTAAACTAAACTAACTTTATTTATACTGGATAGCTCTATCAGTTCTAAACTGTTCTTCCTAGAGGTCCAGTAAGGATCATCTCTTATTGATCCAGTGTTACTACAGGAGGAAACCTAAACTAAACTAACTTTATTTATACTGGATAGCTCTATCAGTTCTAAACTGTTCTTCCCAGAGGTCCAGTAAGGATCATCTTTTATTGATCCAGTGTTACTACAGGAAGAAACCTAAACTAAACTAACTTTATTTATACTAGATGGCTGATGGCCCTATCAGTTCTAAACTGTTTCATATTGTTAGATATCGCTCAGAGTTGCAACGGAATACAACGGCCATCCTGAACATGAAGAAAGTGATGCATTGTGAGAAAGACATAATATGCAGGTATAAAATTGCTGTTGAACTCGGGTATAAAGACGAGGTAGACGCCATACGGCAGAGCGAGGCTGGGGCCTTGGTACGAGATACTTGTGAATTAAATCCGGGCCCGCGTTCCTCTAATGGATGAGTACTTCACCAACAGAGAGACATGAAGTACCCACGAATGATGAACACCATTCACTGGCAATAAATAATCACATAAAGTTTTTATATTTTATTAGAAATAATTTATTATTAATTTGAATAATAATATTGACTGCTAATTACGAATTCGGGCGAATAAATTTGTGTGTAAATAAATTTGCCAATTTAAATATATTTATAAATGTGAGATGAAACAAATTAAAGGTTTGTCAATCTTAAACTATTTTAAATATTGAATTTTCAGTTTAATTTGCTTTTTAAAAACAGAATTATTGCAGGATATTTTGCAGTGAAGTCTTTTCGTCACGTAGAGATATCTGTCAACTCTTGACGTTTTTAGCCTGCCCACCATGAATTGTGATTAACTGTTTATCTTTAACAAAAAAATTTCACACATTTGAACTATGAATAATAAGCAAAAAGTGTGCTAAACAAACATTCAGGCGTGGTAAACTTAATCATGTTGAAAGCTTGCCTTGAAACTTGCACGTTGCAATTTTCATGCTTGTTTTCGATCGATAGAGCCGGTATCATACGTGCATTAGCATATTTTTTTGTCCGAAGGTCATTAGTTCAATCTTTTTGTCGTGTTTTTGTGTTTAAGGTTAAATTGGATTTAAATTTTGAATGTGGAGAAATAAGTCAAAAAACGTAAACGTAATGACTAATGTCAACAATCCCTCGAAATAGCTAAATTCACGGAGTATAGCTACTTAAAAGTTATGTAAATGATACTAAAAGATGTCACAGGATCTTCCGGCTTAAAAAATCAGTTTTAAATGCCTTCGAAGCAGGAAAACTTTTATTTGTTCTCATTTTGTTTGAAATGCATAAACTTTGTGCAAGAAATGCGTGTATATAGAAAGTATAGGAAATCTACAAACAGAATTGAGTTAAGGTACGTGTGGGTAACTATCAGGCTCGCCAGGGCCTGCCCTATTTACTTCAATATTGTGTTTATATGTTTTGTTTTGCATGTGTCACGAGGTGAAATGATGTCCCCGTTGCGTCGGCCGGTAATTTTAATACAAACCATGCTTGACTTCCTTTTATTTGCTTGCACGCAGTCGTTAAAGTGTGATTGTATTTCGTTTAACAACAAACAGAGGTGAAATCCATCTTACTATGTAATCATTTCGTTTCGAATATGGACTCCGTAATCTTAAATCCGCAGAACAGTCCAAAAGGTAAATATTTATATAATTAATATAAACGTATAACGCTGGTGTGGACAAAACAATAAATCGTTTTGACCTCGGCAAAGCCACGCTTGAACCTTGAGCCTTGAGGTCAAACGACAATAAATACATAATACATCTATATTATAACTAACGCGAAACGTCAACCTCACAAAATTAGCGGTGTGGTTGGAATAACTTCAATGTTCTGCCATTTTGTGTTCGCACTCAGTCCTATCACGGTTTATTTAACCGTGGTCCTATTGACCTTTTTGCTGTTGTCAGCGTATAAAAAGTGTTTGTAGATATTTGCTGTTGACTTTTAGGCAAACTTTAAGACTTTGAATCGCAGTTAGGCTTCAGATTTTGGGCATAAAAAGCTGAAGGTAAACCGTAAACCTATAGCGTTATCACTTATGATAAATGCATGAATGAACTGATCGAGAACTTTGCCACTGTCTGGTTTGCATGTGAAATCGTGTACTGCATGAATGAAAATAACCGCACTATTGAAAATAACCGCACTATGAGGCCTGGATCATTTGGCGTTTTGCCTCGAAGCCGAAGGCGAAGGTTAACGTCGAAATCCATATTCAAAACCTTCCAAGAATTTGACGAAACATTTTCATCGTGTTTTTACATATTATAATTTATGCTCTTCCAGTCTTGAGCTCCTAACGTGAATGTGTGTCAGACCCTGCTGTTGACATCGGTTCCTCTTATCCGGCGGGTATCATTAAAAAAAAGTCATCCATGCAGCGGCGTGTGCTTTGAATAACTTTAAGGCTGTGTTACACTATGCAACTTTCCTTGCAACTTGCAATGCAATTCTACTTCTGAGCAATCTAAAGTTGGCAAATACGAACATTTCTGACGATCTGCCAACGTTTTCTTACCATTTCGAACACTGGTCACAAATTAACATCCCTCAAAATTATAATTGCCGTTTCAAGGAAAATTGCAGAATGTATATAACAGGTCCTTTAGCTATTTTCTCTACTATGAACGTTGGACCACACGTTTGAGATATCTGTCGCTTACTGTAAATAACCTGAAAATATACACTAGATGACAATATTTGAGATAGCTTTATGACCCTATATCGAGTTGTTCCGATCGCTCCAATATTTTTGACACAATCCAGCAATTTCCAGCACTTGAAAATAACTGCGTTCAAAAACGAACGCTTGTCAAGTTGTCAACATACACTAACAATATTTACACTGATTTCTTTTATGACAGATAAAATGGAGGCGACAACAGGGACGCCATTGCTTGAATTAAAAAATTTAAACGGAGAAACTTCGATCAATAATCCACATTTGATGAAGTTCAGAAAATCCGTGGTTATAAATCCATTGATAAGGTACAGTATAGCGCTGTCTTTCCATTTTGTATTGTACAAACGCGAAACTAATTTTACCCTTCAAAAGCCCTGTTGTACAAAAGCTGGGTTAAACTGCCCACCATGGTTTTTCCAACCCTCTGTAAGGATGCTCATTAGTGAACGGAAACCATAGGCATAGTACGGAAACCAAACACGCAATTCTACATCAGAAATACGAAAATTTAATTGCGAGTTTTGAAGCGAGTTGAAGACCCGTGTGCACTTGCGATTTATGATGTGCGATTTTATTGGCGACTTTTGATAGATGTGAACGAGTTACGAGGAATAATTTACGAATGTTCTGGGGCGGGCTGGATGAAAATTTTATTGTTCGAAAAGCAATAACATTTCCTTTTTGGAACCAACAATTATTAAAGAGGTTCCTCGATTTCGGAATACTCAAAGTAACAGCAAACAACGGGTGATTTTAAAGCGATTGAAAAAACCACTATCCGTTGGATAGCGCTAACCGGCTTTCATACAACCGTCCCAAGATGTGTACGAGTTCCTATTTTAACATCCGTAACTAATTCACTCGTTCATAATTATCAAAAGAAGAAAAACGCTTGTGTAAGTCACGAGCCTTAAAAAGTCTTTTCCTGGTTTAGAGCGCTGTTCATTTCACATAGTTACAAATTACCCAGTCCTGGGCGATAGAAGTTGTTGATGAATGGTCTCAACGTGTCATACGAGTACTGTTATTATTGATATTTATTTTGTTCGCTGTCTTTTCTAGGGCTGTTCGACGTGGGTTACGCACGGCGGAGAAATTCCTGAGCGACCAAAAAGACATCGAGAAATTGCAAATTACAGACGCAGATATTACTGGGAGAAATATCTTTCATCTTAGCGTTCAAAGAGAAGAACTCCTCGAATTTCTTTTGGACAAATTTAAAAAGGTTTGCATGAGCATCAATCCTTTTATGGCGAGCTTTAAATTATTTTTTCTACTTAAGGTGTGCATACATGGTCTATAGGGAATAGCTCGTTCAAGCTTTCGTATATTCTGTTATTTCTGTTTATTTAAATCATAATGCACAAGCCCAGTTGCATGGCACTGGCTATAATCGACCAATTCTTGAAAATATTGCATTCACAGGGTGAAGGGTGAAAAAGGGTGAAACGTAGCTTATTTTGAGCTTTTAGACCGCTTCGTCATATGTAAATATATCACGGGCCATGATATAAAAACATTTATCCAACGATGACAGTAATCTGCATCATATATTTAATATTTGCCTGGATTAATTACACATTTTCTGATTTAGTTCTTTCTTCAAACTATCATGTATAAACAGACAGGTATAGAGCTATAATACGAGCCTCGAAGCATTAATCATAGCGATCATATTTTGTGAAACAAATTGTTTCTTTTCTAAAGCATGAAAATTTAATCCAAGCACTTCACGGAGAAGATATGAATGGACACACTCCAGCTCATATTGCGGTCCTTCATAACGAAAGAAAGGTAAACAACAAAACAGAAGAATATTGATTAGTCGTTTTCCGGCGAACTCGACCATGGTCGAATTAGTCGTTTTCCGGCGAACTCGACCATGGTCGAATTAGTCGTTTTCCGGCGAACTCGACCATGGTCGAATTAGTCGTTTTCCGGCGAACTCGACCATGGTCGAATTAGTCGTTTTCCGGCGAATTCGACCATGGTCGAATTAGTCGTTTTCCGGCGAACTCGACCAATGGTCGAATTAGTCGTTTTCCGGCGAACTCGACCATGGTCAAATTAGTCGTTTTCCGGCGAACTCGACCATGGTCGAATTAGTCGTTTTCCGGCGAACTTGACCATGGTCAAGTTAGTCGTTTTCCGGCGAAGTCGACCATGGTCGAATTAGTCGTTTTCCGGCGAACTCGACCATGGTCGAATTAGTCGTTTTCCGGCGAACTCAACCATGGTCGAATTAGTCGTTTTCCGGCGAACTCGACCATGGTCGAATTAGTCGTTTTCCGGCGAACTCGACCATGGTCGAGTTAGTCGTTTTCCGGCGAACTCGACCATGGTCGAGTTAGTCGTTTTCCGGCGAACTCGACCATGGTCGAGTTAGTCGTTTTCCGGCGAACTCGACCATGGTCGAGTTAGTCGTTTTCCGGCGAACTCGACCATGGTCGAGTTAGTCGTTTTCCGGCAACTCGACCATGGTCGAATTAGTCGTTTTCCGGCGAACTCGACCATGGTCGAATTAGTCGTTTTCCGGCGAACTCGACCATGGTCGAATTAGTCGTTTTCCGGCGAACTCGACCATGGTCGAGTTAGTCGTTTTCCGGCGAACTCGACCATGGTCGAATTAGTCGTTTTCCGGCGAACTCGACCATGGTCGAGTTAGTCGTTTTCGGGAACTCGACCATGGTCGAGTTAGTCGTTTTCCGGCGAACTCGACCATGGTCGAGTTAGTCGTTTTCCGGCAAACTCGACCATGGTCGAATTAGTCGTTTTCCGGCGAACTCGACCATGGTCGAATTAGTCGTTTTCCGGCGAACTCGACCATGGTCGAGTTAGTCGTTTTCGGCGAACTCGACCATGGTCGAGTTAGTCGTTTTCCGGCGAACTCGACCATGGTCGAGTTAGTCGTTTTCCGGCGAACTCGACCGTGGTCGAGTTAGTCGTTTTCCGGCGAACTCGACCATGGTCGAGTTAGTCGTTTTCCGGCAACTCGACCATGGTCGAATTAGTCGTTTTCCGGCGAACTCGACCATGGTCGAATTAGTCGTTTTCCGGCGAACTCGACCATGGTCGAATTAGTCGTTTTCCGGCGAACTCGACCATGGTCGAGTTAGTCGTTTTCCGGCGAACTCGACCATGGTCGAATTAGTCGTTTTCCGGCGAACTCGACCATGGTCGAGTTAGTCGTTTTCGGGCAACTCGACCATGGTCGAGTTAGTCGTTTTCCGGCGAACTCGACCATGGTCGAGTTAGTCGTTTTCCGGCAACTGACCATGGTCGAATTAGTCGTTTTCCGGCGAACTCGACCATGGTCGAATTAGTCGTTTTCCGGCGAACTCGACCATGGTCGAATTAGTCGTTTTCCGGCGAACTCGACCATGGTCGAATTAGTCGTTTTCCGGCAACTCGACCATGGTCGAATTAGTCGTTTTCCGGCGAACTCGACCATGGTCGAATTAGTCGTTTTCCGGCGAACTCGACCATGGTCGAGTTAGTCGTTTTCCGGCAACTCGACCATGGTCGAATTAGTCGTTTTCCGGCGAACTCGACCATGGTCGAATTAGTCGTTTTCCGGCGAACTCGACCATGGTCGAATTAGTCGTTTTCCGGCAACTCGACCATGGTCGAATTAGTCGTTTTCCGGCGAACTCGACCATGGTCGAATTAGTCGTTTTCCGGCGAACTCGACCATGGTCGAATTAGTCGTTTTCCGGCAAACTCGACCATGGTCGAATTAGTCGTTTTCCGGCGAACTCGACCATGGTCGAATTAGTCGTTTTCCGGCGAACTCGACCATGGTGGAATTAGTCGTTTTCCGACGAACTCGACCATGGTCGAATTAGTCGTTTTCCGGCGAACTCGACCATGGTCGAGTTAGTCGTTTTCCGGCGAACTCGACCATGGTCGAGTTAGTCGTTTTCCGGCGAACTCGACCGTGGTCGAGTTAGTCGTTTTCCGGCGAACTCGACCATGGTCGAATTAGTCGTTTTCCGGCGAACTCGACCATGGTCGAATTAGTCGTTTTCCGGCGAACTCGACCATGGTCGAATTAGTCGTTTTCCGGCGAACTCGACCATGGTCGAATTAGTCGTTTTCCGGCGAACTCGACCATGGTCGAATTAGTCGTTTTCCGGCGAACTCGACCATGGTCGAGTTAGTCGTTTTCCGGCAACTCGACCATGGTCGAATTAGTCGTTTTCCGGCGAACTCGACCATGGTCGAATTAGTCGTTTTCCGGCGAACTCGACCATGGTCGAATTAGTCGTTTTCCGGCAACTCGACCATGGTCGAATTAGTCGTTTTCCGGCGAACTCGACCATGGTCGAATTAGTCGTTTTCCGGCGAACTCGACCATGGTGGAATTAGTCGTTTCCGACGAACTCGACCATGGTCGAATTAGTCGTTTTCCGGCGAACTCGACCATGGTCGAGTTAGTCGTTTTCCGGCGAACTCGACCATGGTCGAGTTAGTCGTTTTCCGGCGAACTCGACCGTGGTCGAGTTAGTCGTTTTCCGGCGAACTCGACCATGGTCGAGTTAGTCGTTTTCCGGCAAACTCGACCATGGTCGAATTAGTCGTTTTCCGGCGAACTCGACCATGGTCGAATTAGTCGTTTTCCGGCAAACTCGACCATGGTCGAATTAGTCGTTTTCCGGCGAACTCGACCATGGTTGAATTAGTCGTTTTCCGGCGAACTCGACCATGGTCGAGTTAGTCGTTTTCCGGCAAACTGGACCATGGTCGAATTAGTCGTTTTCCGGCGAACTCGACCATGGTCGAATTAGTCGTTTTCCGGCGAACTCAACCATGGTCGAATTAGTCGTTTTCCGGCGAACTCGACCATGGTCGAATTAGTCGTTTTCCGGCAAACTCGACCATGGTCGAATTAGTCGTTTTCCGGCGAACTCGACCATGGTCGAATTAGTCGTTTTCCGGCGAACTCGACCATGGTCGAGTTAGTCGTTTTCGGGCAAACTCGACCATGGTCGAGTTAGTCGTTTTCCGGCGAACTCGACCACGGTCGAGTTAGTCGTCTTCCGGCGAATTGGACCATAGTCGAATTAGTCGTTTTCTGGCGAACTCGGCCATGGTCGAATTAGTCGTTTTCTGGTGAACTCGACCATGGTCGAATTAGTCGTTTTCCGGCGAACTCGACCATGGTCGAATTAGTCGTTTTCCGGCCAACTCGACCATGGTTGAATTAGTCGTTTTCCGGCCAACTCGACCATGGTCGACTACATCTGATTGATAGATGACGTCATTTTGACAGTATATAAGGAACCGAGTTTCAAAGTCAGATCACCCCTGATGAAGACACTAGACCGGAGTGTCGAAACGTTGGGTCGTAAAAGTTAATCTTTGTGTGGTGATTACTTTCATTTATTAAAACCAGAGTAGCGATAATTACGATGGATTATATACCTGGTTGCCGTGAACTCATTAACCTTAATGTTTTCTGGTTTGTACGAATTCAGAAAAGATGAAATTTATATATTTCAGAGCATGCACATGTTGGCCGAGGTGGATAAAAATGTCTACACGATTCGCAGTTCGAAAACGGGACAAACCTTAATCCATTGCGCCGTGGAATCTTGCAATTTATACATTGTTCAAGATATCTTAGAAACAAGGCCCGATGCGTTGTATGATAAAGATATGGACGGAGAATCCCCACAGCATTACGCAGCCGCCTTGGAGGAGTACTTTTTGTTGGAGTACCTTCTGTCTCAAGGAGCTGATATTTTTGAAACGTATGTAAATGCATGTAAACGTTAGTAAGTGCATGTAAACGTATGTAAATGCATGTAAACGTTAGTAAGTGCATGTAAACGTATGTAAATGCATGTAAACGTTAGTAAGTGCATGTAAACGTATGTAAATCAGGTTTGTCCAACCGCAGTTGTGTATGTGTAAGGTTGCTTTATCTTCACATAGAGTCTCTGCCTACAATTGAATTAGAAAATAGTGCATGGGAAATAGACAAAATACAAAATGCCTTGAAAGAAATTTAGTTTAGCAAGATGCAAGAGAAAACATACTTCAAAAAACGTCTTGAAACGTCTGAACTTTAAAACAAGCCAACAGTTACAGTGTAAATCCAATATTTGGCCTAAAACGAGTAGTCTTTTGACACTATATGAATCACACAGAATGAAAACTGTAAACTTGTTTGTTGTCTTCTTTTAAAGCCCAAATCTCTGGTTCACAAAATATTGTTTGTTCTTCGAAGTATATTCCTCTTGTATTTTATTAAATTATCTGCTCGTAATAATTTGGTTTCGGTGATAGACAAACAGGTGTCTTTCTCTCTAGTGACAAAAATGAATCCACACCACTTCACTTTGCGGCAGCAGCCGGCTCAATAGCTAACGTCAAGCTTCTGGTTCTCGATGAAGAGGATCTCTCAAGATCCGAGGATAATTTAGGAAGGTCAGCTCTACACATCGCCTGTATGAAAGGCAATCGAAATATTGTCGCATTTCTTCTTGAGAATGGCGCTGACCCGCTGGTGAAAGAAAAAGATGGTTTAAACTGTTTGGAACTTGCTGTAGCAAATAAACAAGATGGTGTCGTTAAAGAGTTGCTGCTTAGTAACTATTGGAGAGAAGTAAGTATCGATCATTATCGATCATCATCATAATGATCGATATAATCAATTATCGTCATTGATAATATGTTATTCATCATTGTCATACTCGAACATCAATTATCATCATTGTTATTGATCATCGATAATCAATTATCCATCATTGTAATAGTCGATAATTATCGATCAATTATCGATCACACATCAATTCAAACAAGGGATTCCATAATTTACTAAAGCAACTTGCAACTTTCAGCTGATCGAGGCATGGAAAGGTGGAGCAAAGAGATGTTTTGCTCACCTCGTAGATAAAATGCCAGATAACGCTAAGATCTTGTTGGATCGCTGTGTCGTCAAGAGCGATGATAAACGTCACTCTCTCGACTACAATATCACATACGACTTCTTCTTATTAGAACCGACAGGTATGAATTTTCTATACAGCTGATATCAAGTTCCTTTTGTTGTGACGCTCACGCTGGATCAATAAGAAGAGATGATCCTTACTGGACCTCTAGGAAGAACAGTTTAGAACTGATAGAACTATCCAGTATAAATAAAGTTAGTTTAGTTTAGGTTTCCTCCTGTAGTAACACTGGATCAATAAGAGATGATCCTTACTGGACCTCTAGGAAGAACAGTTTAGAACTGATAGAGCTATCCAGTATAAATAAAGTTAGTTTAGTTTAGGTTTCCTCCTGTAGTAACACTAGATCAATAAGAGATGATCCTTACTGGACCTCTAGGAAGAACAGTTTAGAACTGATAGAACTATCCAGTATAAATAAAGTTAGTTTAGTTTAGGTTTCCTCCTGTAGTAACACTGGATCAATAAGAGATGATCCTTACTGGACCTCTAGGAAGAACATTTAGAACTGATAGAGCTATCCAGTATAAATAAAGTTAGTTTAGTTTAGGTTTCCTCCTGTAGTAACACTGGATCAATAAGAGATGATCCTTACTGGACCTCTAGGAAGAACAGTTTAGAACTGATAGGGTTACATACCGAATTTCAGAGCTGACGTTAACTGTGAATTATGTCTCCTCTAATTACGTTCTGTAATACTTTTCTTTGATTTCATTTCAAAAGGCTCCAAATTTTACGGCCTCGAAGCGATCACAGAAAATAACGAAGAACAATGTCTGACTCACAATCTTTGCAGGAAATATTTCAGCGTGAAATGGCGAGAGAAAGGCTGTTATTTATATTTGGCCAATCTCTTTCTCTACCTCTGTTTCCATGTTTTGTTCAATGTGTACGTTGCCTTGGTTCGCGGGGCCATCGCAAGACGGGTGAGACATCCTGGTATGTTCCCGTTCTTCGTTTTTACTTTTTTTTGAATTATCACTCATCCACAATTTGATAAGAAATTGTTCAAATGCAAGACAACTTGTAACAAAGCCTCTTGAACTTGATTTTTGATACTAGTAATAACTAAATACTTTAAAATTTCTAGATGAAGTTAACACAACTGTCAGCACGAAGGTTAAACAACACCCTACGGCTGCAGCAAGTCCTGACGAGCCAGGCCCGATCATTGCGACAGTTGTTATCGTAACTGTAACAATATTTAATGTCATTAAAGAATTTATTCAGGTACATTTTGACCCATGATATCCCCTAACATTACACAGATCGTTACCATCAATGTCGATCGTCATCATCATCATCGATATATAATCAATATCATGATCACAATCGTCATCGATGATCATCATTAATATCATGATTATCATCAATATCATGATCGCAATCGATGTAATCATCATTATAATGTCATGACTATCAATAATTAATCCTCTCAGATGCACCAGCAACGTTGGAGATATTTCAAACAAGTTTCAAATTATTTTGAGTGGACATTGTACGTCTGCGTCATGGTATTCATGTTCCCAGTGAGAAAGACAAAAACTGAAGACCAGTTTGGAGCGGCTGCCATTGCTGTTTGTATCTCTTGGTTCAATCTCATTTGGTTTCTGCGCCGAATTCCAGATATTGGCACTTACATTTTGACTCTGCAGAAGGTTTTCAAAACGCTTGTTAAGGTATGAACGACTTAGAAAGATCGGCAGGAAGAATTATTCTTTTTTTGACTTACGTTTTCTCTCCTTGTGCGCGGCAAAAAGTTTCATGTCGTTCTCAAGAAAATAATAACTTGTTTGTCTGGACTCTGGAATCTGGATGATTGAGTTCAGTCATTCTTGCACTTGCTAAATTTGTGTTTCTGCCAACAAAATCTATTTATTATCTTGTTCTATTACTATAATACTCTGGAGTACAAGCAGTCAGTACGAAAAATATCTTGAAAATAGTTGAACTAGCGACGCACGTATCTGCTGTGCGAAAAGTGAGCGAGTTCCAACCTACGAACATCGCAAATTGACCATCGCTTTTTCCCGGGAGGGAATGTTGATATGGACAAGAGTGTGTTTGGATAAACCTGAGAATAACCCTTTCATTCTAGCTGTGCCTTTGAGGCGCAGTGAAACAATGATGACTGCACAAAGCATCTTTGAATCAATCATGTCCTGCCTTGGTTCTGCCTAAACTTCATATATGAATAGAGTGCTCGATATGCCGAAGTACAGAGCTAATAAGACGAGAATAAGAACAATAAACTTGGTTTACTTCATATGATTTATTCACTACAAATTTGTTTCGTATGACAAGCAGTGTTTGCCGGCACACAGGGGAATTTTAAATATATATTATCTATTTCAGATGCTTCTGTTGATCGTATTATTCTGTATGGCCTTCGCTTCAACGTTCTATCTGCTGTTTGCAGAGCAAGACAGATTTGTGAACTATCCCATTGCGGTTCTGAGCACGTTCGTCTCGATGCTGGGAGACTTTGCCTACGATGATTTGTTTGTTGAAGTTGGTATTTATAAAGATTTCCATACTTTTAAACTTGTGATGTTTGTGGTGTTTGTTCTGCTGATGGTTGTTGTTGTAAATAATGTTTTGATTGGTCTGGCTGTCGGTGACACGGAGTATGTTATGAACATGGCTAAAGTTCAAAGACTGAGGCAACACGTAAGTTGGAAAAAGCATTTTAATTTTATACTGTTCTTCCTAGAGGTTTAGTAGGAATAATTTCTTCTTGATCCACTGTTACCAAACAGGAGCCAGGATTGAAACCTAAACTAAACTAACTTTATTTATACTGGATAGCTCTATCAGTTCTATACTGTTCTTCCTAGAGGTCCAGTAAGGATCATCTCTTATTGATCCAGTGTTACTACAGGAGGAAACCTAAACTAAACTAACTTTATTTATACTGGATAATTTTATCAGTTCTTCCTAACAAAGCGGAACTATAACTTAACTAAACTAAAATATTTAGTTTATATTTATCATAGATATATATCAGTTTTCAACTGTTTTTTCATGTAGATGAAATTCATAATCGAAGTTGAAACATCGATATTTAGTAGACTCCCGTGCTTTAAAAAGAAAAACAAAACTTTGGTTCACATTGAATACCCAAACCATACGAAATCATGGAGGACCAGTTTCAACAGACTCCTAGCGGGCGAGATGAACACGTTTTATAATGTGGAGGAGAGCGACGAGGAAGATGATGACGAGGCTTTGACACAGGAGAAAGTCGAGGAAATCGTACAAGCGAGGCTGGAGAATTATCATAAGAGAATGATACAAGAGTTGAAAGATTTTCACGTGGATATAGTGGAAAAATTGGGAGATATGGTCAACTGAAGAACGAAATGATAAGTTATAAGATGTTTGTAGTTGAAGTTAGCTGATGATTGGTGCAAAAACATTCAGTAAGGGTTAAGGGTTAACCAATCCAAACGCGGGCAAATGAAATATTTTAGAGTGTAAATTTTAACTGCCAAATGTGGAGTTAAACTCTATTGTTATCCTTTTTTGCAAATTGGTGGTTTTATTGGTAAATTTAACTGTCAGGGTTCGAGAAAAATAGCACACATCTCTCATAGAAATTTCTTTGTAATCAAATACAAAACCGCTTGATACATAATTGCGAAATTCCGCATTTTCGTCCCACTCAGATAATTACCGATTATTTGTTGCTTCATGATTGCTCTGAACACCCATGCAGAGAATCAAAAATTGCTCTCATACCTACACGGTAAGATTAATCTCGTGACTTCTAAGTTGTCTGAATGATTAAAACGTTTACGAGCTTTTTCTTCCGTTAACATGGACATATATATATAAAAGTTCTCACGTTTTTATCCTTAGTGAATGAAAACACAGAGGTCTTGGAAAGGAATTATAGTGAATGCGTATGACGGTAGGCAAAGGGGGGTCCAAGCAGATAAAGAGCAGGCCCAAGCAGGTAAAGACACTTAATTTAAATTGGAGCATTATAGTACAATAGCTATCATTCAAGTGTAACGTCTCTAGCGGCGCTGTGTCCTCATCTGAGAGTCGAAGTTGTTGAAAGAGGAAGAGTATATATTAACCAGGTAAGAATCATTCATGTCAATATTCGTAGAAAATTAAATGTCTGATATGACGTATATTTATAATTCAACGCAAGTCCGGATCCTAAACTGGGTTTCATTGTAATGAGGGCAAAGCCAGGCGAGCTTTCGTTTTAAAGTTGTCAAGCATAGATATAAAAATCATCATCGATTTCCATCATTACCACGTAGATTGATCAAGCATGGTATATAGACAAATAACATTTCGATAAATACCTGCAACGTTATACTAGTCGGAAAATTAATTATTCTCATAATTATGCTATACTGTTATATAAACGTCAAAAATTCACTCGCAAAAATCAATGAATATAACCAAGAGTACTATATATATGTATAGTTGCATATAGTAATTCACACTTTCAGCCAAATTTTTGTCATTAAGGGGCTGATTACATGAGCCCTGTTACCCGAGATTCAACGAAGCGTGAGATGACTTTGAGGTATTGAAATAAGTCTTTATGATACCAAACAAGCACATGCTATTGTTGTGGTGATTATACGACTGCCAGAATCATGTTATCTGCTCATTTCAATACCTCAAAATCATCTCACGCTTTGCTGAATCTCGGGTAACCGGGCTCATGTAAACAGCCCCTTAGTTGTTGTTATGAATCCAGGAACTATATTTGACCAATCTTTATTTAAAACTCCGAGTTAAATATTTTCCGCCTACTACACTAAATTGTACATGACTAACATACCTTCTACTAAAAATAGCGGCCAAAGAATCAAGCTTGCACCTTAACTCGAACATTGTGACGTCGTGAAAGTTAATCTTTGTGTGGTGATTACTTTCATTTATTAAAACCAGAGTAGCGATAATTACGATGGATTGTGACATATTATAGACAGTTTAAATCTAGTCACCTCCTTCGGTTCCTATAGCATTGAATTATTACTACATGAGTTGATGAAAAATTTTACTGTCTTCAAAAAGTGTTTACATGATTTTATGACTTGTGAAACAAATTAAATCCAGTAGGAACCCAAACTAAAGAATTTAACTGGGTTGAAAATTGAAATAGCTCAGCAGTTATCACTTTTTACGTTACTCTTTACATTTTACGATTATTCCACGACATTTCAGCTAGGAGTACAGTAACTTTGACAGTGACAATGTATTTAAGCCTAAGTGTATGTAAAACGAAGTTGGAACGACGAATAAAATAAATCCGACCTGAATACTAACGGTAGAAAACTGGGTGAAAAATAATCTGTTTAATTCTGGGCGTTTTGCTTTAGATCTGCATATACAGTCATGGATGAATTGAAAAAGAATATGGCAATCTTAACATTGAATTCACATATGATTAGGAACGCCTTTGTATTGGTCATCGTAAATCAAAATTTCAGATACAATAAAAAACGCGATGGCGCTCTCGCTGACAAAGAAAATATAGAGAAATTTTGCCATGAAATGAAGTTTACTGTAAATGACATCAGCGACATAAAACTGGAAGATACCTCAGGCCTGAAATTCGATAAAAAAAAACAGCTAATAACTGATGATCTCACGGCACGAGAAATGAAGGATCTTTTCCAGACTATTTTAACGGGAGACTTCAGCTCCTATGATGCATTTATTTGTTTCATATCAAGTCATGGAGTAAAAGAAGGGATCTTAGGAGTTGATGGATATCCGTTAGGATTGATTACCGTTAAAGATATCACCGATCAATTTACTAAAGGTAGTCGCACCTTAGCAGGTAAACCGAAAATTTTCTTCACCCAGAATTGCAGAGGAAGGCAAAAAAACATTGGAATACCACTTCATGAAGAAGGTGATGATGGTCATCGTGAAAATCTGGTAGACATGGAAAATCACTTTGATGAGACTCCAGTTACACTTCCCACCGGAGCTGATATGCTGGTTGCTTATTCAACGGTTGATGGTTACGAATCATATAGAAGTACGGAAAATGGGTCGTGGTTTATCATTAAATTACTGGAGGTATTAAAGAAACACGCACACAGCATGAGTTTAACTGACATGCTAGCTATTGTTAACGACGAGATTAGCAGAATGGTATCTCAACAGGGAAAGAAACAAATGTCATGTTTTACCAGCTTATTGAGTAAGCCTGTCTATTTCGAAATCAAGTCCAGTGAAATTCAACCATCTGCTGAACCATCCTCAGCTTTGAAAGAGGCCGAGTCCTCCTCTAATAACCAAACAGCGGGTGTGTAGTGAGAAATTCTGGCTTCCAGAAAAATTAAAATAAAAAAATAATGAATATATAATTATATATATATATATATATATATATATCATAACTCGCAAACCACCAACGGACATATATATGACGATAATCAGTTCCCATGTATATAATAAATCAATAATGTAGCTATACGTAGTTTTTGCGGTGAAAATGGTCATACTGATATAATACGCCTCTCCTTGTAACCTCAATAAATACATCACTGTTCCTTGTTTAAAGATTTTGTTTTAAGCAGATCTATCAACAAGCCAGCTGCATGTGAACTCCGCGCGAGCTGTTATACTTGTCAATAACCTGCAGCATTTCCACTGGCATTAACAATTTTGCTGCAAATTTTGTTTGAATAAGTTTGATGCACCGAAATTTGCATTTATTTCATATAATTATTTTTTAGCGCAAAGGATCCAACCATCCATCTTGGATCGATAAGAGATGATCTTTACTGGACTTCTTGGAAGAGCAGTTTAGAACTGATAGAGCTATCCAGTATAAATAAAGTTAGTTTAGTTTAGGTTTCCTCCTGTAGTAACACTGGATCAATAAGAGATGATCCTTACTGGACCTCTAGGAAGAACAGTATATAATTGATAGTGGAGCTATCCAGTATGAATAAAGTTTAGGTTTGAAGAATAATAAATAGTTTAGGGTTCCTCCTGTACGCTGTAGTAACACTGGATGAAAAGGAAATGATTCCTACTAGACTTACTAGCAAGTTATAATGAATGCGTATGACGGTAGGCAAGAGGGGGGTCCAAGCAGGCAAAGAGCTAGACACTTGAATCGAAGCATTAAAGTACAATAGCTATCATTCAACTGTAACGTCTCTAGCGGCGCTGTGTCCTTGTCTGAGAGTCGAAGTTACTGTAAGAAGAAGAGTATATATTAACCAGGTAAGAATCATTCATGTCAATATTCGAGGAAAATTAAATGTCTGATATGACGTAGATTTATAATTCAACGTCAGTTGTAAACTGAGTTTCATTGTAGTGAGGGCAAAGCCAGGTGAGCTTTCGTTTTAAAGTCGTCTAGCATAGATATAAAAATCGTCATCGATTTCCATCATTACCACGTAGATTGCTCAAGCATGGCATATAGACATGTATATATAACTTTGTAGAAATACCTGCAACGTTTATACTATAGTCGAAAAATTGATCAAGTATTTTTATTATGATTATACTCAAGTCGCTGTTTAGCATACTTTTGCCTACGCTAAATTATATATGACTAACATACCTTCTAAAATAGCGGCCAAAGAATCAAGCATGCACATTGTGACATATTATAGATAGTTTAAATCCAGTCACCTCCTAGACCTAGCATTGAATTATTACTGCATGAACTGATGTAAAATTCTACTGTCTTCAAAAAGTGTTTACATGAATTTATAACTTGTGGTGGAATCAATTAAATCACAGTAGGAACCCAAACTAAAGAATTTAACTAGTGTCTATACTTTGGTAGTGCATATAAAACGGGGTCTAATTGTATATGAATGCGTAAGCGGCTGAGTAAAATCATCTGCCTAATTATAAACATTTTACTTTAGATCTACAGTCAAGGACGAATTGCCAATGGCAAATTCAAAATTGAATTCACATATCATTAACAAGCCTTTTGTATTGGTCATCGTGAATGAGAAGTTCAGATACCATAACAGACGCAATGACGCTCTCGCTGACAAAGAAAATATAAAAAAATTTTGCCATGAAATGAATTTTACAGTCAATGATATCAGCGACATAAAACTGGAAGATACCTCAGTCCTGAAATTTGATCACAAAGGCCACCTAATAACTGATGATCTCACGGCACGAGAAATGAAGAATCTTTTCCAGACTATTTCTACGGGAGACTTCAGCTCCTATGATGCATTTATTTGTTTCATATCGAGCTATGGTGAAGCAGGAGGAATCTCAGGTGTTGATGGAGAAACTATCCCTGTTCAATTTCTCGTCGATCATTTCCAGGGCAGCAAAAACTTTCGCACTCTGGTTAACAAACCGAAACTTTTCTTCGCCCAGAGTAGTAGCAGGTCGACTGATCATGACCACGACGATGCAGTAGCCGATAACGGGAACCAGTTTGCCATTCCCACCGGAGCTGATATACTGGTTGCTTATTCAACTGTTGATGGTTACGAACATTATAGCAGTGATGAAAAGGGGTCGTGGTTTATCATTAAATTACTGAAGGTTTTCAGGGAACACGCAAACAGCATGAGTTTAACTGACATGCTAGCTATGGTTAACCACGAGATTAGCAAAATGGTATCTCAACAGGGAAAGAAACAAATGCCATGTTTTACCAGCTCATTGAGAAAAGCTGTCCGTTTCGAAATCAAGTCCAGTGAAATTCAACCATCTGCTGAACCATCCTCAGCTTTGAGAGAGGTCGAGGCCCCCCCTTTAATGGCCTAAAGGGAGGAACCTGGTGACGGGTTCCGGCTCCGGGCAATATTACTAATAGGCACTAAGTGTCTAAGTCGACTATTAGCTGATTGAAGTTGAGACAATTTATCCATGAAAACTAAAATAATTCAACTAAGCTGTCGCCTGTCGTAAATATATATGGGATTGTTTGAAGTTCGATTTAACGTTTGCCGTTTGCACTTAGCAATTTGTCAGGAACTTCAAACTTTAGGTCTCTAATAATGAAAATGATTGAACGGTGTGCAGTCCTGCTAGTTTTGTAATTTTATACTTTTTATAATATTGTCACAAGGATCCGCATATAATAATCCGAAACCACGAAACACTAATAATAATATAACGATATTTTTTTCGATAATGATGCATGTGTTTTACATCATTCGCATATTAATTGTCCAAAAACAATACAATGACACAAATTTGTTTTAAAACGCACACTAGATCACACGGCAGATATCTGGTAATCTGCAGCAGCTTGAGCCTTAAACTTTAATTAGGGCACATCCGAAGTTACAATGATTCAAAGTAGTTTGTCACCAATTAATTAAGGTTATTACAGTGACTGGGTTATTATTGAGGCGTTGTTTATATATGTAAAACTATGCACATACTCGAGCGATTACCGATATTAGCCCACCGGACGAAGACGAGGATTAGCGTTTGTGGCAGTAGAGCAATACAGCCATACAGGTAAAATTGCATTATACTGGGCTCCCAACCTCATTCCCAGGGTGATTTCGCTGTGCTATTCACGTTGGTCATATTCGGCAAATTTTCTCCTAGTACAGAGGGCTCAGTTTTCCAGCGGTTTTCGCATCAAAAATTAAAAGCTTTTCGTTTTACGTACTGTTCCTGTTCAATGCTTCCAATTTTATGCAAGTTGTCAGCTGACAATATGAGATTTGGCAGTTATATTGACGCATTAAACTACAATAGCTATCATTCAACTGTAACGTCCCTAGTGGCGCCGTGTCCTTGTCTGAGAGTCGAAATTATTGCAAGAGGAAGATTTCAGGTAGGAATCATGTCAATCTTCGTAGAGAAGATGTCATATATGACGTAGATTTATAATTCAAAGTCAGTCGTAAACTGGGTTTCATTGTAGTGAGGGTAAAGCCAGGCGAGCTTTCGTTTTAAAGTACGGTCAAGCATAGATATAAGATTCCTCATCGATTTCCATCATGACTACGTAGTTGGATTTTATTGTTAATTTGCCATAAGTTAGTCAGTTTCCAAAATAGAAGAGGCTATCATTCGTCACCATCATAACACTATTAAGTATTCCGTATACCCATGAATTTTACCTTTTTGAATTTTTAACTTTGATACGTTGTTAATAGTCAAATAAATAACTATTTTTATAATTATACTGTTATATAAAATACTAAGGACAAATTGATGTTAAAAATTCACTCGAAACTATGGATATAGAATCAATATTAAATCGCATATAGTGATACCCAGTTCTCTCTTAACCGAAGTTTCAATGAAATAAAATCTGCTGACAAGGCAGAATTTAAAACTGACTACGTAATTTGAATCTGTAAGACGCTACGCCTACACTACATTGTATGTGACTAACATACCTTCTACTAAAAATAATGGCCAAAGAATCAAGCATCCAACTTAACTCAAACGTTGTGACGCATTATGGGTAGTTTAATTCCAGTCATCTCCTAGAATTGTGTTATTCCTTCGTAAGTTGATGTAAAGGTTTACTGTCCTCAAGAAGTATTTACATACTTCTATGGCTTGTGAAAGCAATTAAATCACGGTAGGGATCGAAACTAAAGAATTTAACTATTGTCTTCAAAAATCCAAAATTTCAGCTGTGATAATTGAAACTTTGACAGTGTATATAAAACAGGGTCTAGAGACTAAATGTATATGAATGCGTAAGCGGCTGAGTAAAATCATCTGCCTAATTATAAACATTTTACTTTTGATCTGCAGACAAGGACGAATTGAGGCTAGTAATGGCAAGTTTAAAATTGAATTCGCATATGATTAAGAACGCCTTTGTGTTGTTCATCGTGAATGAAAAGTTCAGATACCATAGCAGACGCACTGGCGCTCTCGCTGACAAAGATAATATAGAGGAATTTGGTTGTGAAATGAATTTTACAATCAATGATATCAGCGACATAAAACTGAAAGATACCTCAGCCCTGAAATTCGATCACAAAGGCCACCTACTAACTCATGACCTTACGGCACGAGAAATGAAGAATCTTTTCCTGACTATTTCTACGGGAGACTTTAGCTCCTATGATGCATTTATTTGTTTCATATCGAGCTATGGTGAAGCAGGAGGAATATCAGGTGTTGATGGAGAAACTATCCCTATTCAATTTATCGTCGATCAATTTATCGCTAATGACGAGTATCGCACTCTGGTTGGTAAACCGAAACTTTTCTTTACTCAGAATTGCAGAGGAATCGACAAAGGGACATTTTCAGTGTTTCATGGTGATAATGAAAATGATATAGATGCAATAGCAGATAGCGGGTACAACATTCCTATTTCTATGCCCCTTGCAGCTGATGCATTGGTTGCCTATTCAAGTGCAACTGGCTATGAATCTTTTAGGAGTAAGGAAATGGGGTCCTGTTTTATCAATAAGCTGACACAGGTTCTTAGGAGGCATGCACACCAAATGAATTTAACCGACATGCTGACTATTGTTAATGACGAGGTTGACAGAATGGCGTCTGTGGAAGGCAAGGAGAAGCAAATGCCGTGTTTTACCAGCAATTTAAGTAAAGCTGTCTATTTCGAAGTTGATCTAAGTGAATTTAATCTAAGTGAAGTTGATCTAAGTGAACTTGCAGCCTCGCAAAAACCAACTGCGCTTTAAAACAGTTGCCAATTCACAACCTGTACCCAGCTGGCTATACCTTAAAATAGCGAAATCATATCAAAGTGCGAATTATAGCCCCGTTTACACTACGCGCGATATTTGGTACAGCACGGATAAAACTGGCACCGTACCATTTTTTTCACACACACCGGACGCGATTTGCTAGCGCGACGCGATTTTTATGAATTGTTACATTCGTTTTCTTATACCATTGAAAGTTGTAACCTAATATTCGCATTATTTTTTCACGAAATATAGGTAACTGTAACTACAAACGACTTATAACTTATCGCTTGTGCTATGCCTTGTCTATGTGGACACGAGCGTTGTTTTCGAGCGTTTTCAAAATCGTTTTTGCCTATTTTATTGTTTAGACGCCCTGTCCATACGATTTTCACCACTAACGAAAATTTCACCACCAAGGAGTCAGTAACGGTTTATTTAATGCCAAAAGTATTGTTTTATCATTTTTGTCATTGTTGAAAAGTTTGAAATACATCAAATTTTTAATTTACAATTATAATATTTTGATAAAAAATAAAATAAAAACAATGTATTATCATTCATACTATATAATTTACAATTATAATATTTTGATAAATAATAAAATAACAACAATGTATTATTATTCATACTATAAACTTGCCAGTATGTAAATAAATGAGATATGTGTCGATTCAATCAAAGTGTGCATTTTTACTTCAAATAAAACCATTCCGCCATTGGGCTGCTATTTATCATTGAAGTAAGACCTCCCTTTTTGATTTTCGTGTCTCTGGAATTTTACATTTTTTTGTTTTATCTTTGTTGATTCTGTTTAATTTTCGGGTATATTAAAGTCCTACCCTGTTCTTGATTTCATATAAAAATTGGTTTGTGGTGTCCAGTGTTGCCAAGTCAGTTTCCCCAAAAAATCCAATATAGCTCCTAAAAAATCTCAAGATTCCCTATTTCCCCCCAAAAAAATCCCAAGATTTTTTACCCGGTGAAGTGTTTAGCCAATTCAGCCAAGCACTAACCGAAGCCCGGGCTGTCTGGCACAGTTGACTGTGGCTAAAATTAATCAATGCAAGTCGTAATAGGTAGATTTTAAAATGAAGAAGTAACAATTGATCAACCTACAGTTAGATCAACCAACTTGTAACGAGGGGCTTAGGTCGAAAATCGAGAAGAACCTTTCTTGTATATTTCATGATACGATGGGATCCGGTTGATCTTGTTGTTGACCAATGTTGTTGAATTAAATTATCTTCTCTGTATTCTAAAAAATCCCAAGAAATATCCCAAGGTCTTATTTAAAACATAAAAATCCCAAGAAAATCCCAACAGCCTCAACTGAAAAATCCCAAGAAAAATGCCAAGGTCTTATTCAAAAAATAAAAATCCCAAGAAAAATGCCAAGGTCTTATTCAAAAAATAAAAATCCCAAAAAACCCCAACAGCCTCCAAAAATCCCAAGATCTTGGGATAAAATCCCAAGGTTGGCAACACTGCCTGTGTCTGGAAATAGGGAAGAAAAAGATCTTCAAAGTTTAGCTGTTGGGACTGTTGGAAGTTCGATCTTTATGAATTATGTCCTATCCGAATCGGAGGTGACTTTATAATGCGAGCTTTATGAAGTATCTTGGAAGAAACAAAATGGCGGCTTTCAACAAGCTCGTTGTTAAAAGTTATCCAAGAATTGCCAGTCGAGAAACAAGCGATACAAAGTATTGGAACAAATATAGTGTACGTAGAGCTGTAACTGTCTTCCGTAGCGTAGAAAACATTACACTTTTGATGCCATATAAGATGAAATTATTTGTATTTTGGTGATAGGGTACTTTTAGTAAAGTAACATATAGTGATAACTGATAAGATGTCTCTAATATGTTGTATATTTATACACTGTTGCTGTTAAACATATAGTGATATCTTGTGGTATTTTTCATTTCCAGTTCCCAATAACAGTCAAGGAATCTTCTGCTATCAGCTTTGTAAATTTTAGTCAAACCCAGCCACATGATTTTGCAGTAACGACTTCAAACAAGGTAAGCAACTAAGCATTGACTTTATCAACCAGACTGGAGTGTGTCAGACAGAAAGTGTTGATTCGGATTGGAAAGTGTGTAAATTGTATGCTCACAATTTCAAATAGGTAGAGTAGATAAAAGACGTTAAAATTTGTAACACATACTTTCCGCACTCCCAACAAGACAAATAGATGACTCATAAATGTCCAGCTTCCAGCCCATCGCAACATGCATCATTCCAAAAGCAAAACATAGATTGCTTAAGCCACACTTCTGTTGTTTATTTTCTTTAACTCAGGTTCAAATCTACAGTTCGACTACAAATGAAGTTAAAAAGACTCTCTCACGCTTCAAAGAACAAGCATACAGTGGCTGTTTCCGACCTGATGGAAAACTTCTAGTTGCTGGAACTGAAAATGGCATTGCAAAGGTTATCATTATTAAAGTGCTAAAGCTGGTTATTTTATCGCCCAGCTATTTCAACGAGGATGTGTTCATAACATGACTGTGTGTGTCTTTGCTATCTACAAATACCATCCTGTTGTTTAGGTATTTGATGCTAGTAGCAGAGTTGTTCTTCGGGAATTTACTGGTCATACACGGTAAGGTCTACAAACATACTTGCATACATACATAAAATCAAGCAATGATAGATCTTTTTTCATCATTCATTGCCTTTAGAGCTGTGCATAGCACAAGGTTTTCTCTTGATGGTCTTCAAGTCCTTTCCACTTCAGACGACTGCAGTGTACGGCTCTGGGATCTGTCGGGAGAGAAGGAAATATTCAAAGCGACAGAGCATAAGGTACTCAATATGACAATTTGGGAGTCAGAAACCTGTGTAAATTTTGGTTTGTCTTAGTTGTGATCAGTGTCTGAAGATGATGTAAGCTGATAATTTAGTATTAAGAACAATTGATAATATATTTTATTAATAATTTGATAACTTTTGTTTTGTGATTCATAGGATTATGTTCGTACCTCGGATGTAAGTTCATCAAGCAACAATATCTGGCTGACAGGTTTGTGATAAATTAAATGTTTTGAAAAATATGAATTGGCATAAATATATAAGAATGTGCTATAATCTTCTCTGGACTAACATAAGCTCTCCTCAAAGATATATAGTATGTTTCTTTAAATTGTTATATAACTTTTAGGTTCGTATGACCACACTGTGAAGATGTGGGACAATCGTAGCCCTGCCAGTGTTATGACCATTGATCACGGACACCCTGTTGAGGATATCCTGGTTTTTCCATCTGGTGGGCTGTGTGCCTCAGCAGGTAAACAAAAATATCAAGTGATTGTAGGTCAGATAAATTAAGTTGAATGAGATTCGATTAGTCAATGGTAAATGTCACTATTTGATTGGATTAGGTAAAGATCAGATTAATTCAGGGATCAAAATTAGATCAAGTTTAGGATCAGGACATGTAGGAATTAGATTAGATTAGAGATCAGTGTGTCCGAATCAAGTGGCAATAAATTAAGTGACATCAAATTATAATCAACTCAGAATCAGGTCACAGAGAAATCAGCTCATGAACCACCCACGTGTGTGCTTTGCATTAGTTTAGAATCTTGATCTATTAAGTTGATGTGAAGATCTGATTAATGTCACACAGTCATCCCTTCAACATTTCATGTTCTATCCATTTAATTTACTTATTTCGATGAATTGTCCTCTAGGTCACAATATGATAAAGATATGGGACATCCTCGCTGGGGGGCGATTAGTTGCGGCATTTACTAATCACCAGAAAACAATAACGAGTCTTTGTTTTGATGGTCAGTGCACTAGACTATTATCAGCATCATTAGACAGGTGAGGTGTCCCATCAAGATTGTTCAAGGAATTATTTCTCAACAGCATGTGTAGCACAGGCAATTTGATAATATTGTCTAAATGGTGTTTACATCTTTTTCAGACATGTTAAGATTTACGACGTCAAAGATTATAAAGTGGTTCACAGTATTCACTATCCGTCACCAATTCTATCAGTCGGAATCTCGGTAAAGCTTTTCCACTTGTTTAATTGTTTTTCTGGATCATGTTATCTTAACAAACCCCCCCTTGCCATTGTGGGTCGTTAGACGTTAAGATAACAATCCATTTTTTTGTGGGTTAACAATATTTTATTTGAGTTCTGACACTCTTCCCAAGTCTGAACGATGATGTTTTCTGCATCTAATCCATGATTCCTTCTTTAGTTAAATGATAAACATATTGTTGTGGGGATGTCTGATGGATTACTGTCTATTAAATATCGTACACCAAGTTCTGAGAAAGGAGAGTCAGCTGTAAGGTCGATGCCTGCTCCCAGAGCAGGCTCGTATCGATATTTCCTACGGGGCAAGAACCAGAAACCAGAACAGGTGCGTCAATGGTCATCTAATATCTTAGTTGCTACTCTAGAGAGGACTGAAGCCCTGGGCTTTCACACTGTTTACAACCCATTGGAGAATGCTTTAGAGGGTTACACAACAGTACTAACCATTATATCTTTTTTGCATGAGTGAAAATCCTCAGTACTGAAAGAAAAAGTCAGATATAACCATTAAAACCTTATGAACACATGTTTTTTTCAAACAAAATACCCTCATTCTGTTGCATTATAACTTGCTAACTCAGAGCTCAGGCACAATGTCCCAGAGCCCTTTGAGATTCTGTTCTGTTCTATTAGACGTGACATGTAATATCATTTACTTTTAGGATGATTTTGTTGTGACCAGCACCCGTAAACCAAAGCTTAGTGCTCATGATAAATTTTTAAAAAACTTTGAATATACAAATGCTTTGGATTCAGTGCTTCAGGTTGGTCAACTTGAATTCGGAATTTATATTTCTTGTTTTGCTGATTTCTGGCTGTGATGTTAGTTTTCAATGATGATGGATCATGGACCTCATGACGTCTGAATATTTTCCCTCCAGGGTCGTCTTAATCCTCCTGTGGTGATCAGTTTAATAATGGAACTCATTCGAAGACAAGGCCTACAGATCGCCCTCTCTGGACGAGACGAGGACACTCTTTTGCCAATTTTAAGCTTCTTGAACAAGTGAGTATAAAGAAAGGAAATTGTTGCTGTCAGGGCTATGCAGAGACAAAGTAAATGGCTTTGGTTTCGTTTTGTACATGAACTTTTTTCATTCCACATTTAGACATATCTGCAATCCTCGTTATACACCAACGCTGATCGACGTCACAAATACGATACTGGGTAAGTTATAATGTAATCTAACCATGCTTAACTCAGTTAACTGAGAGAGAACACAGGAGAGATTTAACTCTACTCACATGAGTTCTGTACAACATCAGATCACTTTAAGGTAGCTCACATTCAAGAACATGTACTACCTCTGCATGATCTAACCATGCTTAACTCAGTCAACTGAGAGAGGACACAGGAGAGATTTAACTCTACTCACATGAGTTCTGTACAACATCAGATCACTTTAAGGTAGCTCTCATTCAAGAACATGTACCACCTCTGCATGATCTAACCATGCTTAACTCAGTCAACTGAGAGAGAACACAGGAGAGACTTAACTCTACTCACATAAGATCTGTACAACATCAGATCACTTTAAGGTAGCTCTCATTCAAGAACATGTACCACCTCTGCATGATCTAACCATGCTTAAGTCAGTCATATGAGTTCTCTACAACATCAGATAGCTTCAAGGTAGCTCACATCCACATATCGGTGACCGACAATATTTTAATTTCAGATATCTATGGACCAGTCCTGGGTCAATCGCCAAAGTTGGACGACATGCTGGCCAAGTTAAAGATGAAGATTGCGTCCGAACTAAATTACCAGAAACAGGCATTTGAACTAATGGGTTCTTTAGACACGATATTTGCGGTGGCTGCTTCAAACCGCGAGGAACCGTTATTTCACAATGGTCCATCATAGCGCTCAATGCACCCTTTTGTATATAAATCATCGAAAAGGGCCCGTTTGTACGAAGGCTAGATAGCTTGTTAACTGCATGGTGATTTTCCAAGAATGTTTAAAAAGCAATGCTACAAACCAGGTACATAAAACCAAACTACGGGAATTTTCTTTGCGATTTTAAAAGCCACTATGCGTTTGAAAGCGCTATCCAGCTTTCGTACAAGCAGTCTTAGAGATTGTGGTTAACTACTGCCAGTTTTTAGACAGCCTCGAGCAAAGCTGCAATAAATATATCAAATTTCTAGTCCTAATTTTGGCGTCCACCTTTGTTTCTATGTAGACTTCAGAGCTCACACATATTAAGGTAGGCCATATGAAAATTTGTCATTCTATAGTTTATGTTGTTTCAAAGAAATAAAGATACGTTTCACTTTCAATTTTCCCTTTGTTGCCTTATCCCGTGAATTTTCTTTGTTGCATGAACGGAAACGTCAAAGCGTTATTTTAAGTTCAACTAGATCAAATAACAAAAGCTTTCATGTTTTTTTTTCAAGGTAATTTGAATCGCATTTTCAACGTGTTTCATCTATGGTAACCAGAACAGCTTGGTTAAACCATTAAACCAGACTGGTATGTATACAAATTTTATTGTTATGTGTTAACTAAAGTGGGGTGTAAAAACCTGGGTTATATTTGCTCCGAATATCAAAAAACTAAACCATTACATGCAGTATTTACATCGTCTGTGATAGTACCAATCAGGTATATACCTTTCCTTATACCCGGAGCAAACTAGGCACAGTCTAGTCGTTCCAGGTCGACCTAACAAATGAAAGCAAAGTTTTCGACATCTTCTGCAACGATGATGTAATAGACTTGTCCCACCGCGCGCATGGCCTTTAATGTCAGGGTTTATGTATCGCGGGCACCACCGGACATCGCCGGAAGTGAAATGCCCTGAAGTAGATATTGTGTGATGTTTCTCTATGGCTAACATTTCGCTGATTTCTTTATACACCGCTTCTCTATTGCGGGAGATCCGTCTAGGATTGCTGTGTTTTTCAGAGCGACTACGGTGGTTTAAACTAGAGTTTTGAGTGAAGCTTGTGTTTTTACTGGTGTCTTTATCTAAACTGTTTCCCCTTTCTTTAGCACTTGTGTTGTTCTCACTTGGACTTTGAGAGTTGCGCTTAACTCTTTCCATACTAACAGAGTCTTGGCGCCGTGAACTGCTGTTATAATCCTTGTTTACCTCACGCCAGCTCTTGTGGTTTAAACCGGAGTCTCGTGCCAGGCTTCCATCATCCGTTTTAAAACCATAATAATCGCGTTCTCGGCGTTTTGTCTCATGATATTCACCTTTCGTACGCTTCATATTTTTATTCTCTTCCTTTACCCGAGTGTATTTGTACGCCGAGCTGCGTTCAGAACTTCTTCGAGTCCGTTTTCTTTGTCTTTCTTGCGAGGAACTTCTCTCTCTTTCATTTCGCTTTGTTTTCATCTTCGAGGGGAAATACGTTGACGTGTATTGAGCGCGCATTGCGGTTCCAAGAACGTAAATACTTGGAAAATCACCCGTTAAACCCTCTGCGCATGTCTGTCAGGTCTGGGGAAATCCATTGGCGCGGGAAAACCCCTATTTCGTTCTTTCACTTTCCAGTGGCAATTTTTGCACTTTTTTATGTTTGATGGAAATTAACCGCATTACGTATGCCATTGAAATAATTTTACGGCTTTGTGATCAGCATATTAGAATGCAACTTAACCAGCAATTAAACCAACTTCATGCATTGATTTCGATGTAATATATAACCAGGGAGCAGCGTGGCAGCGTCTTCAGATAACTCAGCATCAAATGTTGTATAACAACTATACCACAACTATAACAAGGAATTTAATATAACAACTGCCTAAAATAGACAAAACACTTCTCGACGTTTCGACCTGATGGCCTTCGCCAGGAGAGAAGTGTTTCGTCTATTTTAGGCCGTTGTTTATTAATTTCGTAGCCTTATAAGGTGGTGTTGATAATCGCCTAACAACTCGCAACAGAGGAAACTTTGAACGAGAAAATGAAAGTAAGAGTTAAAAGTTTAGCGCAACAAAATGCATACAATGCATTTAGTAATCGAAACTATACGAAAAGACTGATTAATATATGATATAACCGATCAGTCGACGAAAATAACTCCAAACTAAGAAGTGAGATTAATATTCCCGTTGGCTTTTTAGACCCTGGAGGTCCACCAGCTTGATCTAAGAGATGTTTTATATATACGTAAGATCATACTTGCATGGGATGATATAGGCTCCGTGTGCATGACTGATCGATTTGGCAGCACTGGGATTGGCAGAAGATTTGTGTATCTTTTGTAATTTACTATATTTAGAAGTTTGTATGTCAGATCACAGTTAAAATTCCTCGTGCCTCTTGAACAAACCTTTTATCAAACGTGTCGACCTGCATGCATACATTTCACAAGTGACCCCTTATGATTAAAAATACATGCGACCTTAATGCACAACAAATTGCCTTTTACGAGTGAAACATTTTTTATTGTTTTTGTGTCCAAATCATTACAAACAGGAATGCAGGTGGAAGGTAACAAAGTGAAACTATTTATTATTAATACGAGTAAATAAACTATAATCTTTCGTCAGCAAATTATATTCAATGAATCGATCATTATTTAGGGCGAAAAGTATAGCGTTCCGTCGCCTGGCTTTAGTGCTTTTAAATCTTGTTATGACTACTTTATGTAAGAGCTTTTATAGGTTGAGGTCTAGAGTTATATTCGAGTAAGTGGCTTGTATTATCTACGTTTGTGCAAGCTAAAAGGTCCACGCAAATGTCGCTCGTAGCCTTGTATGAACACGATGCCGTTCTCTTCAGAACGAGCAGGTCTTGAGAATTTATTTCGCGAATAACGGAACCCTTCCTTTTGGAAATACTCCAGGACTTAGACCTGTAGCTGGAAACCGCATTAGTTACGAAAGAAATTTTCCCCACCAAGCCGCGAAATCTTCAAATATTTCGTTTCATTTTTTCATGTCAAGGTGTTGTCTAAACGGGTTGCCAACACGTCCAACACTGCAAAACAAAACCAAGAACCTGATTGGACGAGCCAATGATGATATAAATACCGTAAGCGGGTGGCTAACACCACTCCAACATTTCAAAATAAAACCAAGAACCTGATTGGACGAGGCAATGATGATGTAAATGCTCTTCTAGGAAGAAAGTGCCTGTATTACGCCATAGAAAAATCCCCTTTCTATTGATCCGGCGTGTGTATAAAGGTCGAATGCGCTATGGAATTTTTCACAGTTGTTATTAAAGCTGTGAAGAGATGTTTCTCGCATTACCAAAGATATTACAATATAATAAAATGTCACCCAACGATTCCCTGGGCATAGTTTCTCTGTCGATGCTGACTGGATTATTCCTGACGATATTCTACAAACGTGACTTCAAATTTCATGCTCACCTGAGATGTCGAATGGGGCATATCGTTTGCCTATCCCTAATGTGGGGGTTAGTGTATCTGACAGATCAGAGTGCCTTCGAAGTCGTCGTCGCTATTGGAACACTGGTTTATGTGTTGAAAGAACAGAGGTTCAGTTTAGCATCTGAAGAGAAAGTAAAGTGTCTTGCATTGGGTATCTCGTTAATGATCGCCTACTTTTCGGAATCACAAACTTTGACTCCTCTTGCAATTGTTTTTGCGCTAACTCAACTCCTGCGCTGGCCTATTGACTTAAAGAATCGCCTTCGTGAACTCCGTATAGTCTGTGGTCCAGTGTATACGATTTTTGCTGTCGGAAGTTGGCTCCAATCCAGTCCAACTTCAAACCTCCTCCGTTCTGCTGCTTTCCTCTCTCTGGTGGCATCCATATTCCTCCGACCAGACAATAATGAAGTTTTGAAAGTATTGAACTATTTTGGGTCCATCCCGAGCTCTCATTCTCGAAAGATTATTCATGGATTTTGCATGTTCGCTAGCTTTATCTTATGTTTCCTGTACTTTGTAAATGTTGTCACCACAAGCACTGTGAACACTTGTATTTTTTGTATTTTATGTTTTGTTGCGGTGGTCAATATTGCTATGTATATATTTGTGGCTGAGTTTCCCCGCTTTGCAGTTAAGTGGCTTAAAGGCACATGGAATAACTATGCTTTTAGACTATGTAGCTATATAACTGGAAACACTAATTTATGTGCTATATTAACAACACGAGTTAAGACAAAAACATAACAACAAAATCAATTTAAACAGTATCAGAAAAGATATGTACATAATTTTTATGAATGTTCAATGTTACATTACGTAACCTCTTATTTTAGTGTTCTTTGTATCAAAATTTTGTGATATATTTACTGTTTCCTTCAGTCAGGCTATGGTTGTAAAAATAGAGACGATTTATTGCCAAGTTTAGACAAAATTGATTTGTGATTTCCGATTTTATTTAGTTGTTAAATAACACAATAACACGTATTGAACTTTTTTGTATCCGGCTTTTAGAGTGTTAATGTTCAGTTCGTTTTTTGCGCTACCTTCTTTAAAATTTTGGCTCCTATGAGGGTATTTTATTTCCATTTCTTCATGAAATGTCCTGTCTTATTGAACCTGCAGCTGAACTTCCGCGAGAAAACCTTTTTAATCTCTCCCTTTTTTTTTCATTCTGTCAGTAGTATTTATTATATAAAATTTCCTCATTTCCTCCCTCGCATTCTTTTCCAAATTGAAATAATTTTTTTTATTATCTTATCGAGCGTCAACAGCCGAAGCGTTAACTGTGTTGGCATTACGTTCCGTTCTGGCCCCACTCGTTGCCAAGCGAATTTGATTTCGATTTGCACAGCCAAACATCCTCCAGTACATCTGACGGTACTCCCTGTTAAACCAGCTGTATAATATAGGGTTGTAACTCGAGTTACTCCATGCTAACCAGGTCACTATGTCCACTACGAAAGGGTGGATACGACACAGAGTACAAAACTGAAAACACAAGATATGCATAATAGGACTTGTGTTGTAATCCCACATGCTGAGAATTATACCATATACAATGCCATATTATTATAACATACCATACTAAACTGAACCATACCACACTGTTTACCATTCCATACCATACCATACTGTACCACACCATACCATACCGTATCATACCATACCATACTGTGCCATACTATACTATACCATACGATACTATACCATACCATACCGTACGATACCATACCATACTGTACCATACTATACTTTACCACACCATACCATACCGTACCATACCATACTATACCATACTATACTATACCATACCATGCCATACCATATTGTACCATACTATACCATACCATACTGTGCCATACCATACCGTACCATACTGTAGCATACTATACTGTACCACACTATACTGTACTGTACCATACTATACCATACCATACCGTACCATACTGTAGCATACTATACTGTACCACACTATACTGTACCACACTATACTGTACTGTACCATACTATACCATACCATACCATACCGTACCATACTATACCACACTATACTGTACCATACTATACTATAACATACTGTAACAATAAATTACCTGTAAATAAAAGGTCAGCGTGAGATAAGGACTCCAGCAGATCACGAATACACCCAGCAACATTCCCAGTTTCCTGCTGGCTTTATTCTGTTTTATTATTTTTGTGGCCATATTGGATTGATTCTGCGTCACAAAGAGAATGGAAATCCTGTGCAATTGCCGCCTCGCGGTGACATAAATTCGTCCGTAGACATAGAGCATGGCCACAAATGGCAAGAGAAGATTCACACTGAGAACAAAGATGTAATATTTAGGCGGGAAGAACCAGCTGAAGACACAAACATGCACTTCAGAATGATTCTTCATTTGCCAAAAACCGAACAAAGGCACGCTCGCAGTTATCATCGATTCCAGCCAAACAAAAGCGATCATTAGGAGCGCATTTCGTGGGGTTTGAAATTCTGCGTAGCGCAAAGGATTAATGATAGATAGGTACTTATCTAAGGATATCAATGCTAAGTTCAAAACAGACGAGGAACAGCACATCATATCTACAATTAGCCAAAAATAACACGTCGCTTCGCCATTTTCCCACGTTCCACTTACGGCTGTCTCGATTCCGAAGGGCATGACCAAGACGGAACAGAGCAAGTCCGACATACAGAGAGACACGAGGAAGTAATGGCTCGGGTTTCGAAATCGTTTCGTGGTAAGAATTCCAGTTATCATTGTGGCGTTGCCAAAAAACGCGAGGGAGTTTATAAAGATAAGCAAAGCCAGCCAAGATTTATTAGAATTGGGAAAACCCGTGATCAAGTCGCTGTGAGTTTGGTTCCCAAAAGGAGCCATTACTCTTTGGATCAACCGTCGCTCTTAGAAATGAAGAATTCTTTAAAGGTTTCAACTCGTTACCAAAAATCTTCTACAGAATTCTATCTCTCAAAGTTTCTGTATCGCGCTACCTCAAAATTACTAATCTTTTTTCCAGTCTTTTTTTTTATCTTCGTGGAAGCATCTAATTTCACTCTCAGATGGCTGTCTTTCCTCAATCTTTCTTCAATTGAGATGTTCCAAAATGCAATTGTTTATTTCGCGTCGACTGAACACGAACTTTCAGCGTTTGATTCACTGTGCTCGTCCAAGTACAAACGCTAGTCTTAATAATAATCTTGGCAGATGGCTGTTTATGCAAACATTGCTCAAAATATGACAAATATATTCAAAAGTTTCAGTTCATTATAATATGATGTTGATTTGCTTTTCCGACTGTGAATCGATATCATATAGTCTTGCAATATTGCTATATATGTTCTTATCCCCAGCTATTAAAGATTTCTTTATAAGTGCGTGTCAATAGGGTGGAACAAAACTTTGATACTTTCTGTACCTTTTAAATTGAGCTGTCATTCAAAGCTGCGCCGATAATAATCCACTGTTTGTTTCCAAATCTTTGGGCTGCAACTCTTAAAACAACTTAAGATTTTCATCTGTTTTGTTGATGTCTCAGCCATCGGCCATCATTCACGAGCTTCGTGCGTGTTGAAGACAAAAAGCGTGAAGTGAGTAGGGAAATTCTTCTAACGATAATCTTTTAATTATCTTTTTTATATTGTGAAAATCTTCAACATGCATATGAAAGTTTATGATGATAATTTTTTTTGCGAGATTCCGTCTTCTTTTTTATAACCTTAAACGCCTTCCTTCTTTAGCATTGGATCAAGAATGGACAGCGATGAATCTGTTTATATTCCAGCTACAAGTACAAGCCTCCAATTTTATACTTAATCTTCTCTACTCGTAAGGAATCGTGTACAAATAGACCGGAGCAGCAGCTAGTTGCTAAGATCGTAGCTACAACATTTACACGTTAATTATTTACACAAATTATCGATCTCCATCATGCGAGAATATTTCGCACAAGACAGTGTATAACAGAAGGGCTTTTCTTCTTTGACTGTGTATGTTTTGTATTCGAACTGTTTATTAAAACAATCCCCAAGGACTCCGACCGCTCACTGCTGAAACAGTTTCTACGTTTGTTTTCAAGAAACAGCTGCACTAGGGCCTAAGACATCCATCGCCTCGGGTTTTCAGCATCTTAGTGTACAAATTCAAGGAATTCTTAGCTAAGTTTTTTCACATCACTCCAGCCAGAACGGTTTTTAACACCTGAAAACGTCTCTATCTATATTCAGAACTGAACTTTATAGCGTTTTGTAATTTATATATTTATACAACACCGCTGTTACCGCGTTGCCTTAATGTGTTTAAATTAATCCTATAATTTAGATTAAAATGTTGAAAATTTTTTTAAATGGATGCGTCAAGATAAGCTTTATACATATAGAATTTAGCGTGTGCTGAGAAAAATGTTGTCTTCTAAATGGTAAGGAAAAAATGCATAAAGCTAGTATTTCCTTGCCCACTTGAGACCTATGCTGTTGAAGTTTAATGCAATGTTACAGACTAACGATAGCGAAGCTGGAAAATAGGAAAATAGGTCAATGCCTCGAATTCTTATCAGCGTCTAAATTTGTTCAAATGGAGCGAAGCTTTCGAATTAAATAATCTGTTCCATAGAAGCAAATTCATTATTTGATAAGAATTGAAGACGTAATCTTTAATCTCATCAAAAGCCATCTGTGCAGTTCCCATATATCACTTTTCCCGGGAGATTCAGGAACACAACGTGACATGACAATGCAATAAGATGTTGCATCAAGTGAAGATTGCGGGCGGTTTGTTTCCGGGTATCATATTAGAACGAAAAACGGTACAATATTGAAATTAAAAAACGTTTGAATTTGTTAATATTAATAATTATTTTCAACCACCAAAATCCCGGAACATAATGTAAATATAATTTATATCAGTCATTAATCCGTTTAAGAAAAGGAATATGAAAAAATGTAATTAAATTGAAATAATTTTTTTCTGCGCGCGGAAAGAATAAGTGGAAATCTTGTCATCCAGTCATGATCAAGAGATCAGAATGTTCCATTGTCTTTTGTCATCCAGTCATGCTCCAGAGATCAGGATGTTCCATTGTCTTTTCATTGTTATTTCAAAATCTCGCTGTTCACTATGTCATCCAGTTATGATACAAAGATCAGAACTTTCCAATGTTTTTTCATTGAGTAGTTCCCACTGAGCTATATAATAATTCCTGGAGGACCGGCTCGTCATTTTTCGGTAACTTCGCCGCCATCTTTTTGTCCGCAAAAACATGGCGGACTTCCCCCTTCTGCGCAACCGCAGAAGCTCTGCTGACGCCACATGGTTCCTTTTGGCCATGGTAGTTACCACTGACCGGGCTCAATTATGAGCCCGCTACAAGGGTGTTCTCCCCCCTGGATTTAGTAAACAACAGGTTCTCCCCCCTGGCCTTTATAAAAAAATTTCCCGTGAAAACTTGTTTTGTTTTTTTGAAATATAAAGTCATGAAAACATCATTAATTGCATTTTTTTGAAATATAAAGCGTTTTTTTAAGATGAATACAAGTCGTAGACGCTGTTATTGCCAACGCAAGAACAAATATATATTAAAACGTCAAAAAATTGTGGACAAAATTGAAGATTTTAATTCTGACACGAACTGACAGGTGTTTTTTTTTATATTTTCATTATTTCTACATTCCTATAACAAATGCTTGAACTTTTTGGCACTATTGTCGGACATTTTGGGGACAATTGGATATTTATGGACATCAATTAGACTTTTTTGAACCCTGCATGAACAGCAGAATTACTGAAAGTATGCAATTAATAATGTTTTCTTGAATGGTCTTGAATGTCTTCAGAACAATATATCTAGGTATAATCCAAAGAAACATTGCATAATACACTTTTCAGTAAGGTCATCAGCTTAATTGTACCTGAATGGGCTATAAAATTTTCAATATTATCTAATTGCACCCCTGGACCCCTGGTCTTATTAATGAATAATATTCATCCCTCCATAGACTTAATTACTCCTGATTAGCCCATTGAATTTAGCCCTCTTGAAGTTTGATACCATAAACAGAAAATTATAAAAGTGGCTGCAGATTGAAGATACACTGCTCACACAATGCATGTTTATATTTATTTCTTTTATAAATATAACAATGGTTATAAAAATAACAGCAAAAAACAAAATCAGATAACATGGTTAACAATGCAGATTCAAAAGAATGTGTATAATATGCTTAATACATTTCAGTTCAATGTTCCAACAAATTGCATGACAATTAATTAATAAGCCATCTCTAGCTTGCTTTATTTCATTAATTAATAAGCCATCTCTAGCTTGCTTTATTTCATAGCATCTTCATCCTGAAAAATATAAATGGAGATCTGATCAAGATTTATTCACAAGGTGCAAGAAGTTAAAAAATCAATTAATTATAAGCCATGATAATTGATTTGAATTTGACAAGGCAAACAAGATAATATATTAACTAGGTTTTAACAGTCACCATCATCAGAGGTTGAAATTTACACTGTTTGCAGCAAAAATCTTATTACTTTGTATCAGCACCCACTCCACACTTTTGTCAGTCAGATCATGTAATTATTGCTTAAATCTAATAGACTCACTGGGGGGAAGGTTTACCTATTTACATTATTGTTTGCTATCATGAAAACAAAATAGACCAAACTCAAAGATTGACATTGCCAGGAATTTAATTCCTTCCCCACACAAGACAAGAATATGATAAAGTTTGAGTATATAACATTGCACATGTACCAAAGGTCTAAAATAGTATATTTGCTGTTTGTACCATAAGTTTTGATGGATTTATATGGCTCAGAACCTTTGGTAATCAGTTTATATTCGAGTCCAAAGGAAAAAACTGAAATTGTTATAAAAACGGCTTACCTGGATTAGGCTGGATGCCATAAAATAACAGCCGAATGACAAAAATCATTCCCCCGATAAGTGAATTAGGCCATTCAAAACGTCAGACATATAGAGCACAAAGCTACGTCTCCTTTCCATTTGTTGAACAGGAAAAAAGAGGATTTATATGAAATACAAAAAATATACACGGAAAGCCGAAAATATTTTCATAAAAACCAGGAGGGAGATGGACACAGTTTTTCACCTTGTATCGCGGTATGTCAGTGGTAACTACCATGAGCAAAAGGAACCATGTGGCGTCAGCAAAGCTCAAAATCCGCCATGTTTTTGCGGACACTTTTTGGTGGCGAGCCGGTCCTCCAGGAATTATTATATAGCTCAGTGGTAGTTCCAGTCTTCAATTGTTTTGGCGCCGGCGTTCAAATCCAATATGGCGGCCAAAGTTGGCGATGTTGTTTTCAAAGCAGGCGAGGTTTGTTTAAATTTCTTTTTCATTTAAATGACTTTATTTTATGAATCTTCGAGCACTTTTTCTGTTCTGGCTCTTAAACTACACGAAGGCGATGCATAAGAGTGTAATAATTAATAATATGTAGTAAATATTCAGTACTAATTTCAGTATTCACAACTTTATTCCAATATTTGTGCTTTGATTTGAAAAGGCAATAGATATGGAAGAATTTTGGGATGACAGTGCATTAATCAAAGCTTATGAGAAAGCAGTTAATTCATTCAAGGTATATGATATATGTATTATGTACTAACATAGAAATGACAGCATAACGGTCAGACAGTTAATACACTTCGATCATGTTAGGTACAGGAAGTAAGGTTTACATTGGAGGTAAAGAAAGACTTGTTAGAACAATTGATTATTTGTATCTATTATACAAAACTACTTGAGACTACTTTTGAATACAAAACTACTTTAAAATTCTACTACAAAACTACTTTTGAATCTGACTACTTTTAGTTCGGTACAGACGAAGATAAAACTGAGAAGATAAACCAACCTCACCAAACCTACAATGGCAAAAAGAAGAAAAGGTATTGTGCTTTGCATTGATTAGAACATGCACAAAATGTTGTGTCTGAGTGTTTTCAAATGTGTCTTCATCAGTCATCACAAATGACACTTGACATTTATCTACATTTAGGAGGAGAAGACGGTCAAACAAGAGAGACATGAAAAGTTCTTGTGATGAAGTTGATGATGACACTTCAAACGTAAGCTTTGATGATTGATATGATTATCACCTTCTTGTTTTATGAAATTCCCTGTGACACTCCATTTTGGAAGTGTCCGAGAGTTTCTATGCCAAAACCAATGAAATTCTATTTCCCTTGTAGTGGAGTGTTGGAGATAAATGCCTTGCAGTCTTCTCCGAAGATAGATTGATTTATGAAGCAGAGATCATAGAGATTTGTTCAGACATTGAGAACATGTGTGTTGTGAGGTATTTGGAATACGGCAATGAAGAACAGCAGTACCTTACTGATTTGATGAAGTCCTGTCCTTATTCTCACCAGGTACAGACTAATGTTTGATTTTGTGGTGCATATTCATATATTTGTTTTATACCTATATATGAATATACACTTCCCAAAATGAAGCTTCCAGTGATAACCCTGGTGTTTTCTACAGTCATTATAATGACAATGTAAGTTGTAGGTGTTGTCAATACTGTTAGGAAAAAAAGATTTTGAGGGATTCTGGCCACACAAATATTTTTTAGAGTGAGGAGGATTCTAATGCTGGTTGCTCCAGTAATAATCAAGACACAGACACACAAAATTGGAAAGTGAGCGACTTCTGTGTTGCACCAGAGCCACCTTACCAACATTATCATGAAGCTGTTATCAACTCGTTCTCATCTTCATTAACTTGTAAAGTCACATTCCTAAGATCACGGAAAAGGTAACAGCTAAATATTACAATATAATTTCCTGTATTAAACCTTGGTAATATTGTACTGTGTGAAAATATTCTTTTTTGCAGTCATGAGGTTTGTGTTAGGGATCTGAAAAGGTCTTGTGGTAAGTGCAGATTGTTGTAAAAGTTTTTGTTGAAAGGTCATTCAGGCTATTTTTGCTGGGATTTTAAATTGCTGTTACTAAGCATATAGAAACTAAATCTAGTTTGAGTTTTCTCATTTAGGTGACATTGTATAGAGGTCATTAATAAGAAATATCGCTATATGTTCCACCTTTTTAGATTTCAATCAAAATACCAGTGCTCATCAACCACATTCCAATTTGAATTTTATCCCACCCACATTTCCATCCTCAACTATTAGGGTAAGTATATGTGTAATGTGTTCCTGCCTTTGTAAGAATTTTGAATTAAGGATTAATATCTTGTGCTATCCCTTGTAAACTTTTTGTACTCTCTTCCTTCCTCAGGGTATACCTCCACCCCCAGTCCCCCCACCTCCTCCTCCAATATCTCTGGATGATATTCAGGGTGATGAGGAATCACTAGCAAGCATGTTGATGTCATGGTATCTAAGTGGTTACCATACTGGATATTTTAAGGTATGGTATTTCAAGTTACCAAACCAAGATTTTTTTCTCATGAATTGAACTGATTGAAATTGGACATATCTTTAAAATACACTGGCATCTCTCTAATACAGACATCTCTCTAATACAGGCATCTCTCTAATACAAAAGGCATCTCTCTAATACAGACATCTCTCTGATACAAACATCTCTCCAATACAGACATCTCTCTAATACAGATATCTCACTAACACAGATATCTCTTTAAAACAGACACCTCTCTCTAATACAGACATCAGTCATCTCTCTAATACAGACATTTCTCTCTATATAATACATTTCATTGTTGGTATAGGATGAGACATGGAACATCCATTAAACCAAAGCTTTTAAATTCCTAGGCTGTACAACAATTTAAGAGAAATCATTTATCACAATCAACAAATCAACCTGCCTGCCATTCAAATGCCAATCCTCATTCTCCAGGACCTTGTATGGACATGAAGGAGTAATGTGACTTTTATATCCCTTAGCGACAACCTGCAATCCTTCCAACCTCGTACCCAGGGCCTTCTCGTAGGGGAAGAGGGGGTTGCAATCCTTTTGAGTTCAATGAAATTTTAGAAATTCAGTATTTAAGTTTTTGCACACTATTGAGTAAATAAATATCTTTTGTTTTATATGACATAAATGTATTACTATTATTCAGTATTTAGTATAAAATTGCGAGCCGTTATTCCTAATCCTAAATTATGACCTAAATTCTAAATCCAAAGTCTAATTATTTCGAGGCTACAGCAACCTAATCCAAATTGGATTAAATTGTGTTACTTAATCCTTCGAGAATACACCAGCGTAATCCAAATCCGATTAGCTACGAACGTTCACGATCAATCGGGATAAATTGGGATAAAAAAGTTTTTTAAAAATTGACGCAATTTGCTTGCCATATATGGCAACGTGCGCCTTATTTGGTTATCGCTAATTATATGATGTGAAAATTAATATGGCCGAGTCGATGACAGCCTGGAACTAGTAAATAGAACAAAACACAAAACACATTTAAACCAAGGGCCATTCAACACGAACAGCACTTTTACATCAAAATTTTAGTAGATTTTCGCTTCCTAACGGCCCCAACATAAACTCCTGGCCACGTTTAACACCGTCCATGGCGGACGCGACGTCTTCGGCGACAGTGAAAGTGCTAAGCCTCGAACTGAAGGCCTTGCAGAAGGAGCCTGTCGAGGGTTTTCAAGTCAACCTACCAGACGATAGCAACTTTTTTGAATGGAATATCGTAATCTTTGGACCGCCTAAGACGCTCTACGAAGGGGGATATTTCAAGGTGGAGTATTGCTTTGGCTCTATTCTAGAAATTTCGAGTTTTTTCTTTGAAAATGTAGATACTAAAACAGAATGTTTTTTAGGCACATATGTCCTTTCCTTCCAATTATCCTTATGCGCCACCAACATTTCGATTCAGTTCTAAAATGTGGCATCCGAATATATACGAGGTAAGAGTGGTCTAACGGGAGTATTTTCTTCTCAAAGTGTTGTATATTTTTACAGCGGATAAGGGTCTATATCGTGTGTCAGACTGTCTCCTGTTTGACATTTTTGGTTGTCAAGTGTTCCTCTAAGTTTAAATACATATTTTTAATACGACTTCAAGACTTGGGGATTTTAAAAGCTACAATGCTTTCTGTTTGTTTTTTAGACTGGAGATGTTTGTATTTCCATCCTCCATCCTCCAGTTAACGACCCGCATAGCGGAGAATTACCTTCGGAAAGATGGAATCCAACACAGACAGTTAGGTCCGTGATAGTTTCCCTTTTTCAATTTAAAAAACAAAAATAGTTTTTAAAATTAGCATTTAGTTATTCATACGAGTAAACTGTGGCTATTTTCCTTGAAAATCGATTCAACTAGGTGGATTTTAATGGATTATTAAAAAAACAACGGGATGTGCTTTCAAAAGTAACAACTTTGGCAGTTCTATTGTGGCAATTACGATTTCGACATTCAGAATTTTTTTGTTTCTTGTTTATATAATTTATGCATTTGGAGTGAAATATTTTCCATATTTAAATATACTGAACATTAAGAATTTGCAGATGGCCTTTGTAAGGTTTGTGTAAGTACAATGTATGTATTCTTTTGTCTTGTCTGAAGGCAAAAAGCATTATCTGTTATCTTTAGGCCATCATCACAAGTAGTAAAATAAATTTTCAAAGGAAGCAATTCAGTCCCATTTTATATTAGGCAATTGTTGAATGAGCTAACACACACAAGAGGCTTCAAGATCTGTGGTCTGTTGTAATTATATGCTTCATGTTTTAGTGAGCTACAAATTGTCAAATTAGGTAGTAAATCGACAAAAATAAAATTAAAACACAGAGAACTACAAAAGACTACAAAACCTAACACTATGTTTTTTTTAGAACTATCTTGTTAAGTGTAATATCACTGTTGAACGAACCAAACACATTTTCACCTGCAAATGTTGATGCTTCAGTGATGTACAGGAAATGGCGGGACACAAAAGGGAAAGACGATGAATATGTAAAAATTATAAGGTTTGTTTCATTCATGTTCAATGAAGTCCAACAGATTTCGATCTATGCATATTTACGGTGAAAATCTACTTTATAAAATGAGGCTTTTATGCTGAAACCAGATGTTTTGTATTTCAAATATTTGTGTGTTTTGACAACAGAAAACAAGTTTTAAAAACCCAGCAAGAGGCTGAGAAAGATGGAGTTAAGATTCCTTTGACCATGGAAGAATACTGTATCAAGTCGAAACCGAAACCTCCAGAAGAGGACTTGAATGATTTCCTCTGTGATGACTATGCGGATGAGCTTGAATCAGACGATTCTGACGAAGATGACGAGCTTGTGGCTGACAGTCAAGATTCCGGTAACGAGGAGTCCTGATTGGACTATTGTATAAATAGGACTAAGTCTGTATAATAATAATAATAATCTAGATGCATTAATGAATTTGCAGTTGTTAGTGATGTCCGGTCCCATAAACCACCCTGGTACTATAAATTTTCTGATACAAATGAATTCACAGTGCAAATACGACCTCATTCATACCTGCTCTTCCTGCTACAAAGTTAGCACCAATATTCAATTTCTTATCAAAATTTTTACAATTTCAATATTTGTATCTTATCCTGAAATATTTTGCTTAGAATTTGTTGTTGTTGCCTATATCTAGGAGTTCCTAGAATTTCTGCACTTGAAATTTTACTTTAAACTTGGAATGGCTGAAACTTCTGTGCACTTGGCTGTAAGGCTCATTTTTACAGGATGTTCTGAATCTAATTTTTTCTAAGAAATTGAGTGTTATTTGCCCTGTGACAATTATGCAATTTTCACCTTGAAGCCTGGCTTTCAGGAATATATGATACAAGATGAATGGTTCACGAAAGCGAGGCTTAGAGGTCGAATGACGTGATTATATAAAATCCCGTGTTTTCAAAGCTCATTCTTACCCAAATTGTTGTTTTTCAAAAACACTGGCTGTTTTTTCATGGCCTATTAATTTGTTTATATTGGCGTCACGAACTTGTTTATATCCGAAAGTTGCAGAGCATGTTGTTGTGGTTTCTTTTAAACTTGGCAGGCGATTACGGAGTCAGGTTAACCTGAAATATACAAATGTTGCAATAACAAGATCTTCTCTTTAATAATACGATGTATTGCATAATTACATTTGCCTTTGTTTTTCACTCTCGACTCTGTTATGACTATGTGCGTTTTGCCTTTGTTGTCAAGCATAGAGCAACGTGAAGATTTTCCTCTCCTGTTAAAACTTAATTTTCTTTTCTGTGCAAAGCTCTGCATTCTTCAAATGTATTTTATTCTTTAATGTATCTGCTCAAGAGATTGTGTGCTTCAATGCTTTGGCTCTAGGCCCGTGTTTAGTTAGGCCAGATTACAATGATAAATGAATTGTATTTAGCTTTGTAAATGTTTTCGCACGAAATGACATAAAAATATCTTAAATATACTTGTATCGTGTGCTTGTTGTGATAATTGGTATCTTTGGCAAAAACACGTCATGTTTTGTCTAGTTAACACTCAGTTACAGAAAGATTATCCCCTGCCGTGGAAACTAGACTAGCTTCGACTCAAGATCTGACAGGAAAGTTTCTTCACTAAGTTCTTAACCAGAACTGATGGCTTTCCCACAAATATAGTCTTCCTATCTGAAGCAATCCTGAGGATAATTTCCTTAGGTTTAATAGAACAAGAAACGATTCTTTTGGAGAGAGAATTAAGACTAAAAAAGCCATGGCCCATGTCCATTGACATGAACTTGCATGCAACACTGCCGGGCATATATTCCTGACTAGATCTGATGCTTGTTTATTTATTTTGGCATTTGCCTTTAGGATATTAACTCTCAATTCTTGATAAAACATCTATTAGAAGTCAACTAGATCCGACAAAATTGGATCGTAAAACAGACCTTTTGTCTTTGAAACTAACTTAAACTTCCTCAAACTGATTTCATGTTGTTTCTCGCAAAAAACTCCCGCTGGTGGGTGCATAAGTACCTTAAAAAAAAAGTCGAGTCTGATATTAATGATGTATTAGAAAGTAAAAGCAATTTCCGATTAAAAAAAGCATCTTTAAGAATGCAATATATCATTCAAGTCAAAACAAAACGCAGTTGAAAACTGTGAATTCTCTGCATGAAATTATTTTTAGAATGAAAAAAACTTTGAAAACCGAGCTTTTAATTGTTTTGAATGAGCATTCGCGAAATTGTCATTCAACTTGTTAAATCTGTCGAAATGGTCTTGACCTCAATGACGCATTAGAATTTACGAATTACGACTCAAGTTATTTACAATTTCCGAGAAATCTGTGTCAGCTGAGCCCGCCTTGAGGCATGCTTCGGTGGCAGCGGCAAGTCGCGTGCGCTCATGCGTAGAACGCGCGTGTGCACGGCCAGTAAGACAACATGGCTTCCTTTAGTATCAAATCTTTTGACAAAAAACTCAAAGAAATGTCTTCAAGACAGGACAGTGTGCAAACGGTATCCCTGTGGCTGATTCATCACCGAGCACACTCCAAATCTGTCGTCTATTTATGGCTTGATCGCATGAAAAAAGGTAAGAATTTGAATGTTTTTATTCTACAACCATGTTGGGTATTTCACAGATGCTATTATTGCATGCAAACAGCTGAATCCAGAGTGTTATAGTTTAATACTGTCTTGCTGCAATGCATTGCAGTATTTCCGTGGACGTCGCAACCGCGATTGCCTTGATTGTCTTTTTCGTTTGAACTTTTTGGTACTTTTGTAACATAATTATACAAAGTTCTTAATGTCAAATGTGTGTGCAATATTTAAACGATCTTGTGACTTGACTGATGGTATGGTCGACTGTTATGGTTCGAAGAGGGAAACGATTTTTAGAAGCTTTAAATAGAGCTTTGCTTTGAATATATTGTTGAAGATTCAAATCTTCCTTACCATGGAGATAAGACAGGGAATAATGAAATATTCTGCTGTGATTTCTCTTTATAACAATCTGGAAAGTTAACAGTTCTTTTGTGAAAGTGAATGAAAGTATTGTTCGCATTCTTGCATGGTTCATACTAACCTACAATCACAAATGCAGGATATCATTTTATAATGATGTCAACTAGACTTCACCTTGCTTGTTTGCATTAATCGTTAGCTAACCATCAGTCTTTTTCTGCCAAGATGGAATTTCTGCTCAAAAAAGTCCTGTTATCTCATACCATTATACCAAAGTTATCTATGATGTATAATATTTTTCAAATTAAATGTCATTCAATAGTTTCCACTGGTATTCATTATTTTATTATTTCAGTGTATGGTGGTTACTATGCATCACCATAGTTACTTCCTTTTTTTTCATGTGGTCTAGTCTGCCCTTTTCTTCCTCTTATTTACAAGTAATTTGTGTTTCTATCCACAGCTAAACCAGATCGACGTTTAATCCTGTTTTACCTGGCAAACGATATCATTCAAAACAGTCGAAAAAAAGGAAAGGAATACACACAGTCATTCAGCAAAGTGTTGGGTGATGCCATGCAATATTTACGGTATGTACCTTGAATTTTCACCAGACAATGTTATTCTGTGATTTATTCTTCCCATTTTCAGTAGATTTCAAGTCTAACTTGCTATTTCATGGCATTTAGTGACACTTCGATCAGACCCTCTGTTGAAAGAGTGCTGAAGATTTGGCAGGAACGAAAGGTTTTTGAAAAAGATGCTGTCCAAAAGCTGCTTAACCAGTTAAATAATGGTATGTTATGGTCAAAGTACCGGAATATACATACTCAAGATCACATATGAACCAGTGAACTCCATCAAAAATTAGTGAAATTGACTTAGGATGCAGATTAATAGATGTGGCACATTAACTAGCAGTGCATTTTCTGCCACAAATGGTTTAAATTGTCTTAATTGTAGGACCCTTCTACTGTAGATTGCTAAGCACATCGAAAATTCTTTTGACAGCTATCACCATTAGCCACAGTTGTATTAAATTTTAGTTTTCTGTCCTCAATATAGCTTCGGTTAAACCTAAACCCAAGCCAAAACCTGAACCAAGCGTTCCCAAGAAGGAGATTGAAAAAGTTAAAGATGAAGAGAAGAAAAAGAAAAAGCCAAAACGTCCTGTACCTGCAAATTTTAAGGTATCAAATATAAATAGTGTGTTGGTATTGTAGTTCACGTGCCTTTCTGACTTACTTACACCTGAGAAGAGTTCTTATAGTTAGATTCTAGTAATAATTTAAGCAAGTCATTCAATCATCCGAATGCCACTAGTGTTACTTGGTTATTTGATTATTGGAATAACTACAGTGTCAATGTTGGCAGAAATTAAGTGGTTGTTGATGATGTCTTTGAGCGCATTATATTGATGTGCTTTATTGTCACAATCTACATTATATATGAACACCTTGGAAGAAAATTTAAGAACTGATAGAGCTATCCAGCTTAGTTTAGGTTTCCTCCTGTAGTAACACTGGATCAATGAGAGATGATCCTTACTGGACCTCTAGGAAGAACAGTTTAGAACTGATAAAGCTATCCAGTATAAATAAAGTTAGTTTAGTTTAGGTTTCCTCCTGTAGCAACACTGGATCAATAAGAGATGATCCCTACTGGACCTCTAGGAAGAACAGTTTAGAACTGATAGAGCTATCCAGTATAAATAAAGTTAGTTTAGTTTAGGTTTCCTCCTGAAATACCATCTGATGAAGTTTATTTTCAAATTTAAGACAATAAACGTTACTCGAGCTATGGCAACGATGCAGGAAATTGAAGATGAGACGGAGAGACGGCAGACATTGGTGGCGCAAATGAGATTGGATGCCTCAAGTTCAGAAGGAATCAAGCAACTGAAAGGTTTGTGTTTGCTGCGGGATAAAAACTCCAGTCAACGTTAAGGCGGGAATAGCAACGAGTGCATTTCTTGACTCAATACCAGCCATTTCACAATTCAACTTCTGTTTAATCTTCAGATTACGCTGGAGGAAACAGATTTTCATTGGAATTTGAAGAATCAAGCACGAAATACGAAGAACTTGCTGAGTCTCTTCAGCGAGAAGCTCAGCATCGTGGAGTGCTGGTGGATTTACTTGAAGATGGCGATGCTTACTATCAAGCTGCTCTGAAAGAAGCCTCTCTTATTGCAAATGTACGTGTACAATGCGATTATTGTTGTGTATTTGAGAAGTAGTTTTGTCTTTGAATTTTTCATGATACTTAAAAGATAGACTAAAGGTCTGTTCACACGATCCAATTTTGTTGGATCCAATTCACCTCTGATGGATGTTTTATAGTCTGTTGTCTTGTAATGTACATGAGCAGCAAATCCACTGAAGCCAATGCAGTACGGCTTCATCAATAACCGACTATATTCCATACGTCAGAAGTGAATTGGATCCAACAAAATTGGATAGTGTGAACAGACCTTATGGTCAATTGAATACATTTGCAAAACCTGAAGGCAATGGTTGTTTTTGAAGTGTAGACATCGCAACTTAAACATTAATTCAGTTTCTACAAGCACTACAAGTTTGAAAAAGGCCAACATTTTGTAAGAATTTGTTGGTTGAGTTTCTTTTTGTTTGTTTGTTTGCAGGCGTATCGTTCGTTTGGGAACAGGTTACATTCCATGAAGAAGAAATTGGACAATAAGATCAGAAAATTCGCGACCGCGGAGAAAGAGGCTCCCGTGTCGGCTCCGAAAGCCTCGTTCCTTGCCTCGGGGCTTTCCGGCATCTTGGAACAGATGAACCACAGCCCGGCTGCAACACCAAGCAGGGCCGAGCAAGAGGATGTCACGAAAGATGAGAAAGAAACGGGGAATGAACTGAAGAAAAAAGAAGGGAATAAAGAGAATCTGGATGATGATGGAAAGGCTGTTGATCCGACCATGGACCACGTGGAGGTCTCTGATATGGATCTTGACTCCGATGACGGAGCTGATGACCCCGGGACAGCCCCACAGCTGTCAGACAGTAATTCAAACACAAGTGCGAAATCGACCCCACAGCCCGTGCCTACCCCCTCGCCCCTCGCGACAACCCCATCACCAAAAGTCGTAGCAAAGGTACCTGCTTCAACCACTACCACATCACAATTTGGTTACACGATGACTGTGAATAGTGCAGGGGAAAACGATGACGTGGAGTCCCCCGCCTCCCCCGAGTCGGTACCTTCCCCGGATGGTTCACCCGAGTTGAACTTGGAGATCTACGAGCGATCGCCGGCAACGAACGCTCTGCCCGGCAACCAGCTTGGTGTGATGATGAACCAGAGTTTTATTGGCAACGAACCCAAGCTTGATCCAGGCGCCGCTGGTTCCCATAACACCATGAACCTTCTAGCACAACTTATCAGCAAACAACGACGTAATGATGGAAGCTCGGTGGAGGGCACAGACAGCCCCGGACGGGGGTCGAACACACCGAATACCCCCGCGCGAGATGAAGTCGGCCACAGACCACTCGCAAATTTGCTTGGAGATTTGTTAGCTCCACTGGTTCACTCGCAGGACGAGGTCAGTCAAATTGGAGGACAAGCGGAGATGGTCCAGGAAGAGGCCGCCCACGTGGGAACTTTTGATCATTCTGTTGCTCCTGTAAGCACTTTGGCTGAGCCCGCTACAGCAGCGGTTGCCGTGGCAGCGTCGAAGAACGACTCTGGCCCGAGCACGGATGAAGAAGGGGAGGCCGGCGACAATACTCCTGAACATGGCGTGGATTACGCTCAAGCACCTCCGATCATTATACGATCAGATTCATCGTTTCATCCGAGTTTTCCCGGGCAGGCTTTTCAAAATCGCCCTCCAATGGCAAGACCTGGCTTCCTTACCCCCGAAAGAATGCCGATGTTCCCGGGCGAAGCTGGCGTCTTCACACGCGATGGTCATTGCCGGCCCTCCATGGAAGAGCACTTTCTCAGATCACCCGTGTTAAGATCACCGCGGGTGGCGGGTGGGCCGATACAGTGGGAACAAGGTTCACCCTTTGGGCCACGGGGCAACCTTCAGGCCGTCATGGAGAATAGGGACCCTCGACTCCGTCGTCGCGAGCAACAGATGGGTAGATTTATAGACAATTCGCCTTTCATGGAGAGAGGAGGTCAAGGCAGGCCCCCAGGAATGGAACTACGTGGAGATCTGAGGCAAGGGCCTCCCCCAATGGGCATGAGAGAAGATGTAGAGAGAGAGGAGATGATGAGAAGACGTTTGTCAGGTGACGAAGGAGATGGGCGTATACCTTTGGAAGAACGAGAGAGACACATGTGGGAGATGGAGGAAGGTCGCCCTCCATTGGATAATAGACCTGAATTGCGTTTCATTGAAGGGGAGAGGCAGGACGGACCTTACTCTTTTGAAAGACGCGACATGCGGGGGCGGTTTCACCCTATGGAAAGAGATGCGGACATGAGGGACGTTCATCCCGAGGTGAGGGATGGTCCTTTATACAGGATCCCCCCAATTGAGAGGCGCTACCCCCCACCACTTCCCATGGGTAGAACAGAACTTGTGGGCGATAGAAGGGAACCCGTCCCCATTGATCAAAGAGGACAAACTATTAATCGAATTGAAGCTCCCCACACTACGAGTGGAGCACCCTTAGATGGCCCACACCCGATAGAACAGAGAAACCAATTCCATCCACCAGAGGTAAAACTCGCCCCTGACGAAGTGCCCACCTCCGAGGAAGAAACCTCGGAGATCAACGATAAACCTCCGGTAGGTGACCTCGCCGACGGTGGGCAGCAACGCCCGCCAGTTCAAATGCTTGATGGTGCCCATCCTGAAATGGGTAATAAAGACGATCGCTTTCATAATGAACAGAAATTTCCTCTAAATGAATGCCAAACAGAGAATGAACAAGGAGCAATGTTCCGTGTGGATTTAAGACCTCCGGAGATTAAACCCTCGGGCGAAGGTCCCACTTTCAGACCACGAGACGGCAGTAGGCCAATCAGGGTGATTGGTGGTCCGTATGGACCACGCCATGATGGACCAGGACGGTACCCAGGCCCTCGAAACTTTCATCCAAATTTTCGACCGCGACATTTTAGACCTCGCTATGAACATGATAGGTCGCGTCCCCACTACCCACCCATGCACGGGGGGCCCCACCTAAAGCGCTCTGGACCGCCTTTTCAAGCAGACTTTGCTAAGCGGCCACACTATTAACAAACAAACAATATTCTAATAACTCAATGGTAATACCATGCATGTCTATTCGCTTTGCTTAAATAGTAAATAATTATAAACATTGAAGTCGAGTGGATTTCTCTACCATATTATGTTGATCCAAGATGATGATCCTGAAGTTGCAGGTATAAACCATACTTACCATAGCATGGTACGCCCATCATAGCTCTAACTCTCATAATGGTTAAGTATTTACTAGCAGGCATGGTATGCAAAATATAGATTCGAAAAAGGTTATGTGCATGATTTAATTCTACCGCCGGCCCTCTGAGATGCGAAAAAAGTTTTTAAGCTGTTTGTCACATCTAGATCACCATACACTGGGCATACTAAATCACAGTTAAAGGATAAATACTAAATTAAATATGTTTATCAGATAAAGGGCCTAACCATGGCGTGAATTATATTCCCCCTGGCCCCTAAATTTTCACTGAAAAGCACCGATTGATCCCCATAATCTTGCGTCACATGCGCATCGAGGACATTCAGGACAAAGGTCAATTGTCATCTGAGCCCGCGATAGCGAATGGAAATAAACGAAATTTTAAAACTTGCAGAATTCAAGTCAGAAATGCATGAAAGAATATGGTAACTTGTCTCTGAAATAAAAGTATATTTGAATGGTGCGTCTCTTGAACTATTTATCTTGTATGAAAAAAGACAATATTGTTTGTCAATATAAATTCTTATCATTTGAATCCAGCGTTAAGCCAAGATGCACAAGCCTAAGTCTACTATTGCAATATCTTTTGTTTCTTGAACTAGATTTCCCGCTTGGCACGTTATGTTGTCAGAAGCCCCCAAATTAAACGAATCCAGGGTCTATTTTTCAAGTGTGAATTGTTGGTAGCAAGTCGAAGTATTTGTACACACGATTTCACCGACGAAATGTCTTCGAAGTCCTACCCATTAGAGGTAATTTTGTGGTATTTTTCTCCTTTTGTATCTCCAGAACACAATCGTGTATTTGTTCTCCAAATTGCGGCTAAATTTCAAAAAAAAAATCGTGAAATTTGAAGAAAGCTTAGATCTAAATTTGCAGCATCAGCAGTTCATAGTACATGCGCACATCGTGTTTTTATGAAGGCAAGATCTTGAAGTTTCGCCTGTGATTTCGAGGATTATTTTTAAAGATTTTTCGTAAACTTTCACTGCGATTTGCCAATTAAAATGGCTGAGGTCGAAAAAAAGATGGAGAATTTAAATGTGTCGGAAAAAAAGGGAAAAGGTGGCAAGAAATCAAACGACAAAGACAATAACACTGGCGTTGTTTTGGAAGTAGGTCGACCATTGTAGTATTTCGTTCATACTGTTTTTTAAATGTCACTTGTTTTATTCAATGAAATATCGTTAGATCGTCTTGTATAGGCAGTGTCTGAAAGCTTGCTTGTCGAGAGATTGCATTTGTAGTTTTACGCTTATAGTTTGCAGTATAAACACATAAAATTATCTATTTCACTATTTGTAAAAAATTAAAACTTATAAATAGTTTATATTATTCACACGTGGACATGCACGCAAGGTTACAGCCAACTTAAAATTGTCCGCTGATTTTTCTTGATCTTTGATAATATTACTTCGTATTATGAATTGTACTTTAATTGTTTAAATATTAAAGTGTACATTTTTCATTATTCCCTTTCCGTTTTGGGTAAGGGCTTGTATTGCATCAGCAATTGTTTGACCTGTCCACGTGTAAGACCTGTGCTTTCCAAGAATTTGGAATTGTAACATATTATTTCATTTTAGTCCTTTAATCTGTGAATTAGTCCAATAGTAGAATGGTTTTAGAATGGTAGAATCATAAGAGAATGTCTCTTTTCATTCTAAATGCATGACCCTCTTATTTGAAGAGTTTGTGTAAAAAAAATGATGAAAGAACAATTGTTTTGTACGGTGACAAAATATTTGATATAGAAAAGTCAGCTGAAAGCAAGGAATCAAATAGTTTGAGACACCTCAACCTTTTTTATTACAACTTGTATTTACTGATATAATATATGGTAGAATTATAAAATTAAAATTTTTGTTTCTCAGTGGCAGAATATTGCCCATACCATAGTGTTTCACTGTTATGAACAAACATTTTAACTGCTGCATTTACAATTTCACTAGCTTGATCCCCCACCAGGATTTCTTGCTGAAAGAATTCAGATGTTTGATCGACTCAAGGCTGAATATGATGCAGAAGTTGCAGGTATAAACTGTGGCATCACCTGGTTCCACCTGACCCTATCACAGCTTTAACTCTTGTAATGTTCAATTATATCCCAGCATGCAAAATATAGATTTTGAAAAAGGTTATGCATGTGAGACTGATTTTAACCTCACCAATTTTAGTACTAGCAATTAAATTAATGTGAATCTAACACGTCAGACAATTGACTCCATGATCAAAATGTCTCCTCAAATGCCAGTTTGGTAATTAATTTGTCAAGTCAAGATCACTGCCCAACCATAATTAGGTTCATTTAGTTGATAGCAAGAACTCGTTAATTGTTTTGTTTAGCAAAAGCAGCTGAAAACAAACCAATCAAGATCACATTGCCAGATGGTAAAGAAATTGACGGCGTTGCTTGGAAGACCACCCCTTATGAAGTAGCAGCCTCAATAAGGTAGATTTTTTATATCATATCCCAACATTCATGTTTCTTTGCTTAGAATTTAGCTTGCTTTGTCTGTTGCCAGATAGTTTTTCAGATCATGCACCAATTTTTTCTTGCAGGAAATGTTGATTTTGCACTATGCATAAAGCCTTTTTCAAATTTTTCTTTATCTTCCCTTTAGCCAAGGATTGGCGGACAATACTGTAATTGCAAAGGTACATATCATGAGTTATACTATAAGGGCATTTATTAGAATGGAAGACTTATATTTCATTGGAAATTAAAAATAAATATTTCATTGGAAATAAAAGTAATCAGTGTGTTATTTGTTCTTGTATAGGTGAATGAAGAGGTTTTTGATCTGGATCGACCTCTCGAAGGTGATTGTAAACTGCAGCTGCTGAAGTTTGATGACAAAGAAGGTTTGTTCATTGGCAGTTTTGTCTTTGCCACTACGGTACATCATCTCACCCTGATTATCATCATAGTTCCTTCTTCACCCTCAAGTTAAAAGCTCTTTGCATGGACATTAAGTACTCATCTATTTCCTCACGATGATCGTCATCATCACCTTTGCATCGTCATTTGCCCATCATTATCATTATTCATCACTCATAGTTCCTTCTTTCACCCTCAGGTCAACAGGTGTTCTGGCATTCCAGTGCTCACATCATGGGTGAAGCCATGGAGCGCCATTATGGCGGACTTTTGTGCTATGGCCCCCCAATTGAAGAGGGATTCTATTATGACATGTTCTTAAAGGAAAGGTAACACTTCTTCATCACCTGCAAACACAGACAGATTTTCTGACTGGGTACCTTCATAGAAACTTTTTCACTCCCTGAACCACTGTCATTAGTCCCAAATTTATTTGAACACATTTCAAAGATAATTTGTAATCTCAATATTTTTGGGAGGGGGTACATCACCCCCTCCCCTCCCCTAAAGTCTGGGCAACACAGAATCTATCCTTGCTCATATCTTTGTTGCTCTTTTAACAGACAAGTCTCCAGCAACGATTATTCAAATCTTGAAACGGTGATGAAACGTATTGTCAAAGATAAGCAAGAATTTGTTCGGCTTGAAATGAAAATAGAAGATCTATGTGAAATGTTTAAGGTACACTAGCGTTTAGACATACCCAAACCTATGTTTCAAGATTCACATAACAAAAAAGCAACTCCTTTATCATAGGTAATGAATGCTTGTAATTATTTCTTTTTTAGTACAATCCTTTTAAGCTGCGAATCATCAAACAGAAAATTAAAACACCCAAAACAACTGTCTACAGGTAAGATGCAGATCCCATAGACTTAACATCCACCAACTTATACACATAACACATCTCCATCTAGTACAAACTTTTGTTTAGATGTGGACCTTTGATAGACTTGTGTCGTGGACCGCATGTAAGACACACTGGAAAGTGCAAATCTATTGCTCTTACGAAGGTAGGATTATGTGTGTTAATGGCAACATTACAATTATCTTGTCTGACATTTCTGTGCAAATGTTTTGTTCAATAGAATTCGGCAACCTATTGGGAAGGGAATTGTGAGGCTGAATCATTACAAAGGATTTATGGGATCTCATTTCCTCAAGAGAAACAAGTAATCCTGCATCACATCTTAAGCAGCATTTCCAGAGTTCTGCAACTCAAACAATTTTTGTGAATTTCTAGTTGAAAGAATGGAAGAAATTCCAAGAAGAAGCAGCCAAACGAGACCATCGCAAAATTGGTCAGGTATGAATTTGAATTTAGAAATGAAAAATGACCTTAAAACCTTCGTCAGTAAACAATTTGATGGAATATAAAAAAAACATTAATGAATGACTTTGAAATAAATCGAAATATCATTGTATTGTTTTAGATATAACTCATATTTTAAGTTTAGAAGATTTTGTTTTTGAGATCATGTTCTTTCCTAGAATCGACCTAAGGCTAATGAAAATAACTGTTAGATTTTATTCTATTTAGGAGCAAGAGTTGTTCTTTTTCCATGAATTAAGTCCTGGCAGTTGCTTTTTCCTTCCAAATGGTGCTCATATTTACAATACTTTGATCAATTTCATCAAGGTACAGTACTTGATGTTATTACCTTATTCAACATATAACAGTCTGTGATAGAAATCAACTTCAGCTTCTAAAATGTTTAATTTTTATCAAAGCTTCATCTCTCAGTGTTTCAAACTTCACAGGAGGAGTACTGGAAGCGCGGATTTCAGGAAGTGGTGTCACCGAATATCTACAGTACCAAACTATGGATGACCTCAGGCCATTGGCAACATTACTCCGAAAACCTGTTCAAATTTGATGTGGAAAAAGAGGCTTACGCTCTAAAACCCATGAACTGCCCAGGGCATTGGTAGGTGAATATGTACAGTATGTGTGATACCAGTAAGGATTATCTCTTATTGATCCAGTGTTACTACAGGAGGAAACCTAAATTAAACTAACTTTATTTATACTGGACAGCTCTATCAGTTCTAAACTGTTCTTCCTAGAGGTCCAGTAGGGATCATCTCTTATTGATCCAGTGTTACTACAGGAGGAAACCTAAACTAAACTAACTTTATTTATACTGGATAGTTCTATCAGTACTAAACTGTTCTTCCTAGAGATCCAGTAAGGATCATCTCTTATTGATCCAGTGTTACTACAGAAGGAAACCTAAACTAAACTAACTTTATTTATACTGGATAGCTCTATCAGTTCTAAACTGTTCTTCCTAGAGATCCAGTAAAGATAATCTCTTATTGATCCACTACAGGAGGAAACCTATGGTATGATAATGTACCATTTTCACTTGTCTCAATTCTGGCTTAATTTTTCCGCTAGTTTGATGTTTGATCACAGACCTCGCTCTTGGCGTGAGTTGCCATTCCGTATGGCAGATTTCGGCGTGCTGCACCGTAATGAACTGTCAGGAACACTCAGTGGTCTCACCAGGGTGAGAAGGTTCCAACAAGACGATGCTCACATATTCTGCACGATGGACCAGGTAAATGAAATATCTTGTGTCATATACCACGTTCACACACGTTTGACACCCACGGAATGCAAGAATTTTTGCAAGACAAATCGAAATCACATATCATATGTTCCACTTCTTCTTCTAAGCTTATGTCATCCACAATAGTGGAAAGTTATATCATCCACAATAGTCAAAGTAAAATGAAGATTACTTTTCAACTCCTTCAGCTTAGTCAATATACAGAACCTTTAGTTTTCCCTTTAAGCAAAATATAAATCTCTGTCTTTCTCTGCCCAGATTCCGCAAGAGATTGATGGCTGTCTTGATTTTCTTCGAGCTGTTTACGACACGTTTGGCTTCACATTCAAAGTGGAACTTTCGACGCGACCTGAGAAATACATGGGTGAGCTTTCAAAATGGAACGAAGCAGAAAAGGTGTGGTAATCCAATCATATGAAAGCCATTACGACCACAATATGGACTTGCTTCAGTGTTTAATACCTCTCCTTTTGTTTTCTAGAAACTTGCTGCGGCTCTTGACAAGTTTGGACAGAAATGGGAAGTCAATCCTGGCGATGGTGCGTTCTATGGTCCGAAGGTAAAGTGTTGTAAAAATTATGTGTTTTACATACAACAACAACTCAAGATCGTTATAGTCTTGAATCATGTTTCCTGCATGTGGTTTTTGCCATTAGTTTACTATATCTTCCTCCATGTGACATCATATATTGGCTAGCAAACTTTTACACCTTCATTGAACTTATTTTTGTAAAATTATGTCCTTAGATTGACATTCAAATAATGGACGCCTTGAGACGTTCTCATCAGTGCGCCACAATTCAACTCGACTTTCAACTGCCTGAACGATTCAACCTCACTTACGCAAGGTAAGCTAAACCAACTTTATTTATACAGGATAGCTCTATCAGTTCTAAACTGTTCTTCCTAGAGGTCCAGTAAGGATCATCTCTTATTGATCCAGTGTTACTACAGGAGGAAACCTAAACTAAACTAACTTTATTTATACTGGATAGCTCTATCAGTTCTGAACTGTTCTTCCTAGAGGTCCAGTAAGGATCATCTCTTATTGATCCAGTGTTACTACAGGAGGAAACCTAAACTAAACTAACTTTATTTATACCGGATAGCTCTATCAGTTCTGAACTGTTCTTCCTAGAGGTCCAGTAAGGATCATCTCTTATTGATCCAGTGTTACTACAGGAGGAAACCTAAACTAAATTAACTTTATTTATACTAGATAGCTCTATCAGTTCTGAACTGTTCTTCCTAGAGGTCCAGTAAGGATCATCTCTTATTGATCCAGTGTTACTACAGGAAGGAAACCTAAACTAAACTAACTTTATTTATACTGGATAGCTCTATCAGTTCTGAACTGTTCTTCCTAGAGGTCCAGTAAGGATCATCTCTTATTGATCCAGTGTTACTACAGGAGGAAACCTAAACAATTTTCTGAAATATCTCGTATATATTTTTGTTAGTGGTGAGGGTGATGAGAGACTACGACCAGTCATTATCCACCGCGCTATCCTGGGTTCTGTTGAGAGGATGATCGCCATCTTGACGGAAAGCTTTGGCGGGAAATGGTAAATGTTTGTTTGTCGTTGGAGTTGGAGTCCTTTCCATCGTAAATCCCTTTTGCTTTCCTACAACGCTGCCTTCTTTATTCGATGTTCCTATCTATGATTATGTATAATAAAGAGTATTTATTTGTCTATTCCAGGCCCCTGTGGTTGTCACCACGCCAAGCAATTCTCGTTCCTGTCAGTAATAAGTACGATGAATATGCTGAACAGGTAGGTTCGACCGCTAACGCTACGTGTTAATGAGCTGGCTGAGCTGCGTCGTGATGAAATCACTGAACTCTATGTACACTGGAACGATAACTCGGCGCTGATTCGAAGCGAAACTATAGTCTATTTCTACTGTTATTGTGTTCACAACCCAGGATCGCGCTGACAAAAACAAAAAGAGACTGGTCCTCAATTCAGCTTCAAGATGGCGGTCAAATAAGCCTCAGTTGTCGTTCCAGTTTTTATTGGAGTTCATTCATCCTTCTTTTACAGGTTCGAAAGAAGCTTCACGATGCTGGATTTCACGTTGACACTGACCTGGACCCGGGTTGCACTCTTAACAAGAAAGTCCGCAACGCTCAACTTGCCCAATATAACTTTATCCTCGGTGAGTTCTTGACTCAAATTGTTCTTCTTTTGATGAATGGGAACGAGCGAATAGTTACACATTTTTCTGGTGTATAATTGCCCTCGTTTGAACACCCGTAACTTTTTCACTTGTTCACATCCGTCAAAAGAAAAAAAATCCGCCGAAAATTGTCAGTGCAATTGACCTCGGAGCAAAGGTCCCCAATGTGTCTTGAAGTACTTCATGTCGTCTTCTTTTTAGTGGTTGGCGAGAAAGAGATGACATCGGAGACAGTGAATGTTCGTACGCGTGATAACAAGGTACACGGCGAAAAATCGGTGACGGCCGTTATCGACCGCTTCCGAGAACTTGTTCAATCCCGAAGTCGCACTAGCGAAGACGATTTTTGAACTCAGCTTTGTCAGGACATAAATTGTAAGAACCATGAATCAGCAGCTAAACTTTAGATATAATATCAATAAATGAATTCGACAGTTGCATTTTATTTTTTGATATGCAATTGCCCAGAGCTCGCCTGCCGTTCCACCCGCGTCCAGAGTCCTAGAACTTAATCCAACGAACTACTAAGGGGCTGTTTACATGAGCCCGGTTACCCGAGATTCAACGAAGTGTAAGATGATTTTGAGGTATTGAAATGAGCAGATAACATGATCCTGGCAGTCGTATAATCACCACAACGAAAGCATGTGCTTGTTTGGTGTCATAAAGACTTATTTCAATACCTCAAAGTCCTCTCACGCTTCGTTGAATCTCGGGTAACCGGGCTCATGTAAACAGCCCCTAAAGACCACACGTATGAAAGCCAATGTTGTTGACTTTTTCTATCCATATAATTTTCACACATGAGTATATCTTTCACGAAACTGCTTTCACCGTTGAAACGGGCAATCTCTCCCGATCAAAGAAACCTAATCGATATCCCCACAAAATTTATTGTTCGTGCATACACGAAGTTTGATGAAAAGTGATGTTATTAATTGATTAAATTTGAAAGAGTTTATGAATTTCTAGAACATTGTAATGTACCATATTGTTATAGTTTCAAGGTAAGGTATTTTAACAGTGTTTTTATATATTTTAGAAACACTAAGTGGGGAAAAGATTTTCCTTATCTTTCAGAACTGATAGAGCTATATGGTATAAATAAAGTTAGTTTAGTTTAGGTTTCCTCCTGTAGTAACACTGGATCAATAAGAGATGATCCTTACTGCACCTCTAGGAAGAACAGTTTAGAACTGATAGAGCTATTCAGTATAAATAAAGTTAGTTTAGTTTAGGTTTCCTCCTGTAGTAACACTGGATCAATAAGAGATGATCCTTACTGGACCTCTAGGAAGAACAGTTTAGAACTGATAGAGCTATCCAGTATAAATAAAGTTAGTTTAGTTTAGGTTTCCTCCTGTAGTAACACTAGATCAATAAGAGATGATCCTTACTGGACCTCTAGGAAGAACAGTTTAGAACTGATAGAGCTATCCAGTATAAATAAAGTTAGTTTAGTTTAGGTTTCCTCCTGTAGTAACACTAGATCAATAAGAGATGATCCTTACTGGACCTCTAGGAAGAACAGTTTAGAACTGATAGAGCTATCGTCATTTTTTATATGATATGTTTAAAGAAACCTAGCTTGATTGTTCGTAGTTAAGGATCTCGTGCAAATCTTATATTCCCATGTCTTTGTACATTTCAGGTCAACTGTTCTTCGGATCCCGTTGTTATAGCCCACATGTAGTGCTTGGCTTTTCACTGGAGAGAAGAAATTAAAAACCTGCGTGAAGTTAGCATGAGGTAGGCACCCGTCGCTTAATGACCTACAATTACCAGCAATTAGCCGCGCTTTGTCTCACTGAGTTTCTGAGCACTTCGTCTTCACAATGTCCGAAAGCGTTGCATACACCCTTAACCTTATGAACTTGCAAATTTTTTTGAAAGAAATTATGATTATTCCCGATAAAAACACGTGGTTGTTTTTTAAACGTTCTGGGTGACACTAACCTTTGAATTCCTGTGTGTAGGAAATAGAAAAGTTTGCATTTAAACCACGCAAATATACTGTGTTTGATAACCGTGATATGGATAGTTTTTATATATATGCATTCATGCTCTTTCGTATATAATCGCTCTAGGAAGACACATCTTCTTTTGTATTACCTTATTTTATCTGGGCTGAAATTGAATGTTTGAGTCAAAAAGCTTTGCCTCTTACGAGCAGAAAAAGATCTTTATCTATCTAAATTACACAATTAGATGACTGTGAACTTTTTCAAAAGGTCGATGGTGATATCCATCAAAGGGATGATTCATTTTGATTATATCCGTGATTTATAACTGTTAAGACGGACGAATTTTCACTTTTCACTTGACGATTTTCTCCTTCTAGCGTATGTTATTCACTGAATTATGTTCACAATTGTATATACGGTTACAGAAGTAATGTAATGTACTCAATAATGTGTTCAATTCACTCAATAGCATACACAGGAAGGTGATCTTCGCCGTCAAAAATCGCCCAAACTTTTACTCGCAAAACAGACGTTAATATGTTTCTCTTTTTAACACGAAGGTTGAAAAAATCTCAAGCTGATAGAGACGAGTAAACGACCCAGGTTATAATATAGCCCAGCGTGCGGCGTTATACCCGCGTAAACTCCATATATAAAAATAGTTTTCACAGTCGCAATCAGTAACAAGGTGATTTGATATATATATCATGCATGCAAATAATATGCAGGAATTGTGGTTCTTAATTTGTTTCATAATTTCGCTGGCTTTGCAGCAGTTGAATCTATCCATATACAAAGTCTATGTATCTATGTATAGACTGTTAGGATTTTCCACCAAAGAAAATGAACCAATCATTGAAGCGTTTCAAATACTTGCACGAGTTCCGTAATGCGACATGTTTATTGTTTTGATACTTGATATTAACAATTATAAAAACAAAACGCAGGCACTCGAAAATGATAGAAATAGATAGCTTTAAGAGTCATATTTATATATAAATATACAATTCAAGTAAAATTAGGCCATTTTTGACCACGAGGGGAATTATATGCGAGACAATGTGTCAATTTTGTCAGCTTCAAATGGCTGCAAAATCATATTGTTTTCACTTTTCAAAGGTGAACTGGTACTGCTCTTATCACAGGCAGGCAAACACGTAAACGTGACCCTTATACTTTTAAAATATATAGGTCCTATTATATATCAAATGATAAAAATCAGCCACGCTGTTGTAATATTTTATCTGTGATTTTATTTGACCTTTTTATGATCGAGTCAGCACAGAACTTTAAATTAATCCAGCTATTTCACTTTCCTTCAAGCAGGAAAAGTAGTCAAACCTGTCATATTTTGAATTGAAATAGGAGCTGTAATATTGAAATTTGAATTAGGTATTTCGTTAAGAAGACATGTAGTGTTTAAAGTACATTTTCCATGCTAGGCAGATGTAAGTAACGATATAGCTACTTGTATACAGAATTCTTGAAACTGTCTAAAATACCAGAATTCTGTCCTGAAATGCGTCAGAACCGTTCTGGCTGTTTTTATTTTGTCGTATATAAATAAAAGCGCGCTATATGCATGACTTCCATCAACCCTTTAACGATATAAGACCTGCTTACATCATGCTTACATCATGTTTAGTATCATTTAAGCTTCAAATGCAGTTCAAAGCCCCCTTTTATAATTTCAACATTACTATACTCTATATATATAGTTCTCTTAATTTGCATTTTGTTGTGTGGAAGTTGACAAAGGAATCTTAATGAAAGATCTGGAACTCTAAGTCGTAAATTCAATTATTTGAACCGTAAAAATCAGAACTTGCCGGTTTAAGTCGTGAGGTTTAAATTAGATCTAAATGGAAGATTGATGGTATATTTTCAATAAAGCATATTATAATCCTTATCATAATTCTATAGACTAAAGTATTTCTTTATTCAAACGAGTATTTTGTTTTCTTAAAAAAATTAATCCTTTGGTGGCAGATTCGCTTATTTGAACTTCAAATTGAGCGATGTTTTTCGCCGTAGGAAGTTATCTTTGAAACAAATCTTCGCTAAATCTTCCCTTAATTTTGAAGAGCAATTGGAATATTCTTCCCTGCTTTTTATTCAAAGGTTCCTGCAAAATATCGGCGCGAGTACAATTTTTTCCCATCCAAGACCAAGTTCATGCGTGCGACATCCCCCTCGTGTCGAACACAAAGGCAATTAAATCTTTCAATAAACTTTAATCCAAAAAAACGTTTCATTAAACCATAGACTCTCTTCTCCGCGATATTTCTTTGCGATAAACCTCATGTTTGCCACACATATCTTTGCCTGAGTAGCTGTATTTACTCACAAGAGATCAATCACATCGAGTCACATCAGGAAGTACAAAAATAGTATATTGGTCACGACAATTTGCTACACGCAAGATCGAGCAGCGCTTCACCACAGCATTGGGTGACATCGTGCTGAGAAAAATGTATTAAAACTGAGAAGCAACAAGCAGTTAAAGGTTTTGTCGTGCTGGGAACAAGTGTTTGAGATCTAGGGAGGGTTTCTTGCAGTAATACGGATTTGACGAACTTCTTTTCTTGAAAACACGTAGTCTTTAAGACGAATATACATGAGTCACGCTTTAACGGGGATTAAAACATGTCATGTACAATCTAGAACTTCGTGAGACAATATAATGAGCGTAAGATCTTAAACACTTCACTAAAAACACACACGCAACCTGTAAATTTAAACAATCTGGCACTTGAAGAGTGGCGGACACACATTGCGACATTGTGCCAAGGACCAATCACCGCGTGCTGAAAAGGTTGTATAAAAAAACCCCTAAAAGCCTCGAAATATATTGAAGTGGCTTTGTGCTCGACATTAATTTAGATCCCACATGCCTACGTGAATAGTTAGTTGGAGACTGAACTTCGAACAGTCCACATTATAATACTACCGTATGCTTTATGCCATGATGTTGTCAACAGAGGCGATGAAAACACAACAGGAATATCATGTTGAAAAAGGTATTTGCGCGGATTTAAACTGTTTCGCGTAAATCTAGATTGGTTTAGATTTGAAATTTTGCATGTATATAGATAATTTCAAGGGTTTTAAAGATTTGCGAAAATGTTTCAGCGAGTTAAGACATCGATAATACGGCTGACGTTTCTCAATTCGATATTCTACGTGAAATTTAAAAACTAGAATTCTTATAACTCTGAAATGTTTTGACCTTTCGTAGTTTATATAGGAACATTTATCGTTCTAATTAGAGCAATTTTCATTTTTTCATATCATATATTATTTCTAAATTGTTCCTTTTTGTTTATCGCTATCAAGTTACTAAGATATCTAATCTGGTCACCCATCGAAGGTCGAAGAATTAAGATAATTTTTATCAAAACCGTTCCAACTTGCGATCAAATCTTTGTCTCTAAATATCAGTTCAGTTTTCAAGTCCACGCGGGAAGATATTCATTTTAAATCATCACTGTCATAGTGTCTTGGCTGTGAGTCGAAATTTTCAACTTAGTCAGATCCACTCAGATTCTAATTCGAAACATCTTATATTCTTTCAGCTGGTGTGATATCCGTACAAACGTCTTACCAAGGAAAGATTTCAGCCAGAAGTGATGTCCATGGTCTCTGTCACGTGTGCGGGGATCGGGCCTCCGGCCGCCATTACGGAGTGGCGAGCTGTGAGGGTTGCAAAAGTTTCTTCAAACGAAGCATCCGTTGCGATGTACGATATTCGTGTCGATTCAACTACCAGGCGTGTCCCATCAACGTTAAAACGCGAAGTCGTTGTCAGTATTGTCGTTTTCAGAAATGCCTTCGCGTAGGGATGAGAAAGGAAGGTACTTGCTCGAAAAAAAATTTCTAACAATTCTTTTGTTGTCGCTAAGATTAACACCTGTCATCTTTAGAGCGTGGATTCTACTCTCGCTGGTGACATTCGCTGTTGTAAAAAGAGTTGCTCGACCCTCTACCCCTTGGAATGTGTACAGGGTTAGGTTTGGGTCAGCCCCCTAATAGGCGCTGTTCATTACAGCTGTGCCCCTAACGAGGAAAGTGACCCCCAGAAGAACCTTCGTAATTGTCGTCGAAGGGCCTAACAATATTCTTACGTACATTTCTAGCAATCAAACAGACAGAGAACACATCTACCCCGCCTCCTCTTCTTCTCACCTGCCCTACAACCACACCCTACCCTTTCAAACCCACTGTGCACCCACCACATTCCTACACACACCAACTGGCTCCCTCCCACCTCGCGTGCCTTGTTCGGGCCAACTGGTTGGCGCAGTGTCGCGAACCCATCAAGTACATCAACCTTGTCAACTTTCCAATGAAACACGAGAGAATTACAACAAGAATTCTACGATACATTGTCGAATGGGCGAAATCTCTGCCGTTTTTCATGGATTTGTGTCAAAACGATAAGCAGTCCTTGTTGGAATCGTGCTGGCTTGAGTTGTTTCTGCTCGTTGTTGCCCAATACCAGTTGTTGCCCGATCTTGCGAAGTTGTTGATGTTGTTGAAAGGGCGAAATGTGGACAAGACTGTTCGTCATATTGAAGCTGAGGTGAATCAGTGCAAAGCATTGAACTGTGATGATGTTGAGATGGAATGCTTGAAAGCTATTGTGCTTTTTAATGCAGGTATGTTTCAGGGTAACAATAATCACACACATGCATGACTGAATACCTGACACTTTTCTTTTGTACAATAAAACTCGCAGAGTATATACTCTAGACAGAGTATATTTGGGAACATGACCGTTGGTTAACTAGAGATACCGACAGATAGTTTTGTTACACATCGACTGTGGTACTCTTCCACTGAATTAGAATAAACTAGTAAAGTAGGCCACGTCTGGGTGCATTGCATTGCAATCTAATGGGTTAACAAGAGACACTGACATATAGTTTTGCCAACCAGAGTTCCCATTCAAATAAGTATCAAATATCTGGCATTAGACAGAGTATATATGTACAGTGATTTCTAATGATAAGCGAATTCTAGAACACAAATATCCAATGTTTTAGATTGTCCTGATGTAACGGAACAATCAACGACGCGTCGATTGAAAGAGGAGATCCTTGTATCCATGAACGACTACACTCGTTCCCAATATCCCAAAATATCCATAGCCCATCTTGGCGGTATGCTATTGTACCTACCCCGGTTACGTTATGTGAAATTTCTCATACCACGTGACTTCATTTTTCCTGACGTGACCAAAAATCCTGATTTCATTTCGAGCTTCATAAAAGATGTCCTGTATTTGCCAGTCACCGTTGGAACCGACCCAAAATTACTCAAATACAATGTTTTGCCTCGTTAAGCACAAGTGTGGACATGATAGAATCCAGAATTTACCATTACGGGTTGTGAAATCGAATGAAACGAAATGGAATCTTGTATCTTAGCTAAAAGTTGTAAATTCTCTATTAAATAGGTTGTAAAATTAGAAATGTATATTTCTGCAGAGACAGTTAGTGACTAAAGAAAAAGGAGACAAAAGGATTCCCTTATAAATTTCCATTTGTGATTTAATAGGTAAGTGACAATGTGACATAATTTCGGTGTGAAATTTGGTGTTATAATATTGTAATCATAGTGTGTTAATTCGTGCGTGGTTCAAATTGACTGGGTGAACTGTAAACCAGTGTTTTAGACGTAAATTAAATGTATTCCACCATCTATTCAGTGCGCTATTTTACGTAGATTCGTTGGTTGAGCATCGCTGCTTCTTGATTTTGAAGTCTATCTAGCCAAAAATTCAGCAGCTAAACTAATGGTATATCGTTGAGACTTGTTTATTCTATGTTTTTTGCACTTGCAAGTCGAGAAGCTCGAAGTTTTGAGACTTCTTAAAATCATTTTCATCCAAGACAGTTTCACATCTGAGCACAACGTTAACATTGTCTGAATGAAAAATACGCTGGATTCTTTCAAACAACTTGCTAATGTCATCGTTCAAAGCATCCTCTGGTCTCGTAAGAAACTTGACTGTTGCGACATGAGAGGATGTACCAAAAAGTGTCCCTGATTCATCCGATAAGTAAACCCAGCATTGCTTAAAGAAATAGGCAACACCGTAGGAATAAGAGGAGTTGTGTCTTTCTATACAGTAAGAACAGTGCATATATATGTCATTATGGTCCTTTTTCAATGCTCTGAAACACGACTTACAACCCAGGTATACCAGATTACGAAAAAAACATTGCATTGCAAACATATCAGAAGCTTTACTAATGGTTTGGGAAGAATTGGCTTCGGTACATTGGATTCTAGTAACTTCAGCACAAATGGCAGCTTTTCCATTTAAGTTAGCTTGTAATAGTTCATATATTGTGGAGAATGTTGGGCAATCTTCTTGTGCAATGCAAGGTGTCAGATTGGCAAAAAAGGACGTTTCTTCTTGTTGTAGTTTCTTGGTAGAACGTGGGGTGGTGTGGAGGAAATGTTCACCATGCAAGCTGTTGCATTCAACACGCAGAAACGTGAAACACCAAATTTTACCGATCTTTGATTTCAGCTCGAACTCCCAGCCAGCTTGCCTCCCCCATAAACAGATGGGCACCTCGTCAGAGCTTTCTAGGTCAAGAGCAACTGAAAAATAACAAAGCGATAACAACGAAAACTATGGTTAATATACGCAGTATATTCATGCATCAATCGGCAAATTCAACTCCACGTAAACTTTGCAACCAAGCCATTCTATTACAGCAGAATAATATATCTTCCTCACCAGCCAGAATTTTATTCATCTTTCGTTTTTCAAATTCGTATTTGCCATTTGATTTTCCATAGGTTAAAACCTTCACAATCTTTCCTCTGTAGTGAACCAATGTATTAGCCTTGAACTGTCTTGATGTTTGCAACTTCACATCTTCACAAGCTAGTGTTTGACGACTCATCAAATACGAGTGTTTTCTTTTTAACCATTTTAGCAAACTCTTCGCTTCTGTCTGACCAACAATGGTCAACCACTGTGCTGGCACTCTGCAACCCTTATCTCTCTGAAGATTTACAAGTGTGGTACCATAACCGCTTTGACCATAGAACTCTTGATTCCATTTTTCAACCTTGAGCCTTTTCACAACCAACACGTCACCTTCTTTTAAACTGTTGACCCATTCAGCAGTTTTTCGCCAGAACGTCAATTTGAAATACTCTTTCGTCGGGTCACCGACAAGAACTGACGCAACCTTAAATTGTAGCAAATTTGATACATTAGATAAAACCAATCAGACAAAGGTGGAGCGAGCCCTGGAAAGTCATTAGGTCCTCACCTTCACAAACTGTCCACAACTAAAACCAGAGTTTATTTTCATTTCCTTTATTGGATTAACTTGCAAAACCACCACAAAGACGTTGACAGTTGAACGATGCTGCGTACAGTCTGCTAACTTTGTAAACAGCGATATCTGCGTTGCCGTATCTTCATGCGATGAACTTGAATAGGAATGTGTTTCTTCTTCAGAGTGACAAAAATTTTCAGACTCTAATTTTTTTTCTGACATTGCTGGTTTCGTTTCGTCTATCGACAGTTCAACGAACCCTTGCATCTTGTCAAACAGCCTTTGGCTTTGTTCCAGCGAGAATTCATATTCTCTTTGAGCTGTCTGATGTGTTGGAGCGAGATTATCATCAATCGCTCTATCCTGAGTGGTGATGTAACTGGTGTTAAAACCTTCGCTAGCTTTTATGCTGTCCTCACTAAAAGTGTCTTCCAGGTAAGCTATCACCGAATTCCGTAATACTTCGGGTTCATACAGCAAGTTTATCTCAGAATATGTTTCGGTACTTTCTGTGGAAACGCTTGAAATCCTTTCTTCAGTAGCCAAGCTTGTTTTACGCATCTTTGCTGTTGTTTCCGTTGAATTGGGGTCTATTTTAAAATGGGTCATCTTCCAGTTGGAATGCGTTCTCTTTGGTGAGGCTGTTTAAATCGAGAAAAAGTGTAGGCCATAAGATCAAGATTGGAGAAGGCTAACTTCGCTATAAATCAACTCAAAGTCCTGCGAATGTTGCACGGAATTAATTATACAATTCAAAACCATATCAACTAGTCAAAATTTTGGTCAAGGTTTACCCTGTGTTTGTATACCCAAAGAATTCATATTTGTTTCAAATCGCGGTGGGATAAACACAAAAAGTTTAGCAGAAGTCTGATTCGAATTCCCCGCTCCCTTGCTGTCCGCCATCTTGTTTTTCCAAACTCCAAATTTTTAAAATCTATCAAAATACCATCCACCTGAAGGCGATTTTCGACAGGAAATAAATTATCATATAGAATAACTAATAAAAACTTATACAGCACTTTTACAGGGTTGTATTCTGATATATGGGTTAATATGGTGTAATATTACATGCTGCCACCAAACATGTCAACTAGAAAGGGTGATAACAAAAAGAAAGCGCAGAAATATCAAAATGTAACAACATTTAAAAATAATCTTCATGATACTAGTAAGACAACGAAGGCAATCAATAATCTGGTAGTCCAAGGTGTTTGTGAGAGATGTCGAGATATTATTGAATGGAAGAAAAAGTACAAGAAATATAAGCCATTGACAGCACCTAGAAAATGGTGAGTATTGTAACATGTTTTGTCAGGATGAAATGAATGATGTATCAGTCTTATTATAGACAATCCAGAAGACAAAATATTAAAGTCTGGCTTCTGGATTGTCTTTGGTCTGATTGACCTTGTTCCTTATATCACAAGCTGTTTGAAAATCCTTCATTGTTCATAAGGCAGGACAAGTTTATTCCAGGCCTTCAGTTCATAAGCAGTAGCATAGCCAGCCTTACAATTTAGTCCCACAAAGAAAATTTTCTGTTACTATAATTTTTACGCTGTTGTTCTCACATTGAAGTATCTCAATGAAGTGCTATGCTACTGAGTTTGGGCAATCTGTTCTGTATTTTGCGTACGCATGATGAAACTTACAAATTCTTCAACTTTTTAGTGTGAAGTGTGGACAAAAGACAGTAAAACATGCGTACCATACAATATGTATGAAATGTGCTGTTGAACATGGTGTGTGTGAAAAGTGTGGTTCTAAGGGAGAGGAAATTGAAAGGTAAAACCAAGTTTATTTTTGATTGAGGCTTTTAATCATTTGTCACAACACACTACAATTATTACGCATATACATGTACAATAACAGAGGACACAAGTGTGACAGAGGAAAGGAACAGGACTTGCATCCAAATTGACACCTGACCCCGACATTATAACTGGACTTTACCACTTGTTGCCTACCAAGCGCAACGATAACTTTCATATGTTGAATAACACTGATATTGAATAACACTGCTCCTATTTAAAGATATGCAGAATAGGGAATTCAATCAAATTTTACTGCTAGGGAATGATTTGTCATTGACAAAAAATCAACAATGTTTCATCAAACTCTGTAAACAGTTCTAAGATTAATTGAAATAGATTGTAATTACAGTCAAACCAGATGTTCTGTTTCCAGCAATGTTGCAGACAATATTTAAGTGTACATTTGCAAAGCTTTGAGCAAATAGTTACTACAGAAATTTACAACAACAATCACAGTTACATCTGGTAAATATCTTGATTTTTTTAGAAGCCCTCAAAAATTCCATTTTTTAAACTAAAATTCCACTTGCAAGCTACCACTAACTGTTGTTTCATTTCTTCCATTTATTTTTTCACCCTTTTCTTTTAGATCAAAAGGGACTGATGCAGAACAAGCAGCAAAGGAAAGTCAAATGCAATCCGAGATAAAGCATTTGACTGAAAGACAAAGAAGTTAGTTGACTCAATTTTCATGTTTTTCTCTTTATTACCCACTATTTATACTAGTATCTATTATTTCACAGGAACTTTTTTTCGTGCATTAGAAAGAGGCAATTTGACAGAAGAGGATCTGGATACCGATGGTGAAAGCAATGAACAGGATGAAGACACAGTTTCTACTGAAGAAACCTCAATAACCTAGGAAACAAGTGCTCAGATAATAGTCATTAAGTGAGGTAAAAACATAAGGGCAATTAGCTCCTTTGATGATGGATAAATTATACCCAGCTATAAAAAGAGCTGGAAAAAGAATAAGGAATGGGGGAATGACAAGGAAAACAATATTACAAGATTAGCATACAAGCTGCTGTTTTTGAGGAAACTTAGGTTAAATAGTTCAGGTTACAGAAATGGAAAATGTTCACCACTCAAAAAGACCATCTTTCCTGGTATTGTAAAGAGGGATGAATTTGGGAGGAAATTACATACATTTTTGTGTTCTTTATTACCCTGAAAGGATACAAATTTCATCCCAAGCTAAGTCATCAATCATTAAAAGAACACATGTCATCCGGTGTTAGTAATTTATAACAGCATGACAAAGCATTTCCGCTTTCGAAACTGGCGGTCTAACCGTAAACGCTTTTCCTTTGACAGAGCGGGAATACTGACGAAATTCATAAATATAATAGACCAGAATAAACGAATTAATAACTACATAACTTAGCAAGTTTTCGGTTTTACTTCAGAGCTATATACATTTGTTAAAATGCCAATATTTACAAGGGTTTTATCGAAGAGATTCCGTTAATGTATTTTCACCACGCAAAAGCATAAACTGCAAGCCATATTGGATACTATAAAACAGCCAAATACTTGGTAGTAAGTACACGCTTTAAATATAGGCGAGAGAAACTCGAATGTTAGATCGTTTTTGAACTTTACTTCGTTTAGAATTACAGCTTATTACACACAGATTGGTCCATGATTTCGGCAAACGGTAAAACAAAAGTTATGCGAATGGTCTCCCTTATCCTACGAGGCTACGACTGTCATTATAAAGAATATGAACTACATGTCCGGTTGAGTAAATTTAAAATCACTAAGCACGTTCTCCTCGGATTCGTCTTGCGAGTTGAATGTCTTTTGGCATAATCGTGACACGTTTGGCGTGGATAGCACACAAGTTCGTATCTTCAAATAACCCAACGAGATAGGCTTCGGCCGCTTCTTGTAATGCGCCGATGGCAGCACTTTGGAAACGTAAGTCCGTCTTGAAGTCCTGAGCAATTTCACGAACTAAACGCTGGAATGGTAGTTTACGAATAAGCAATTCGGTCGACTTTTGATAACGACGAATTTCTCGAAGGGCTACAGTACCAGGCCTGTAACGATGAGGTTTCTTCACACCTCCTGTCGAAGGAGCGCTTTTTCGAGCGGCTTTCGTTGCCAATTGTTTCCTAGGAGCCTTTCCACCGGTTGACTTACGAGCTGTCTGCTTCGTACGAGCCATTTCTCGTTTATTACGTTATAAACTTGAACAAAATTTGACAGAATTTCACTTCTTTCCACGCCCGGCTTTTCACAAAGAATTGTGTTAAAAAGAAATTGCCACGCATTTTTATAGCTCATTCGTCATCTTCCCTCTGATTGGTCGGATTTGTATACGAATCTTGAAGATCATTGGTTGGTTTTCCACGCTTCTGATTGGAAGTCTTATAACGCAATCTGATTGGTTACCGGTTATCCCAATGGGACTTGAAGCTTTGGAGGAACTAACGTTTGCAACAAAAATTATAATGTAAGTCTTTATCTTCGTGTTTTTTTAATTTTTTTTGAAAGATTTGCCAGCTTTGTGTTGATAGAGTACTTATAGTTAGTTGCGGTGCAATGCTTTTTTGTATTTTATTGCTTGCTTAGTTGCTTTTTGTCATTATCTTATTGGTGTCTGTTTGGTGATATGTTTTTGTATTACTGTATATTTGTTACTTTTTTTCAACAACTTCTGATTTATATTTGATATGTGTAATGGTTGTTGATGAAGATGCCATTGGTATGAAAAGGTTTTGAGAGTAGATGTAAATGAATGAAAGTTTCTCTTGAAATTTAGTAATCAAGTTACCCTTTAAGTAAATTAGCCTGTAGGTACACCATGCAACGATTTAATACTGCAAAGCTTTCAGTCCGTTAAACTGGGCCTTCATCCGTGCAATTGTTCTGATGAAGTTCAATTGCAACAAATGAAGGCCTGTCTTTTTGACAATTTGTCTAAAAGACTTTACCTAAACTAACCAAATTCACAGACAAGGGTTAGCATAAAAATATTTTCTTTACATAAAGAATAATCTTTATCAGTGATTGTGAATTAACATTCTATCTTCCATTGTAATTTATTTTGATCAAAAGAGCACAAAATTGACAAGAATGTCAGGGAAACTTTGAGGTAAGATGCAATCATTTTGTTTCTGATTCAAATTTGCTCCATAGCCCAAGCCATATCTTAGTTAGATTGAAAATGCTAACAGACATATGTTTACCAAAAAAAAATTTTGCAATTTAAATTTTGCTATTTTCATTCACTGCTTTACATTTCAATGTTTATTACTTGTTTACAAAACAACTTTGTTGACAAACAAACAAATACACAATAAACAACACAGGGTGAATCAACTGCTCTGATAATTTCATGTGTTCTGCATCAATATGCCTTGCACAAAACTGCATTAAATGTTTTAAAACGTTGGTCTCTTGTTGAACAGTCAGGTTGTCTCTTGATAAATATTTTGTACGCTTTATAGAAATCTTTCATAGTAAAATAAATATGGCTTCGAGTTCATTCCTCTTCTGATGGTATCTGTCCCTCTGCTAGCAAGTGTTGGTACAAAGGTAAGCCTTCGTGTGTCTTTAACATCGCTTTATATCTGCTTTCAGCGCTAGACTCGAAGAGATGTGCTTGATATCCGATGAATACGCCTATGCCAGTAGCCAGTGCATGGAAACTTGGTTTCTTTAAAGCAGGAATTCTGCGCACTGCATTTGCAAAACAAGATGTGAAAAAGCCACCGGCACCGAACCAAACTATAGTACGAAGCATCTTCGCTGTAAGAGAGCCAAAACTATGTTGGATTTTGCAAAAATATACCAATATTTTCCCTGTGTTTTTGCTTTTTGACTGTTTCTTGAAAAACCAAGATGGCTGCTTCGGATGAATTCGGCACGCTTTCGTGAACTACTCGGTAATTTTCGTAGAGCGAATTTTTCACGAATTCGCACGAAAGCAAAAGGTAGATATTCAAAATGGCTAGATCAACTCTTTTATTTTTCTCACGAAATTTGCACAGTGTGAGACCGCATATACCTTTAATTCAATTTCCTAGACGATTTCCACAAGGTAAGCATTTAGGGGTTTATATGCAGCTCTCTTTGGCGTAGTTTCAAAGAACATCTGACAGCTGAACTGTAAATTATGCAGGGTTCGGTTTATAGAGTTTGTATCAAACCATAAGTTTTATATGGCCAGTATTTCACAACAACTTTTAATTTATGGTAATAATACATTAAGATATTTGCTAATCGCTCGACACCTGAAAGGAATTATCCATGAGTACATGTTAAGATTCATTAACCAGATAAACTGCCAATATTGGAGTCTATTTGGAGAAGTTCTGGGACTCTGAGAGCTGAGATTAATCTATTAGACTATTAATCATTATTAAAGTCTAATTACTTAATGCAGGCAATATGCACAAATGACAAATTTGCAATAAATGAGTCACATACCATCTGGTATGGGTAGAGTTGAGTCATACCATATGATCACCCAGGAATATAGTTTTTTATATCTCTTTGAACATACATGCATGCATACATTCATAAACTTTGTTTAAACTCAGATATACAGAATAACAAAACTGCTAATGTTTCTGAGATAACTACAGTAAACCACAGACTAAATACTTAGCAATTACATTTGCAATATCCTATGGTTATATCTAATTGGGTTATTTCAACTATATTATGAGTTTTCTTTTTGTTTAGGAAGTCCAATTATTTCAGAAACACCACATACATCTTTGCCTGAAACAAGATTGTCAAATAATAATGCTGTGGTCACACACAACTTTAATGCTATAGATGAATCAGACTTGCCTACAAAATACCAAAGGATGATTATTCCACCTGAGGAAATACTTTACATAGAGGTATAAAAGCATATATGATTTGTATTATGATTTTATATTCGACTAATTTGCAAGCATCTACAATGATATTTCATTTGAAATTATTTTTAGAGAGGTGGACCAGATTGAAATGACAGGAACAAAAGTGTAGTGTCAAGAATTGATGGATTATTTTGATATATGATATGTATTTATATATAATATAGTTTTATGATAATATTCATTCAATGATGTATAACCGATTCCTGTTCGAATTAGTATTGCGAATTCAAAATAGTTATGTCAAAAAGATGCAAGGTTGCACCTATTGAACAAGAAGGGACAGTAGGGTGCCCTGGGTACGAGTTTAGGTAGTTTTGATTGTACCACAATGCATTGGTCTTAAAATGGCGTCGAAATGTACGAAAAGGGGCATTTTTCATAGTACTCTAATAATGCTCTAATAGGGTATTTCCCCCCACCGGAACAGTGACCCACGTAATGATGGCGGACGAACGAAGGTAATTTGATACAGGGTTTTTTAAATCACACAAATGATATTATCGTTTGGACGGAGATGGAGATAACAATGTAGAAGGAGTCGATAATGGTGGAAATTGAAGTTCGTTTGTTGCGCGGTTCGGTATATTTTGCCGGCGAGCCAATACGTTGTCAAATCACCTTCACAAACACGGCTAAGCGTGCGGCGACAACGAGTAGCCAGGATTCGCGCACAAATCACGTCAAATCTTCGCAGTTTTCTCGTAGAAAAGTGATAGGAATAGAGACGATAGCTTGGGCTAGCGCTCAGATTCATTGCCAGTGTACGATCAATGACACACGCGTGCAAATGCCTGATATCGAGAGAAATATTTTGCAAGATTTGGTTCCCAAAGACGAGGCTGCCACTACAAGTTTCATGCCCTCAAAAGGTTAGTTCATTGGCCTTTATTTGTGTGTTTACTGTGTATTTTGTTCAGGCAGTATATTCTCAGTATATATGAAAGATTTCCTTAAAGGGCCAGTATGAAATTTTCTAGATCATATTAGGCTACGAACTATTTTGAATAATTTTGTTTACATGTTGATATATATTAAGTTTTATATGAAATAAATGACGATGCATTCAGCATTAATTGAGAAAGCCCCAATGAAATGTTTTTTTTTTAAAGTGATTTATGTAAAACTTATGCTCAGACCTCAGTGAGGGGGATTTCCTGATTTATTTTTGAGTACCAATTCTTTTCTCTTAAGGTGAACGGGGTCGTTGCTTGCTGTCCACAAAGCCCAAGATTCTCTTTTGTGATCTAACATTAGCAGCTGGGGAGTCTAAATCATGTAGGTTGATCAGAATCAGAACTGATAATGCTATCCATTTGAGGTTTAGGTTTAAAAGAGGTAACAGTGCTTCTTAAAAAAAATTATTTTTACCCCCTAGGAAGAACAGTTTCCAATTGACAAAGCTATCCAGTGTAAATAAAGTAATGTTAGTTTGGGTTTCCTCCTGTAGTAACACTGGATCAATAAGAGATGATCCTTACTGGATCTCTAGGAAGAACAGTTTAGAACTGATAGGACTATCCAGTATATTGTTAGTTTAGGTTTCCTCCTGTAGTAACACTAGATCAATAAGAGATGATCCTTGCTGGACCTCTTGGAAGAACAGTTTAGAACTGATAGAGCTATCCAGTATAAATAAAGTTAGTTTAGTTTAGGTTTCCTCCTGTAGTAACACTGGATCAATAAGAGATGATCCTTACTGAACCTCTAGGAAGAACAGTTTAGAACTGATAGAACTATTGATCCAATATAAATAAAGTTAGGTTAGTTTAAGTTTCCTCCTGTAATAACACTGAATCAATGATCCTTGTTGATGATTAATGCTTGACATGTGGTTTCTTCTGTTTTACAGACTATTATGAAGATGCTGTGCCATTTGACTCTCCGCCATCATACAAAGGATTAGCGGTGAAGTATTGTTATAAAATTACTGTTGGTGCTGGTAGACTGCAGTCAACAACAAAATTGGTCCGATTACCTGTAAGGATATTAGTATTAGAAGGTTGGTTATAATACTTTATTGCGAAAATGATAAGACATGACTGGACCTCTGTGTGAGAAGCACTTGGGCCACATTTTCTATTGTCTAAATGTTGGCATCCAACACAGACGACCTACATGAGCTGGCTCTTGAGCCTGCTTATCTGCAGTTGAATTTTGCATTTTAGGGCTAAAGGAGTTCAATCATTGTTCCTCTTCAAATGGATGTTCTTCAAATCCATTTTTAAATGATAATATTAAAGCAAGATCAATGTTAGATGTTGCTGTTGAGAAGTTGACCACAATAACTTGTAAGAAAAGTCAATGTAAGTACAATTGATTAATGAATTGAAATAGAACAGAATTAAGTGCACAGTAAATTATAAATCACAGATATTTTGGAAAGAAGAAATTTACCCAAAAATTTTTCAACATATCTTTTTTCTTGTAGATATTTATAATGTGGTGAACAAGGATGGTCTTGTGGGATGTTTTATTTTATTTAAATCAGCTTATAGAATAGGAGATGAAATTTTAGGAATTTTCGACTTCAGAGGATGTAAAGTGAAATGCACAAAGGTACTGCTAATTTTTATATTTTTATTGCACATCAAGAGTATAATAAAACTCTAGGTAAAGCCAATGAGTTAACAAAAAAGAACACTAGAATGATTTCTTAGGTGTTCAGTTTGTCAAACTAGATATTAATTGGGAGACAAAGTCATCCGCACATGTGAGAAACTTGCATCTCGAGGCGAATTCCTCATGAAAAACTGTCCGCACACAAGAGTAATTTGTGGTGTTATAACAGATTACAATTGAACCAAATTTTCCTTCCAGTTGATAGTAACCCTTCAAAGTGAAGAGCATGTGTGTGGGGATTACAAGAAAGCTTCATCAAAACACTTGCACAGTCATACTTCATACTCGACACAGCAAGAGTTTTGCCTGTACTCAAAGAAAATACAGATACAACTGCCCATTCCTATCACAGCCACGCCAGAGTTCAAATCTGATATAGGTAAGCTGGTAGGAAAATCTGCTCCGTGGTAGAAGATTTTCAGTAGTGCTGTAATTAGTTATCAGTATCAAACCATAGTTCATTGTCTGAACCCAATTTCATATATTCCAATATAAGGGTTCCAGGAGCAGTGTTCTCAAACAACTTTGCTTCAAATGTGGTATAACAACTGTCTAAATTAAACAAAAACACTTTTCAATGTTTCTACCTTTGTTGATTTTGGGAGGTTGTTACTTGTTATAGAAAATTTAAAGCAATTTTATATATGTTTAATAGAATTTTGTTCATTTGGGTAATGTCAAGGATATATATTAATGTAGGTTGAATTTTGTTCTTTACAGTTGATGTGCGGTGGCGACTGCATTTCGAGTTTTATCTTTCAACGAGTGAACTACATACAGATGAATCAACAGATGAGCAGGACACAGCTGAAGTGTGTGTTGTGGCACCCCCCTCTCTGAACATTGAGACGATGACCTGGGACCTTCCTCTTAAGATTGTGCCTTGTAATCCAGTTCAGGCCTCCGCGATATCTCTGCTCAGGACTACAGCCACGTCAACATTTTGAAAAACACAAGGTTTTGAGGTTGTCATATAATTAGGACCCTGTGGGAAATCGAGATTCAGAGCTGCTGTCTTGTTCTCAGAGCTAATGTGTTATGATATTGCCAAAAAAAGTGAAATGGTTTTATTAATTAACTGCCAAAATGTGCAATTATGGACTTCTCAACATTTTCATCTTGCGGCTCACAGTGGTGGGATTGTAATATGAACAAGAATGCCTCAATATGCTGGTACATTGAGAAGTTTTTTTGTGTACCTTGGGCATTTAAAAAAAGCCTAAGATAAGACAACAGCCTTTCCTTCTTTTGTACATAATCTACCAATTGTAAAGGTGGTCATGTATCGGAAAATTAGTGAACTATATATTAGGGATGAATATTTTATTTTTGTAAACTTTTAGGTAGTGCTATTAATGGATGCAATCACCCTTTGTTCGCATTAAAACAAATTTCTAAAACGGACATTGCTACAGTCTGTAGATGCATACTAGATGATGCATGGTAGATGGTGCATGATAGTTGCAGGGCAGACTGGCTATGAATTGTACCCTTGGGCAAGATGGAAATTTGAGCCCCCTTGTCTATTTAATGGGCCTCCGGTCTTTCGGCATTGCCCCAGAGCCCAATGGTCCAGTCCGCCTGTTGGGACTTCAGTGGGTGGATTTTCTAGTTTTTCTGTGAAGGTACCATAGATTACCGCATTCAACCGTATACCACTTCACCTATCGTAGGCAACCTCACATAAGCTACACTGGCTAGTGTTATCACAACTGTAGACTATGTACATGGTACATGATGGTAGAGTCTTGGTAGGTATAACAGTTCATGTCTGTGTGGTACCATTTAGTAGGTACCAAGTAGATCGTTAATTGAAATTATTTTTTTCATTTTCCATACAGAAAAAACTGTAGCCTGCCTAAACATACCTTAATCGGATTTAGTTTGATTTTTTTTGCGGCCAAATAACACTTTATTTGACTGTTCACCCGCTCACTCACTCCAGCTACAGACGAGGTATATAGCTCATCTGTGCTCCATGCGACAAAGTCAAAATGGCCGACGACGAGAGTGAAAATCTGGATTTAGCTCCTAGTGTGGAAATCCAGGATTTAGCTACTAATATCTTCGTGAAATCCCTTCCAAAACTGGTAAGAGTATTGTTTGAACCTTTTCTTGCTTCTACCTGCTAATTTTAAACTTCTTTGTGTCCGACATACTGTACAGTTGCAGTCTTGCATATAAAACAGATGAACGTAAGGCGCAATTTTCTGGTCGCCTTCTTAGGAACTTCATGCACATCTCAATGGTTCCATTAGCCCTAGCACAATACGGAAATTGATTGAATACAAGAAGCAAAGAACTGCCAATGGTTTTGATGTACCCAAAGACTGGGAATGTTGCATGACTGGGGAAAAGAGAATGACATTAGAACAGTCAGTATTCATACCACTGTGTTATGTAAGGACCTAAAAAGTAGACCCACATAATTCAAAAAGTTTTTCAATGATATGTCCATTGTGATTTGTGAATAGTTTACTTTTGATATGCACCTTGCATTGGGGTACAATGTTTCTGTACCGAATATACCAGCAGCCACCACGTACACCAGACATCTTCAGTATATTCAATGTTCTGCCCAGAACCTACTTAAGCCCAGTTTACACTACATTGATTTATTGGCAAGGCACGGCTAAAATGGGAATCCTTGCCCATTGCATCCGTGCTCGGCCTTTTGGAAGCCTGAACACTAATAAAATTGGGCGTGCACGGGTACTCATTTTAGCCGTGCCGTGCCAATAAATTGACAGTAGTGTAAAGGGAGCTTTATTTTCTGCATATTATAATAAAGATTACTTGTGAAAATGCATCTCTTTCATGTTTCTAAATTTTGAAGTTAATTTAAGTTTATGAAACAAAGTCCACATTGTGTTCCTTAGCCTTGTAATTTGTTAAAAAAGTATGCTACAAATGCCCAAAATTATTCATCAGTAAAGGAATACTAAATGGTTTTCTGTGCAGGATTGTCTCATACTGCACGCCTACGAACCAATCAAATTGCGTGTTTCATTGTAGTTATTATATAATTATCATTACTATTGCACTTTACCTACCTTGCACTACAAAATATTTGAAATAACAATTTATGTTTCTTTCCAATTCATATAGTTCTTGTTATTAGAATACCAAAGAAATATCAAACAAGAAAATAACCTTTTTTATCATTTATAGAGGTTTCATGATATTCAAGATTGTGCATACGTTAGTTGATGACCATCAATCTTTAGCTATGGTATGTTCTATCTATGTATACTTTTATGTATATCAAGTATATGGTTTAATACTATGTGTAATATGTTATACTTCAGGTAACTAGAGATGTAATTACAGAGTTCTTTGAGGATGGAGTTCATTATTTGGAATTGAGAAGTACACCAAGAGCAAATGAGCTGAATAGTAAGTGCTATAATTTTTATTTTTGATATAGAACTGTGTGAATAAATATAACTTATATATGTCTGTGTCATGGATTTGGCAAATCCTAAACTCAATAATCTGGTTAAGTTTTAATTGGATTGTATCTCATTTCTTGGCAATTACTTTTTTAGAAATCACAAAAAGATCATATGTTGAAACGATTCTCCAAACAATCATTGAAACAACTAGAAATATGGACATTATTGTGAGGTGAATGATCCTGGATTCTGTAAAGAATCTCATGCACCAATCTAAATTTTTTAATTTATTATGTAGTTTTGCTGTTAGCTTGTGCTTATTTTAACTGTTGTTCACCCAAAGGTTTTTGCTGTCCATTGATCGTCGTCAAAGTGTTGGTGAAGCAGAGGATACTGTGAAACTTGCTACTGAATTTAAGGACAAATACAATGGACTGGTGGTTGGTGTTGATCTAAGTGGTGACCCTAAGGTGAGGCATTTTTAGCGTAAGAATTTTATGTTGCACTGAATACTACATCTAGTTGGCAAACAGGTCAGCAATTACAGAAAGCCGACCTAAATTCAAAGGCCTGTTACATGGAGCAAATTATAATTATTTAAATTCTTCAATGATCCTTTTTAGATTGGCGATGCAGCTGAATTTCTTCCGTGTTTAAAACAAGCAAGGTTGGCTGGGTTAAAACTAACTTTTCATGTGGCTGAGGTAGACTTTCTCTTTCTGGGATGAAAGACTCTTGCATCTTTTCGCCTTGTCTGACCTTAGATTGAGCAATGAAATTTCTGCACCAATTCTATATTGCTTATTCCCTCAATAGTCCAGTAGTGTGTGTATAATTCTTCAGACGTTTTATATGATTATCGTAATTTCTTGTGCTAGGTTCCAAATATTGCAGAAACTAAAACGTTGCTAATGTTCAGACCAGATCGTATTGGCCATGGTACATGTATCTACCCTGATAAAGGTGGAGATGAAGAATTGGTTGCTAGTGTGCTACAAGCTAAGATTCCTTTAGGTATAATGCTGATAATGACGTAGTAATTATTTCTGAAAGAACCTCAGTTGTTATACCACATTTGATGCTAAGTTGTTTGAAGACGCTGCCACGTTGCTCCCTGGTTCTATTTGAACCTCAGTTTTATCCTAATCTTATTTTTCACTTTAGAACTGTGTCTTACATCAAATGTTAAATGTCGCACTGTAAAGTCCTATGAAGATCATCATTTTAAGGATTGGAGGAAGAATGGTCACCCTATTGTGATATGTGTGAGTACCTTTTAGGCTTTTAAAACATAGTCATAAGCCTTTAAGCTAGCTCTCATTTTAAGGCCATGTACTACTTCTGCATGATCTAACCATGCTAATTTGCTTATCTATATTTAGACCGACGATAAAGGAGTATTCACCTCATCACTTTCAGAAGAATATCTCTTGGCAGCAAAAACATTCAACTTGAGCAAAGCGCATCTTTGGAAGTTAAGTTATGACAGCATTGACTATATTTTTGAACAAAATACAATAAAAGAACAACTTTGGACAAAATGGCAGAGGTGGAAGAAAGAAAATCTCTAAAATTGAAGTCCTACATGGACTGCGGAGATAGGGGGTTGTTAATCAAGAGATAAATTTATAAGCAGTAAACAAACTTTATATAAAGGATTTAAGTGCTGATAGTCTAGTGGTGAACATAATGGCTCACAACGTGAGAGATTAATGGAGGCATGCTTTTATAGAATGATATAATAGAGAATTTCCATTTGTGTGCAATCAACAATGACCGATTTTAAAACAGAAATTACAAACTTGTTCTCGTGGTTATTTACATGCAGTCATAACCTGATTAATAACTCCTAAAGAAAAAAACTATACCAAATTTTGATTTCATTTATTCAATTTTTATTTCATTTATTTTTAGTATTAAGAGGGCCCAGAATCTTAACTAAGATACTTTCACTTTATTACCTGGGGATGTTTTTAGGGAAATAAAATAAGGGCAGTCACAATTTGATTTGAAGTGCCACTATATATTGTTAGGATAACTGGTGAAATTTGCTTCTATGGTCACCCTTCCATGTGGAACTAGTAATAATTCCTGTGGTGCTCTGACAATAAATAGAACAACCATAGTTATATAAAGGGATGAAATTATTATAGAATACCTGGCCAACAACTAAACAATAATTCAGATATGATTCGAAATGGAATTTTGTTCTCGTGTTTTCTTGTTATATTCCAGATTTTCCTTAGAGTGCAATATGAGCCGTCTATATGAGCTTTACTATCAGACGTACATTGATTGGAACTTAGAAACCTGTTTGAAAGTCAACAAGATTTCTGCACTGAGGTAACTCAATTGCTCTTATACACATTTCGTATTAGCTTTGTAACTGAAATTCTTGTAGGGTTTTTCTAATATAATACACTAAATATATCTGGTACGGCTTACCCTTTATCATTTTAGTCAATTTTGACGACTTTTTCAACTGTTCCAAAAACCAACCAAATATGCTCTAAAATGAAAGATATTAGTCTTAGGAAGCAATTTTTAGCACTTTAAGACAGTTTTTGAACAGTTGAAAAAGTCGTCAAAATTGACCAATATGGTAAGGGCCTTACAGTACCTAAGGGCTTTACCATTTTAGTCAATTTTGACGACTTTTTCAACTGTTCAAAAACTGTCTTAAAATGCGAAAAATGGCTTCATGAGACTAATATCTTTCATTTTAGAGCATATTTGGAACATTGAAAAAGTCGTCAAAATTGACCAAAATGGTAAGGTTTACCCCATTTACCAATGGTAAGGCCCTTACTAATTTGGTCAATTTTGACGACTTTTTCAACTGTTCAAGAACGGTCTTAAAATGCTAAAAATGGATTCCTAAGACTAATATCTTTCATTTTAGATCATTTTTAGACAGTTTTTGAAAAGTTGAAAAAATGGTCAAAATTGGCCAAAATGGTAAGGCTTACCCCTTACCATTTTGGTCAATTTTGACGACTTTTCCAACAGTTCAAAAACTGTCTTAAAATGCTAAAAATGGCTTCATGAGACTAATATCTTTCATTTTAGAGCGTATTTGGAACATTGAAAAAGTCGTCAAAATTGACCAAAATGGTAATGCTTACCCCTTACCATTTTGGTCAATTTTGACGACTTTTTCAACTGTTCAAAAACTGTCTTAAAATGCTAAAAATGGCTTCCTAAGACTAATATCTTTCATTTTAGAGCATGTTTGGAACATTGAAAAAGTCGTCAAAATTGACCAGAATGGTAAGGCTTACCCCTTACCATTTTGGTCAATTTTGACGACTTTTTCAATTGTTCAAAAACTGTCTTAAAATGCTATTAATGGCTTCCTAACGCTAATATCTTTCATTTTAAAGCATATTTGGAACATTGAAAAAGTCGTTAAAATTGACCAAAATGGTAAGGCTTACCCCTTACCATTTTGGTCAATTTTGACGACTTTTTCAACTGTTCAAAAACTGTTTTAAAATGCTAAAAATGGCTTCCTAAGACTAATATCTTTCATTTTAGAGCATGTTTGGAACATTGAAAAAGTCGTCAAAATTGACCAGAATGGTAAGGCTTACCCCTTACCATTTTGGTCAATTTTGACGACTTTTTCAATTGTTCAAAAACTGTCTTAAAATGCTATTAATGGCTTCATGAGACTAATATCTTTCAAAAAACTAAATCGCTATTTAGTTTAAAATTTTGCAAATAGGATTAACTAAATAAAGAACAAGAGCTTTTGATAAGTGATGCTGTGGCCCAGTTGTTAAGGCTACGGACTACCAGGTTGTATACCCAGGTTCGAATCCTGCATGGGAAAAAGGTTCGATTTTTCCCACCGAAATTATTCTTTAATTTAAACTTCATCGAAAAAGATTAGGTCAAATAAAGAACAATAGCTTTCGACAAATGATGCGGTGGTCTAATGGTTAAGACGTTTGTGTCTCAATCCGAGGACTAACGTATCAACTCCTGGCAATGCAACAAAATTAGCCTGAAAAATTTCGGTGTGATTTGGAAGGTTTAAAACAATTAAAAGACTTCTCTGCCTTTGCAAAAGACCGTAAATTGAAAAAAATTTGAAACATAAAAAACAAAAACAAATTATCGCCTTCAAAAGTACCTGAAAATTGAAAGAAAAGCACAAGAAAAAAAAGTTTTAAAAACACGTGTCTTCTAAAAAGCCTGAAAATGAAGAAAGTCAGACGGAAAAAAAGTAACAACTTCCCGCTTTTAAAAAACTCATGTTTACTTACCTTAATTTTTTTCACGAAAATTTGACAGGGTGATTTTCTCGAGAGTGAAAAAATTTAATTTTTTTCACTTTTTTGAAATTCTCTAAGATTTTTTTTTGACAAAGATGTATTTTGTCTTGGGCTACCTGTGTCTGTCTTGGGCTACCTGTGTCTCGCTTGACACAGGTAGCCCAAGACATAGTACTTGTTTCGATTTTGTAGTTTTTTCTTCTATTTCTCTAGTTTTTTTTCTATTTTTCTAAATAGAAAAAAATAGAAAATAAACTAGAGAAATAGAAGAAAAAACTAGAGAAAAAAACTAACTAGAAAAAAAAACTAGAGAAATAGAAGAAAAAACTAGAGAAAAAAACTAGAGAAAAAAACTAACTAGAAAAACTAAAGAAAAAAAAAACTAGAAAAAAAGAAGAAAAAATAGAAAATAAACTAGAGACCACAAGACAAAAATCAAGTTTCTTCTTAAACTTTTCAAAAAACATTTAGAAAATACTTAGAGAAAAACATTAAGAAAAAACTAGAGAAAAAAACTAAGTCAAAAAATAGAAAAAAAACTAGAGAAATAGAAGAAAAAACTAGAGAAAAAAACTAACTAGAAAAGCTAAAGAAAAAAAAAACTGGAAAAATAGAAGAAAAAATAGAACATAAACTAGAGACCACAAGACAAAAATCAAGTTTCTTCTTAAACTTTCAAAAAACATTTAGAAAATACTTAGAGAAAAACATTAAGAAAAAACTAGAGAAAAAAACTAGAAAAAAAACAAGAGAAAAAACTAACTAGAAAAATAGAAAAAAAACTAGAGAAATAGAAGAAAAAATAGAGAAAAAGAAGAAAAAACTAGAGAAAAAAAACTAGAGAAATAGAAGAAAATAGTAACAGGTTTAACTTAAAAAAAATACAAAAAAATACTAAGAGGTTTAATTTAGAATCGTCAAGTCACACAGAAGAACTTGCAAAATAAAAACACTAACACCATCAGACGAAAAAGGTTTATTTCTTAAACTTTACAAAGAAAAAAGTTAAAAAACTAGAGAAATAGAAGTAAAAACTAGAGTAAAAAAAAACTAGAGAGAAAAAAAAACTAGAGAAAAATAACTAAGTAGAAAAATAGAAAAAAACCCCTAGAGAAATAGAAGTAAAAACTAGAGTAAAAAAACTAGAGAGAAAAAACAACTAGAGAAAAAAAACTAAAACTAGATAAACAGAAGATAATACTAACAGGTTTTTTTTTAACTTAGAAAAAATACTAAAAAATACTAAGAGGTTCAATTTAGAATTGTCAAGTCACACAGAAGAACTTGCAAAATAAAAACACTAACTCCATCAGACGGAAAAAGGTTTACTTCTTAAACTTTACAAAGAAAGAAGTTCTCTTTATAAATCCAAGTTTTGAAATAAATCCAAGTTTTGAAAATTGTCACATAATTCATCACATTTCACAGTAAAATATATTAATTAATGAATCTGGGTGCCTTTCAACTTTCTTCAACACTAAAGTAAAAAAAAGAATTTCATCAAAAAAATAAGAGAAAATATATTTAGAAAAAAAACTAATACTAAGAAGAAATTAAAGAGAAAAGAAGTATAAGAAAAAGCCAAAGCAACTGTCAAAATCTTTTCAATTGTGAAAGCACAAGGAAAAACATGCAAAATCGAAACAACAAACACCACAAGACAAAAATAAAGTTTCTTCTTAAACTTTTCAAAAAACATTTAGAAGCAACTGCCAAAATCTTTTCAATTGTGAAAGCACATGGAAAACATGCAAAATCGAAACAACAAACACCACAAGACAAAAATCAAGTTTCTTCTTAAACTTTCCAAAAAAACATTTAGAAGCAACTGCCAAAATCTTTTCAATTGTGAAAGCACACGGAAAAACATGCAAAATCGAAACAACAAACACCACAAGACAAAAATCAAGTTTCTTCTTAAACTTTTCAAAAAACATTTAGAAGCAACTGCCAAAATCTTTTCAATTGTGAAAGCACACGGAAAAACATGCAAAATCAAAACACTAACACCACCAGACAAAAAAGGTTTACTTCTTAAACTTTACAAAGAAAAATTTCTCTATAAATCCAAGTTTTGAAAATTGTCACATAATTGATCACATTTCACACATGTTATCACACACTAAAATATATTAATTAATGAATCTAGGATAGGGCTGAAATAATTCAGGTTCTTCAGGGGTGCCTTTCAACTTTCTTCAACTTCATTCATTCTAAAGAGAAAAAGCATTTCATCAATCCTTTTAGGCAAAAAGTGGCAGCAAAGTTTGTATTTTCAACCTGACATCATTATTAAAAGATATTACTCATTATCTTACTTTAGTCATCTTTCATGGATAGACAATACATTCATGAATGCATTCTGTTTTATGCCAATTATATTTTTGCAATTTTCAATAAAAAGAATGTGCCACATAAATATATATTCAACCCAGACATATGTCACTATTCAATTTGAACACAGAAAAACTGGGCATCACCCTTCTGAGTACCACAGAATATAAATCACAAGGAAATCAGAAAAATTTCTCCCAAGTTTAAAATAGTAATTGCTAGTCTTTTTCGTGGATTAATTATTGTCTAGTTTTTCGTCAGGTATTCTATGGTTACTCGATCATCCCTCTATATATAACTATGGTTGCTACATTTATTCAAAGACCAGCACAGGAATTTATTACTGGTGACACATAGTGAGTATAGAAGCAAAGTTCACTTAGTCTGACGATTTTCCAAAAAAGATCTTAGTTGCAGCAAATCCCCCCTTATACTAAATAACAAAATATATATCTGGGCAGTTGATATGTATTACAAGGTCACTACAAGAATTTCAGCTGCAAGGCTAATATAAATTTTGAAGCAATAATCGAATTACCTCTCTACAGAAATCTTGTTCAATTCCAATTTTCCTCTGACAGTAAAGTTCATATCCACAGCAGCTCATGTGGCTGGTTGCACTCTTGACCAAGGAAAATCTTGAATATATAAAGAAGACATTATTAATACAAAATTCCATTTTCAACTATCTTAATTATTGTCTAGTTTTTCGTCAGGTATTCTATGGTTACTCATCATCCCTCTATATATAACTAGGGTTGCTACATTTATTCAAAGACCAGCACAGGAATTTATTACTGGTGACACATAGTGAGTATAGAAGCAAAGTTCACTTAGTAATCTTAACAAAATTTGTGACTGCCTGACGACTTTCCAAAAAAAAGATCTTAGTTGCAGCAAATTCCCCCTTATACTAAATGACAAAATATATATCTGGGCAGTTGATATGTATGATAAGGTCACTACAAGAATTTCAGCTGCAAGGCTAATATAAATTTTGAAGCAATAATCGAATTACCTCTCTGCAGAAATCTTGTTCAATTCCAATTTTTCTCTGACAGTAAAGTTCATATCCACAGCAGCTCATGTTGCTGGTTGCACTCTTGACCAAGGAAAATCTTGAATATATAAAGAAGACATTATTAATACAAAATTCCATTTTCAACTATCTTAATTATTGTCTAGTTTTTCGTCAGGTATTCTATGGTTACTTCATCCCTCTATATATAACTATGGTTGCTATATTTATTCAAAGACCAGCACAGGAATTTATTACTGGTGACACATAGTGAGCATAGAAGCAATGTTAACTTAGTAATCTTAACAAAATTTGTGACTGCCTAACAATTTTCCAAAAAAAGATCCTAGTTGCAGCAAATTCCCCCTTATACTAAATAACAAAATATATATCCGGGCAGTTGATATGTATTACAAGGTAGTGACAAGAATTTGAGATGCAAGGCTAATATAAATTTTGAAGAAACAATCGAATTACCTTTGCACAGTAATTTTGTTCACTTCCAATGTTCATCTGACAGTAAAGTTCATATCCACAGCTCATGTTGCACTCTTGACCAAGGAAAATCTTGAATATAAGAAGACATGATTAATATAAAATTGCATTTTCAACTATCTTAATTATTGTCTAGTTTTTGGTCAGGTATTCTATGGTTATACTTCATCCCTCTACATATAGCTATGGTTGCTATATCTATTTAAAGACCACCACAGGAATTTATTACTGGTGACACATAGTGAGCATAGAAGCAATGTTAACTTAGTAATCTTAACAAAATTTGTGACTGACGTTCGTCTTGATAACTGGCTGTTGAGATAAACGTTAATGACAAAATGTTCAGTTCTGCTTCAGTCTATGGGTGCGGAAATTGCTCATGACATAAATTTTCAGTAAAAAATTATCACCATTGCAGGCAGAATTAAGCTCGAAACTTTAGATAACCTTGTACGCAGAATATTTCATATTGTATATGGTTTTTTGTTATTTCTGGCCGACAATTAGCAGAAGGCACACAAACATCAAAGTAAAATACTTAACTTTGACCAGACAGCACAACAATCTTGCTCAGAAAGGTCCGCGAACGGTCCACGTGTATGGTTTTCTTTGGCATCGCCATTTTGAATTTGGCCGGGCGAGTCTTGAACTGATTTCATCTTTTTTCTCTTCACGTTCATCTTGACAACTAGCTGTTCAGATAAAACTATATACAACGAAAAAAAAGGGTTCGGCTCAGCTACACTGTACTCCTTAAGGAAGGCCTACGGCCTTCCCGTAGATTAGTGTAAAGGCCTACAAGTGGGAACTAGTCAACTGGCAGCGTGCGGGGGACCAAAACGCTCTAGGCAAACGGTCCCCCTACTGGGGTCGGACAAAGCAACCGCAGATTACGCATATAATCGCCGGAACCCACCTTTTAGTCAACGGCGAACTCCTTCTTCCTCGAACAATCTTCAATCTTGCTGAGCTTCGATCTTGCTGTCCACCTTCGATCGCCACCTATTCAAAGAAATTTTTTTTTAACGTTGAGATTAGTTTTATAGGCGATAATTACCATGTGATCATAGCAGATCACGTGGTATGATAATGTACGACAACATGCCGATCAACTCCGAACATCATCGTGAGCGATGTTACTATAAACGAATCACTAAAAGCCTAGAAAAAAGTTGTCCTTCCCTATATTTCAACATTTTAAAAGCAGTGCATTCTAGTTTTGTTTTGAAGAACATTTTTTTTTTGCTTCTAGTTTTTTTTTGTATTTTGCTTCTAGAATTCTTTGTATTTCTGATGTCAAACAATCCTGTACTTTTTGGTATCATAAATATAAGCTCCTTTGTTTTGGAGACATACAATAGTTTTTTTTATATTTTAGCCAAAACATATAGCAGCAATTACAGATTCACTACGTTCATTCTCATCTTGATTCACAAATTTTTAAAGGACTTGAATCGATTCCATGCGGTCTGCAATAGCTGGGCGAACGTCTTACACCTAAAGTCAGTCAAAGATTGTTGTATCTCAATTCTTTAGCTTCAGTGATAAACAACATGAAGAAAAACATCACTTAATCACAGAAAACAACACAGATCAGTATACCATGAGAAACATTAAAAGGCCTTTATGATCTCTTATAATAATTACCTTGGCAAACATTTTGCAAGAAAACTCTCACAAAGTCCAGTTAACTGATAACACTAAATGACATGCCTCCGAATAGCTTTTTTTCTGCTCCGAGAAGGTCATCGTTGGCAGTTCCTTGGCTAGCAATAATAGAACAAAATGATTAGGACTCCATATTCTGGATGGCGTTGGCCTTGCAGCACTTGTCCACAGGATGTAAATTGACAGTCATCTCGGGCAGTCATCTCGGGCAATCATCTCGTGCAAAGTAGAACACAATGGAACTGCAAACATGAAATATTGAAGATGATAGGAATCTTCGAAGTTTACTGAATCATCAAAGACTCACGGTCGAGAATTCCAGAGGCGAGTTCTTGCCGTCGAGCGAGAGATTTTCACTTCGTCTACCCGGGAGCTTCGCCGCCGCCTAAAGATATGTTTGAATGTTTTAGGTTAGTTTGAGTTTGGTTGTGTGGTTGGTTGGTTCGTGTCAGCATTCGTTGTCTCGTCCTGTTTGAGGTCGAAATTTACCGACCGTCGATGTGACCTCATCTTGCTGATGTGTGTCAACGAACGAGATAGAAAAGTCTTCCAAGTAACATCATCTCGGGCAGTCATCTCGGGCAGTCATCTAAGGCAGTCATCCCGGGCAGTCATCTCGGGCAGTCATCACGGGCAGTCATCACGGGCAGTCATCTCGGGCAATCATCTCAGGCAGTCATCTCGGGCAATCATCTCAGGCAGTCATCTCGGGCAGTCATCTCAGGCAGTCATCACGGGCAGTCATCTCGGGCAATCATCTCAGGCAGTCATCTCGGGCAATCATCTCAGGCTGTCATCTCGGGCAGTCATCTTGGGCAGTATAGTGCCTTTATATATTGTTAGGATAACTGGTGAAATTTGCTTCTATGGTCGCCCTATGTGGAACTAGTAATAATTCCTGTGGTATAGTCTAGCTTACAATAGATAAAGCAACCATAGTTATATAAAGGGATGAAGCAATTATAGCATACCATTGGAACATTAAAGAACCTCAAAATTGAGCAAAATGGTAAGTTTTTCAGCTGTTCAAAAACGGTCTCAAAATGCTAAAAATAGCTTCCTAAGACTACTATCTTTCATTTTAGAGCATATTTGGTTGGTTTTTGGAACATTCAAAAATCGTCAAAATTGAGCAAAATGGTAAGGCTTACCCCTCTTACCATTTTGGTCAATTTTGACGACTTTTTCAACTGTTCAACAACTGTCTTAAAATGCTAAAAATGGCTTTCTAAGACTAATATATTTCATTTTAGAGCATATTTGGTTGGTTTTTGGAACATTGAAAAATCGTCAAAATTGACTAAAATGGTAAAGCCCTTAGGTAAGGCCCTTACCATTTTGGTCAATTTTGACGACTTTTTCAACTGTTAAAAAACTGTCTTAAAATGCTAAAAATGGCTTCCTAAGACTAATATCTTTCATTTTAGAGCATATTTGGAACGTTGAAAAGTCGTCAAAATTGACCAGAATGGCAAGGCTTACCCCTTACCATTTTGGTCAATTTTGACGACTTTTTCAACTGTTCAAAAACTGTCTTAAAGTGCTAAAAATTGCTTCCTAAGACTAATATCTTGCATTTTAGAGCATATTTGGTTGGTTTTTGGAACAGTTGAAAAAGTCGTCAAAATTGACTAAAATGATAAGGCTTACCCCTTACCATTTTGGTCAATTTTGACGACTTTTTCAACTGTTAAAAAACTGTCTTAAAGTGCTAAAAATGGCTTCCTAAGACTAATATCTTTCATTTTAGAGCAGATTTGGTCGGTTTTTGGAACAGTTGAAAAAGTCGTCAAAATTGACCAAAATGGTAAGGGGTAAGCCGTACCAGATATATTTAGTGTATTATATTACAAAAACACTACAAGAATTTCAGTTACAAAGCTAATACGAAATGTGTATAAGAGCAATTGAGTTACCTCAGTGCAGAAATCTTGTTGACTTTCAAACAGGTTTCTAAGTTCCAATCAATGTACGTCTGATAGTAAAGCTCATATAGACGGCTCATATTGCACTCTCAGGAAAATCTGGAATATAACAAGAAGACACGAGAACAAAATTCCATTTCGAATCATATCTGAATTATTGTTTAGTTGTTGGACAGGTATTCTATAATAATTTCATCCCTTTATATAACTATGGTTGTTCTATTCATTGTCAGAGCACCACAGGAATTATTACTAGTTCCACATAGGGTGACCATAGAAGCAAATTTCACCAGTTATCCTAACAATATATAGTGGCACTTTAAATCTAATTGTGACTGCCCTTATTTTATTTCCCTAAAAACATCCCCAGGTATAATAAAGTCAAAGTATTAAAATATTAAACAACAAAATATATAATTTGCCATTGAGATGTTAAATCATTCTCACTTGAATCTTTATATCAAGGCAATTGATATGATTTCAAAACCACAATAGTTTCAGTTACAAAGCCGAAATGAAAGTTGAAACAATCAAATTATCTTGGTGCAGAAATCTGACTAAAGAGGTTTTCAATTAATGAACATCTGATAGTATCTCATATCAATGACTTGCATTTCTTCTCTCACTCAGGAGCAGAGAGAATAGCATAATCGTCTGCATGGTAAAAATCTCCCAGCTGCAAAGTAACCTAAGTTCTTAAAAATCCCAACATTTACATCATAGAATATGGTCTAAGCGACCTCATAGAATTGGTCTAAACGACTTCGCTGCGAAAAACATCGTGAGCTATGTGAATCAAAAACAAGGCGAATTTCAGAAGCTCATCACTGAAAGCTGATGATCACCCCAACCTTAACCACAACACCCACCCCAACCCAAAAGAAAACCTGAAACTCAGGCACAACCTCACACCCTCACCCAAACACCCACCCACCGAAACTTACCTCAACTCAAACCCGATAACCAATTCTGTATTGAATTTTGAAACAATACGCTAACCATACTTTTGGCGCATATATTCTTAAAGAAACAAAATATCTCTACCATGGACGAGCAAGCTTCACAAATCAGTTCTTGCTATTTTAAATTCTCCGTACGCTAAACTTCATAGAAAATATTTACTATTTTTCGGGCGTAGCGTAAATTCCTAGCATATTAAGTTAAGAGATACACGCATTTCTCGAAGTGTCAAGGATATGGGTACTGTGGCACAGAATGTTTCAAATGTTTCAAGTTTCCCTCAATTCGGTGTAGAAAGATTGTAAGTAAGCTATGCAGTGTCCATATCTTTATCCTCGCTGACACCAGTCCCACCAGCCTGCAAACAAGATATATGTTTTAATGAACTAGAAACTTTTGAAAGAAAAACACTATTTAAACACTGGTGGGAATTGTGGTATGCAATGAAATGACTACTACGTCATCGTAAGTGGTAATTTCGTACATGAAAGCAAACAGTACAAGGTTAAAGATATTGACAAAATTTTGATCGAGGCTGCAGCTGTTAAGGCCTTTTTCCTAGAAACACAGGAATTACAACAAAATTGTGTCTTACCGGGTCTTGTTCCATCGATGCCTCGGCTCCCGGTTCCCCAGCTTCATCTTTTGCCTAAAAAAGGCACACAAAAAAGTCATCACCACCACAATTTTGCGACTGATATCATGTATCTTAATGCAACCTTCACCTCACCTCTTCTCTGCCTGCTCTTCCACCTTTCAGATTGTCCAGTAGAGCAAGCTGTTGCTTGAAGTCAAGGTCAATAATCACCGCTTGCTGTTAGAATTATGCGCAGAAACTCTTCACTTGCAACAATGTGTTTAGACACACAGTCAGAGTCCTAAGTTCAAGCTCTTGGGGTAACCCCTTCCCTCATCTACTTCAGGAAATCAATAATTTATCAAGAACGCTATTAAATACTATTAAAGTAAAACTTGGCTACTTTTTCATTAAGTTTGACTCATGGTTGAATAAATTGAGTTTAAGACACAAGTTTTATCATCTACGAGATATTTCAGTAATGAGTTCTGAAACTCTAAGAAGTCACCCAATGATGCTAAAAAAATGTTCACATTCACCCTTGTTAAAAGCGCCACCTTAAATGGAGCCTCACCATTGGTCCTAAGGGCTAAAAAATACTCTAACATTTTGGGACATTTTTTTGTTTAAATGTTTAACAAACAGGTGACATAATAATGGATAATAAGGATACATATGGCTCAACAGCTTCGTCATTAAATATTTCCAACACATTATCCTTTCCAACCAGACACACTGATGAGTTCTAAAAGGTTAAGTTTTTTATGAATATAAATTTATGAATATGAATCTAAAAAAAAATTAAAATGATTCACACAAGAGCACATAGCTAGAGCAAGCATAATATTGGTACCTTTGTAGTTAATTCTTGTTCGTTGGGTAATGTTTCCCTTAGAGCAGTCAAACCATGTTTTATCAGTTCTTCTGGGGTGCCTTTTTACAAAGAACACAATTCGATATTAGGATTATAAGGATTTAGACTAGGTCCCTTGTTAGAATGAGGGATAGGATTTGGATTATGGCTCTGGTTTGAATCAGGATTAAGGATTAACTTAAAATTAATTGTTATTAATATGGATTAATTTACCACCAGTCTATCAAAAAATAAATGTAATTTTTTGACAATGAATTATATGCTGTGGTTCGGCCCCGCATTTGTTTTTTAGATTGTTTCTCCAGGTAAAATGCTTTCTTTTCATAGATAATTTTAAGGCAGAAAAACAATTTTTAGAGCAGTTGAAGGTTTTTCGTTAGATGCAAGAAGGAACCAAATGATTTGAAGTAAATTGAGTCACAACAGAAATACAAGTCAAGAGGGGTTGAACTGACATATTCAGCATCAAATGTGGTATAACAACTGCCTAAATAGACAAAACACTTCTCGACGTTTCGACCTGAGGGCCTTCGTCAGATGAGTTAGCATATTCAGTGTATCGTCTTCGTCATATTCATTGTGTGCATTTGTTTTCTTATAAATAAACCAACTCAATGTTCTATTTTCATTGTTGAACTTACAATTAGGAAACTCATCCAACATCTTCTCCAAGTACGTTCTTGCGGACTAAGAAAGAATTAAGATTAATTTTCATTCACAAGTTTTATAACCTTTAGACAAATAGTTCAACACAAATCAAACGCTACCTTAGAAATGTTGCGCAGTCAATTGGGTGCTTTTATATTTTTGGAAATCTTTACCTGTGATCTAGCACCGATTGCCATACATTTGCAATCGAAAAAGTTTGCAGAAGGGCATGTCTGGTACAAATGAGGTCCAGCGTCCTGCAAACATAGAGAACATACAGTGAATATGTGAATACTTTATGTGAACGTTTATTGCATGCACAAAATACAAGCTTACATCATATCCAGCGATGAGTAAACCGACTCCATAAGGACGTCGACCATACATCTGCGTTTGTTGTTGCATTTCTGTTTTAGCGTCAAGGAGTGAACTGATATCTTACATCAATCTTCTGACATGAACTTAATACTCCCTCAATAATTTGAATGTTAGAGGGTTAGCTAGCATAACTCAATGGGTTTCAAATGTTTTTCAGCTTATGAAGTTAATACAAAAAACATATGAACACAAGGTTAACTCGGGTAACATTTCATGGGTTTTTTTCACATGATCTAAAGGATACTATCACCAATAGCCCCGACCAGCCTTGCAACAGGGAGAGGTGTATCGTATATAAATTTAGAATCCAAACATTCAATTCTCATGAACTTACTAAAAAAACAAATCACAGTGGCTTCAATAAAAATACTAATTTATCGATTTGTTTTGTGATTGATTCATGAAAAATAAAAGAGTCAGACTTTTGAAACCAACCTAAGCAACCTTGCATCTGCTGTTAGACCTGCGATGGATATACCAATGTGGTCATCAATTGGAATTATCTTCTTTTGATGTGCTGATAATTCTGAAGCAGCACGCTAGATAACAGATACAGGTACAAGTGTTTATAGTAACACTGAAGTATCATTAAACATTACCAAGAGGTTATATGACTAAGGTACTTAAAAAACTACATAGCCAGTAGTTTAAACAAACCTTCAGTGCAACTAATACAACATGAGTAGACGACTTTATGCCAATGGTTGCTGAACCCTAGGGAATAAACCAATAAGCTTAGTTTTCACTAGGTTTTGTCTCAGGTCTGAAGCTTACCAGAATGAAACAGTAATGTGTCAAATGTTTTGGAGACAATACCTGTTTCACTGCCTCCATTGCATACTCTATTTGATGTATTCTTCCCTAAAAAACAGAAAGATATGATATATATTATTTGATTTGATATGATACAATATGACATATGATATGATATATATTATATGATTTGATATATGACACAATATGATATGATATATGATGTGTGATACAAAGATATATGATAAAATATATATCTAATATATTATATATATGATATTTAATATCTGATATTATATGATATAATATCTGATATGGTATGGAATCACTCTACAAATAATCAGTTAATAATAAACCACACACCTGTGGGCTCCAAATACTGACATCATTATCATACTGGTTTCGAAACTGTAAGAAAATACAAACCAATATTTGAACTGCTTATTGAAGTTATATAATATATGGTCAAGAACTTGAAAAGCTCTTAAGACCTGTTTACACTTGCAATTTTATGTGCAATTTTCTTCTTTTGATCCATGTGAACGAGTGATTAGTTACGAATGCTCTGATGCGTACAAGCTGTTATTTAAACATCAGTAACTAGATCACTCATTCACATCAATTAAAAGAAGAAAATCGCATAAAAAATCGAAAATTGAAATTGCATACTATGGAAAAGGTAAACCTAAACATGGTGGTATGGTATATACATGGTATATTACACACACAGTGGGGATTTGAGGGGACTTTAGTATGACCCTCATATACCGAGCAAGTGTTCAGCATACAATAAGGTAAAGGTGGCTGACAGCTTAAATGCAGCTTAAAGTAGGTTGAGAACAAGGGTCTATAAAATCAGTAACATGAGCACATGACTCAGCAGTCACTTATGTCTTTATATAAAGATACATTAATCAGATATCACGGAAAAACAGCATGAAATAAACATTTCGATACAACTATCATAGTTTATGCTCTCACTTCACAAATTTTCAGCACAAAAACAATAAAAAAAGAAAGAATACTCACCATTTTTGTAGCTTGAAACTTTGTCAAATTGTATAATTTGTACACCACACTTCCACGCTTCGAGGTCTGAGACCAAATTTCATTCAACAGTCCAGTTAAGATTTAATGATCAGTTTTGGTCGCCAAATTGATTTTTATTTAAAAAAACCCTGAAGCTTTCTCATTACAAACTTGTGAAAACTGCAGATAATAAAAGTATGCCTTACAAGAAACAAAATATTCTATGTTCTCAAGGCATAGACCCAATTTTAAGTTTGAAATTCAAAAATTCTCATCGGTTTCATTCTTCTTCTATGCTGACCGTATATAGCTCAGTGCCGTAGAAAACTCACTTGGGCCAACATGAAGTATCCCGAGTTTTCTTGAACAAGAATCACGATCTCAAGTTTCCAAGATGGCCGCCGTCCGAGGAGCGGTTATCAATATTTATGAAGTTTTGTTTTGATTTTTTAAATAATTGTCGCGAGTTCGTTGAAAAGAACTATGAAGAACGAAGGAGGGGATACTCATGCAGCTTCTGGCTTGTCTGAGCAGCAGAGAAAGAAAAAATATTTCGAAGAATCCCGCCAATTTGAACACAAGTAAAATGAAATAACTTTTTATATAATAATTTTTGATCGGCTTCTTTGAGTCATTTATGTGTTTGCTATTGTATAGAGCTGTTGCTGTTGAGAAGGAGTGCAATGGTGTGATCTTTAGCAAGAGAAGTGAGTTCAGAAGAGATTTCCTGAGTTTGGAAGATGCGAACGAGCAGTATCGGAGAAGTGAAAAAGCTGAAAGTAATTAATATTGCTGAAAACTACAAACTATAAAGACTACAAAATTTTACACCATTCTTCGATATTCTCTTGCATCTTTCAGTTTTGAAATTGAAGCAACAGCTAACAAGAATTAAAAGCAATGTTGAAAAACTACAACATAGCTTGACTGACGTTAAACCATCAGCGAAATGTGAGAAATATTCTCTTTGTCTAAATCCAACATCATCACTCTGAATTTTCACATTTGACAAATACAATTTACCTTCATTATCAGTTGTTGAGAAGTTGAAAGAAATCATGGAAGATATTGAAAACTCAATAATGAATTTTAAAAAAGAACAAAGAGAGAAGTAAGCTTTGTTTTATCATTTATCGAATGTGAATACGAGACGATGGTTTACTGGAGAAGTTCAATTGTATTTTATGGTCACAGATTTGAGGATCTTTTGAGAGAGGAGAGGGTGATTATGCAAGAACTGACAGCTTCTGAGAAAAAATTTGAATCTTGGTCTCGACTTCCAGCTGCAGCAGTAGAATCAACCAAAGCTGTGAGAAAGGCAACAAGACAGTCAAGCTCAATGCCACCGGCAATTGCAGCTTTTGAGGTAAGAGAAGTTCTTTCTGGAGCATGTTAAAATAGATTACCTAGTAAGCCTAATAACCTCCATGGTATTTTATTCTTCCTTAGCGTTTTCTGGCACAGACAGGTGGGCATCAGGGAGGCTGGGACGACTATGATCATCAGGAATATCTGCGGATGAAACAGCAGAATAAAACGAAGGTGAGTTTATAGTACCACCAAGATATGAATTAGCAAAACAATCTGGTAACATCTTTTGGTAATGGTAACAAATCAGGCAGCATTACTTTTGAATGTCAAACACCAGCCAATTTAACTCTACTAGGATACTGTCTGACTGTGTCAACATTTTATCCTTACTTTATTAATTCTCTAGGATAAAGATGCATTCATCCATTCTGCGCTGAGCAATCTTCCTGGGAGGTCTTATGACGATGTTAGACAGCATGATGATTGGTACAGTGAATATTTGATATTGTTGGACAAGAAGAAAAAAGCAATCCAAGAATGGAAACATCATAAAGATGTGAGAACACTTGAAATAGAAATATGGATTTTAAAAGAAAATAAAACTACTAAGATTGAACTCTTGTTCTGATACTCCTTGTACTCTCAATAATTCTTTCAACTCTCTTGCAACTTTTCATCTTCCTTGCAACTCTTTTTAACCATGTTGTAACTGTTCTTGCAACTTTCTCCAACCCTGGTAAACTCTATAAACTCTCTTCTATCAACTCTTCTGCATCTTTTGTTCTTTTTTGACCAAAGCACAAGAGTTGATAAAACTCTTGTAGTGCACTTACTTGCAACTCCTAACTTGCTATGAGACAAAAGTGAACAAACTTCATTTTGCAGACAGAAAAAATGGACAAGCTATCTAATGTGGATGAACATGAAAAATCAGATCTAAAGGAGAAAAGAAAGGCAGAACTCTATGAGAAGGAACGCCAAGAAAGACTGGCAAAACTCGATGAATGGAAGGTAACTACAGGTGTACTTTTCATGTGACTGTTGAGATGTTAATATTCTTTAGAGAACTGTAGTTGGTTTGTTCAGAGATTAATGCAAAAGGCTTCCTTTATTGCCTCATTGGAAATCTACACTTTCTTTCAAAGGTTCAAAGGGAAATCGAAAGGACAAAACAAGAAGAAGAGAAAGTGAGAATGGAAGTAGAAGCGATGAAAAATAAACAAAAGGAAGATAAAAGAAAGGTGAATAAAAAGCTGTCAAGAGTCAATACTTTTACTTACCCAATTCAATGGTAGTCATACTAACTCTCCTGAGGAAGCCTTTAAGTCAAAACGTCGAGAAGTGTTTTTGTCTATTTTAGTTAGTTGTAATATACTACATTTGATGTGAAGTTGTCTGAAGACGCTGCCAACTGCTTCGTAGGTATATTGACCTAGTATCATTTCAATTTTATCCTAATAGCGTGAAATCAAGAGTCAGGTGGAAGAATTTGCCCGACATCGCGAGGAAGAGAAGGAAATCTTGCGAATGACCGAGGAGCAGAGAAGAAAAATGGAAAGAGAAAATAGAAAACTGAGCGCTTCTGATATTGCCAGGCTAAAAGAAAGGGTAAGATGATTTTTTTTTATACAAAACAAGAAACCTTTCTTAGCCAACCTTTAGATAAGAATTCCACGGAAATTTTTGTTTACCAGAATGAGAAGCTTGCTATGGAAAGAAAGACAAAAATTGAAAGCAAAGAAATAGAAAGGGAAGAAAAGGAGAGGCGTCTGGAGAAATTAAGAAGCCAGGTGAATCCTCAAGGCAATATGTAATCATTTGAGACTTGTGGTGAACAGCTTACATCAATTTCAACGTTTTTAGGTCGAAGTTCACGCAAAAAGAGATCCATCAAGATTACTGAAGCTCACAGAAGGTTTAAAAGAACGAAAGAAAGCCACACCACAACCTGGGTCGGGTGCTCCAGGAATACATATGCCACACAGGTAAGATAATAGGAAGAATATGAACGTAGCTTTTTGGATTCTGAAATAGAATGTGAACTCTGAAATGAACTGCATCCTCTCATATGTAATTACTTGTTTTGATATAGGGCTGTTCCAACCTGGAGGCAAGGAATGTCATGAAGCATTTGAGAAAATTTCAAATTTTATTTTACAAAATCCAACATTATACCACTATTTCGTGTAAAAATATTTAATCGTATCTTTTTTTTAAAAGTAAATTGAAAAAAACAGTGTATCCTATGATTCGCGCGCGTGCGTTGCTTTTCAAATTAACATAACCCGCGCAAGTGTACAAAGTAAATATTTTAGTTTGTTGTTGTGAGAGTTGAATTGCATTGAAAAGTGTTAGTTGGTCATCACCACAGGACAAGTTATAGGCCAACCATCATTTTACAATTCAACCAGACATATTTTTTCCGGCATAAAAGTGCTTTCCTGTACAGGAATGATGCTTTTGACTATACGAAAGTTTGGATTAATTTTTGCCTCGTATAAGCTGATGGTACTGTGCGGTATTTTCATCGCAAAAACCGACTCTTGTGAGCGAGGTTGAGTTAAATTTTTTCAACGTAATTGTAAGGGAATAGTCCTTCCTTCCCTCGCAGGCGACCCGTCCACCAGCCAGAGTCCTCTGAAAGTACAAATCATTTTCGGTCAGGTCACAGATCTCAACGCCGGATTAGGGTAGGAATGATAGACTGCAGTGATTTTGGTCAGAAATAAGCGAAGGTCAGGTAAATGGAATATGGTCAGCACAGGATTTAGGGTAGAAGAAAAATTAAAGCCTGAATAAGAGGATTCTGAAATGAGACATTTTTTCCTGCGGAAAACCCGCAAACATTTTGCTATCATTTTTTCTTCTATCACGGCTTTTATTGAACCGCAGATTGAACGAAGCCGCTACATATACATAAGAACTTACATAAAGTACTGCATTGCACACAACACAACAGCTTACCTTCTTTCAAAATATCGACAATCTCTCCAGCGTTGAAACTTAATTCTTCAGTATCTTGAGCATCATATGCGTAGAGAGTACGGCATTGTGGGAGGGAAGGCTTTGGCGGGAGACCAGGCTTTGGCTTCGGTCTGCCCGGGGCAGGTGGGCGCTTCGAGTTGCCGAGCTTTCCAGAGATATTACGACTGATCCTGTTAATGAGACGTAAGATTAGGGCTAGTTAGCGTATTGAAAGTGTAGAACTGGTAGAGCCATCCAGTATCAATAAGGTTAGCTTAGGTTTCCTCCTGGATCAATAAGAAATGGTCCTTACTGGACCTCTAAGAAGAACAGTTTAGAACTGATAGAGCTATCCAGTATAAATAAAGTTAGTTTAGTTTAGGTTTCTTTCTGTAGTGACACTGGATCAGTAAGAGATTATCCTTAATGGACCTCTAGGAAGAACAGTTCAGAACTGATAGAGCTATCCAGTATAAATAAAGTTAGTTTAGATTAAGTTTAGACTGTGGTTAAGTTAAGGTTTAAAACTTTAATTTTTAGTTGTAATTATTTAAATCTTGGTAAAAACTTTGATGATAACGATTGAGAAGACGTTAGTTTTACTTCCATAAGTTTACCTCGAGTTGTTATTTTTATTTTTTACGCCATTTTGATGATGATTTTGGTAACCTTTCTTCAACTCTGTTCCACTTAAACTGAGAGATTACACAGATTACAATCATATTTTTAAACTTTACCAAGTGTTAAACATTTTGTCAAAGTTCACTAGATGTGCTTCTGAATTTCGCGATCGAATAACATTTACGTTGGCAGGGCATCTAAATGAGTATAAACTCTATTGTTTATGTTCAGAAACTTTATATTGAAGACTGGTACGTGCGCGGCACGCCGGAGTTAACGCCAGAACAGGCGTCTTGTTTCGTATCAAAATCAAAGTCAACATATGGTTCCGAGTTTAATGAAGTACAAAAGTAATAAATACTGTTCAGGGATTATAGGGACAGTATTTTAGGAAAATTATAAGTTGATTATAACAACGACAGTGTAAACAAACGAAGAACCAGGGAACCGAACAAGAGAACTATCAAAATGAACAAAACAAACAAACAAACAAACAGACTTACCCACAAGCCCCAGATTCTGGTGTCTGCATAAACTGCGCATTAGGGTTAACATTAGAGCCACGTTTAGCTTTGTGTTGGGCTCCAGACTTCGGTAGATTCGGATGAGCCTGGTTTCCTGCCACGGAGTAACGTTTTAGTGATCCGCTATATCGTCTTTCCTGACCACCAGACTGGCGTGGTCCGCTTGGAGCTGCACGGTGTGGTTTATTAGATGGATTACTACTAGTCTGACGAAGACCAGGACCTAAAATATATGATTTATATGATGAGATGAGATTACTGTGCCATAGCCTTGCCTAATGGTAAATTGGTGAAGATGGATTTTGGTTTTCTCCTGTAGTAACACAACAAGTTAGATAAGAAATGGTCATTATATACTGGACTCCCAGGGAAAAATTGCATAGAGCTATCCAGTATAAATGCAGTTAGTTTAGTTTAGGTAACCTCCTGTAGTAACCCTGAATCAATAAGAGATGATTCTTACTGGACCTCTAGGAAGAACAGTTTAGAACTGATAGAGCTATCCAGTATAAATAAAGTTAGTTTAGTTTAGGTTTCCTCCTGTAGTAACACTGGATCAATAAGAGATTATCCTTACTGGACCTCTAGGAAGAACAGTTTAAATCTATCTTATACGAACAATATGTATAATGCAATCAACATACGTGTATCCTTAGACAAGCCTTGACAGATGGTAATCTTCAGAGTTTTACTTGACGGAGCAAGTGTGGAGAAATCACTTTGACCTGCGCACGTGAACGCCAACGTGCGTGTTCCGCCTCCTCCCCAGCCCTCTTTCTTCACGGTCACGGTAATACTAGAGAAACATAAAGAAATGTCAACCAATTGACTCTCCTGAATGAATCATGATTTAATCCAGTCTTACCTGTCACGGAAATCTATAGTCAAAGTCTTGCCGACTTCAGCTTCGTATTTCTTTGTGAGTACTGTGAGAAGTTCTGTTTTAAAGACAGTCTCAAAGACCGTATCGTATTCCCCAGGAACGTGAAGTACAACGAAATCATCTTGTAACGTACTGAAATATTAATTTGAAAACAGAAAATGGATTTTTCAGTCGAAATACATGAAGATTATACGAACAACTAGGTGTGAAAAGTTAGATTTTTCGTGCGATTTTCTTCTTTTGATAGATGTGAACGAGTGAATTAGTTACGGATGTTCAAATAAGAGCTCTTATACATCAGAGCATTCGTAACTAATTACTCGTTCACATCTATCAAAAGAGGAAAATCAAGTGTAAACAGGCCTTAACAATGATACAAGTATATAGTTGAAACTTAGGTACTGGTGGATTTGAAATGGAAACTAAATTTTGCCAGTAATGAAGGCGTGTGTTAGAAGTGTTTCTAAGAGCACAGTTGTATTTTGAGCTCATTTACCTAAGAGAGACTTTTCCAATTTGATTAAGTTCCAACTTTCTTTTAACGACTTCAAAAACCTTGCCTTTTTCGGGACCTTTTTTGACCTGAGAAACAAATGGTTGTTATTATACGGTCCCGCTACACAATGAACGAGCTTCAGAATACTTTAATTCACCGGATATTTTCTTCACTTACTTTTTCTCTCCCAATGAGATAAATATGCTTGCTTGATAACAATAAATCTCTTTTGCTGGGCTGTAGAAAATACAAGAGAAAGCATGAAATATAAGACAAAGTGGTCATCCTTGTTAACAGGGTGAATCACAGAAACGTCTTTCACAAGCGGGAAGGGAGACACGACGTTTACCCACAGGGGGAGGTACAGCAGGGTGATTTACCTCAGAGGCCAAGGTAGGTGTGAAGAAGTGAAGCTAGGAGTGAGGCTAGCTGGAAGGCCGATTGTACACCCAGGGGGGAGGGGTTAAGGCACCAATCTTACCTTGAATCTTCTGTCATATTTAGTAGCGGTGATGGCAAATTCTATTCGTTCACGTTTTTCTGGAAACAAACCCCGGGAAATTAAAGAACTTGAAGACCAACTACCAGAAGAAAATACATCGCAATCGATGGCGACCTTGCCAAGAAAATGAAAGTCTCACACCCACCTACTAGTGCTCTTAATGCCGGATTGGTATCGAAGCCAATGTAATCACCAACAAAGTTACGATTTAGGGTCAGCCTTCGTCGTTGTTTCTTCATATACAGAATATCAGAGGCTAAAGACACAAGAGTTTGGTATTAATATATCTTAGGGATGAGGTTATAACCATTGTTCAGGAATTTGGCGATTATGATAGTAATGATGGATAATAATAGTGAAGATGGGATGTTTATTGTGGTTGCATGATAATGATGGATAATAGTAGTGATGATGAGTTGTCTGGTGTGTTTGTATGATAATGATGGATAATAGAACTTAGTGACGATAGGGTTCTTGTGGCAGTTGCATGATAATGGTGATGGATAATAGTAGTGATGTTGGAATGTTTGTGGCATTTAAATGATAATGATGGATAATGGTAATGATGATAAAGTGATAATGGTAATAACGAAAATGATAAAGGTAATGGTACAAGGAAACCGACCTTGTTGTTTAAGATCAACAAAGAATTTGCGCATTCTGTATTGTCGAAATGCCTTCTGTATCGTCCTAGCGTAAGTGTCGAATTTCCTCTCACGAACTTCTTCCAATAAGAACAACTGAAAACAGAATATCACAGTTACCAATATATAGTGCATGCAATACTGACAACACGGCTGTATCCGAATACTGTCCGAAGATCAACGGTTCTTACCGATTCAGGAGCTTTAATGAAGACCTTAGTCTTTCCCATTTGCCACTGATCTCTTTCCATATTAACTGAATTCATCATATGTTCGATACCTTGCTTCACATCCCCCCTCCAATGTGGCCATGTCTCTGGCGTTAAGATGGCGTATCTTAAAATAACATCACCGTAAGTCGAAATTCTCCGTCGGTTAATAAATCACCGGCTAGACGGGCGAGTCCCAATTTTCTCTTTCTAGTGTATGTTATTGAGTGAGCTATGTACACAGCTGTTATTGCTTGACAAAGTAAGTATTCTGTGACTTTACTTGATAACATACACCAGGAGAGGAAAATCGCCTGTGTATCCGAGGCAAGGTTGAGAGGGGCAATTTTAGGTAGATCCCACCCTAACCCTGTCCCCACCCAAAACAACGACCGAAGATCTACGAAGAACCGTACTCCATACCTCATCAAGAATTTATCAAATTCTCTTCTGTAAGCAAAGCCTGCTCTCCTCACACGAATATTCTCCAAACCCAAATATCCACTGATGGTTTCACTCGATCTCCTTCCCAATCCCTCGCTTTCTTCGTTTCGTTAGGTTTAATACAACGAATGTAATGCGGGGTGCACTTGGTCAGCCTGTCCACCAGCTGGTTTGCTTGAGTCTGAGAAAAAAATCGCATTTCATTGTAAATACTCGAAGGTGACTGAAATTCAAGAATGAGAGTCCGTTGCATGGAGGATTCTGCTTCAATCTGAACTTTTGGGAAATCTTGTCTGGGCGAATTTAGCGATGAAAGCACCCCAGAAAAACCTTGATTAAACCTGGGATAATAGATAAATTATGCAGAAGACTTGATTTTGCTAGGAGTTGGCTTGCCTTCGTTCCCCTTGGTATCTCAGGAAAGTGCCCACGAATGCACAAAGGAAAAATACTTTAAAAATCAGAAACGAAACTTGAGAAGGAAGAGGCGTTACCTGGTGTATAATAATACGACTTTCCTACAACTGCACTGTACAATTAACGGAAGCTGACCAAGTTGGCACAAACAGAAATTGTTCAAACCTTGTACTACTTTGCATCAGCTCAATCAAATCATTGAACAGAACATCTCTGTTTCTTTCACAGAATCCATTCGCCTCGTAAGTCACCTAACGGGCAAAGAACGAAGCGATGGTAGTCATTGATGGTAGCACACAAAGATTTGATGGTACATCCTATACGAATCAATATATCAACAATACTTACCTTGCCAGCGTAATGATGGATGGTGAATCCCGAACTGAAGCCATTGAAATGCTGGTGAGATCCAACAGCACCTTCAAGTTTCTAGAAACGAGAATCCATTTTGAAACACTGAGAAACTTTGGAGAATCGTACTTGGTACACACCTTTATACAAGGAAGTAATATATACTGGCTATTGTTAGAGAGGTTAAGTTAGACCAATGGTTAAACAACTTTATTTGTTTCTTTAATAGTACGAAATGGGCTATTTGTTTCAAGGTTTGGTAGGGCATGCCAGATTCTTGTTGGACAAGATTGTTGTAGGTGCATTTTACCTGCAAGAGTTTCATATCAGCACCTTCTCCTTGAGCATGCATTGTAGCACACACATCGTCCAGAACACACATAATACCAGGTGGTCTCTAAACAAACGAAAAAGAAGAATATCAATTTCATTTCAAGGCAAGTGAAACTGAGGTAACGAAGCGGAGCAAAGAGATCTTCGGACGCTTGCATCAGGTAAAGTTACACACCTCGCGTTTTGATAATTTATGAAATTAAAATGTACGCACCTTGGCTTCAATGAGATCGCATACAATCTTGTTGTTGAAATAATCAATAGGAGACCATTTGATGCCTTCTTGAATGTATTCTTCCTAAAGGATTAAACTGAAGACATCAGATCGAGACCAGGAACTGATCACCAACAGAGAGGAAATGAAGGATCGGACCTGTTCAGCTTTTAGCGTCAATTCGATGAAAATCTGTTGGAGTTTTTCGTTTACAAAATTGATACAGAACTGTTCGAAACCGTTTCTCTGTGGAAAAAAACACGGATGTAAGTCGCAAGGGTTTGAAAACACGTAAGAAAGGTAACCGTTAACGCATTTCGGCCAAAACGTACCTCGAATATTTCAAAACCATAAATATCTAGGATACCAATATTAATCTCTTCTTTATCTGTTTTCATTGCCATGTTAACACGCTAAACAAAAATTGAAAATGTTCATTTTTTATTACTTCATAAATACTGCAGTAATTAGCGACACCCTTCCTCTAACGAATAAATACTCTGGCTTTAAACCTCTAGAGGTAAAGAGAGGTAAGAAGAATGTCTGTATTATTGGTATTATTGGTAAGGCATGACCTTCTGTATAGACTTTTATGAAATGTCTGTGTATGACGTAGGTTGCAACCCAAGTATGTTTGTGATTTGCCACTGCGGTTATAGTTGACCAACCAGAAACATGCAATATATCCACAAACTGCGTCAGAGCGCAGGCTTTTTATAAATATAGCTATATTTAGTGTAATATACTTCTTACCATGACTAAATAATCAAATATTCTTGAATACAACGCCTTCGCTAATGCATCTCTGGTGTAGGTTGCCTGGTCAACAAAAAATGGGTTTTCAGGATTTAAGAATGAACTCCTTTCAAAACTCAATAAACTCCTTTGAAATCTTACTAACTCTCCTGACGAAGGCCCTCAGGTCGAAACGTCGAGAAGTGTTTTGTCTATTTTAGGCAGTTGTTATACCACATTTGATGCTAAATAGTTTGTTACCTGTTCAACATTCAAGGTCATATTAATGATTTCTGACTTGCCACCCCATTTACTATCCATGACTCGACTGGAAGGTAGAAAGTGTTACATTAGTTCGAATACGAGTCAACGGAACACTGTGACCACTAATATTTCATGATGCCATACCTTATCAATTTCTCTCGAAGAGCACTGCTTTGGATACCAAATAAATACGCAGGATATTCTAAATCTAAGGATGAGAAAACCTTAAGTCACTTGAGAGACTGGCAGGTAGTCCTACATAAAAGCCACACATAACTTCTAAGAAAATTCATTCGAGTTAGAGAAAGTAAGGTTTCAGATAGGTGAGCTGGGTTTGATTGTTAGTATGGGAGCATCAATAGCAACAAACGGGTTTGCGATCAAACTTTTGTCCTAAACTAAAAATATTGATGCTCTATAAGATGGTCAATAGTATGAGACTTAAATTTCAGAAGCTTACATTCATCATTTTCTGGTCTAGCATAGTTGCCTTCTTCTACAAAACTAATATTCCCCATATGCAAAATACCAGCAACCAACTGAAATACAGTTGCCTGATCCTCAAGACTAATGCCCATAGTATCCATAGCCACCTGGAAATATTCAAAACTTTAGAACTCAATCAATAAGAGATGATCCTTACTGGACCACTAGGAAGAACAATTTAGAACTGATAGAGCTATCCAGTATAAATAAAGTTAGTTTAGTTTAGGTTTCCTCCTGTAGTAACACTAGATCAATAAGAGGTGATCCTTACTGGACCTCTAGGAAGAACAGTTTAAAACTGATAGAGCTATCCAGAATAAATAAAGTTAGTTTAGTTTAGGTTTCCTCCTGTAGTAACACTGGATCAATAAGAGATGATCCTTACTGGATCTCTAGGAAGAACAGTTTAGAACTGATAGAGCTATCCAGTATAAATAAAGTTAGTTTAGTTTAGGTTTCCCCCTGTAGTAACACTAGATCAATAAGAGATGATCCTTACTGGACCTCTAGGAAGAACAGTTTAAAACTGATAGAGCTATCCAGTATAAATAAAGTTAATTTAGAGATCAAATTACCCTAGTTTCTTCATATTCTTTCTTATCATCAGTTCCCTCGACATCATATGTTCCACTTTGATTTAGATAATAAAAATAACTTGCGTCCGATACACCAAGCATTTCTAAGCAAACACATTTGATTTCATCTCAACTTTCTTCCACAACAACATCATTGCAAAATTTCAAGCACTTAATCCTAAGCCTTGTTTTTTAAATAATTGCCTCATCCTGTTAGGAAAAGACAGGGATTTCAAACCATACCTTTGTCTTCAGTAGAGCTTCCAGCACAAATTTGATAAAATACATGAAATGATCTTTCACCGGGATTTTGTAAAACCACACGAGACTATAACACACAGGAGTGCCGAGTCAGAAACTTAGGAAAGAACATACTCTCACTTGAAAACATAACTAATAAATGGGTACCTTTTCCAGTAGAAAGTTTGAAATCTTTCCACCAATCGGCTCACCGCCTCTTGTAAACTGAATCTCAACGTATTTCCCCTTAAATAAAACACAATCACAACATCAATGCTGCATGCACCATATGCCACCACTGATATATTTAAAAATTAGACAAAGAGTCCGAGTTGTCTATCAGCGAATAGTCAATGAAGGCAAAGCCCAAGTTAACTATTTGCTCATAAACAACGAGGGCAAGTTGTCTAATTGTTTTAGTATACACCCTGTACCTAGATATATTAATTTCGAGACAATAATTGATACACTGCAATTAAACCGAAAAATAATTTAATTAATTCAAATTTATACGGTCGCACGAGCAAATTTTTCCCAAACATTCACCATCACGAATAGACAATGGTTGAGTAGCCAATCAGAATGTAGGATTTGTAATAGACAATAGTCGGGTGTATACTAATAAGCAATAGTATATGTGCACATGAAAAGATAGAAGCGTATCATTCACTTACAAATCTACTAGAGTTGTTATTCCTCACTGTTTTTGCATTTCCAAAAGCTTCTAGCAGTGGATTCGATTCTAGGATAACATCTTTCACTCTCTAGATATAGAACAACAGATGTATGTCATTTTCTCAAAGCTATCATACCATGAGCAATCATGATGTCGTTGGGAGGCTGAAGTATCAATCAAATATCTATCTTGATTTAACTTCAACTCATGAACACAAGTCTGCACACTCTTTTGTTAACCTAATAATAATTAAACTCTCTCTTGAATGCCTGAACTGGTTAGACAATGGTTGAATAAAACCATAAACTATTCTAAGAAAGCAGCATCTATTCTAAGCTACACTAAACTGCATACCTTAAACCTGGCCTCCTGCTGATAATCTTCCTTCAATGTACAAAAAATCATACACAAATACATTACCAGCTGAACGAATAGCAAAGTTTAAACTCTACACTACCTCTAAAATAATTCAGTCTTAATTTAAATCCAAGTGCTAATTTAAATAGGCAACAGATTTCTACAACTTTCATATACTCGAATAGTTTAAACAAATCAAACATATGTATTTCTAACTGAGAAAGTTTCTAACCTGGACATTAGGACCACCACCAGACACTTTTGCAAGATAACTCATGATGAATTTGGCACTCACAGTTTTACCAGCTCCACTCTCTCCACTGAAAGGAATTACACAAATGGCATAGGCATGGGTGTTGAATTCTAAGGGGGTAAAGTAAAACACCTCTGGGAAGTGGGGGATATTCTTGTACCTTCCTCAGCCTAGACATCCACAGATACAAGGGTCCTGCAAGGAACTAGATTAGGGGAAGGGGGCAGAGGTAGTCACCCCTAGCCCATTACAACCCCACCTCTTCCCCAACCTTAGTTATGTTGTTTGAAATACCAGGGGGTGGTTAAACAAAATGTAGCTAAGAATTTATATGACCAGCTCCAGTTGACAAGATATTTTGGCAATTAAGCTATTAATTGATGAATTTTGAAATTTGTAAATTACTTTCCTAGTACTGTACCTTATGATAACACAATGGCTTTCAATATCAATCAACATATTGCGGAACATACTGTCAGCCAGAGCGTAAATATGAGGAGGGTTTTCATAGGTTGCCTTAAATGAAAATATTATCACGTGTAAATTGAACGTGGCAGCTCAATCAATGTGTTGCTGCAGGGAAAGAATTCAGAGAGCCCTTGCCTAGGTGAGGTAAAAAAATACAGTAATATAAAAAAACACAACACTGTCATCTTGCACAAATATCAAAGATGGTCTGAAGTTGATGAGGTAATAAGGGTTGGTTGCCATCCCCTTTGGTTTAATCAAGAGGAATGAATCAAGGGAGGATTTTTCCTAGTAAAGAATAATTGGCCTTCAAAATGCTAAGTTGTCAGTAATCTCAGTGAATGGTTTGGAATTTGTTTGTCAACTGCATGGTTTTGGAAAGAGTTTTAAAAATAAGTTAGTAATACATACAGCCCCCTGGTACTGGTAGATCTCCTTCTCAGTAAAGTAAGATAGCTGCTTGAAAGGGTTGACAGCAATGAGCACATCACCAATATATGTCTGAGTTATATTAAGATGAAATACAATATTTATAAATCCTTTATCTTTATTCCAAACATTGTATTATATACATTTGCTACTGATATAGCATTGGGAACTGTTGGCTAACAGATATTCCATCTTATACCTAGACAATGTTATCACACTTCAAGAATAGTGCTTTAAAATCTAACCCAAGGCATCTCTTATTTGCAATTTCAAATGGAAAATTCCCTACTGTAGTCAATCTATATATTCAGATGATTGTAATTAATCAAAAACAAAAGTCAATATTCCTTCCACCCTGTCATTGCCAATCAAAATAGGTCTATTTATTTTGCAAAGAAAAATGCAATAATCCCAAAGTAATATATTACATCAATTTGCAATTTCATCTAGCAAATCCAACGATCTTTAGCAGTGGGTTAGGTTGCCTAGCTTAAATATTGGTATATAACTTCTACTGATGCGCATACATCCACATGCCTCATTTGAGTCTTGCAACTGGTTTAAAAAAATAACTGTTATTGTAGTACATTTGATGGATTTGACTGGAAATTGCCCCCAGCTGAGATGGGGAAACATCAGGAAATTACAACAGGGTCTGAAATTCTCAGAAAGTAGCACAGCAATTTTAGCAGTACAAAATTAGTCACAGTGATAAAGTGCTTTGAGAAAGAACTATAGGAACATCTCACCATATTTGTACGACCCTTCACAATTATATACACAGAAATCTTTTAATATCTACACACCCACTTTTCCAACATAATTAGCAATTAACATTTCCTTATATATTTACTTAAAAGTAACCCCGTTGCAGTTTCTTTTAAAAAAAGTATAAAAGATAGGAACGTGAATTCTCGGTAACGGGCATTAAAATAAATGAAATTGAAAACCAGGCCTATATATAACTCTTTACTAAAAACAAAATACTTCACGCCGTTTATTTCCGTCTCGTTAATAAAATAATGTACTTTTAGGAAAATAGATACAAGTAATTGTACCTCAAAAACTGATAAACTATCTTGTCTATACACAAAAAGATACGTATATAAGATCATCCATAAAACGTTTCTTCAAATTTTCGACGATAGACGATTCTTGTATTTTGGGCAGCAAAACCATATCTTCAACCCCACTGGATTTTGCTGTCCCCTTACTTTGCCAATGGTAGTTAGCCTTTAATACAAAAATACAAAGCATATTATATTTATCCTTTTGTGAATTTTTGAAAGTTTCGTAAAGCATTTAATACTACACGCGAATTTGATACGGAATTGACAATGCTCTCGAGAAGTTGACACTGTCACAGACGGAGTGGTTAAAAAAATTTAAAGTTTTTCCACAAAACTGAGCTAGGATAATTGAGCTTTTAACTTGAAGTAAGACTTACCATCTTCGTAGACCAGGCAACCACCTAGAGGTCTTCAAATAATCTCAAAAACGATGCTAAATTTGATCAGAAATCTCGAAACATTTCACTTCTGATCAACAACACTAAAAAGTTCATCGGCGGAAGTGCCACAGGATATCAGATACATTATGCCGGGGCATGCCATATTTGGTTATTACATTTTCAACTGTGCCATATAGGCATATACACCATACAGACAAGGAAATTATGTATATAGGTCCGTACAGCCAGCGAAAATGGAAGACAAAGAACGTATATTGTCCAGTTATAAGTGCCCTACTTATGATTATAATAAATGAACTTCCTTAAGCATGAGATTAATTTTGCAGTTTTCTTATTTTTTGTGAAAAACTTTTTACTTAAGTAAAACGACTATTTTATTTCGACACCCCAAACGTGAGTATTAAATACTTACAAATTTCTTGGAAACTCCAGAAAAAAAGTGTCAATTTCACATTATTTCAGTCATTTTAACACGCATTATTATTGGACAATTATAGTCAATAGATATTTGTATCACATTAAAAAAGTTTACTGGAAAATGATCATAACCTTCAATTGTGAAAATTCATGACCACCGGAGGCGTTTGCCCTGCTTTCGTTTCTGCCACGGGCTCATATCTTTCTACTAGCAATAGTAGTAAGTAGTAACAAATTACTAGCATATAAAGGGAGCAGAAATGTACTTTGGCTAGTTTTACATTTGAAAATAACATTGTCAAGGACCTCTTCTTTCAAATGTCCACCTAACTGTCTGTTAGAACCCCACAATTATACGAACACAGGTTTTGTTGTAAATTTCATTACAGCAGCTGATTAATAATCACATCACAACTCAATCTATTTCTAACTTCTTTTTATCCAAAGATACAAATGTTTGACTTCTTTGTTCAACCACATTAAAAGTGGCCTCATTCTGTTTTCTTCCCAGAAATATGGATTGGAAAACGTTAACAGCAGCATGCCTAAGACGCTGCAGGCATAACGTACGCTTAAATCCAATCTCCTGTTTATGAACTCAAGCGAGTTTTATAAATACTAACATCGCGTTGTGTGTTTATGCCATTGCACAATAAATCTCTAATATAAACGTTTAAAAAGCAATAAAATCCAAGAAATAAAATTAAGTCTAAAATTTTTCTCTAACGATCGTCTATCGCCCATAAGGATGGTACCCTCTTGAGGCATTGCCACCAGCACCTCGACCCATACCATCGTACATACTGGCGGCAGGATAACCACCAGGTTCACCACCATATACGCTGGTTGGTACACCAGCACCAGCAGCCCCTGCACCTGCACCACCAGCGAATGCAACCTCGGATAAACCTCCACGTGTTGGGCCGTACTGAGACGCTTCTTGTTGATAACTTCCGAGACCTTAAAATAACAAGGATGAGATGAAATCGCCTGTGCTAAGAGTCTAAAACTAGATCCAAGATTGGTAGTAATTCCATGTTCGATAAATCTGAAATACACTAATTTATCGTTTTGATTAATGAAAATAATCACCACACAAAGATTACATTGACAGCCCAGCGTCGATAGCAATAATTGCGATGGATTATAATACCTGGTTTCCGTGAACTTAATACCATGAATTCGTTACACTAATTTAATCCTTGATATCAGGTTAGGATTAGGATCAGGTTTATGGCTGATTAGAGTTAGCTGTTAGCCCTAATCCTCAATCTAATCCTAATAATAAATTTGTGTTCTTAGGATTTGCTGAACAAGAAGACGAGCAGTTCTCTGTCTACATACCATAAACGCCATAACCAGCACCATATTCAGCACCAGCTACTTCGCTGCGGGTTGGTATTGCAGCCGCTTGTGAGGCAATGGGTTGACCTTGAGGTACACCGGCGAAGTCATTGTAACGAGCATTGGCGGCGGCCGCTGAGGAAGGTGCGCCCACAGCACCATACATACCTATCGACGAGCCATAGGCTATGGTTGTAAAAGCAAGTTCGTGATTATAATGATATTAGTGATGATGGTATTGGTGATGATAGTATTAATTATATTGAAGATTATGATATTTGGATGATGTGGATGTTAGCAATGATGTTATTGGTGATGATATTGGAGATGATGTTGACAGTGATGATATTGGTGACGATGCTAGCAATGATGATATTGGTGACGATGTTAGCAATGATATTGGTGATGATGTTGGCAATGATGATATTGGTGATGATGTTGGCAATGATGATATTGGTGATGATGTTAGCAATGATGATATTGGTGATGATGTTAGCAATGATGATATTGGTGATGATGTTAGCAATGATGATATCGGTGATGTTAACATTTAATAACTGCAAAGTTATTTCCTATGTAACTGTACTTATAGTATCTGATAATATACAAAGAAGCCCCATCAACATGTTGAAGTGCTTCAAGATACATTATCAATTTTCTGTCTGCCAACTGTGAAACTATAGTTATTACTGATCAAAATAACTATGTAACGCCTGTGGCAAATGTTTGGAGTGGAAAAGTATTGCATTAAAATTAACAGGATTTCCTTCAGAAATGAGGTGAAACTAAACTGGACAATATAATGTATACTGGAAGAATTGAAGAGCCATGTGTTGATCCAGTGTGTATTGTATCATCAGTTATCACAAACCTCCATAAGCTTGAGCACCGGGATCCTGGGCTACAGCGACACCAGTTCGCTCCGCATATGAAGCTGGTATGCTGTTTCCGGTGACTACAGAAATGAAGATTATGTAGATCAATGATTTATTACGAGTATTTTCACATGTCAACTTGCCACTGTTTTATCTTGCCACCCTTGGCACTGTAGTTCCACTTGGAGTGAGGCCATACAGTAAGTAACATTGGTTCTAACACAAACAACCACTTTTTACACATACCAAAACCAGAGTATTGAGAGGCTGGAACTGAAGCCGCAGGCACACCATAATGACCAGCTTGAGCTGAAACAGCTTGTCCACCATATCCTGCGCCATACATACGAGCATCTGCACCACCATACGCTCCCATACCATACCCAGCTATAAACATCAACAGAATATTTTGATTTTTGAACACCTTAGCCTACTTTATATACACTGAAAAGCTCAATCAGCTCTTAATTTTTCTTCCAAGTTGTAATGTAATTATGTAATGTAGATTGTGACAATAAAAGAACATCAATATGATGTGCTCAAAGACATCATCAACAACCATTTAATTTCTGCCAACATTGACACTGTAGTTATTCCAATAATCAAATAACCAAGTAACACTAGTGGCAAAATTGCAATGTTCCCTGTGAATAAACATTGTATTTATAGCCTCTATGATTCCATACAGACTGCTATCTATGGAGGTACAAATTTCATCATTAATTACCTGTTACAGCATACGCATTTTGCATCGCCATCCCACGACCCATACCAGAATTTCCGCCAATCACCGAGGGAGTACGACTGTCTCGAGGCTCCGCCTTCTTTGCCTCAACCTGTTCATAAAACATCGAACTGTTTAGAACTTGTAAATTGCAGAACAAGAACTGCCAGTTCTAGTTAAAACTCTCGCTGTCTGGAATCAGAACTACTAAAGCCCGTTTTCCACAAGGCGTATTAATATATCCGTGCGAAATGAAACAAAATCTGAAGTTCAGTGATCCAAGATCTTTTGACATATTGATTTTAAGTACAACTGGCAGGAATATTATAAATAAAAAGCAGTTATTACTAACTAGTTTAAAATAAAAATATTGGGCCTATAGGATCATAGCAACTACAATAAATTAAAATTGAATTTATGCTATATATACTAAAAATTAAAGTCTACTACTTAAATAAATGTTTTAGCAATTTTAAAAAAAACAATAAAGCAGAAACAGTTCCACACAAGCAAGGAATACACAAACATTTTCAAGTTTCAAATCTTTTTCAATTTCTTGAGGTAGCTGTTAAGTTAAAATATAATATCTTTTTTCAGAAAGAAACATTTTAGAGGTTTGTTTTCACCAAAGTAAGCCAAATCAAGTGCTGTTATTTTGTGATTGGACTAAGCCACAAAAGGCCATAATTCACTGCTTGCATGATCATTGAGCTCTGCTTTATTTAAAGATATATGGAACAGTAAACTACACCGTTTTTCCATTGATTTGATGATAACGTATGGCACAAATCTTCGTGACGGGTTCTTCCGTATGAAAGCCAACAAATCCAAAGCCTATTCGCGACCGAACACACCAGAAGTTTAATTCACATGGATGACCAGCGTAGCTTCCAGAGGTTAACCATGATTTTTAAAAACCATTTAATTCCGGAGACCGAACCGTAAAAATGTCCGAAAAACTAAACTCTACTGTGTCTGTTTTTGTAACAACAGATGTAGAAACCGAATTTTTTGTGCATTACTACATTTTAGTAACTATAGTAGCCTAGTTCGAAATACTCTTATGGTAGGTACTATAGTAAAGCTACTGTATAGTAGAAAACTACCTAGGCAGCTTTTGTTGCAAACTATGGTAAATTAATAGATTTTAGGCTTTGAAATTTACTATGGTAAAATGTATTTTTGAGCATTTGTGAATAGTTTTATGTAGCGATAAAAACTAACTTCTCTAATGGTTTTAAATGACTTTTAGAGGATTTTTTAAAATATGTTAACCAAGGAAGTAAGGCTTAAGATAATCTAGAGAGGAATGTGAGGCTAAATCTATAATATATAAAGTAATAAATACATTAGTTAAATAATCTAGCATGTAGACAAGGGCAGCCATTTAAGAGGATATAAACGACTCAACAGTCAACATATAAAATGCATGGGAGAAGAATTTGCTCCTAATTTTCTAAAAGCAAAGATTAGCAAAACTATCCTACAATAGTAACATTTCCCCCAATATGATAATTGCATAATACTATGTGTAAAATCTAGATCTTAAAATCACCTACCCCTCATACGTCCAGTCTTTACGTCTTTCATAAGTGAGACATCAGCGACCTGTCAAGGGTGAAATATGTCTCAATATTTTTACCATAAATCATTCTTAAGGCACTCCTCAAGGGCGAAACTTGACTTGTACAATTACAAAGGATAAAATAGGAATTGTTTTGCTATTTGATTTGTCCATTGGTGTTAAATGTCATTGCATATCCAAACATAGTTCTCTCTTCTATTGCCTTATTTACACAGTAAGATTACTTACAGGACCAAATGTCTGGAAGAAAATCTTCAAGTCTTCTTCAGTCGTTCCCTGGGCAACACCTCCAATGAAAATTTTGAAGCTTCGACTACCTGCGGTCTTGGGAATTGGCAACTGGATATTGAGAGAGAAAATGAATGAAGTTTACTACCAGATGAAAGATATTTACTTCAGAGCTTTCATGTAAAATTTGAAACATACTGGGCCAGCACTTCCTGGTGCTCTGGGAACAGCTGGTTTTGGATCAATCTAGAAATTAAGAATATTAAAACTATGAGTACATTAATATATATAAACAGAGGCTCATTAAATATTTTTAAATCACAAGTATATAGCACCTCTTTGTTATCCAAATAATGTGGCCGGCTGTCAATAACTTTCTGAACACAGCTTGGATCATGGAAAGTGACGAAACCAAAGCCTCTACAAAAATATTTAATATAATTATCACCAAAGTTTCTCATGAAATTCCTTTGCCCAAACTCAATTTCCTATGAAATTTATCAAGAGAAACATTGTTAAATGGTCTAAAGCCGATTCATGGCAATGTAATGGGAAACAGCTTTAAGATCATGTGTCTAGAATGTTTACCTGGATCGTTCAATCCTTGGGTCAACCTGATCTTTTGCCTTCATGATAACACAATCTCCAATCTCACCATACTTAGAGAAGTAACTTTCAAGACCCTCTGTGGAAAGAATACAATATCATGGAGAATGTACAAAGAACAATGGCTGGGGAAGAAAATAACTAAATAGTTTTTCCTATCTTTGAGCTCGCCTGAAGCTTGAGTCTGCACTCTGCATGACGGTTCTCACATGGCTTGACACTATAAAGTTAGATCGTGAAAACTTCCACTAACCTTTAGTCGTTTCATAACTCAATCCACCAACAAATATTTTCCTAAAATGAAATATGCAGCACTCAGAATTAATGCCCCTGAAACCCAATTTGTTTTACCGCAAAACGGTTCCTAAAATTGCAAAACTTTATAGTCAGTCTGCAGCATTCTATAAAAGGATGATCCTTTACTAAGTTCAGGCTCGAATCATTCCAGAAAAAACCCCCTTAGAAGGTTGATTTTTTTGTCAAAAGTTTGATTAACCATTAACCTTACCCGCTGTCGTCTCCACGAGGCATTTTTTGGAAGAAATTGGCAGTAAAATGTGCAGTTAAAACTCTAAAAACTTCGTGGTTGAAACCTCATGCAAAAATTTTGTAATTAATTAGGAAACAGGCGACGCAAAGTCTGATGGGAAAACGCTCGGTCAGTGAACTATATAGAACCTGGAACAATAACTCATTAAATGTGTATTCCCAGAAAGAGCATATTAAAATGAGTAAAATTGCAGAATTTTACGGCTAAATGATCCAATTCACTTCTAATGGATGGTTTATAGTCTGTTGACTTGCATTATGGATAGCAAATGAACGCAAGCCAATCAACAAGAAACTTCATTCCATACGTCAGACGTGATTTACAATTCAATTGAAGATTCAAGAATCAAGAAAGAATCAAGATAGTCATCACAATGATCACATAACCCATTGGGGGAAACTGCAGTCAACATTGGATTCGCTTTTAAATTAATTACATGATTTCTTTCGCTTTACCTCCTTGGGATCAGATGGGCAAGTGTCTATGCGTAACAAAAATGGACGACACTTATCACCTAATGAGGTGATTAACCAATCATCATCTCCCTAATGAACCAATGAAGAATCACCTTACAATCGGATCGCTCACGTTCCTATATATCTACCAACGTCTGCTGTTATGATTGTGGGAACGTTTTTGAACATGTTATGACATGCGTACACCAAAAAATCAAAGTCACTGATCTATATATAACACCGCAACCATGTGAGTCTGGGCCCTAGTGTTAGTTTATAGTACTATTTTTAAAAATTTTTACAAAACAATGAAAATTAAAAAATAGAAAAAATTTAATTTCTTATTGTATAATATAGTTGTTGTTAAAACATGCCATGCATCTGGATAAAAGAAGCGCTAACGCAAAAGGGAAATAAATTTAAACTTGAAGACATGTCGTTTAACGCTTCTGTCTCCGAACTAAAAGCGAAGCTGTCAGAATCTAGCGGTATTGATGAAAAATTACACGGTGGGTCGTATATAAATTGTGGTTGAAAATGTGGTTATTTTGGTACAAATAATGCGAAATATGTTGCTACACGTATCGTCTAACGCTGCCTTTAGTATATAATATTTCTATCTATGTTTTTCTCAATCAGATGTCATTTACAAAGGACTGTTATTAAAAGATGATGAGACCCTGGAGTCTTATGGTGTCAAGGAAGACGCTACCGTTTATATTATTTACAGATCACCAATAGCTCAAGGTAATTGATGTTATTTGCTCTAAAATCCTATGGAAACGTATTGGAAAAGAGTGTCTTTATGCGTCCATGGGATTACCACATTTTAGGGCCTAATTCTTCAAATATAAGCAACCAAAATTCAGTGTATGATAATTTTATTGAATAATTAGCCCCCAAGTCTATTATGTAAATACGGTTTGCTTGAATGTTGAGAAAAAGCCAAATTTGAATGCAGTGTAGTAATTCAGATTTCTGACCATTGGTTTATAGTATAAGCAAACATTTCAACACATAAGATGTGAATAATTGTCCCATTTTATTATTTAAGACATAGAGCTTGATCTTGATGTAAATGCAGAAGATATTGTCCCTGTCCTTCAAGCTGCAGCTGGAAGTCCTGTTTACAAGGATAAGGTGATTGCATAGTTGCTAAGATTGAAAATGAGTATAATTATATAATATTCAGATAACTATATCATTTCATATCTTATCCAACCAGATGTATGCTCTTCTGAAGAACCCACAGACCTTGGAGAATATTTTGGCAACAACGCCAGCTCTGGCCAAAGATCCGGTGGCTTTGTGTAAGTTCTCTTGATTGTTAAAGTAATAAAAGTGAAGTGGTAAAAGCTCTTACATTAGTGATTTTGACAAGCCTTTGAAAGCATTATGAGACAGCTAGGTTTTTTAAAGACTGTTTTGTTATTCTTTAGCAATACTTAAAGATCCAGAGATCCTACAGAATCTTGTGATATCCGGGGACATTTCAAAGTAAGTGAAGATATGATCCATGTTCCAAGAGATACCCTGACATTGTTATCACATATTGGCTTTATTCCATGCTATTTGTATTTAGATTAGAAAAGGAGCACCCAGCGCTTGTTCAAGCTGCGTCGCACATAGCTGCCGACATAACCAAAGATATCTCAGGGTCATCAAGAGTCAGAAGGCCTTCAAATTCTGAAGATGATGATTTCATGGACATTGAACCAGAGGTACAAACAATGAACAAATAGATCAAGATGCTTGTGGTGGAAAATGATAAAGCACACTGTTGTGACAGTGAAAGGGGGGGGGTTGAAAATGCACCATTGTGGCATGAAAAGGCAGGGGTGGAAGAGACCACTATGGGGGTGAAATGGGGGAAGGTGAGAATATACCATTGTGAGGTGGGAAAAGGGAAGTGATTATCCTGCATGTCTATCCAGAGAAAGTCCATTCAACAAGATATTTCAGTCTGTAGAGCTTTCTTAATATTTTTCCAAATTTTTTTCTCAGATGTTAGCTCAAGCTGAACTACTAGCAGCCCATGAAGAAGCTATTCAAAATCGTGAGAACCCTGGTACTAGTGGAGGAAGCTCACGAAGGCCTATTACATCATCATTTTTAGCATCAGCTTTGCAAACAGCCAGGGCTAACCTTGTGTCCACATCTACTCAAACAACTGCAGGTGAATATTGTCAATGTTGACATCTAAACCACAAACACAGGCATCCTGCTATGCAGCCAAACCAAATAATGACCAGTTCTTCAATAACCTGTTAGCTTTACTCTGTGTTCATGCAGGTCTATAGCCCAATTAAAATTTCCAACACTTTATTTATCAAGTCTTGAGCAAAATGCTAATTGCTAAATATTTAATAAGAGGAGCAATAAGTGAAAGTGGTTAGGAACTTCGTCTATCACTCAGAATCACTTGGTATCACTCAGAAATACCTAGGTTTCACAAAAATCACCTTATATCACCTAAAATCACTTTTTATCATACAAAAACACTTCATATCACTCAGAAATCACCTTATATCACTAAAAATCACCTTTTATCATACAAAGGGATGAAAAAACACCGTATATCACGAAAAAACGCCGTATATCACTGAAAAACACCTCATATTACTTAGAAATTGTACATAATGCGTTTCATATCTGTCTAGTCAATTTACCGGCTTCGTCATCAGCAAGAACCAGTACGTCCCAGGCTCCCAGCCAACCTCAACCTCAACAGCGTATATCGTCGGAGTTCTTCAACCAAGCCATGGCCTCCGCATTGAGTGCTAATTACGCAAGAAATACGAATCCATCTAGTGGAAACACACAGACGAATAATTGGCAGGTTCGTAGACAAGTTGAATCTTTCAAAAATCAGAAACAACCCACGCTGTTATCAGCTACCACTTTCAAGAGCATTGCACGGGATCGTAAAAGCGTAGGTTCGTTTCCTGGCGAAGGACTGATAGTTGACACATTTTCTCAACTGTTCCCTGGCTTGAATTTGATACGTGTATGTTTTCCATTCAAAACTAAGTCCCTTAAACCTTTAGAAACCGTAATCGGATATTAATCTTATAATTTCAAATAATAATCACAGGTACAAGTTTATAATCACATAGAAATCAAAGCCATAGTTAACGAACGATTTATTTCGATATCTTTGAAGAATCGAAACAATTTAGTTGCGCTTTCGTTTTTTTAGTCTGAACTGCGGCAACTGCGTGAGATGGGGATTGAAGACGAGGCTCTGAGTCTGCGAGCTTTACAGGCAACGAATGGTAACGTGCAAGCCGCGTGCGATTTGATATTCGAAGGAGGACTGGACTGAGCATATATAACATGAAAAAGCAATCTCGTTCAGCTAATTTGATAAAGGTCGTCGTTTAGGTACGAACTTGACGTTTTTGAAGGGCTACCTTTTTGCATTATCTCCGGCTACGTATTGTACAATTTTGAAGCTTTTAACTAGACTTTATTGTGTGAAACTTGAGTAGATTGTATTTTATTTATAATAAATGAGATTTTATATATCGTCAAGTGTTGGATTTAGTCAAAACAAAATTATTTTCATTGCCATCATTTCCTGCGGTGTTCGATCTTTTCCGGAGATAAAGGAAGAATCAATTTTTCCAGTCAGAATCATAAATTTCACGCAATAAAAACAGCAAATGCATCCCACGAATATACACACTGTTTTTCTTTTAATGATATACTCAAGTCGAAGGCTTGATGCGAAAACTTGATATATAATAATTTGCTTTTTCTTGTAATAAAAAACCGCGCCATACACAGACAAAAACAGGTTGCAAATTAAAAAAAGACGCGGTGTCTTTTGCGAGAACAGCATGTGTCCATCAATTCCATGCAAGTGCCGTTGTGATGTTTCATCGTTCGTCGTCATGCACATCAAATGAAACAAACCCTGCATGTTCTTTCGTTCCATTTCTTTTAATCCTCAAACTTCAAGCGATTTTTTATCGGCCTCCGTCAGCATTAGGAAACTTGCAAAACACAGCAGCATGATCATGATATAAAGGATCGCAAGAGCGTAGAATACTGATCTCACTGTCCGTAGCTTTCCTGTCTCCACATCAACACGCTCGCAGAAATACAAATGGACAAAATACACAAGTGATACAACGGAGATGATAGCAATACCATAAGATACTGAATTCACACCGTAATATTTCATATAAGCCATGAAACCGTTGAGAACGAGGCAGTATGCGATCAACACAAATGCTTTAACAACACGAATGATTTTTTGCTTGCTCTCTATCTGCGCTTCGAGCGTTCTCGGGTCTGGAAAATAATCTTTGCAGGCACTGGCTGGTTTGAAACATCTTGAAAGGAAAAACCCTTTCAAACTCCACATTTTTTTCAATGATCAATGTATAATCGATTGGATTTTTTAACTTAGATCTCGTGTGTTTACAACTACGAACCGATGATTCTGGCCGGTGTTTTGACTTTTGTAATTATAATACCCTGACAATGAACAATGCTTTGCGGTGAAATTTGAAAACTGGTAAATCTTTTCACTGGACAGCAAATTCTCTTCAATCAACCGTCTTTCAAAGCAAGAATTCGCAAATATCTGTCTTTCACATATATGAATTTTTGATGCAATATCATCAAGACTCTACTGATATGAGATAAAGAACAAAGTTCACCGCTTGAACTTATAGTACCGACTCGAGTATAGCGATTCTTTGCGTGAAAATGCTTCGATCGTTCCTCTGGCGATGAATATGTAAGCAATTATCCCTGATATAATTTCTTCCCTGAGTCTGAGATAATTTCTTCCCTTCAATACCACTTGGCAAACATATCGCAGTGAGGTGTCAGTTATAAGACGAAAATTACACCAACTTTGGCTTTCAAAAAGCACATTAAACTTGTAATGGTCCAGTTAGAGATCTGCTTGTCCAAATTCTTCACTTTTACTTTCATTAAGAATGTGCAACGTTTTCGAATTCGATTTCACAACAAAATACCTTCTCGATATTTCAGACTTCGGTTTATCGTAGTTAACATCAAATCGCTGAGTCGTGACGGTCAATATTTCAATATGCCCGTATATCTGAATAACAAATGAGCTGTATGAAGAACGGTTATTAGTGATAACATGTTTACAAAACGCACGCGATTTTTAATTTCGGCGCGTAGAATCGAGACGCACAGCGCAAACACAGCCGGACGTTTTTTAATAGTGCGTTGATTTTGAATGTGAAACCGTTTTGACATAGTGTGTGCAAATTAGGAACACTTGAAGTCAAAAATTTCGATTAATACCTTTGTAGTTGCTTAATTTACAATTATAGAACGGAACAAGGGTCGAAGAAAATTCAAAAACAAGGCTACATTTTATTTAGGAGTTAGGGGCTGCTTTTCACTGTCGCTTTTTTTGCACGTACGCGCGTACACGCACGTAAAAGTTCAAACCTTCTAGGTTGTTCTTTAAATGTTATATATAGAAAGGCTGCCGTGTGCCGTGTGCCATGCACTTACGCGTTTTTTATACACGAACGGAAAATTTTAAATGCTTTCAAATTTTTATTATTTAACATCTAGGTCAACTAATGCATACTAAAATATGCAGAAAACTAAGTTCCTTCGATTTATTCGCTTAGTTTTTTCATTAGGTTAACATGTATAAGGAATTAGACGCGTAAGTAGAAAACAGCCTGAAACTAAATCATCAGCCGAATCCTACCCTATTGCATCTATTCAAATGTAGATTTGATAACCTATAAGTACATTTAAATTAATCATAATATATATAGCGTCATACTGACTCTCCTGGCAAAGTCGAAGGGTTTGAAACCTGCCTTTTGTCTACTTTTAATAGACAGTTTTTATACCATGCACGCACCCTTGCACATTTAATAAGAAGTTACCTTATAGCATTTTAAATAGCACATGCACGTACATGATATTTCCACGATCGTGAACATCAATTTTAGATTTATTATATAATTAAAATATCTTAAAATAATCTCTTATATCATCAAAATATTTCAAACCCAGATAATTTGTATATAAGATATAATATAATTGGTATAATTGATAATTCTGAAGATTATTCTTAGAATTATTGTTTAATGGTGTCTGAAATTATTCATATTCGTGTTCTTCTCTCACGTATATACGAAACGTGATCGATCAAACTGACAAAACTTTTAAAGCTTTAGACTTCGTTTGGCCAAACACGAACTGATATTTCATTTCCTTCATTCTCAATAGCACATGATAAACCCGTGATTTATGAACATAACTCTCGTGACTTAATTTGGAGTGGTTTGTTGACATATACAGAGGATTGTGAAACTGCTGAAGTGACCGTACAAAGCGGGAGGGCGGGCATATAGGGAGAGTACAGTGGCAGTTTTTTTTACGTTTTTTTAACAATTTGAAGACGAGAAAACCAACTCGTTATGAAGAAATTTATTTGCGCTAAAAGCCTAAATATACCCGCGCACGCAAAGTGCTGAAGGAGACTATCTTACATTTGGCTATATAAGCGAACAGCTTAAGTGTGACGCAGGTTTATTAAAGAAAGGTGTTTATAAAATGAAGAAATTATGTACACAACATAATCTGACATCTTTTGAAATATGAGAAGCTAGGTATTCGAACATAGTTCCTCTGAAAGTAAGGCAAGAAAGATTTATTCTAATAATTCAGAGTATATTCTAGCAATTACCTTAGCGTATTCTAGCAATTTAGTTGAAAACGTTGAATTATTTTCGAATGGATAAAACATTTTTTTCGCTATTCCGTTTCAAAGGAATTCCTATCTTATCAGAGCTTGAAAGGTTTTATCAGATTTCCAATGCATGTGTGAAATGATAAACGCGGAATTCAATTTCTTTTAAGAATTCATACGAAATAGATTCAACACTCCACGACAATCCAACACAGACAATAATAAATTATCAAAAACGTCAAAAAGTATTCGGTTGGTATAAGCTAAACGATAGAAAAGTCAGCGCATATTATTCAAAAACTTCCGTAAGATAAACCGCGCTCTCTTCATTTTTTAAATCAATTTTTTAATTGCTTTTTTACAAAGTTGAATATCTTTTTCCATAAATATTTTCTAGACCGATAGAAGTCATATTTTCTAAGGTTTTAAAACGAACAGTGGTTCAGATAGAAGCACATAAACTAAAACACTGGACTAAAATTTAATCGCGCTAACCTAGCTGTAAACTATTGGCCCCAGCTGTTGTGAAAATTCCACCATAACTGTGTTAAGATTACCGAAGGATCAAAGTTCGTCTATATGGCCTTAAGGCATCGTGTTTACAAACTGCTTTCCTATTTTGAGTAATATACATCGCGTTGCTATTTTCTGCTCGTTTCAAAAGCAAATTAGTCAACAAAATGACAGTTGTACAAAATACTACAAATGAGGTACGGGTACGAGTACCGTACGACTGTTATTTCAGTAATAGTAATTCAGAAATGTTCCAATATAACCAGGGAGCAGCGTGGCAGCGTCTTCAACCAACTTAGCATCAAATGTGTTATAGCAACTGCCTAAAATAGGCAGTTGTTATACAACGTTTGATGCTAATTCAGTTGTTATACCACATTTGATGCTAATTCAGTAACTTCAACTTACTTTCAACGTTGAACCGTGGACTCCAAGCATGTCAAGCATATGCTACGTTTTAATCAGTTTAGAAGCTTATGTTGGTCAATTTCACTTACCAAAATCAGATGGTAGTTTCAGGACGTTAGCAAGTAATCGTGAACTATCGTGTGTGAAGACAGAACTGAAAGAGCTCGGATGATATCCAATGTCGTGATCTTGAGTAAGCCAAGTCTATGTTGACTGTATAACTGGAGTAGGGAACTATTAAATTTCAATGATTTTGATCTGTTTGTTTGATGTTGCATGGGGGCGGGGAAGAGGAACGGCGAAAGGGACACAACTTCATTCAGTCCCGGAGTAAACATCTCGCTATTCTTTGGGATACCGGAATTCTGATCCTATAGCGAATAAGAATGCCGGGTAAAAGACCATCTAGCTATATACAGCTGCTTGCTATTTGCACCGGAAAAGATCAGAGGCTTATATCAAAGGTTAGGCTTTTCATTGAGAAAGCCCTGTAAAAGTCTGTTCACACGATCCAATTTTGTTGGATCTAATTTACTTCTGACGTATGGAATATACTCAGTTATTGATGAAGCAGTACTACATTGACTTTAGTGGATTTGCTGCTCATGTACATTACAAGACAACAGACTATAAAACATCCATCAGAAGTGAATTGGATCCAACAAAATTGGATCGTGTGAACAGACCTTGACTGCAATAGTTGGAACTGGGGTATCACAAAGAACAAACTTAGGCTCATTTTCACTCTTATTTGACTGTTTCTACGGCAAAATTGTCCTGAATATTCTCCTGTGATACTCGGCTGTGAGTTTAGACGAAGGATACAAAACGTGACTGCATGTATATCTTTAATTAAATACCCAGGGACGATTGGAAGAATTATCACAACGACAATCTTCAAGAGAATGTAGTCACAACTCACAAGTGTCTATTTTGCATGACGGTAGTCTTTCATTGTATTGTAGTTTGCGTGTTTGAGGTTCAAGATAATTAGACAATGTGTACACAGACGGACTAGATGAAAAACAACAAAGTTTCCAAGTACGTGTTTGCATACGTGCTTGTTTACAAGGAACGCTTTGCTTTGTTATCAATTTCAACCCACAGAAAGCCAGGCTTTCGAGGTTCCTGAATTATAAATAGCTTATAGAGCAAAACTTTACTTTACTGTGTCATTTATCGTGTTTCCCTTGAAGCATCTATTATTGATTTCAATTTTAGAAAATTGATATTCAGTGAAAATTTTACGTGCGTACGTACACAAACGCGCGGAAGCTTATCTAAAATTCTGAATCTTTACTTTGCGATGCCAGATGTTAGACGAAGTTTGATTGGCTCGTTAGTTTTGTGGAGCCAATCAAATTTCGTGTATCATTCGCGTCTGATGTCATTATGAAAAACGTCTATTATATCGTTTATGCATTGATCGTGACTAGATATTGATAACAACACTTCAATATCGCGGTTTTAGCTGATTAAAGTTCCTGTGTTTTGACGAGCACCCATAAAAACAATAAAATTTGGAATACAGTCAAGAAATAAAAATACACTGAGTGAAATAACTGTTATCTTCTGAAGAAATATAAAAACGACGACACATGCAGAAAAACTGGTGTATTTACGTAAATACTAAATACTGCTTTCCTATTATCAATAAAGTGAACGTGTTACTCCTGACACGGAGACAAAGCAAAGGCAATTGCTTAGACAGGATCATGAAGTCAAAATTACTGCTAAAATTCTCATTTTAACAATCATAAATGATTTATGTTCCATGGGCCGGTTGTATCAAGCCCGTTTAGCTTTAACGGTGGATAAGTTAAAAATAGAAAGCAAGTCTATCGTTTTATTCAACAAGCAAACTAAATGTTTTCAACCTTAATACAAAGATACTGTTTACAACTACATATTCAGTGCATAATATTCAAGTTGACTTATTCAAGAGAGATGTAAAAGTGTTCTTTAATTTTGACTTATCCACCGTTTAAGCTAAACGGGCTTGATACAACCGGCCCCATATCTTTAGCCGCATGTGAATGTGTGCAAGGTTCATCGCCTTGGGAAATTCCGCCCATTTTTTAAATTCTATTGAACACTTTCAATACGATATGAATCGTAAGGATTCATTATATTCTTTCTTCCCCCTTATCTTTATCGGTAAACATGGATCAGAATGAAATTATGAAAACATAATTGTTTGGAGATGTACGTCAGAGCACTAGGATAATTCACGGTTGATTATAGTCATTGTGAGAAAATAAAGAAATGCACTTTGCGGTGCTGCAAGTCACACAATCATTCATTACAATATTTGTAAGCGAACAAAGAGAGCGGTCCTATATTCTTCACCTGCATCACGCGTTTTTTGTTTGCCATGCAGCCGTCAGGATGATTATTTGAGCACACGTATCATGAGTACTGCGGTTTCATCCTATGCGAATGCGTGATGCTTCATATCCGCGCACTTATGTGCGATCTCAACTCGGGAGAGAACCCCCGAGTTCAGATCGTTTGCCTCCTTCCTAGCCTGCGCCGCAGACCCATGCCCGAAATAGGCCCATGCCCGAAATAGAAAGGCGGGGAAGGGTTAGGGTCTATACCGTCTATGCGTAGACTACCTCCTTCCCTATTCCTATCGAGAGAGTGTAGCCCAGTGGTCAGCACTACCGGCGAAATCGCAGGTCCGATTCTTGCCAATATAGTTTTTCGTAATTGTTCCTGGTTAGGCGTTATAGTGTATGTAATTATCACTGCATGCATGTAAGAAAGGTTTTGCATTTCTATAGAATCTGACACTGTGACAGCATGTGGTGGACATGATATGGGTCATATGCAACTGTAATAAAGAAATAAGGTAGCATTTCTATAGAATCTGACGGCACGTGCATGATGAACGTGACATGGCATGTGTGTGCAGTCCCCGTGAGAAGAACCTTGGTGAAAGAATTCAAAAGGAAATAACTGAATGTATGACTCGGGTGAGTTCATATCGTTATAGTGTTCCTCAGAGTAGCACCATCACAGTAAAATCCAAGACTAAATTGGCAGCTTAAAGGTAATTTTTTGGAAAGGTGTATGCGCCAAAACAGATGAGAAGAGATTCTTTCATTTTTTGAGATACATCACTAGTATTAGGCGGAAATACTCGGTTCGAGAGTTGATCGTGACTCAACTTATGCCAGCTTTGCAATCTTTGGCAAGAGAACCTTGCAGGAAGAAGTCGGCTAATTTTAAATTTGACATTCCACGTGCATGTGAACGCGGGTGGAAAGCATGAACGTGCACTGCGGGATCACATAACTTTAACGTTTTAATTCGAATCGTATTTGTGTTTACGTATGGACGCGGATAAATATTTTAACGGAGAAATAAGAAATATCTTTGCGTTTTCAAATTCTTCCGGCATCGTGCAGAGGGGGCCTAATCCACGACTATGCATGATTCTTTTCAAATTACAAAAACAGGCTGAACACTCCTTTGGGAAATAGTGAGTTTTGGGAAAACAAAACTCACTCTTTCCCTCGGCCTCGGAAGCATACATTAAGTGGTAGATATTAGATTCACAGGGAAAAAGTTCGCGAACAGAGCTTCAAATTTTAACGATGATTGATTTCAATAGTCTTCGTTTTAGAAGATACCTTGTGCATGTGTGAATAGTGTAATGTTCTAGTTTGCTGATAGTGAAAAAGTAGGCGCAGCCTATATGTCGATTTCTGCTAAATCCTGTGCGGTTTTAGTCTAAGCCAACCCTCTCAAAGCACTCAAGACAGCTGAATTCCGACTGACCTTCTGTTTTTTATCATTTGTGTGCATCGTGTTCCTTCCATTACCGCGATTACGTCATATACTAACTTCATGCACGACCTTGTCACGAACTCGTCAGGCACTGACCCGTAAATGGTTACTTTGACGACGCTAAGAACAGCACCGTTACAATAAAATCTAAGTCTAAAATCTAAGTTCCGTAATTTCTTTAGTAAAAGTTCTACGTTGGGCTCTCATATTCATCATAAGATAACCGTAAAGACGTTTAGGAAATTCGTTTATGGCATAAAAACTATATTCGTGCCAAGTCGCCAGTTAGTCGCGATTTGGCTCGTATATAAACAGCTGTTACGTAATTTTAAACTCCCCCGTAAAACAGAACTATCATCAAATGCGGTATAACAAATGCCTATAAAGTTGACAAAAACGCTGTTTGATGCTTCGCCCAAACGGAGAGTTCATTATTATGAAAATATGTTTCAATATATATTGTTTTTGTTGGACATAAATGATAATAACTAGGAAGTCTATATAATGTGAATACGTCATATAATTATAATGATCAAGCTATGAACTCCGGAACTTTCTATTCAAGTGCTTTCAGCAAGAGTAAAAAATACGTGATGTCACGAAATCGTTTTAGAAATAAATCACCCGCCACCGGCCACGCAGGATGTAGTCAAAAATGGTTTGCCCTCTTTCCTATTCCTAAGCTTGTAAACAGAAACCCACACCCGGTGGTTTACTGACAAAGATTCAATACTTTCATTCCAGGAGCCTGACACGCAAAGCGACTAATATTCGTCTGTGTCGAAGATTATCATTCCTTGTGAATTATTGATTGCACGAACTGACAGGAGCTATAGAAACGTGCTGTGAGCGTCTTTATTCAATCAAAGAGCTTCTACACGTATTCGCTTCAAATTGCAAGCACTAGCAAGGAGTTTGCTAGGGCTTTCTTCCGATGAGGCCGAGTAGGAATTCTTATGCCTTCGGTTTGGGTTTTTAGTTTCCATGCATGCATCCTTCCCTGCTGGATGGCATGATCGTTTTTATCTATATATTTAGCACACTCGTGTATATGAAGATTCTGTCTAACCTCCTTGACCTCTTTCAGCGAGATAATGTTCGGGCTTCAAAACAGCATATGCAGACAGCAAGGAACTATTTCAATGTGACTCTCACATGATGCCCGGTCTGTCATGCATTCTCCGTTTTCCTTGTTCCTTCATTTATATGACAACCGGCTTTGTTATAATAAATTGAATCGTGAGAAAATCATGTGTATTTTGGATTTGAGGCAGTATGGTTGAAGACCACACAATGCACTAACTATATTATGACAGATATGTCTGACAAAGTGCAGATGCCTGGCGATATATGAAAATAGATTTGAGATATCTTTCTCAGGTAGTTCAGACACAAACCACGACAGCTTATTGTAGAATACTTCCTACACTGGACCACCACGTTTGAGATATCTTTCAGGTATTTCAGACACAAACCACGACAGCTTATTGTAGAATACTACCTACACTGGACCACCACGTTTGAGATATCTTTCTCAGGTAGTTCAGACACAAACCACGACAGCTTATTGTAGAAT